TGTTGCTGTTTTGTTTGTTGGTATGTGCCGCAACAAGCGAAAAGGATAAACCGGTTCTACCAACAAGAGATTTCGAGTCTGTTCTCGCATACTTGAGTGAAAATGAAAACAAGGTCGATGTGGTTACAGAAAAACACACTACACTACACATACAACCCTGTGTTCTTTCGGCTAGTTGTTTTTATGTGTGCCGTGCTTGTTGTTTGTCTCCCGTATGCGAAGCGATGCAAAGACGATCCATTTGGAGTATACGTTCGCAGGCTGGCTATGCTGGTGATGGGGGTTTAGAAAAGCACAGATGGCGGCGGGCGTTTGGGCTTTGACCAGAAAATACACGATCACTGATAACTGATAACGGCCATGTCCCAATTGATGAGGTTAGATTCTTGTTTTCCACTTGTGAGGGGTTGATTGACGAAGGAAAGGGCATAAGCATGTGAAAATTAAAGATTCTATACGCGTTGATGCGCTATGATTGAATACAACCGAATGAATAGAAGTAGTGTGTGCCGTTTGTTTGTGTGGACCTTTTTTTGCTTTTTGTTTTGTGATCTGAGCGTGAAATTTCGAAAAAGTGGTCGTGCTCACTCATAGGTTCGAATGGGTACTAAATCGACCAAGTGTCTGTCGACACTGCCAGAGATAGGAAAAACACTTGGCACTTGCTTGCAAATGGTCTGTCCTTTCCTTCTTTTTATTCGATGATGATGATGATGATGATGATGGCGGTGATGGTCCTTTAACCATGAGTGGACAGGGTTGAAGGCAAAAGTAACGATTTTTCGATGAGAACGAGAGGGATGAGGATGATGAATTGAAGCAAGGCTAAAGGTAAAAATAATACGCACAAGCATGAAAACAATAATGCCTTGCCCTTGTCAATGTTTGGTTGGTTGTGTTTTTTTTGCGCTCTCATGCGCGGTCATTGTTTTCATTCCCATGGGCAACCATTTTTTTCTCTCTTCACGGCCATCTTTTTTCACTATTCTGGCACCATTCTTTACTCCTATCACAAGGGAACGAAGGCGAGACTGTCCCACACCTGCCTATCGTTCCTCCCATCACCACCGACGGCTAATGTCCCCTCGAAATTGAACTCCAATTGTGCCAACAAATCAGCCAAAAGAAAGAAAAAGAAGAAAGCACGCTCTATTTTGCAAGGTTTTTTTTCTTATTCACTTTGCTGGTCGTGCAGACGAGCAAGCAGGCGATAAAAAACAGGGAAAGAAGGAAAAGCAGACCATGATTGATCCCGACCAGGGGCCAGCCTCCAACTTTCAAGGACCACATGAAAGATAGTAACAACTGCCGAGTCCAAATCCACTCGCATGGGTGATAGAGATACAAATGGGTAACTCATCTCCGTCTCGTCTCAGCTGGAAGCAGGCGGTAAGGCTTTTTTTTCTCGCTCATTCATTCACAATTGTCAACATTTTGGGTCCACAATCCAACCCCTTCCCCCTTTTTTGAGTCTGTTTGTCTAAAATAACTCCCGAGGTTTAGACACGGGTATAGGCTGATAGGTTATGGGGACTGTTATGGATGTTATGGGGACATCCTCCCCATTCATCGCATCCGCAACGCTACGCTACGCACAAACAAGGGTCGAGCGCACGCACTCACTCAGACACACACACACACAAAAAGGTCGAGCAAGGAGAGATAGCTGATCTAAAGAGAGGAAGAAGAGATGTGGTCAACATATGCCAGTCAAGTCAGTCCGTTGGCCAAAATGGCACACTTTCATTTGTCTCTCTCTTGTGCCTTTGCCAATGGGGTGTTTCGCACATTTATTCTTTTGTTACATCCTTCTTGGTGGACTCCTCGCGACCCATATCATATTCTCCGTCTACCCTCATGGGTCCAACTCCATCTCTATTTTTCTCTTTTCATTTCATCTATAAACGAACCATGGGCCCATCCTCTTCTGTCTTGTAAGTTTTGACCAATGAAGAGGATGGTCGGAAAATGAGTTTTTTTTAGGGGCCAAGCATAAAAGCTCTTCTCTGTTGTTGCTGTCCTTGTTCTCTTTCTCATATGCACATCAGAAAAAAAAGCAAGAAAACTGAAGAGACACGAATCAAGGCCAAGAAGATGTTCATGCACTAGAGTCGTGCTTGCCAAAAGGAATATCTGCAAAAAAGAAAGAAGGGATATGAAAGAGAGGAGAGTGAGAAGGGAGAAAAAAAAATGTTCGTGAAATGAAAGATCCTAGGGGCCTTATCGAAACGTGTTGTTGTTCAGTTGTGTCCAAATGGCGTTTTACTTTGTGATGTGGTTGCAGCAACAAAAAAAGACTTTCTTCTCTCCCTTCGTTCCTCCACAAAATTAGCCCACCCACCCGTGGGTCAATGAAAGAAGGACGAAGAACACCCCACTTCATGCCTCCTTTAAGATACTCAGGTGTTTTTCAAGGTGTGGTGCTTATCGTGGAGTTGAAGGACAAGCAGAATTGATCCAGAAACGTAAAGAAATAATTTGTGTTGATCGCCACAATTTTCGTTTCCCCTTGCTGTCCGTCCGCTCGTTTGTCGGTCTGTCCGTGTGTCTGAGAGGTGTTACGGAGACAAGGATGATGATAAAGAAGAGGAATACGAGAAGCCGAGAAAGCATAGCATGAAAGGAGGTGAGTGCAACAGGAGGAGGATACCCAAGGGGCGTCCGTTCTCTTGAGCAATGGGTGGTAGTGATGGTGTTGATTGTGACCCCTCCCTGAGTAAGACAAAAAGGAACTGATAAAGGAGCGATATGGTCATTTTCCATTGAGTAGGGATCGAATGAATTGGAGACTGTTGTCGCTCGTACAGGGTAACAGACAGCCAGACACACATGAGATGGGAGAAAGAGGCGGGCCTTCTTTTGGACTGGACCCAAGCGCGGTTGTTGGTGTGGGTTGATGCGTAGGTCCGACTCTGTTCTTCTTTCTCATTGATGGTGTTGACGATTGTTATTGAAGATTGTTGTCGGTGATGGTAGCGGCGGTGATGATGGTGGTGCGTGAGAGTACGAAATGGCGAGCGGTTATTGTTTATGAGTAGGATGACTCGACAATGATGTTCTCGTCCCTTTTGTTCTCAGCCCCGAAGGATGAAGGATGAAGGATGAATGATGAATGATAGACAACGAGAAAGGGGCGTGTCAATAATGTTGACAGTACTTTATTCCTTGTCAATTCAATCGACCACCGCACCCAAAAAAAGGTCTATTCATTTCTATTCATTCACTCATTCATTCACTATCAGAGTGTATCACTCCTCATGCCCATCCTCCATGTTCACATCCATCCAGACTCCTCCTTGATAAATAGAGGGCCTCGTTTATTCTTCTCTTCTCTCTTTCCCTCTTTTTTTCCTCTTTTCTTTTCTTTTCTTTTTTCTCGCTCGCACCTTCTTCTTAGCTCCCCTGCTACGCCGCCCTTTTTTCCGTTTTCTTGTATTTTCTACCTCTTCTTCTTCTTCTTCCTCCACCCCCTTTACTCTCCTTTTCTTTTTTTGGCCTGCTCCGTCTCTATCCACAACCATAGTCTACGTCGAGTACAACAAAAACAACAAGAAATAATCTCTTTCATTCATTGCACATTGCATCTCATTCTTCTCTCATTTGCATCCTGCATAACACTTTTCTTTTCTGTTACGATCTACCCTTCTTTGCTTTTAAACTTGGTAAGTCAACGTTCTCATTCCTTCAACCTCTTCAACCTCTTCAAATAATTTCTTGGTCCCACATCCACAACAACAGCAACAAACAACAACGGCTTCACTAGTAACAGGAGCTTAAACTAGAGATAAAGAGAGCGAGGTGGTTCCGAGGAAGGGGTTTGGGAAGTGATAACTGGTGACAAAAGTCTGTTGTGTTTTATTTGTATTAGGCATGAAATACGTTTCTCGTACCCTGGAGAGGAATACGCGATAACGAAATGAAAAGGCGTGGAAGGGAGGGGATGGATGTGAATATGTATGTCTGACTGACAGAGTGTGGGTTTTATGCCTGCATAAAAGAGAGAGGACCACCCTAAATAGAGAGGGAGATAAGCACACGCCAACGGTTCAGAAATGTACCTATTTTTACCAGGAAGATGGTCTCGTCGGCCATATTGGAGGTGCTTCGTGCGAGCGAACAATAACAGCAGAGAGAGGGAAAGGTGGACGGGCCCAAGATGTATGTGACCTTGGACAAATAACAGGCAAAAGGCAAGGATATGCGAACAACAAGAACAATGTAGCCCTTTTCTTGTCTGCAAATGTACTGTACACATAGGAGAACAAGAAACCAATGATGACGAGGCATCATGTTATACACAAACATTGGTGCCAATGACGCCCTTCGTTGTTCGTTCGCCTTGACTCGTTCGTTTGTTTCGTTCATCCGTTCATTCGTTCATTGTTATACTCTCTATCCTCTTTTTTCTGTGTTCATGATGTTGCTGTTGTGTCAAGTGGGACCACTCGTCTCAATTCAAATGCTCATGGTATCGCCTACTCCTTCTCAGACCATATGTCCATCTCTTAGCCCCTGACCCATCATTCATCCATCTTTTGCTCCTTCGCCTTCTCTTTTTTTTTTATCTTCCTGCGTGCTTTGCACATTGTCTCCTTACCCCTCTTTACCCCCTCCGCTGTCCCCTTCACACCCTACATTATTGAGCACGATTGACACGAGCACACGGCCTTTTCTTTCTTTTTCTTATGCACACAGGGATCACACTTGTTTCCCCTCAAAAGTGTCCATTTTCACACCATTGGCCCTTTCCTCTTCTCTTTTCCTTACTCTTCTCTTCCTTATCCTCCTTACCTCCTTACCTCCCCCTTTCGTTCGCTATCATCCCTGTTTTATCCTTGGTCCATCGGTCTCTTCCTCCTCTTAGTAATATTCAACTGCCTGACTGACCAGCTCGTCTCTTTATTCTCGCTATTTCTCTCTCTCTTCCGCCAACTTACGTTGTTGCCGATTCAACAGGTCTCTTTCCTTCTTCCTCTTAAAAACAGCATCTTCCTTCCATAATGACCAAGAACAAAAAGACCGCTCGCCCCGTGCCCGTTGTCGAACCCACTCCTCGCCACAACTCCTCCGACTCGGATAACAACTCGGATATCGAAGATCGCTCCCACTCCCGCACATCGACCTCGTCCGTCGAGGAGGAGCAAGTCAAGGAGTCCAACGGCAATGGTGTCCACACCACCTCCACCAAGGAGTCGAACGGTAGTTTCCTCACCCGTGTGAGCTCTATCCCTTTGATCTACGACTCTGTCTCGACTCTGCACTCCTATGCCAAGGACAGCAAGTACGGCCGATATGCCCTCGATACCGCCGGATCCGCCGTCGAGACCGTCAACAAGTACACAGAGCCCTACCAGACTCGCCTTCAGCCTCACATCTCCAAAGTTGACCAGCTTGCGACAAAGTCCCTCGATATCTTCGAGAACACTTTCCCCATCGTCACCAAGCCCACCGCCGAGATTGTGACCCAGGTCAAGAAGCCCATAGTCTACGTCGAAGAATCCTCCAAGAACGCCTATACCCAGATCCAGTCGACCATTGATACCCGTGTCACTGCCCCTGTCAAGTCCGTGACCAACTCTATCAGCTCAACTGCCTCTTCTACCGTCAACTCCATCACATCCACCGCTGCCTCGACTCGTGATACTATCACCACCAAGGCTGCATCGACCCGCGACCAGGTTGCTGCCGTCGCCATCTCCACCCGTGACACCATCACCAACCGCGCTGTCTCGACCCGCGACCAGATTACCAACGTCGCTACCTCGACAGCCAACAACATCACCAATGCTGCCACCTCCACGGCAACCACCATTGCCACAACGGTCAATACCCGTGCCACCCCCTTGGTCAATGGTCTCGAGACCATCGTCGACCGAGTGTTGCCTGCCGGTGTCGACGCAGAAAAGACCCCTGTTGGCCAGAGCAACCAGGCCACCCGTGTCGTGGACTTGGGTCGCACGGTCACTCGTCGTGTCTCCCGTCGTGTCGGTGTCGCCGTCTCGCCTGTCACCCAAACCGCCCAAGAGTACCGTGCTTCGGTTGAGAAGAGCACTGTTGTCGTCAAGTCCAAGGATCATATCAATGCCTTGAACACCCGCCTCTCGGCCCTCCTCGAGTCTCTCCATGCTCACACCAAGGAGCTCCAAGAGAACGTCCAGAAGGGATCCCATGAGGTTTCTACCCGTGTCCAGTCTCGCGTCTCCGAGTTGAGCGGTAAGGTCTTGGCCGAGGTTGACTCTTTGTCTGCCTACTTGAAGGTGCACAGCCCCGCCCTTCCAGAGTCTGTCCAGGCCCGTATTCAACCCTTATTGACCTTTGTCAACGATCGCTACGTCGTTGTCAAGACCGAAATCATCAAGACCGATGTCTCTGCTATCCAGAAGGCCCGTAACATTCTCAACTTGACCACCGAGGAGACTCTTCCCATCTTGCAGTCCGCTGCCAAGGATATTCGTGAGTCCCTTGGCCAGTACCAGGTCAAGGTCCAGGAGAGTGTCAACAAGGGTTATGCAAAGGTCCAGGATGTCCACTCTTCTGTCCACCTGACTGCCGCTCGTGCCTATCACTCTGCACGCGTTATCCTTGTCGGAAAGTAGACAGCATTCATTCAGATCACAATCCATTAAAAAAAAAACAATATAAAATATACTTGTTGCAATGTTGTAATGGTGTGGAGAGAGAATAGGGGGAGGTGTTGTCATTCTTCGCATGATGGTTGTTTGTTTTGCTTGTTTTCCCGCGGCAGAATAACAAGGGAAACCAAAATGCGGAACATGTTTGGAAAACAACAGAAAGGGCGGGAAGAGGGGTTCGTGGGCTTGTCTCCTATTTTTCTTTGCTTTTTTTTTTTTTTTTTTTTTCACACTGATGCACAGACCATAACAGAGAAAACAAGGAAGAACATTCAAAGGAAAGGACGAACAAAGAGCAATTGGTGCTTGCCTTTTCTTCTTCCCCTCTCCTGTCTCTATTTCTCTCATTCCTTCGATGCGATGAGTGTAGAGGATCTTTGGTGTCTTTCCAGCTTTACCGCCCGCGGCGTGTGTAGCCCAGATAGCGGACAAGAGTATGTTCCTGTCCCTGGCGCAACGGTCGTCGCCTGCTTGTTTCCAATCCTCAATCACGGAGGTTATTGCTTATCCCCTTTTGCGTTTGTTTTTTTTGCTTGCATTTATTCCATGGACCAAGGCGAGGCAGGATAGAATGTTCTGAGCTCATATGAAGGAAGAAGGAGGAGAGAGAAAGATAGACAGAGAGATTGAGAAAGAGATAGAGGAGAAGACAGGAGTAAGGAAGGCGAGGCAGAAAGCAGAAAATAAAAGAGCAGGCAGCAGGAAAGAAAGCATGAGCAAAAAAAGCAGGAAGCACATCCAAGGGGTTCAGTTGACTCCAAGGAAGGGCGTTTGAGAGTATGTCACGTGACTTTACATTCCATCAAGCCCAATGAAAATGGTGACTTTGCCTTCACTCATCATTTTTTTCTTTAGTCGAATCGTTCACATCCCTCACTCCTGTTTCCCCATTCTCAACAGCAACGCCAGCAAACAATCACCAACAAACAACACCTCTCTGTAAGTCCTACTTACCATCGATACTTACACACTCAGCATATTTCTACTGCCTTGCCCTGACAAAGCAAGGAGCAAGTTACGTCAGGCAGACCGGCGGGGTTGTGCCTCTCACTTCCATCTCTTGGCAGTTCTCCCATCTAAACAACAAAAGAAGCAAATGGACACATGGGCTATTCACAAACGACATACCGCCCCTCCCTCTTCAACCCTGTGGTTTTTGGATTCGACGCTGTTGTTACCGGGAAGTTATATTGACGGACCAAAGGGTGTCTTTTTTCACTTGCTGTCTATTTCGCCGCTGACGCGCGAAAACAGCAGTAATTGGCTTTGACACGAGGGGAAGCCTGGACGGGGTTTGAAGGTACGACTTGTACCAAGAGTGTCTTGGCTTGAGTGTGACCTACCACTGGATTGGAATGCGTACCTGAAGCGGGTTTTCCATCTTTATTAGTTGATTGGGTGTTATTTTCGATATGCAACATGGTCTTTGGTTACAAGCGTGGAAACTTGTTGTCCCATCTTGCTTTTTTTGCAGGGGAAAAAGAACAGGGGGCTCAGTTGGTCATGAAAATGATGGCTCCAATTATCTCCTATTGCCACATAACTTGTCTTTATGTCCGAGAATGGAGGGACTAGTGCAAGTGAGCAGCAAAGACAGACGGACAATAATTTAATGGCATCCACATCTACGATGTCGGTCTCAATTGCACAATGGTTTATCACTGACTGACTGACATGCCTATTATACTTTCCTTCCAGCACCAGTCATACTCTATAGCGTCCGGACAGACATTTATTAACCATGGTTGACCCACGCCCTACCATCAAGAACGCCGACATGACGGAGGAGATGCAGCAGGAGGCTGTTGAGTGCGCCGTCCGCGCCTTTGAAAAGTATACTGTCGAAAAGGATATCGCCGCATTCATGAAGAAGGAGTTTGACAAGAAGTACGGCGCCACCTGGCATTGCATCGTCGGACGTAACTTTGGAAGCTACGTTACCCATGGTAAGAACAGCAGCGGAGAGGGGTAGTCAAGACGTAGGAGTGATTGTTCTATTTCCGATCTGCCGGTCAATTGTTACCTTGTGCGGGAAGCAGTCCTTCTAATGCCTTTTCTTCTTTTGTGTCCATTTCTTTCTTTTGCCTTAACAATGAATAGAGACCAAGCACTTCATTTACTTTTACTTGGATCAGATCGCCATCTTGCTCTTCAAGAGCGGATAAAATCCACCGGCCATCCTGTACCCTGCCATCCTGCACCCTCTTCCTTGCGCTGCTTTTTGCGTGTTACTCCGCAAGTGTATCCACCCTCTCTCTCCTTCAGACAAAGATTGGCAGTTTTCTTAACTCTTCACAATATATCTCAGCTATCCGCTAACACCATAATGTACCTCTTACACATATTTCTTCACGAGTTGCGTTCGAATGATGTCGAGTATTTTTTTTTGTTCTTGTGGCCATGTATGCTCAGCCAACGATCTAATTTATTCCTGAAATGCATTAAATGTCCTCCCCTCTTCTCTCCGATCAAGCTTTATGCCTTGGTGGTCTCTTTGGCAGCAGCGGCAGCCTCGCCGTCGGCAGCCTTCTTGGCGGCCTGGATGCCGTGGTGGGGTCGCATCCTCCATCCCTTGAGACGGTTCATGATCCGTGAGCGTTCGTTGACGGCGTCCTGGATTCCGAAGGTGACGCTGTCGGGGGCCTCTGGCCACTTGAACTCGTGGTCGATGGTGACGATGGCCTTCTTAAACTTTTGGCGCTTGAGGATGGTGTTTCCGCCGGAGCCGGCGAGTTTTGCGGGCATGTTGGCGGTACGGACGTCGAGGACGTTGAGCTTGTAGATGTTGGCAAGGTAGGATTTGATGTCGAACTTATTCATCGAGGGAGGCACCCTGAAGGTGAGGGTATTGGAGACGGCGGGGACGTTGGGGCCGTTCCGGACCAGCTTGAGGACTGTTGAGGGGAAGTATAACTTCTTCAGACCTTCCTTGAGAATAGGCATGTTGCTGTGTATGTGAATATGTGTTGGGGTTGATGGCTGGTTGGTTGTTGATGACTGACTAGTCCTTGTCCTGACTATGCTGACTGTTTGTGTGTTGTTCCTGAACCGAGGCGGGGTGATGGATGTCCAAGTCAGTGGATGGTCTGTCTGTTCGTCGATGGAGTGTGCAACTGTGTTGTTCTACAGGGGGTGTGGCAAGTCTTTCGTCGAAACAGGCGACCGGGAAGACGAGAGCGTGACTGTGTATTCGATCTCCATTGTGTTTGCTTTTCAGCCATGGAGTTTCTTTTTTTTCTTATCTAAGCCACTCTTCGCCTGCACTGCTATAGCACCAAGGTCAGCCTGCAACACAACTGCATGTGCCTTTTGTCCCTCCTCCTTTCCACCAACCCCCCTTGACCATCTCGATTCTCCTCCATCGACTCCAGGAGAAATAAGAAACTTAGTGCTTCTGCATTTCCCACACTAAAAAGCCAGGCCAACCTTCGTTCTCCACTACCTATTCACAATGTCGAGTGATTTCAAGTCCTTGACGGTCAAGAAGTACCCTCGACTTCCTGGGCGCAAGACCGCCGAGTCTAGATACTGGCGCAAGTTCAAGGTAAAAGCGCATTCTAGAAAGAGAATCAGTTGCATAGCCTTTTGTCTCTACAGAGTGGAATGAAGAACCGATTGCCTATCACTCTAACTCTTCCTTCTGCAAATACCACCATCTCCAACCATGCAAATTTTAGTCTCCAATTGTTGTCAAGGAGTTTGCTGCCGTCTCGTCTATCCACTTCTCAGAGACAAGCCCCTATGATTTCGCCGTAACAGCATCGACACGTGTTCAGATCTACAGTTCAAAGACACACCAGGTCAAGAAGACCATTTCACGATTCAAGGATGTTGCCTACTCGGGAACCATCCGAAACGATGGTCGCTTGGTCGTTGCAGGAGATGCCACGGGTTTGATCCAGATCTTTGATGTCGGAAGCAGAGCCATTCTCAGAACCTTCAGAGACCACAGACAGTAAGGACCACTAGATGTTGTTCTTTTGTCAAACAAAGTGGAAAGTCGTATGTTAACGGCATGAGTCGTGAAACTGACGATGTGTTTACTACTTATTGCCAAATTGTAATATAGCCCTGTTCATGTTGCAAAGTTCTCATCGGACAAGACTCAGATTTTGTCGGCTTCGGATGACAAGACGGTCAGGATCTGGGATATGCCAAGCGAAACACCATTGACGATCTTTTCTGGACACGAGGATTATATTCGCGCCGGTATGGTCTCGCACGACAACCCCCACCTGATCCTGTCAGGATCATACGATCAGACTGTCAAACTTTGGGATATGCGTACCCAAGGATGTGTGATGACCATGAACCACGGAGCCCCCGTCGAGTGTGTCGACATGTTCCCCGACGGTGGAGTTGTTGTCTCGGCAGGAGGACCTCATCTGAAGGTCTTTGATCTCTTGGCAGGAGGACGGCCTATGCACTCGCTCTCGAACCACCAAAAGACTGTCACATCGATGTGTTTTGACCATTCGTACTCGCGCCTCTTGACCGGTTCTCTGGATCACCACGTCAAGGTTTACAACGTCCAGGACTACAGTGTCGTTCACAGCGTCAAATACCCTGCACCGGTCATGAGTGTTGCTCTTTCGGTAAGTGTCTTACCTCAATGTTTCTACGGCCAACGAATGCGCAATTGTAGGATTGGACCCTGTTTGTGCAGCTAAATTCACTCACTCTTTTTGTATTCGCTCCAATTACGCCAATAGCCTGACGATACTCATTTGGTGGCTGGTATGGCTGGAGGTTTGCTGTCGATTCGTCAGCGTGTGGTCAAGAGCGCTGAGGTGCAGACGAGGCGCGCCCAGGAGGAGCAAGCTAGTGGTGGCACGTACAAATTCTTTGTCCGTGGTCAAAAGACTGCTGCAGAGGGAGATTTCATTGTGGAGTCGCAAAAGAAGCGCCGTCTTCGCGAATACGACAGATACTTGAAGGTTTTCCAATATGGAAATGCGCTGGATGCGTGTTTGAGGACCAACCAGCCCGCTGTTACGACTGTCTCGTTGATTCAGGAGTTGATTCACCGCGATGGTCTTCGTCAGGCACTTTCAGGAAGGGATGACATCTCGTTGGAGCCTTTGGCGCAGTTCTTGGTCAGGAATATCAACAACCCCCGTTACACAGCACTCTTGGTCGATGTTACCACGGTGATGATCGATATGTACACAGCGGTCTTGGGACAGTCGCCCTTAATCGACGAGTTGTTTATGAGACTTCGGTCCAAGGTCAAGCAGGAGATTGCATTCCAGAAACAGTTGTTCTCGGTGATCGGATCGATGGAGATGCTCTTTGCCAAGAGCACGTCGACCTCTGTCGGCGTTGCCTTCCACAACGAACTCTCCTCAACAAGCAACAGCAGCAGCATTGCGCCTAAACCATCTACAGAGGCACCAGTAGCACCTACGATAGAATAAGGATTCTCCTCTTTCCTTTGCCCATCGAAGCGCGCTCCTTCCTCCCTCCATCCAAAGAGCGGCGCCTCCAACCTAGGTGCCCTTTTGTCTCACTCTGTTTCCCTGTTTTCTTCTCCCATTATTCAAAGACTCCTGCTCTTGATCTCTTTCTTCTTTTTTTTCTTGTTTCATGTGTTATTTGCCCTTCAAGAAGCGATCTCGATTCAGGAACCGTCAACCCAAAGCGCACTCACTCTTCATCATCAATTATCATCATTGTCATTCTGCTTACCCCCATGCATTTTTCTTGTTTTCATAATAAACATATGGCGCCCTGCACCAGCAAGCAGGGTGTTCCAATTTTTTTTTCACCAACCTGTTTTTCGTTGTATCTGTATGTTGTACCTTGTACCTGTATGCAATATGCAGAATGGAGTCGCGCCATTTCCTCAAAAATCCTTCCTGGTCCTCCTGATGTTTTCAGATCCCTGTTTTTTCCACCTCCCTTGAGTCAGCAGCACGTTCATTTGCATCCAAGTGCCTACTCCTGAGATACCTGGGTTCTTCTTTTCTACGACCCTTCGCCGAGCCCAGATAACCTGTTTTCGTCCTAGGATGATGACAAAATGACATCCTTCACCTAGTATCCTTTATTCCTCTTTCTCTCTCTTTGACCAAGTTCCATCACGTATGATCACATCTCCCATGCACGATGGAGCTGGAGAAATGGGATGATTGAACGGAATTGCATCGTTCATCGTCCACAACCTTGTCTTGCAACATCTCTATTCAGATCGAGGACGCTCATTATTCGATTCTTTGTACTCAACTCTTCAGAAACAATTGACGCTTGCGTACAACTTTCTGTTTAGGGTTTTCATATCCTCGAGGCAAAAGGATGTTCCAAAGCCTCCAAGTATGCATACTTTCGTTTCTTCAATCGACTCATGCAAGCACTGGTCTCCAGATAAGGAACTAAACAAACAACACAACTGAAATTGCGTTGTGTTGTCGTTTAAACTTGCTTCTGCTTTGCATTTTTCACAATCGCGTCTGTGTTTATTTGTTCGAGGATGATCGAGAGCCTTTTGAGGGGCGTCAATGATGGAGAAAGTAAAGATCAAGCCCGGGCTTGGAAGGCGGAGACCGACACCTGATTTTTATTGACCGATGAGATCTAATTAGGTCGGTCGTTTGTGAATAAAAAGGAGAGTGTTTCCTCTTTCTTCTTTCTCTTCACTCTTCAGCCTTCGCCCTCAGCAAAACACACAACTCTCACTCACAACCAAAGCAAAAAAGCAACCCCACTTCAAAGCCAAACAGCAAAAGGCATCAATCAAAATGTCCACTGTCCCCTCAATGCGCACCTACCTGGAGATGACCCTTGCCAATGTCGCCTACATCGATGCTGCCGATGCCACCAAGCCTGCCACTGCTCCTGAATATGAGCCCTCCAGGTACCATGCGACACAGGCTGCGAACGATGACAGTTTGCTTGTTACTCTCTCCAGTTTCATTCCGCTTTACTCACTTCTTGTCATTCCCAACAATCATATAGCTTCAACCACAAGTACACCACCTTGGGAGGTCATAAGTACCGTAAGTACACTTTTGCTACCTTCACCCCTCCACATTTTGTCTCACTTCTTCGTTCATCGCCGCATGCCATTGACTGTCAAGGAAACCGTTACCAGATCACCGGACAAAGGGTTTCACAACAAAACGAAGGCATCTAAAGTCCTTTCTCCACTCTTCGTTTTCCACTCCCATATTGTTTCCCAGATTACGTCGAGGAGGGTGATTCCAACAACCAGACAGTGGTCCTTATCCACGGATTCCCCGACCTCTGGTATGGGTGGCGCTACCAGATCCGTCACCTTGTCAGCCAGGGGTTCCATGTCATTGCTGTCGATGACCTTGGCTCCGGCGAAACTGTGAGTGCATCTTTCTTTTTTCTGTTTACGTTCAGCGCTTTTGTTGTACATGTTGTCGTGAGAGAAACGGGAACGGATAACCAGGAGAACCAGGGACGGGAAACCAGAAGCGGGAATGATATTGAAATCCAGCCCAGCGGTGCATGTCGTGGGATTGCCTTACAACATCGCATGCATACGTTCAATACAGCGCAACATAAAGCGACAGAAAAGTACTGAAATAAGGTTGGGCACAAGAAATGGCGACATGGACGGACTCAGCGACAAGGATGACACTGAACAAAGAACGATGGACTTTGGATTGGGATCTGCATTGTACAAGCGTGTGGCGTACTTTGCCAACAAAAGAAAAACCCGACTCTGACTCTTTCCCCCCGTTCTTTCTCCTTTGATTGTGTGATTTATGTTAATGTAGGACCAGCCCAAGTGTGTTGGTCTCGATGTGGAGCCCTATTCCAGCAAGAACCTTGCCGCGAACCTTGTCGAGCTCTTGGATCAATTGAACGTGGACAAGGCCGTCTTCATTGGCCACGACTGGTAAGCCGCGTTTTTTTGTGCGTACTTGTTTCTTTGCGTCTTGGCAAAAAACACTAATGGACCATGATCGATTGCTTTTTGTAGGGGTTCATTCATTGCCTGGAAGACCGGATTGTACTTCCCAGAGCGCTGCCATGCCATCATTTCGTAAGTAGCATGAAAAAAACACAATTGGACAGGGAAACGTCAGCCGTTGTTTTCTATCCTTCATTTCGTCCTTTCGGGTTAGATCTGGGCGGTAGTGCCAATCGAAGTTTTTGCGCCATTTATTTCATCTCACACCGATTACTTTTTTATCCGCGTTCATGTAGAATTGGGAACCCTCACAGACAGCCCACTGTCAGTCCTACTGGCACTAAGGAGCTCGCCGCCGAAAACCCTTCCTTTTTTTACATGCCCGAGTTTGAGGGATCCGAGATTGAATCCTGGTTCGATGGCAACGTAAGAAAAAAAACACAAGTGATAGTTCAATTGATTTATTTTCTGAGCTTCAGTCCCACGGTTGCTGTGGGTTTCAATTTTTACAGCATGAGATTGACGACATGCCACCTTCTTCCACGATTACAAATATTAGGCCAAGACGTTCGCCACCGGTTTTTTCAACATGGTTTATGGAGGCAAGCCTGGAACCAATGCTCAGGTACATTTTTTTTCTTCTTCCCCTCCCTCCTGGATTTCACTGTTCGGAAAATTACAATGGTATGAGGGTCCAGACCCTTTTATTTTCTAATGATGACTAACTCAAAAAACACATCATTTCATGCAATAGGAGAAGCAATACTACATCGACACTTTCGGCCGCACTTCTTTCCATGGCGCGTTGAACTACTACCGCGCTTTTCTCATCAACCACAAGGATGAGCTTCGTAAGTTACATGTGTCTCTCTCTCCCTCTCCCTCTCCCTGTCCGACTGCAATTCTGCTCGCGTTCGAAATGATCCAACAGCACGTTCTCACTTCTTTTCTTCCTTTCTTGTAAACACGAAAAACCCAATAGCCTATGTTGGCAAGCCATACACGGTCCCTTCGCTTTTGATCAAGGCCGAGGGAGACCAGGTGTTGACCCCTGACTACGTTCGCGGAGTCCCATACGATCTCTTTGTCGACCTGGAGCAGTCATCCATCGCTGTTGGAGGACATTACGTCCAGAACGAGGCTGCTGATGAGGTTAACCAGGAATTGACCCGTTACCTCAACAAGTTGTTCGATGAGAAGCTCAAGATCCCCAAGACCAAAGCTCAGGCTCAGGAGAAGAAGGAGATTTCGCAGGAAGTTCAGGAGCAGTCGGCACAGACTGTTGCTCGTGAGGAGTAAGATGTTTTTTGTTCTCTTTGGGGTTTGTACCGACATTGTCACGGATAACAACGGCAAGAACAAACGATGGAGATGTTGACATCTCAGCTCTCCTGACTTAACAATATACCTTCCTTTTTTTTTACTTTCGACGCCTCTTGACGTTAAATGAAGACGTGAATCATACAAAAAATAAAAATTACTCGATTCTCACTCTGCAGTTCGTTGTTACTGAGTGCCGGGATTTATTTACAAGGCATTTGGGACACAGAAAGGTATTTCTTACTTTTTTTCTATCGTTGTTTGTTTGTTTGTTTGTTTGTTGTTGTAAGGGTGCATGCGAGGGCTGACATTCCTTAGTGGCGGTTGAGCCACTGGAAGAGAAAGGAGACGACCAAACCGACGGCACCAGGAACGATCGAAGACACGAGGCTAGAGGCAGCACCAGACATGGGCGTGTCACCAACCTTAGCGGGAAAGTTTCCAGCGACAGCCTTTCCGTTCTGAACAGAGACGGGGGACTGTCCATGGACATACTTGGCAGCGCCAAAGGAGAAGTCGTCACCGACGAAACCATCGTTCAAGAGGGCTGACTTCTTGTACGGGCTGCTGTCGTTGTTGCAGCCGTCGAGGCGGACCATGTCGTACCCGTTGCGGATGATCGTTGTGATGATGTCGGGCAGAGCGGCGGCGGCGCCAGAGGCAGGGATGTCGTATCCGACAACAACGTAGGATCCCTTGCGACCGAAAGCGTCAGCCTGCTTGGTGAACGTCGATTCGTAGATGCCAGCAATCTGGGGGGCTTGCTCACGGGTGTTGTACTTGTAATCGGCCTCGTCAAGGTTGAAACCGACAAGGGTATAACCCATCTCACGTATGGTGGGCTCGAGTTTGGGGTCCTTGAGGCCAGCGTCATGGAGACGGACGTACTTAGGGTACTTTCCGATGAGGTTAAAGATCTTTGTGGCCTGCTTGGCAATGTCGGCCTTGAGTTCGACGTCTGACATGCCCTTAGAGGAGTCGTTGGGGAGGCGGTAGGTCATGCCGATGAGGTGGCCGTTGGTGTAGGCGCGGCGGGTGACACCGGCGTACTGCATGTACTCGAGCCAGGTTGCGTTCGCAAAGAAGGTCACGCGGGCCTTGCCCTCCTTCAGGATCTCGAGCATCTGGGTCGTGGCCTCACTTGGTCCCTCGGACTATTGTTTGGATGTTGGTGGCGTGTTAGTGGCTAGATTAAATCCAAGGGGCAAAGCATAAAAAAAATAACCTAATCAGAAACAAAACTTACAAAGGTAAGGGCGACTTGGCCGGGGGTATTGCACTTGGTCAGGAACTCGCCCATGTGTTGGACAGGGACAATGGGAGCAGGCTTGATGGCTGCTGGAGGGACGGCAGCTTTGCCATCCTTGGGGGTCTTGGCATCAACGGGGGTCTTGGCATCAACGGGGGCCTTTCCGTCCATGGGGTCCTTTCCGTCCATGGGGTCCTTTTCGTCCATGGGGTCCTTTTCGTCTATGGGGTCCTTTTCGTCCATGGGGTCCTTTTCGTCCTTGGGCTCCTTGGGTTCCTTTCCATTCTTAGGCTCCTTAGGCTCCTTTCCATCTTTAGGATCCTTGGGCTCCTTTCCATCCTTAGGCTCCTTGGGTTCCTTTCCATCCTTAGGATCCTTGGGCTCCATTCCATCCTTAGGCTCCTTGGGGTCCTTTCCGTCCTTGGGATCCTTCTTGCCATCCTTGGGCTCCTTCTTACCACCCTCCTTCTCACGCTCAACCTCCTCAGCATCCTTACCACCATGTTCCTTCTTATATTCATCCGCAAGCTCATCCGCAGGATCAACATCATACTTGTCATGTTCCTCATCCTCATGGTTATGACCATGCTTCTTCTCCTTCTTCCCACCCTTCTTCTCCTTCTTGTGCGCAGCATCGACAGCCTCGTCATCATTCTCCTGATCGTCATTCTCCTGATCATCATTCTCTTGATCATCATCCTCTTGATCATCATCCTCTTGATCATCATTCTCTTGATCATCATCCTCAGACGAAAGAACCCTCTGTTCCTCAGGCCCATCCTTGACAATCCGCTTGCTCAAAATCGCAGCCTTCTTCTTCTTGGCTGCAATCTTCTTGACCGCCGCCAGGACCTTCTTCTTGTGCTTTTGTTGCTTCTTGTGGTGGTCCTTCTGGATTTGGTGGTGATGACCGTGGGCACGGAGCTGCCAGAGCTCGGGCTCAAAGGCGGCAATACCGTCAATGTTATCGGCAGCCACGGCGCGCTTGGCCACGGCAGCCTTCTTTTTGCTGCTGGAGGCCTTATGGTGGTGGTGCTTTTTGGAATGGGACTTGCTCATCTTCTTGTGGACGTTGTTGTTGAGATGGTTGTGGCCGTGGGCGTGGAGCTGCCAGAGCTCGGGCTCAAAGGCGCTGTTACCGGCCGTAGCCTCTACATCCTGGACATTCTTCTTTGCGTCGGCTATGGATATTGGGTGATCACGAGTGGAATTTGTATCCCTTGTCAATTTCTTCTTGGTAACGAAAAAAAAAAAGAAACACAATGCATCATTGCTGTAACTAGGACTAGTGAGGGTTTTCATGAATGCTTACCTGCGACTGAGAAGATCAGTGGCAATGCTACAAATACGTATCGATGATTAAGAAGAACGAAAAACAAAAACAATGTGTTCATGTAAGTGGATATTCGAGTGTGATGAAGTGCAAAGGAAACAGATATATTACTGGATGGAAAACTGCCGTTCTTACCTAAGACGGAGAGGATCAATGGAAGTCGCTTTGTACAACGCATTGAGAAACGGGGTATGGTTGTCTGAGTTGGGTATAAGAGCTGATGGTGCTGTGGAAGTGACGGTGACAAAAGTGAGGAGGGGTATATGTAATGCGTCGGGGAAGATAGATCGCAAAAAGGGAAAGGGATTAGGGAAGTGACGACGCGATTGAGAGTGTAGATAAAAAGTACAAGAGTAAAGAAAGGGAAGAAAAAACAAGAGAAGAGGATGAGGACGTGGATGAAATAGGAAAAAAAAGGAGGGTGTGCTTTCCTTGGACGTCGTGTTTAGTTCTTGGGGTTAGAGTGCGCTATGAATGCTACACATCTCGGATAGGCGTGCTTGAGGTATTGTCCCTTTGTGGTAATAGCTGTGATTGTGTCTGTCGAAGAAGACGGTAAGGTTGGTTAGGTGAGTGGTGTGAGTTATGACAATGGCAATATGCAATGTCATGGTGGAAGAATAGATAGGGCACAGGGAGTAGTTAGAATCCCCACTTCCAATCCTTCCTTGCATCTCCAATTGGCCCGAGTTCACGCGTCTGTGCCCCTTCGCTTGAGAATGTTGGCTTCGTCTTTTCGCTTAGTCTCGTAGTTTTTGAACAAAACTGAGGAGTGAAAAGGACGAAAAAAGGGGGGAAAATCCTACATCTACTGCAGGTGGGTGTAGGGTTATTTTCCTATGAACGTCTCACCCATCTTTCTTCTTGAGTCAAGAATCGATTGATGTTTCTCATAGTGTGTGTTTTTGCTTTCCTGTCCACTTATCCTTCATTTCTTTGTTCTATTCCATCGTTATCGGATGGTCAGCATTACTAGTCTACTTGCTCCCTGATTGACCCAGTCGCAAAGTCGTGTGAGTTGACAAAACAATGGTGTAGAAGGGTAGGCATGGATGCAAATTATGCCACATTGTTTCTCCCTTACGTTCTCATCCTACTTTGTCCCCTCCCATTGCTGTACTTTGTGCAACAGTGTCCAATCAGGCATCCGTATCTTCAGATGCTCCGAGGGGAGGAAAGTGGATGATATTCGATACTGGACCTTCTCTTTGTTTGTTAGCGTGTCATCGACATTATCCAATGCATCTCAACACGTATTTACTACTACAAGAATACTCTCAAGCGAATGATGTTGAGGATTCCAATTTCCAAGGCTCGAGTCTGTATTGTGATGTATCTTATCTTGAATGAAAGGGAGAGACAACATACGAGGAGCATTGGGACCAAGAGTCTGGATCAGCGTTTTATTCATTACATTCTCTTGGCATCTCTCTCGACCAAAGTTGTCGACTGAGGTGCGGCGTTGAATTGATGCACGGGGGTCTTGGCTGCTGATTCCGCACTGGCCGTGCTAGCGCCAGCCTTGGTTCGCACAGGTGCATGCTAGATAGCGAGTTGAGGTCGTTGTGATCCTAGAAGTCGTAGAAGTAGTCAATTGCATGAGTTGAACGAGTTTTGGAAGGTAGGGCGCCATCTGGCTAATGTCCAATACACATCAGAACAAACCAACGGGTACCAGATGAAGCCACATCCACACCACGAGTTCCCGTGGTGGTTTGTTGATTCATGCCCAGTTTATTGTGCGAGTCGGCGGTCGGCATTGGGAATTCCAAACACAACGACGGGTTGATACCATGCTGTCTCGTCCGTGCCTTTCACACCCATGTCCATGTACATGTCGATATCAAACTCTTCATCAGATCACTCCCATTGCCATTGCCTTCGTCGTTGTCCTTGTTGTCCTCGTCGCCGTCATCGCCATCGCCATCGTCTTCATCGTCATCGTTTTCATCGTCATCTTCGTTGCCTTCCTCCTTTGCTTTGGCTTCCACTTGTCTTCCTTCATGTTCTCATCCGTGTCCTAATCTTTCTTTTCGCTGTAATCCTTGCAGCAGTGATTGACCTCCCTCGACTTGTTGTCATCCTCGTCCACTGCTTTGCCTTCATCATCGCCATCACCGCCATCAACGCCAATGTCGCCGTTGCGTAGCCTCTCATCTGCTGGATCCTCCTCGTACTGGATAGTAGAGTCCCCTGTGTGATCTAGGCTCAGTCCATCAATCGCCTATAGTCCGATGTAATAGCCATACTTTCCTCGTTCGATCGTATTGACGTCTTTCTCCTCCAATCTGAAGGAGCATTGGCCTGATCCAGAGATGAGTCCAAGAGTGAGGATAGGTTCATCGTTCTTTAAGAGGGCGACCTTTTGTTGTGAGGTGCCGAGAGATAGCTTGCCGGTCCATTCAACGGTGTAGTCAGATCCTATGAAGAGCTCCTTGGGAATCGAAAAGTTAAGTCGTGCGTAGGCTGTTGTGAGCAAGGTGAGGACTTGTCCCGGCTGGATGAGTAGAACTATGCTTGGCTTCGTGGGTCGGTATGTTGTAGTTGTTGTTGTCGAGAGGCGTCGAGCAGATGAATGTGCAGTACGCGAAGGAAGTCGTGTGAGTGAATAAATAAAAGAGAGACGGAAATATTGTCTATTTTAGATATGAGATGTGCGTAGGGAAGAAGAACCTAGTTGTGAATATGAGAGTTGGCATCATTTATCACATCAAGCAAGAGGGTGATCCCCTTAATCTCAGTGAGGGTAGCAGAGTGGTTATTTGCACTTTGCTGGCACGGAATTTTCATATCTTCCTTTTTACTTCAGTATTCATCATGGGTGAGGATCGAGATTTTTAATATATGTGAAAATCCATCGACCATCGGACATGGCGCCGGAGCCTGTGCCAACCATCCATCGGCACCCCTCGCCATCGATGCCGTCTATACATACATCCAACACACCATAGCGGTGCCTTCAATTGCCGCTATCGACCCATCCCAGAAAAAGCCATCATCGACGAGCCCGGGGGGTGTCACTCTCGTCCTAAAGCAGGATCAGGACCAGGATCAGGATCAGGATCAACCTTACCAGACAACTCCTCCTTCTGAAGGATGAAGGATAGTTCTTTTGTACAGAACGAGTCGTCTCAGCAATGGTGAACAGCGGGGGAAACAACACCATCAACAAAGAGTGCCTATGCAGCCGTTACAAAGAAAACATCGGCTACAGCGGGGAGAACTTATGCCCGATAAGCCAACACCTTGCAAGAGAATCAGCAAAGTCTTTCCCAGATCAACCGACACCCTTACATCGCTGTCTATTCAACAACTCGAGCTGGCTCAGGAAGAAGGAATGGATCGACTCTCTTAGCACCACGGTTCAAGCCTTCCTCATCAGTTTGACGGAGTGTCGTGTTAGGCGAGGATGGATCTCCTCGAGGCGGAGCCGACACCCTTTTTACACAACGACTGCACCGAGGACGTTGTTGCGTCACCAGCGTTCACCCTTCATCAGCAGCACTCGAAAAGCAGGAGACAAGGAGACATACGGCACGGGCGCAAACAATTTTTTTTTCAACAGTATTCTGACCGTTTCGCCCTGTTTCTCTCTTCACCTCTTGGATTAAAACGAATTCAGGTATCAGCAGAGACTCCCGCCACAAGCGCTCCGCTTCCGGAGCCAAGCGCGCCCAATATCGCAAGAAGAGAAAGTTCGAGTTGGGTCGTCAGGCTGCCAACACCAAGCTCGGTGCTAAGCGCATTCACGAGGTCCGCACCCGTGGAGGCAACCGCAAGTTCCGTGCTTTGCGTTTGGATGCCGGTAACTTCTCCTGGGGTTCCGAGGCCATCTCCCGCAAGACCCGTATCGTCGCCGTTGTCTACAACGCCTCCAACAACGAGTTGGTCCGTACCGGTACCTTGGTCAAGAACGCCATTGTCCAGATCGATGCCACCCCCTTCCGTCAGTGGTACGAGGCTCACTACGCCACCCCCATCGGTGCTCGCAAGGGCAAGGGTGCCGTCAAGGTAATCATCATTTTCTTGTTCTTCTGGCTGTTGTTGTTTTTGACGCTTTTGTTATATCTTCAGTGAGAGATCAGTTGCAAGGGCACGCAGCGATACTTTATCACAGAACAGGACCAGCGCACACATGGGAGAACGGCAACGGTCACACCAACAATTCATCCTGGAACGTGCATTCGACATGTCCAAGATATTATATCAAAACATCGGATCAACTCAGTGAACGACAATCACTGCGACGACAAAGAGATCGACAACTTATCAAGAGTGATATTTCAGCGACCACTCGATTACTACCGAGTTAGCGGAAACTGATTGATCCTGGAAGCTGATCACAGCCAGTAAACAAAATACAACAGTCAACAAACAATCAAAGCTGTTGTTTGATTAGTGATCTAACCGTTAAATGTTTCATTCTACTTTATCACTGATTGAATTAGGTCGAGTCTGAGGAGATCAACAAGGCCCGCTCGAACCACGTCCAGCGCAAGATCGAGTCCCGCAAGGCTGATGCCAAGGTCGACCCCGCCCTTGACCACCAGTTCGCTGCTGGTCGTATTTACGCCTGCTTGTCTTCCCGCCCCGGTCAGTCTGGCCGTGCTGACGGATACATCCTTGAGGGTCAGGAGTTGGCCTTCTACATCCGCAAGCTCAAGAAGTAAATAGTTTGTCCTTCATTGTCCCACACTATTCATCTTTTTTCCTTTCGGGGGTTTGGGTTCCTTTTCTCTCTGCAAATTATGACAATCAAAAAAATATGAAAAAAAATACCCGTCCGCCCACTTTTTCTTTGTTCTTGCAATTGGTGTTGTTGATGTGGTCAATGGTATGAGACGAAGCAATTGCTGTCTTTTGGTCCGTGTCCGAGCTCGTTGTGGATGATAGGCAGGATCCTCGTTCCGAAGGCATAGCGAGTTTGTAGTGAGGCACGAAGTAAAGTACCTCGTTTTGGTGGCAGTTGCTGTGTTTGCTTCCTCTGTTGCTGCTCAAAGAGAAGAAGCACGTAGAAAGTCGTCAGACGACGCCAATTGCGGGGATCCAGAGCATGAACTGGACCCACAGACAAAACCAGCCCGAAAAAAAATGCGGGCAGATCCCGACATATCCCAAATCAAAGCGCCAGGAACTCTTTTGCATAAAAGGGCAGGGGAGACCAGTCGGACCCGACTTCTTCACCCCCTTTCACCTTTCTTCATTTCACACAACTTCATCATGGCTGGAGGTCGTAGCCCCATTACCTGCCATGTGCTCGATTCGTCCTGCGGCAAGCCCGGAAACAATGTCCCCGTCAAGCTCGAGATGCTCAACCCTGCCGCCAACAACGCCTGGGCCTCCGTCGCCTATGGGTAATACAACCTGTTTTTTTTTGTTGTTCTTGTTTTTGTCGTCCTGAGCTTTTTTGCTTGTGGTATCTGTCAGATAACTAACCCACCCCCGTTTCTCTCACGCTCTCCCCATCCCTTCAATTGTTCAATCGGACCACGACGACCATCAACAACCTCCAATGGATTATACAACTACTATCGATAAAACTACAACGACAACGACAACAACAACAATAACAAAAAAAGATTGACCGACTCAGATGGTCGTGTCGGCACCTTGCTGGACCCCTCGCACCAATTGGTCGCCGGAATCTACCGCATGACCTTCCAGACTGCCGAGTACTGGACTGCCAAGGGCGTCACCGGTTTCTTCTACCCCTACGTCCAGGTAAAGAAAAAAAAACTAGGAGAAAAAGAAAATCTTTCGTTATTTCAATCGGGAATCATTTCAAGCGCCAACCACCACCGTTTACGATACCCAAGAAAGAGGATACAAAAGGAACTGGAGAGTCTGGTCAGAGAACCCCTCAAAAGACTAAGGGCGTAAACAGAGGATCATTCCGGAGATTGAGGGAGGTGGAAAGAAGACGAGGAAGGATGATAAAAAAAAAAAACGGGGAACTTCGCGTGCAAGTGGAGAAGTAAGGACGATCATGCAGGGACACTTTTGTACGAAGCTTAACCTTTTTTCTTTTGCTTTTTTCTTCACCCTCATCAGATCATTTTCGAGGTCGCCTCCGGTGCCGAGAAGCAGCACTACCACATCCCATTGCTCCTTAGCCCTTACTCCTACACCACCTACCGCGGATCATAGATGCTTTCATTCGTTGGCATCTCTGCGACATCATACAATAACCCTATTCACCTGTATTTCACATCTCTCATCCTTGTTCAAATAAACCAAAATCAATACCACACTCCCTCCTCAAATGGACTTGGACACTCCCACAGTTGAAAGCAAAAAAAAGAACTCATTATGTTTTATCGAAAACTGAAGGAAGAGGTATACGGGGAGTGAGATGGTCTAATGATGTCCTCGACGCGGTAATGTGTGCTGAGGAGGAGAGTAGGGAGGCTGAGGCGTGTTGTGGAAGAGTGATCACTGAAGAAAAAAGTATGTGAATGTCAGTTGTCCTGCTCGATATGAACCTCATTACAGGGCCAAGAACTCATCCCTACGCTTGAAGTATTCTGCGAAACGGAGAACCGCATAGGGCATGTAGTCAAAGTCAATATCGGACAACTGTGCCTGGACCTACAGATAGAAAGATAAAGAAAGAGTTGGTTAGAATCTGGAGCAAGGACCAAATCCACTTCAAAGGTGTCAAACAAAATGCGGATAAAAAGTCTTACCAATGCCCAGATACCCCAGTAAAAGTGGGAGGCGAGGGCAAACTTGTTGACTTCGCGGTAGACCTTGGCAACCTCCTCCTCTGAAACGGGTCCCTTACTTTCGTCCCGTTCGGCGCTCAAATAGTTCGAAAGCCACTTGTACTGGACCTCCTTGTTGGGATAGTTCTCGTATTCGCACTCGAATCCACACATCTCGTTAAAGTGGTTGGCGATATCAAAACCACGGAACGAGTACGATCCGTATTCATAGTCGATAAAGAAGGCGTCGTCCTTTTCCTCGTTGTAGATCAAGTTGCCATAGAGAAGGTCGTTGTGGCAAAAGACGACGGGCGAGTTGAGCTTGAGCAGGTGGTTTTCGAGAAGAATCAGTTCCTTGTGTAGAGTCTCCATGTTGAAGTTCTTAGCAAAGATCTCCTGAACTGCTGGCTTGCTGTATGACTCGGGCACTAATATCAGCGTCAATTGAAATACCGAGAATAAACCAGAACGTGGTTAGCTGTTTTGTGCGAAGAGACAAATAGCACCGTGTCGTTTTGTTATGTTTCCACAATTGTGTCTTTTCTCTGACTGGTGGAAAGTACCTTCTTTGATCCATTTGTGGATGGTCTTGAAGAGCTTTGAGGATCTCTCTCCAGGGATCTTGACGGTGTTGTGCCAGACAGCGATTTTCTTGGCAACGAGGGTCATCTTGTGGGCGTCTCTCATGTCGGCCACAGAGAACACCTTTCCGGGAACGCATCCGTAAGCGAGTCCATTCCTGAACTTTCCATAGAGTGGTGGAGCGAGGTCAAGCTTGGAGAGGATGACCATGTTCTAAATGTTGTAAGCAGCAGAATAACAGCGTGTTGTTTAGTGTCAAGCCATCGTGAGGGGTTGTTGTTGTTTTGGGTGAGAGTCAATGGCGAGCACTGCAGAAAAATATAGGGTGGAGGTTTGCTTTTGGTTGGTCGTTTGTGTTCTTGCATTGTATCATGTTGTGGTAGCGTGGTGGTTGTGCGACAAAGAGATACCTTCCATCTTTCCTTGTTCATGTCACATGTTGTGTTGAACAAACAAAAATAAATAACAAACGTCCGCCGGTGATTGGATCAAAAAATGAGGGAAAGGTTCCCCTTGGCATGAATGTTATGCCTTGGAATGACAAAATAGTCAAGTGGTGTACTGTTCAGCCCTTCCTTTCCAAAAGAAAAGGACCTTTTTCCTTTTTCCTTTTTCCTTATGTCTCCTTGTCCTCGGCTGGCATGCCATCTTCCTTGACCCCTGGTCGACTGTGCCCTGTCGACTGTGTCCTGTCGACTGTCCTGCAATCCTGTGCCACTTTTCTTGCTGTCATAATTCGACTGTTTCCTTTCTTTTTCGTAGTAAACAGCTGTTTGCCTCCTTGTCAGTTCGACTCTTTCTTTTTGCGGAGACTGGCGAATACACTGAAGAAAGACTCACCATGATCTCCTGCTTGCGGTCAATGATGACCTCGCTCTTCTTGCCGTAGGCACGGACAAGGATCTGGACGCCCGTGGGCTTGTATGTGCAGCAGATCACTACAAGGTTCGAAAATGGCACAAGTGCGAAAAAGAAAACGAAAAAAAAAGAGCATATGCAGAGTAAGCATAAGTCGGCTTTGTTTCGGTTGTGCGAAAGATAAACCCTCAAAAATGGATCCAACACATAAAAAATAAGCATTTTTCTTCTTCGAAAGCTTACGCTTGTTGGTGATGCCGTCCTTGAACTGGATGTAAGAGATCTCGTCTGTGTTCCAGTCGGGGAAGAGGGCCTTCATGACGGCGGCGGCCCCGTTGAAGAGGTCGTCGTGGGGAACGGTGAGGTCGAGGTAAGGGACGGTGTCCTGAATGTCCTGAATGTACTCCTCGGTCGTTGCCTCGGGTTTAGCGAAAGTAGCCAACATTGTGTTTATGATTGTTGTAGTAGGGTATGTGTTGACGAGAGAGGAGGTGCGAAGGTTTGATGGCGGATGAGGAGTGGCGAGGAAGTGGAATGTGACAGAGTGAAGAAAGAAGAAAAAGAAAGATGATGAAGACAGAAAGAGTAAAAATAAGAATTGGTTATCAGTCAGACGAGTCGAGCGCCAAGTGGAGCAGCCTGGAGTGACAGCAGTAGCCAAGAGAGAGAGAGCAACGGACCTCAAGAGGACTCGTGAGAGCAAAGTGTGAATTTGACTCGAGCAACAGGACTCTCTCATTCCTGTCCTTTGTCTCTCTGTACGTTAGCTGTTCATGGTGTACGTGAGATCGCAATCTTGTCACTCACACCGTTCTCTCCCGCCCAATTTTTTTTTTCTGTTCGTTCATTCGCTCATTCTTTCCTTTTTCTTCTTCTCTTGCCATACCTCCGTTGTCACTCCCTCCCCATCTCTTCTCTTAACAAACCCTCATTCACCACCATGGCATCCCTCATCACAACAACAAGGGCTAAGGCCGCTCAGATTCCTTTCTCCACAGCCATGACCTCAACCGTCTCTCGCTCCTCTCGTGTTATCCTCTCCACTGCCGCCAACAATACCAGTACCAGGAACCTCTCCAACCTCACACCTCCTCGTCGTCTCAACACCATCATGAACAGTGCATCAATCCTTCCCTTTTCTTCGCGACACACTCCAGCAGCAGCATTCCTATCCACCTCAAGGACCTCCTCCCACTTTCACTCCTCTGCAATTTCTTCCTCTACCTCCAATAATGATACCACAGCAAAGAGACCTGAGACACGCCCTTGCTGGAAGTGTTCCACCCCCGTTCCTTACCTCGCCCTCCAATGCACCAACCCAGAATGCAAGGTCGTCCAAACCCTCGCCCCCGGTGTCAATTACTTTGAGACCCTCGGCCTCAGGTAACAAAAAAAAATAATAGCAAGCATGCTGGCCACTTCACTTGTTACTCTTCAACCCTCGACTTCGCACTTTGTCGTCGTGTACTCAAAAGGCAATTTTTGTACTCTTTTTTTTCCCATGCAAACTTAGCCCAGAGCCAAGCTATGATGTCGACCTCAAGGACTTGCGGCTCAGGTTCTTCAAGATCCAGCAATTGATCCACCCCGACTCTTATTCTCAAAACACCAATGTAAGTCTTCAACTGTTCTTTAACTAGCGATCAAATGACCGTTCGTCGATCTGTAGTCAGTTGATCGTTCCTTTGATCAGTATGCAATTGATCTAACACCTCCATCATAACCCATCAATGTAACAGGGCGATCAAGTGTATGCGCAGCAACAGTCCTCGCTGGCAAACAAGGCATACTCGACATTGAAGGAACCCCTCAGTCGCGCAAACTACATCCTGGAGCTCTTGGGCGCACCCATCCACGAGACAGAGTCTCTGAACGAACCAGAGCTGCTGATGGAGGTCATGGAGGCCAGAGAACTCCTTGAGGAAGCGCAGACTGAAGATGAAGTTCAAGAACTCAAAAATGTCAACGACAGTAAGTTATTATGTCCATCTTGCATCTGCGTCTGCATCACTGAAACACAAGGAGGGAAGAATGATATTCTCTTGTGTAAATAATTCCCTATTGTTTCCTTGATTTCTGACATACTTTATCTGTTTTGTTTCAACAAATAATAATAGCGCGCATCAAGGACACGGTGGAGGGGCTGTCAAAGGCATTCAAGGGTCAGGATCTGGAGCAAGCAAAGACTTTGGCCATTGAGCTCCAGTACTGGATCCGTATCCAGAATGTCATCCGTGACTGGGTTGCCGGCCACCCCATCGTTGCCGATCACGTCTAGGTTTTTCTCTTTGTTTACAAGTAGCACTTACACACACATACACTTAAAGACTTCATCCATGGGCGTTTTGTTATATCTTTATTGTTCTTGAGTGTGGGCGAAAGAGAGTGAATTAAGAAGGAGAAAACACACGAACAATGCAATCAAAACAGCCTTTGCCCATCAGAAGAGCATGAGGAAAAGGAGTGGGCATCTGAGAAAGGGAGGAAATAAATGCTCAAAGGGGTTTCAAGAGTGCCCGTTGAGATCATCGTCGTCGTCCGCGTCCAGGACCCATCGCTTCTTTTCGCGCACCTTGTACCAAAGTCGCTTGATACCCGCATTCAAAAATGTCGTCCTGGCTTTGCAGTCGCATCGTTCTCCCAGCGAGAATCCACAGGGTGCTTCAGCGCAGCTCAAAAAGACCATGGGAATTATGGGTGTTGGCGTCTCCTCGTCGGCATTGCCTGCTGCCTTCGATACCGGTGGCTTTCCGCTCTCCGACGACGAATCATCATCGTTATCGCGATTACTGCCGGGCCCAGGTCGCTGAAGATCCTCCAAGAAGTACTGCTCCAGTTGTAACTGGATCTCTTCGTGGTACAGTTGTTTCGTGTTCATCACGTTCCTGCGGTAGTCGCATCCCGTAAACACCAACACAACATTGTCCCAGAAGTTGGGGAACTCCTTCATAATATCGTTGAAAGCCGTCAAGATCGTAATGATCATATCCACTCTACAATGCATGCGCACAGCAAAGAGAACAACATCTCATTAGTTATCCAGATCCATTTGACACATTTGACTATTAACAAACAACACTGCTTGCATCACATTTGTACAGTTCAACGTACCCGGAGTCGATCTTGAAGACCAAAAGGAAGGCATTGATGCCCAGTCGGGTGCCAACAGACCTGATATACTCCTTCAGGATGGGTATATTTTTCTCATCGTCTCCTTCAGTATCAGCCAGACCTAAGAACAAAATCCATGAAAAGGGCAGAAGCGACAAACACGTGTGCGGTGAGCATGTTTCTAAAGACTTCACAATTTGCATTCATCTAGGGTCCAGATACGTCTTCGTCGTTCGTTACCTGGGGTATCGGCAACCGTGACAAGTACACGTCTGCTGTCTTCGAATCGACCCCATCCTGAGCGCTCAGCAATGCCTTTGGTGACAGCCTAACACGTAGTAACACAAACATAATCGTCATATTCATGTCAGCAGTTGTGCTCTTTTCGTTTTCGATATGAAAGCAAACTATCGTCAATATAAACTTACTCTCACAGAGGCACTGGCTTTGAGCTCGTTTGTGCCCATGATCTTGTTCAGCAGCGACGACTTGCCTTGTCCCGTTTTGCCAATGGCGATAAGAACAACAGGTCCTGGACCGTCTTCGATGTGAGACCGTTGCGATGTCTGTCGGATATCATGCGTCACAAGATTGGAAGCTACAAGGTTTGTATTGGTACGGGGAGGAGGCGAGAACAAGTTCGATCCTCCCAAGCTCGCGTTGCTGAGTCCAACATTGTTTGCAATGTCCACGCGCGATCCATGGTCCAATTCGCCTTCGGAGATGGTCCGGTCGCGTGGGCGTGGTACTTGGTGGTCCATGGTCTGGATGTCATCGTGAAGACGCGGTCCGTCTGTTGAGCCATTCGTCCCCGATAATGAAGCAGCTATCGCCACTACCGAAGCCAAAGGTGAGTGGTTGGTATTGAGGGACGCTTGGCTGCCACTCCCGTGGGAAACGGATGGACCAGAATCGTTGGCGGGGTGAGGGACGCTTTGCTGGGAGTCATTCGACTGGAGGCAAATGCTATCTAAGTTCTCTCGGAACTGCTCCATCTGCCTGTTTTGATACTCCTGTTGCTGCATCAATGTTTCTCTTCCTGCATTGACAATGGTCTTGGCCCTGTGGAGACTGTCGGCTGAACTGTGATGGGTGTTGTCAGCTACTCCTGCTCCTGCGGTTACTGGCAGCTGAGCATCGTCCTGAGTGTAAAAGCTCTGGAATGCTGGGGTCTGATAAGAAATTGGGGAGCTGACAAATGCCGACGCCGCAGACTCGCCTATGCCGAAGGGTGGAGGAGAGGTGTTATTGTTGTTGTTCGCAAAAGCCGAATACGATGAGGACGACGATAGTGGCTGCACGTGAAGGGCGGGGGTTGAGAAATGTCCGTGGTGGGGTCCTGAGGGGTGAGAGTATCGATCGCGTGCAGAATCATCATTGCTGGTGGGGTGAACTGGTGCGTGTCCTGGACTAAAGGCGGCGTCAGCCACACCGGGCGCCATGCGAGGGGTAATAGGCGGTGTGGCAGATTGAGGTGTGAAGGAGCTTCCCGTCGACATTCCAGCACCCCTTCGATTGGAAGTGCTGGAGCTACGCGAAGGGCTTGCCGACGACGTGGCTGAGACAGGTGCAACGTCGCCATGACCATTATTGACATTGTTGTTGCTGTCGCTGTAGTGGGCATAATTGTTGTTGGTGGCGGGATAATCACCTGTTGAGTTGACAGTAGCGGCAGCAAAGGCACCAAGGGTGGGCTTTGTTGCAGCAATGGTCCTTGGAGCTTGGGTGTGCTGGGTATGATTGTTGTTAGTTCTCCAGTCCAAAGAGTCTCGGTCTGCCGAGATATTCCTATTGAGGCCGTTGCTGCCATTACTGGTAGTGGTATAGTTGCTGGCGTTGCTGTTATTGCTGTAAGTCTGTGAACTAGCGGGTCGAGGAGTGGTGGTGGTAGCAGAGTCCGACACGGGAACCTTGATGTTGGCGTCGTTAGCTTCGAGAGGCACCTTGTAGTTGTTGTTGCCGTTGTTGTCGTGTGCGCTGCCCATCATGTGATTAGTTGAAGCAGTAGTTGCAGTCGTTGGGTTGTAGGGGTTGTAGTGGTTGTGCATGCTGGTGTAGCTGGTCTTAAGGTGGAGGTTGTGGTTGCTACTGTCGCTTGGACTGCGGTGGACGTTGGCCATGGATGAAGTCGAAGATGAGGCAGGAAGGGGTGCGCCGCCGTGGGAGACAGTTGCAGGAGGACCGGCGTAGGAGTGAATGTAGTTGCCGTTATTGTAGGAAACAGGAGGAGACGTGGTGGAGGAAGAAGAGAAGGAAGAAGGAGGGGGAATGAGAGGAGGAGGAAACGATGAAGTTAGTTCGAAAGCCGAGGAGGAGGGAGTTGAGCCTGGCTGTTGTTGTTGTTGTTGTTGTTGTTCGTGAGCAGCAGGCGCAGGGTCAGTTTTCTTCTTGAACTTGAGCCTCTCAAACATTGTGTATGTATGTCGAGGGTAAGGGTGAGGAGTGGGAGTAGTGGTTGTGGTAGTAGTAAGAAGAAGAAAAGGACGAGGGTAGAAGGGAGTGAAGAAGAGCAAGGAAGAAAAAGAGGTAAAGAGAGAGATATGTGAAAGAAGAAGAGTAAAAGGTGAAGAAGCAGGGAGTGAAGAAGAGAGTTGTGGCGGTGTGCTTGTGTCTGTGTCTGTGTCTGTACTCTGTCTGGATGTGTGTGCGTGTGCGTGTCAACCAAAGGAGAGAGATACAAGCGGAAGAAGAAAAAATAAGAGCCGTTGGCAAGCACAAAAACGAAACACAGACAGGGCACAGGTATGTGAAGGTGAATGTGAATGTATGCTGAGTGAGAATGGTGTATTGTGAACTGGCTACTTGAACATGTCTTAGGATATCGATAGCGATGATGGCGATGATGATGGGTATCCAAGGCAAGAAGGAGGAAGAAGAAGAGAGACACGAAGAGAGAAGGGTCGATAAAGTCGACACGAGAACGATTCAAATACTTCACCACTTCACGGGACTCGCATTTTCATCCTCGTTCAGTTCAGCTCATATACCAGGTGGCGTTGTCGAGAAGACAAGAAAACAGAGCGCAAGGGCCCATACCGCCATCTTCTCCTGCTCCCATGGCTTATCGTTCAGCACCCTTGCTCTTGTCGTTCTCGATCTTCGTCAACCCTTCACATCGACTTCGCCAACAAAAATTTCTAAACCAGCCGTGCTATTCGTTCGTTCCTTCACTCCATACCTTTTTTCATTTTCGTACCACCACTCACCCCACCAGCCTCAAGGGCTTCAAACACACCAGTGAAAGGCAGGGATGACTTGACGAACATGGACTGTAAGATGGCTACAGCACCACTCAAGGAAGACAGGGCTCAGTCGTGATAAATGACCCTTGATTTCCATTCCGTTCATTCAAAGGGCAAATGGGCGTCTCGTCTAAAACACTAGCACTGCCTCAAAGCCTAGCAATGCCATCCTCGAATTCGAACTATCCCGCGCATTCAGCCCCCATTTTTGTTCCACAGCCATCGTATTCAAGTCTAGTCGAATATTGCAACAACACCTCTTCCTTCTTTCTTCTTTCTTGTGCACAAGCGAATTGCCGTTTCGTCAAGTCAACATTCGATCGAATAAGCACCTTTTTTTATTTTGTGCGACAAGAATGAAAGCAAAGAGATGTCAGGGCCAAGGCACAGTTCAAGTCGCCATCTGTATTCAACCAAATGGAAAGGAAGAAAGTAAAAACGAAAGGAGAAAAAAGTTCCGCGGCGAAATGAGGTCGTGAATAGAAGCCAAAAAAAAGATGGAAGAGCTTCAATCGAAATCACAACCATTCAACCTACTCCCTCCTTCCCGACCCTATTTCATATCCGTAATACCCTTTCATCATTCCTTTGCTCCTCTTGTCATTCACTCATTTCTTCCGTACCACCTTATACCTCCGTAGATATTCCTAGGCAAAGTTTAATACGGAACACATAACCAACTAATTCTGCAGAACACATAAATTACGCATCACGTTGAGGAACAAGTAGTGTCTATTTGATGGTGGTAATAAAAGATAACAAAAGGGTATGATGTGCTACTAAAGAACCAATTCGTCTAATCCTACAGGCCTGTCCACCTTCGCACTCTCGTGCTGCTTCAACAAAGCTCGATCAAAGGCTGTCAGCCCCTTGGCCTCCGCCGTCTTGGTTCTAATACCGACAAGACTGTTGCATTCGGAGACCCATTGCAACTGAACGCTCACAACATCAGCAGCATCTTGTCCTTCCTCATTGTCTTTGCTCTTTCCTTCTCCAACAACAACAACAACCTCCCACGCTCGGATAGAATGATCGTGGCTCGCACTGACAAACTCCATTGCACCGTTGGGATTCCAGGCCAAATGGGTGACCGGTGCAAAGAACGGCTGGACAACCGACACACATACTCCCGACGACTCGACATTTTGGTCCGACGCGCTCAAAAGACTCGACTGGACATCCCACAGCCGCACAGTACAGTCTTTGCTCCCGGTGGCAATCCATCTTCCGCAGGTCGAAAAGGACAGGCACTGGACCCAATGGAGGTGTCCTTGCAAAATCACTGCAAGCTTGTTGGTCGTCGTATTCCAGAGTCGAGCGGTATTGTCCCAACTACTCGACCCAATTAACGAACCATCGGGGGAGTAGACAACGTCTAGAATCGGCCCACTGTGACCCTTCAATGTCGCCACCAGCTTGCCCGTAGACGCGTCATGGACCCAAAGTTTTTTGCTGAAGCCACCAAGGGCAATCCGACTGCCATCGGGGGAGAACGCGACTCCGCAGGCATGGTTGTTGAAGGTATGAACGAGGCGTACATCGGTAGCTTGAGTGTCATATATAGCGACTGGTCCTTCCTCAAAGGCGATGGCAATCCAACGGCTGCAAGGCGAATAGAAAAGAGCTCCGACACCGCTGTCGTCTCTGGGGAGCACAAGTCCTGCCTTGTCCGTTGAAAGATCCCACAGCTGAACACTGCCGTCATCGGGAGAGTTGGAAGCCGTTGCAATCTGGAGGCCGTTGGGCGAGTATGCCATACATGCGACATCTTGATCTTCAGAGCGCCGAAGGAGATGAGGGTCGGTTGACATGGCGTCCCATTGGCGGAGGACTCCTCCGCGATTTGCCGAGACAACATGTTGGCCCGACGGCGAGTACGCTACGAGCGGAAGAGGCCTTGTCAAGTTCTGCACGCCTTGGTTTGGCCCACTAGCGTACAGATCCTGCAACTCCCAGATCCGGATAGTCCTATCATGACCGCAAGACGCGAACTGGGGACTGATAGGGGAAAACCTCACACACACGACGAAGAGTGAGTGCCCAGTCAAGGTGTTGCAAAGAGTGCCCGTCTCAGCGTCATAAAGACGGACGGTGGAATCCCAACCTGCAGACGCAATCCACTGGTTGTTGGTCGAAAATACTACTTCCCTGACGCTTTTCGCGTGTCCGATCAAGAGGAGTCCTGGCTCTCCCGTCTCGGCGTTCCAGAGCTGAATTTGACCATCAACGTGTCCGGATACGATTCGCCGTCCGTCCGAAGAATAAGCGACGCTGTGCACCCACCCTAGAGGCTCTCGGGTCAGAACAAGCCCAGCCTCTCTTGCTTGGACAATCCACAGTCTGATAACACCTCCATGGTCTCCAGAGACAAGCTGTCTTCCGTCCGGGGAGTAAGCGACGGTCATCACTGGACCGGTATGGCCAGTCAAGACGACCTCCTGCTCTCCTGAATGCAATCCCCATAATCGAACCGTCTTATCCTGGCCTGCTGTGGCAATCTGCCGACCATCGGGCGAGACTGCCACGGACGTGATACCGTCAGGGTGACCCTCCAGCGAACGACACAGCTCTCCCGTGTGGTAGTTCCAAACTCCAAAGACGTTACGTTCGCTGCCAGCGACCAAAAACTCTCCCTTGGGTGAAAACGCCAGATATACCACATCGCCTCTGTCTCGATAATCGGCATCGGAGGCGAAGACTGGATCGGAAAACGAGCGGATCCTTGTCCATGTCGCGGTGTCGTAGATCTCGATCGACCCATCATGCAAGCCCACCGCAAAAGCCTCTCCGTCGGGTGAATAGGCACAGCTGGATACGCGTGCGTTCAAATCAACATGCGGCAGCTCCCCAAACTGAACTCCTATCATATTGGAGTCACTGAAATCGGCTTGTCGAAGCCAAGACTTGGAGAGCTTGACATTCCTCAGGTCGGCTCCTTGGAACTGCGCCGAGTCGAATTGGCCACCAGATAAGTCAGCACCTGGGATACGGATACCCCTCAGATTAGCGCCATTGAACCGGACTCCTGCCTTGACCAAAATCGTGATCGCATTGGCGGCTGCCTGACCCCTGCTCTCGTCCAACTTAGACTTCTCGATAACTGCCAGCAACTCACGCTTGAGTGGAGACTCAATGGTGGATTCTTCTTGGACACGTTCGGCCAAAAACTGGAGGATTGATGGATCACCGAGAATACTCCTCTGGGCTAGAGGATGGCTGGCAAGGGAGAGATTGCTGGACTGTTCGGGATCGTAGATAACTCTGGCAAAGAAGTATTCCAAGACCGAGAGATGGATAAAGCTGTTTTGGAACCCGTTGCGAACTAACGGACTTGATTGTCGCAAGAGTGTCGTTTCTGGCATCCGTCCGAAATACTTGACTTTCCATTGCGCATCGCCCTCTCCTGAAAAGTGAACTTGAGGACTGCCGTCCTGCTCCTTGAAGATATCGGTAGCAAGACCCTTGAGATACTCTATGACTTTCAGCTTAAAGTCAAACTGTCGCAGATCATTCAGCGCCTCTGCCTCTGCCTTGCTCAGACTGCTCTTTTCCAGACGACACTCTGCGTTGCTGATCCACTGTTGCACGACGGCGTCGTAGAGCACAATCCGGTTGACCTTGATCTCCAGGAGGTCATTCTTGGCATGGCCGGCACCAACAAGCCTGGGCATCGCCTCCAAGGCCAAGGTCAGCAAGAATGGGTTCCTGACCATGTCCTTCAGGCTGGGAATCCATTGCAGCATGTCGTTGTATTCCTGCGCCTTCCACTGTGGTCGGTTGAAATGTTCGATGAGAATGTACTGGTCGATATAGCCATTTATTTGGTCAGGTGTGAATGGCGCAATGACGGCTTCTTGAAAGAGGTCGGCCGTCTGGCCCCAATGTGTGTTGGATGGTAAGGGCATGAACTGAGTTTTGTACTGGTGGCCAAGCTTGGCGCTGCGACAACTGATAACCATTTTGGCCTGCCAGTGATCCCGTCCCGCGTTCAGCTGGTTCTTGAAGTACAGATTGGAGGTCAATTTTATCTCGTCGTAGCCATCACAGATCAGAATAAATCGGCGGGACTCCTTCAGCTCCTGGATTTTGGACTCTGAGAAGTTGTGAAATCTCAGCTGCTTGGCGATCAGGTCTCGTTCAGGGTCGTCGATGGTTGCCAAGTTGATGAAGAGCGGGATGGGCTCCTTCTCGTCAAGAGCATGGTGTTCCACGTAGCTGCTCCAAAGTTCACGCTCCAGATGCTTGTTGAACGTCGACTTGCCAGAACCAGAGTCTCCCAGAACCAGCATCACTTGGCGCTCACTGGCGAGGAAGTCCTTGACGCTGGCCATCAAAGAGAAGGTGTCGTTGTCGGAGGCCTTGAGGTTAGCCTTGGCCTGAGGAGGGATGTACACGGCTTGACCAGATCGTCCTAATACTTCGTCCTTGACATGGTCCAAATCGAATTTAACATCGAGAACGACCCGAGTCAAAAGCGTCGACGACTTAGGCATCGACAAGCGGGACCTCAAAGGGTACAGACTCCGGAAAACAGCATCGACAGCGACATCTTTGGAAAGAGACCTGAACAAGGTCAGAGCATGATCCTTGACTGCTTGATCTTGGGGGGCAGTGTGGGTAGAGGTCTTTCTGTCGATCGGCAGTTTGGAGAGACGCTCGAGGAGGGTCACTGTCCAGTTTCTCACGCTCTCATCCTTGCCCCATACATCGTCGTCCTTGTGTAGCACGAGAAGGAAATCGACAGCGTGCTTGCGTGTCTCGACATCCCAGTCAGAGTCGGCGGCGAGTTCCCCGAGTAACTGGCAGATTCCCCACTGGAAGAAGGGGTCTCGTCGACAAGGCGCCTCACCGATGAGTCGGTTCAACTCAGCAACACGCCCTCCACGCATAAATTTGTCGGCTTGACGGATCGTCAAATACCACTGTCGCTTGTGTCCTGCGCCCAGCCCCTCCTTAAGGCTGTCAAACACGCCTTGGCCACTCTCAATCAAAGAGCATACAGCTTCATATCCAGACTTGGCACTTTCGTAGACGGTAACGGCAACATCGGTAAGACTCTTAAGTCCATTGAAGAACTCTCCGACATCCACCTTGAGCACGGTAGAGATCTTGATGGCACTCTCTAGTACTTTACCCGTATGACGGAAAATGGCCTGTCGAGACGTCTCGTTGTGGGGGACGTATTGCAGGGCCTGATACGCGTACGACGCTTGGTACAGCAGAAAGGGGTCTGAGCTACCCTTCAGACCAGACAAAACGGCAGATAGGGACTCGTGCTCCGTTACGCGGTCAAGGCCATTGACTTTATTGTCGGCCATAACGTCGAGGATACGGGAGACGGCTAGCGTCAGGTGGTATACATAGTCGGTCGTCTGCCGCAAGGTACCAAGAAGGCGGGTTCGAACAAATCCGAGGATCCTTCTCAGATCGTCAGCCTCGAGAAAGCCAGGCGAGGCAGACTGGACCACTTGAACGAGGCCTTGGAGCGAAATGAGGTCCAAGAGGGGCGAGATCTCGAACTTGCGAATGGTGTGGTCGAGCAGGATGCGATAGTATTCATAGTTCAGGACAGGTGCAAGAAAGACTGCCTCGGCAATGGTATCCGAATTCTTGGTGGCATCCTTGTTGTACTCATCGACTGTTCCGTTTGCGAGCTCTTGAATGAGATCCTGCTTCATCGGCTCTTCCATGGCCTTTACCCAGTCAGCTGGAACACCGTCGGGTACTTTCTCATCGGAGTCACTCTCGAGTACATCATCATCCTCGCCGAATTCGGCCTCGACGGTCGACTCCTTGGGAAGCAAGGAGGCGCACAGGGCAAGCTGAGGGGTCGTTCTGATTCGGTCTCCAACGTTTGGCCATGTAATATGCGGCTTGGGCTTGGGGAGGTTCCTGGTAAAGATATCCACATGAAACTGGTTGACCTTGGGAGTAGGGCTAGTGGTGACCTTGGGAGCAGGGGCGGCGACCTTGTCCTTGGAACTGGAGAGAGAAGATTCGGAAGCAATTCCAGACGTAACCTTGGGACTGTCGGCAGCGCACTGGTTGTTTTGACTCTGTTGTGCATGATCGAGGGATCCCAGTGATCCCAGCGCGACTGGCAACACAAAGACAGCCGCGAGGCCATCGCTCACAGACCGGCGTCCAGTAGATGGACCGGTCGCTCTCTTGGCTGCGGTGGCAATGCGAGAGAAGATCGAAGTTCTGGTCTTATTGGCGGTCGCTTTTACGTTAGGCGCGGAGGAGGAATCGACATCGGGTTTAGCCATAGTAGATCAGCTATTATAGCGAAAGTACAATATGTCATGGTGAGTAAATGGCCCAAGTATGTCTGACCAACGGCAAAGTAAATAAAGGAGCTCAAGGTAATTAGTTACGTACCTTTGGTAGTTCAATTGCTTGTAGAGCCGTAGGTCAACTTGTGACAGTAAAGGACAAGAAAAGCTTTTGGGTAAGTCAAGACCCCCAGAAATTCACAGACAAATCAATCGTCACAGCAAAAGAGAACGATAGTTACCGAACGTGTGAGGATTGAGATATGGTTGGAAGTAGTCGAGTGTCTACTGGGAGGAGAAGGTGGGTTAGCCAGCGCTCCTTGCTCACACGTATGAAGCCTATTGTAGCATGAGGAACAGACGGCCTGGCTATGAAACTTACTCAGCACGAGGGCGACGCTGCGAGGGGTGTATGTATGTGTGTTGCTCCTTTGAAAACTGTGAGTTTTGGCGACGGGTTCACACAGGAGAAGATAACTGTATTGTTGGCCATTCAGCGCTGCATTAATGTCGGCTCGTCAAGCTTTTGACTCCAACAGGCACGGAAACAGAGACTACACTTACAATGTTGGTAGCCTTTGTCAGCCAACGTCTTTGGCGAAAAAAAGGTTGCTTGAAGGTGGGAAAGGTGAACGAGGCGTATAAGTAAGTGTAGGTGTCTAAGGAATGAATGAGGAGAAAGAGGAGGAGAAGATGAATGAGTGAGGATGAGGAAGAAGATGAACAGCAAAGGGAAAGTTGTGTGAGGAATAAGTATGGGTGTTCCTTGTTGTCCGTTACACAAAAAGCATTTCTTAGACCAATTGCTTTTCACACAGAAAGGCACGAATGCATGAATAATGGGCGCTATTTCAAGTTCTGTCCAATTCATCCTCCGAGGAGCAACTTCAGGCACGTTCTGCGTGGTAGGGATGAACCAGCACCAAAAAGAAGATAACACGGTAATAAGGAGTAATTGAATGACTTTCTATCCAAACCAACAGAGTTTGACATGTACATTCTTCTCTTCTTGCGTACGGACCGCTTATCGATCGGAATGGGTGCCATAGCTGAAGGTTTGTGGTCATGGCGAGGCCCGTTGCAGGCAGCGATAGTGTTTTTCTATCTCATGTCCTATAGGCAGAAACCAGAGACTCCATACCCTCCTATTTAGTTATGATGGATTTACCGCGTTCTCGTTAGCGAAAACGTACCACAACGTGCCTGTCTTCACGAAAAGCAACGTTTCGTTTATGAGCGCTTCTCTTCGTTCAGTCTAAAGACAACACAAACTGCTAGTCCACATAATGAAAACTGAAGAAAGCCATGACAGCTGGACGAGAGGAGTGCTTTGTTTGACAATGTTATTATTGAGTGTTGCAATGGTAGCATCGGTATTGGTTGTGGTGTTTATCTTGTTTCAAGTCGAGACTAGCATACGAAAAAAAAGACGACAGTTTGGGAGGAGACAAGGACCGTCTTTAACGGCGAATCTTCTCAAGGACGGTCTCGTGGGCAACTTCGTCCAAGTCAGTTCCCTGGACCTCAACAGCGAGACCGTTCAAGACCTTGCGGAGACCCTCCTTGCTGGATGAGTACAACATCTTGGACTTGACCCTGGCGTTGTCGGGAGCCCTACAGTATACAGTGCAACGTAGAAAGGATTGATTAGTAACCGTCGATGTTTATAATCAATACTCTCCGCCACTAACATTTCCCATCGCCGTTTGACTCCTAGGATCAGCAGAAGATATGGAGAGATAGTTGATAATCCATCTGCAGCGCCAAAGAGACGTCTTATGTGCAACGCCCTATCCATTCCGAATCCTTAACTCTCAGTTTGCCTCATTTGCATCGCGTGCCGGTCATTCGAGATAAGGAGCTGAAGCTCTGAACCTACCAGGAGTAGAAGACAATCTTGTTGCGGTCGCCGCCATCAGCGGTCTTGTAGGCGAAGTCATAGACGGCCCAACGGCAGTCGTCCTCGGGGAGCTCCTTCAAGAAGTTGTCGTAATCGGCATCCTCCGACTGCTTGACGACCTCAATGCTTTTGAGGTCATCGGAAACCTTGTAGATAATGTACTTGAGGGCTTTTCCGAGCTTCAACTCCTGGAAAGTGTCAATGCAGTTCTGGTGGACTTTGACTCCGCTGCTGGCCTAGATCATATAAAACGCAATCATTGCACAGAACGTATTAGCATTGAGTTGAGTTGAGTTGAGTAGAGTCGAGTTGAGTTCGTGAAATCAGAACGAGCGGGGGAAGTCTATGAAGAGTATCATATACTGGTGCCATCACTGTCACTTTTGTAAGGTGCTGCAAGCGCCGATTGACATCGTAACCGGTGAGGCAAAGTGGGCCACCCGTCGCGATATTCTCGCGCACTCCACAAGAAACAAGTCTGCTGTCGTATGGTTGAAAAGGTGAGTTTGGTCCTGAATCAGCATCAGGGCTCCGTCTTTCTCAAGATGAAAGCGCCAACTAGTCCGACAGAGATGAAGGGTGTACGCTGAGACGAGATGAAGGAGCATCGTGTTGAAAACAATTCTTGTGAACTGGCGGCGCCACTTTCTCAACGACGACGAGTACGGACTGACTGACTATCTACTCCTGAGAAAAATCCTGTTTTGCGGTCCAGTTCGTCAAGTGAGAATAAACTGAGAGATAGGAAGGGGTTTATCGCGGCGTGGAAAGTCAGAAGAAGTAGAGTACGTTACCATTTTGTAAGATGTGTGTGTGGTGGTGGAAAAGGGTAGAGGTTGTTGGAATGATGGAAAAAAAGAATGAAAAAGACACGATGGGCCAGCTATATTTATCAACATTTTGGCTCTCCTCCTTCCTTTCCCCTGCAAAGAAAAAAATAATGGTCATTATTCATTCATGTTTCTCTTATTGAACGGACGTCACGTTTCATTCATAAGTGGGTGGGCCGACTGAACGGAGTAGTGACGTTTTGGGGGCCTACTTTTCCATTTTTGAGAGCGTTGTTTTGCTCTTTCCTTCACGCAAACTACTCCCTTCTACAACAACAATAACTACGCACACACACTTGGCAGCCCTTGTGTTATGATGGGATGGGTGAGATCGAAACATCTCAAATGAATTAGCCTCGATAAAAAAAAATAGTTGTGTCGCTTCAAGTGATCAAACAACGGGGTTTTTTCCCTCTTATCTCTTTCTTCCGGGATCCCAGGTTTTCTTTACCTTTTGGGTCTTGCAGGTTGGGTTTGCGAGGATCACAGGTTCTCCTTTCAGACTATTAGTCTATAACCATTGCAAATCAAGGAGGAAGGGGGAGGTTCAAGATAAAGGATAGCCTTGCAAAAACGGGTTCAATTTCCCTTTTGGCGGGATCCCAGGTTCTTCCTTTTGGACCTGTTGGTTTATTGCAACCATTGCGAAAAATTGCCAGGGGAAGGAGGAAGGAAGTAGGATGAAGAAGGAAGAACGACAACAGAGAGGAATATCTTTCAAAGATGGTAGATAGAGTGAATGAATGAGAGTGAGCCTAGGAACCAATTTATTGCGTTTTTGGTTTTTTAATAGACTGGTAGGAGAGAGCAATACAGAGAGAAAGTCAGAAAAAAACTATGTGAACTATTAGCAGCAAAGACAAAAGAGAGTATTAAGGAAGGATGGATGGAGGGTTGAAACGAAGGAGAATGTATGTATGTATGTACAATGTGGAAGGGAAAGGGGAAGCGAGGAAGGAGGAGGGGGTGTAGAGAATAGAGATACAGAAGAGAGTAGCAAATTCGAAACAGAACGAAACAAAAAATGAAAGAGAAAACAAACGCGAGAAATAACATGCTTTTTTGATTGTGGCAACAGAGGTAAAAAGAACTGAACGCAAGGAAAAGAAAAGTCAAGAAGCAACCAATGAACAGAAGAAAGTCGTTGAGGGTTGGTGAACCCATTGATGTTTGTGATCAATCAGTCGAGATCCATGGCCGTTGAAAGAAGTGAAAAGCCCTTGTCGTCGGTAGCACGAGGTGATCGGCGACCATGGTCCAATCCAGGAGTAGGCTGCGAGAACTCGCTCTTGATCACTGCCCGCACTGATGATGAAGAAGACGCAGTCGCCGACAACGATGGCGCCACCTCATCCATGCCCATATCACGACCCTGTGCCCACAGCTCACCAAATGCCTCCAGTGCGTGGATCTCGTCCTCAGAGACATCAACACCCTCATACTTGGCATGGTGGACCTGGATCGAATGGTCAACCACCTTCTTGGTCTTGTAGATCGGTGCCTCTAGATCTGCCAGGGACAACCGGCGACTCTTGGGTGCGTAGGGCTCGCGGCTGTGACGATGACCAAAGCTGCCGCTGTGTGTTCTGTATCCCGAAGTAATCGATGGAAGGCGAGTCGAGTGGCTAAGGGGCCCCTCCGGTGTTCTCAGAGGTGGTAAAGTGATGTTGTCCATAGAATCGACCATGCCGCCCCATGATGGCTGGTGCCGTCTGGACCACTGTGACATAGAAGACCCCACGTCGTCCGAGTCCTCGTCGTCTTCAGAGTGAGACGAACGCTCAGGGGACAAGGGATGTCTAGGGCGACGGTAATCCGAAGAGTCCATTGTGTAATCAAAGGGGTATCGGCTCAATGGCGGAAGGTTGGCATCGAGACTTCCACGGCGGCCAAAGTGACCCAGTCCATGGTCCGCGCTTGACTTGTGATGGAGCTTGGACGCATACCACGACATCGAGGTGCTTGAGGAGGAAGAACCCACGGACCCTTTGCGCTGGGATACTGTGGCGACCTTGGCCTTCTTGCGGCCCTTGCCATTATCTTTGCTTTGGGTCTTGATCGAGCTAGAGGTGAAGGCGCCCGATAAGGGAGAGGAAGGCGTGGAAGAAACATCCTCCTTAACAGCCGCAGTGATGTTATGGTCGTCATTCGATTCTGACAAATTGAGTTTGAGGAGAGGCATCGAGTGGATACGGTTCTTGCGGGCCGCAACTTGGGCCTCTGAGCCAGAGGCGGAAGAAATGGAGCTTCGCTTGGTCTTGGGCATCTTTGTGGCTGGTCGAGTGTCATTACAGCTTCCGCCACTGGCCGCTGCTGCTGCTATTGCGAGTGCTGGTTCCAACGGACCGGCATCACTCTTGCGGCGACCCTCGACGGCGATCTTGGAGGCGATTCCGGCGGAGGACTCACGGCGAGCGCCCTTGGTGTGTGTTTGAGTATGCTGGACCATGTTGTCGAAACGACTGAACATTCTTTTGCAACCATCCACAACACATTGGAATGGTTTTTCGCCGGTGTGTTTTCTATGTAGAATTGGCAGGCCCAATTGTGATCCAAAACAAAGAGAGAGAAGAAAGAAATCGAATATGCCCAATGTTAGTATGGAAGGTGAACAGGATGCATTACGAGCATACAGTTGCACTCCTGGTGCATAGTGGACACAATAGATTTTTTGTCTGCCCGATTATGCTGGATGCAGCAAGCGCATTTGTGAACTTTTTTGGAGGGAGAACAAGAGCTGGAAAGCAAAGACAATGCGATCCAGGTCCGCAAAAAGAGGGTTTTTTAAGTAAGAGGAAGTGTGTATGTTATACGAATCGAATCCAGGCACAAAATGCAAAAGAAAAGAAAAAAGGAACGTACCGAGCGTGACGGGCGAGGTGCTCACTGCGGGTGAAGACCATGCGGCAGTCGCCAAAGCCAGAGCACTGGAAGAGCTTGCCCTTGGTGCCCCTCAGGGCAGGCGAGTCGCGATTGGAGTCGGATCGGTTAGAGGGGGCGGGGCTAGTCTGCTTGCTGCTGCTTGAGCTGCTGGAGCTGTAGTGCTCGTGGCTGATTCCATTGTCTTGATACGGGTGGTCCATTGGGTCCTGATATTTGATGGGGACAGCGGGCATTATTGTGGTTGAAGGATAAGAGAGGTGTTTCCAAAGCTTGCTGCTGGGCTTGTTTGTTTGTTGGTTGCTGCCGTGTTGCTGTTGTTCCCTGATAAAGTGAGTTCGCTTGTTATTGGAGAATAGCAGTGGACTATTGATGTAACTTAATGCAGCGGCAGGCAAGCAAACGGAGTAAATGAAGAATATCCAGGGCAGGGGGAGCAAGCAGAAAAGAAAATGAGAAGAAAAGAAAAAGAGGAGAAAAAGAAAGTAGAGCAAAACGGGCGGTCAGTTACAAAGTGTCAGGCACAAACAGGAGGCGTGGACTGCCAAGGGATAGAAAAAATAAAACGAGAGAGTCAACGAGGAGAGGTCAAAGAGAGGGTCAATCAGAGTGAAAAAGAAGACGAAGGGGTGAACGACAGAGAGACAATGTTTCCTGCGTTCTTTTGTGTATACCTCGGTCCCTTTTTTTTGATGCTGGCAATTCTCTGTATGGTGATACAAAACAGTCGATATAAAATAAAAGGGACTGAGGAGTAAGGGTAACCGAGGTCTTTGACTCTCTTTTTTGATTGATTGTTTGTTTGGGTGAATGAGTGTAATGGAATGAATGAATGAATGAATGAATGAGGAGAGAGTTGTCGTCGAGGTGGCCAAAGTGGAAGTGAATGTTGTATGAAAAGAGAGAGTAGCGAGTTTCCTTGGTTCAGATACTTGCTCAGGTACACAGGTGCACGAAAAAAGAGCGATATGACGAGGCAGTGACACGAAAAGGACGAATAGGATGAATAGGATGGACGATGGGATGAGAAGTAAAGTTTGGACAGGGGCAGAGAGTTAGAGAGGGAGAGTGGGCAAGAGAGAGAGAAAAAGGAGTGCGAATGGTACGGTGACAATGAGAAGGACAGAGCAGGACGGAGGGGGGGATACGAAACAAACAAATGCAAGACAAGACACACGGCCATTCTTACAAAAATAGGGCCGAGTGGGGTCAGGTACGAATGATGAAGACAGAGACGAGAATGGGGGTGAAGAGAGAAAAGAGTAAAGAGGAAAGAAAAAAAAGAAAAGAAACGAAAAGAAAACAAATCTGTGCCTGAATCGAATTGGCGACAGAGTGAAGTGAGATTCTGTTTGGGCGATGGATGTGATGATAAACGAGGGAGACGAACCACGGACTTCAAACACGACTGATCCCTCTCTTCCCAACCTAACAAGAGGGCCAGGCTTTGGTGGTCTCAGCGATGCGATGGTGTCCCCTCGTCTCATCAGTACATACGACAGGGCCATCAGTGAGCGATAGATAGATACCTGCGGTTGTTACATTTTCAAGCTCTTTTTTACAGTACATACACAGAAAAGAGATCCAAGGGGACACCAGGGGCAGAAAAGACGAGGAGGAGGAAGTGGACGAAGGGGGTAGAGAGAAAGAGAGAGAGAGACAGAACAGACAGACAGACAGACAGACAGACAGACAGAGACAAACAGAGAGAGTGAGTGGACAGGCCAGGGCAAAGGGCAAAGGGCAAAGGGCAAAAGGCAAAGGGTAAAAAGACAAATAAAAGGTACACTCACATACCCAACACATAGAGGACACAATGGACAAAGAGAGGACGTTTATCCATTAAACAATAAATGGCCTTGGCTACTGTCCACACAAACACAAACACAAACACAAACACAAACAAAAATCAACAATACACATACCACACGCGCATAAGCATACCCGGACACACAAGGGCAGATCAGGAGGTGAAGGATTGGCATTAACCATCATCAACTATCATCGTCATCATCTGCAGCACCATCTGCAGCTATATCTTCACCCACTACCACCACGGTGACCTGCTCAACAGACAACTATGAAAACGTGGTGAGGGAACGTAGGAGCATTGTATGCAAGAAGGACATGGACAAGATAGGGCAAGAGAGGATAGAATAAGAATTACACTAATAAAATAAAAGGTACCGGTTCAATGGATACAGGAAGATCGGCCTTTGATATTTCGAAGCAGCTAACAATTTCCCCCAATTTGGTGCTTCTTTCTCCACAAAAAGCTCATAATTCACATCACCACCCTTGCAATTGGGAAACTGTTGAGTAAAACAACAACACATGGATATATGTGTGGTATTTTGTACGTTGAGTGTGGAGAGTGAATACCGAGTTGACCCAGAAAATGCTTTCCTACGATAAAAAAAGGAGGAAGAGTGGGAAAAACTGGGGGAAAGGGGAAAAGGGTACCATACGAATATATTGTACGCCTGTGTTTTCTGTCACGACTGAACACTTTCAAGCGTATGTTTCTGAGTGGTTTTTATGGTTGTGCGTCTTTGTGTTTTGGGCATTGCATTTTTTTCTTTCAATGCGTAAAGAGTCGAGGGACGCTTGTTGATTTTTTTATGGTTATGTCTTTCAATGACGAAGCATGAAAAGAATTGGGCGCAAGACAAACATGTAGCAAATGAACATGGACACTTTCGCATTTTTACTCCATAGACATTGTTGATACCCCTTCTCTTCTTGCCTGTCGGCGAATTGATCATGCCATAACGGAACAAAAAAAGGGCAGTACAAAAGAGAAGAAAAAAGGGGGAAAGGAAGAGAAAGTGGGAGGGAGGGAAGCAGACGCAATGCAGGGGCTGTAAGGTCCAGGAGGATTGAACTTACCATAGGTTGTTGGTTTTGAGGGCCAGAAGGGCGATGGACCGTTTGAAAATAAAAAGAGATTTGGAAAGGCTGTGGTTGTATTATCGGAGAGAGGGTTAGAATAGGCCAGTAGAAGCAATTGAGAGACTGATCGTGGCGAAGGAGTGTGCGGTGTATGAGGGTGATGATGCTGTGGATGATGATGAAGCGGGAGGGTGTTGTAAGTGGAGGAAGAGGGCGAAAAAAAGGGAGGGAAAGTGGGGTACAATGCCAATAATGGATCTGGATGACAGGGCGGGAAGGGAAAATAAAAAAAAAGGGCGAAGAAGGAAGGGAAGGGAGGAAGGGGAGGGATGGACGAAAAGAGAGAGAGAAAGGGGGGAGGGGAAGTGTGGAGAAAGAGAGGAAAAAGGTGAACACAAAAGAAGAGAAAGGTGGTGCGGCTGGATGGTAAGAGGACAATGAGGAAGATAAAAAAAGGAGCACACTACACAGGAGGAAAGACAAACACTCTGTAATGCAGCTCTTTTCCTTTTTTCGTTCTTTGCAGGACAAAAAAAAAGTAGAACGGGAGAACAGCAGGCACAGGTTGCGAAAGAGAAGCGAATGAGAGCGAGGCAGGCGAGAACCAGGTGGTAGGCCGGAATAGTAGAAAGAAGAGAAAAAAAGGAACAAAAAAAAAGAGAGACAAGACAAGAAAAAATAAAAAAGTGTCAGTGCCAATATGTGGCACCAGGGGGGTGTTTAAGGCCTTGGTGGATGAGGGAAGGCGGCAGGATCGAACAGGGTAGAGGAAAGGGGAGTAGAAGGAAGAGATAGGGAACAAAAAAAAGAGAGAGCGGTTTAGAAGGAAGAGATCAAGAAGGTGCAGATGCAACACAACACTTGCTAGTCTTTACGCGCTAAAGAGAGACGACTTGGCACCTTTTAACAAAAGGGCAATGTGTAAATGCTGATTGATATGGGCAAAGGAAAAAGAAAGCAGCGCTGCATCATCATTCATCACTTGACCAATTGGGCAGCCAAGTTCAGGTTACTTTTCCTTCCCAATCGACCTCTTCTCCTTCCTCCTCTTCTTGCCATCGCTTCTGTCCTCGCCAAACAAACCAGGCGACAATGAAATCCGCAACCACATCATACACATTCAAAAAATGTGAGACCTTTTCGGACCGACTCAGATTCACAGTCACGACCGTGTCTTATGATGAGCCTGCCCTGAATGCAACGAACGATGAAGAAGAAATGCACGCTTTATTTGGGAACAACCACAATAGCATCGTCCTGTCCTTTGAAAAAGTCGCCCGTCTTGCGGCTATATTGCTTAGTATTCACAGGGACCACCTTGGACCCGTTGAACCGCCCCAATCCAAATTCCTCAGGAACATCGTCCATCTCCTAATAAGTTACACACACAAGTTGCCATACAATAAGTTAATACGTGCCTCGCCGGTCATCAAGTGCCAAAGTAAATCAAAGGTATCTTTGGTTACCTCTTTAATGAGCTGGATCGTCTTTTCAATGGTATCTTCCACGTTGGCAAAGATCGCTCCCAACAAGTTCTCGTCAGCCACTGATTGTCTGTAGACCAAGATCTCTTTCGCATCTAATAAAATAACAAGCGACCGGATAATGCCTTGATCAGTTATACAAACTCTGGAAACAAAGACCTTGAAAAAGCACAAAGTCATCCAATGCTGTCATAGTCCCAGTACGCTTACCATAGTTATTGGTGACTGTTGTTGCACTAGAAGAGGACGTAGCAGTAGTAGGTGTAGGAGCGCTGGAGACGCCAGTCCGAGGGACAAGAGTAGAGGCTGGCAACTTGGGGTTGGACAGTGTGAATGCCTCCTGGTTTAGCTTGGGGTCATCGGTGGATCCTTCGGGCAATGACCACAACTTGGAGAGTTCGGGTTGAGCGAGGTATGCAGGGACAAACGTTGGTTTGTTGTCCTCCTCGATGGTTGACTGATCCAGATCCTTGCCAAAGAGTGCGCAGATATCAGGCTTCTTGGCGAGATTTCCAGGTGTTTCGCCTTTGATGTTTTGTACTGTCTTGCTTGCTCCACGCATCAAAAGCGCTCTGACGACAGGCTCGTGTCCACGGTGAGATGCCCAATGCAGCGCTGTCCTAGAAAGGGGGTGGAAGGTGGGAAAATGGATGGACTCTGTCAATTTTGCTGTGTTCTGCTTCCCGCCCAAATCCCCTGAGTTGTCTTTCCAAACTAGCTCGACTTTGCTTTGATATGAATCGGGAGCCAAGGGACTCGTACCATCCGTTCATGGTGTTCTGTGCATTGATGTTGACCCCGCTTTGGCAATAGTGCAGCACGGCCTTGAGGTTGCCGATGGCGGCCATCTCGTGCAGATCGTTGATTCTATTTGATGAGTCATCAGATCACGGAATGGCGTGAGTTTGAAGTTGAATGTGTTCCATGCGAGTGTTGATGCCAATGTCGGACGGTGGGTGGTGAAGAGTGTCTGTTCCTGCTTGGCTGTCTACCTTGAGTCGACTTCCATGGTTCCTTCCTGAGGTGTCTTGTCCTTTGAGTTGCGAGAGGGAGAAAAAAAAAAAAAAAGTGTTCCTGGCTCACCGACGTTCTGTTCGTTTTCTCTGTACTCCGCAGGCAAGGGCTTGCGCACAAGCCACTCCCTCCACCATCCATTTCAAAGACCACAAGATAACCCGTGATCGTCATGCAGCTGTCCGATTTGCCGCCTCGTTTGTTCGTGTGCGCCCGTTGGTTCACCTGGCTCGTTCTGCTAGCCCTGTTATTCCATGACATGACGGGGACTCGACTGAGTGGACTTGATTCGCAACCCTTCCCTCCCTTTCGAATCGATCATTGTTTGTTAGACAGTACGATACAGATGCCTGTCTTTATTTGTTTGCCGCGGTTGGTCATCATCTCTCTCTCTTCCTACCCCCTTTTTTCTTTTTCTTTTTCTTTCGCTTCCTCTTTTTTCTTCTCTTCTTCTTCTATCTCTTCCTTTTTCTTACTTTGCCTACTTCTTCCTCCTCCTCCTCCCTTCCTACTCCCCCTTTCACTCTTTTCACCACTTCCCTCCCTGCTGTACCTGGCTCCTCTCCTCTTCTTTCCGTTCCTCCTCTCCCTTTCCCTTTCCTTCTCTGTCTCTCTCTTTACTCCTCACCTCTACTCAATTCTTCCCACCCTTCTTCCTTTCTACGAGCTACACCTTCTCGCAACCACTTTCCTACTCAATTGGAATCCTCCCTCATACTGCAACAACCTTTTGCAACCTCGATCCGGTTCACTGCCTTCTGCTTCTGCCCGCCACTTGTCGCACCGTCCTAATTGACCACACAGTAAAAAAGGCGAAAAAGGCTCCTTCCTCTCAGCCTCGTCCCCCTCAACTTCTACCTACCCTTCCTTCCTTTCTTCCATTCATTTCTTTCTTCCTTTGTCCACTTCCATCCCATTCTCCTCTTTCACTCTCTCTCTCTCTCTCTCAATTCTTCCTCCTCAACCAACTGAACCACACCTACAGCCAGATACGCAGACACGCCCCCGCTTCCCTAAACTAAAGTTCGTTTTCTTCAGCCATGAACAGGATGGCTGCCAGACTACTGGAAAGAGTCTTTGTCAAGGTCCACATCCGATCAGCCTGGAACAAGCTACACAACATGACGGAGCAAGGCGAGTTATCGTCTGCGCTCGAGTCCCTGATCCACCTGACGGCCACAGGTACGCTCGCCCTAACTCCATTCTCCCCTCATAGTTACAGCCCTCCCTCCATTTTTATACAAACGAGACATTCATAACCATGTGCCGACAGACACAATGAAGTAATAAAGTTCAACCCAGAGGCACGGACACTTCACGCTGAGCATGCACTAGCATTAACCTCTTAGATACAAGTACATACGCAACCACAAACAGATGACCAGAATCCTCTCTCCCCTTGCTTCTGCTGACCGTTCTGCTGCTTGCTTGAATTAAATAGATTCGTCGTATTGTGAACTCATTGGCGTGATGGTCGATATGATCTCAACAGACAGTCTTGGGATTGCCGCTCCCTTCCTCTGCCATATCATCGACATGGCTGCCCTTCCTTCGCAACAAACAACCCGCCGCATGTCTCAGCAATTGCTCTCAAAGTGTGATCCAGGTAAGATGGACCCTGCGTATCGTAATGATGCATGCTTATGAGAGGGCGATCTCTCTTGCGTGGTATCCCTGCTGCTTGCAGCAAGATTTAACCGACCCAACAAAACACCCGATGACACCTGATCGTCTAATCGAAATCCACTCCACACTCCCATCTATTGTTTTTGTTCGCTGTCAGACTGACCTTCCTATCCTCTCATCCTCATCTCTCTCCCTCCCTCTCATTATCACCCCCTTGCCCTTTCTTCCGGTCCCTCCTTAGGTGGATTGGCTCGCCTTCGGTCCAAAAAGAAAAACAAGACTGCAGCTGCACTAATCTGGAGTATGCTCGCCAATCGACTTGCAGGAGAGATGAGCGCAACCTTGTTCTCGGATGCAGTCTGTGAGTGTCTCCTCAACAACATCGAAAACGATCCCGACATGACCTGCAAGGTGTTTTCTATCATCGCCCTTGAGAAGTTCAGTCTCACAGGACCCTGCAAAGCCAGGATCATGCAGACACCCATCAGGAAACTCTTGCGGGATACGGCCAACATGTCGACTTTTGGCTTGACAGACAAGGAAGAAATTGCAGGAATCCTTCAGGCAAAGTTCTGTGCCGAGTGGTCTCTTCGAAACATCTTTAGAGGTATCACCGAGGTAAAAAGAAAAAAACGGGACTAATTGCGTGCGATGAGGGATCCTTTTGGATGGGATAAGATTTTTATCAATATGCAATGTTTAATGTCAGGTAGAAATTGACAATGCATGGTTCTTTTCTTTCTGCATTCCAGGAACCAAAGGAGGCCACCCTGGAAGGATCACAGCCGGGAGACGAGAGCCCATCTATTTCTCAGACAGAGAACGACATGTCTGTTCGGGAGTCACTTTCACCTACGGAGGGAGGGTCCAAGCGAGCGGTAGACTCTCGTCCAACCAACGTCAACGTCATCCTGAACACACTGGACGCTACCCGACACTGGAAGATTTCAGAAGACGGCCTCACCATCCGAAACGACGGATCCACGTTCGAGTCGATCAGGGCCACCAAGGGCCTTACTTGTGGCAAATGGTTCTATGAGGTGACACTCGTCACCGCTGGGATCATGCAGCTCGGCTGGGCGACCGCTCACTGTCAGTTTTCACCTGAGGAGGGCACCGGGGTTGGAGACGATCTGGTAAAACACGCAAGACTTGTATCCTATCCGGCAATGGAAAAAAAGGAAGCATGAATATATGTTGACTTACTCTGCTCTGATTGGCTGTAATATAGTTTGGGTTCGCTTATGATGGTAGCCGGAATCTCATTTGGTCTAGCGGAGAGTCTGAGCCATACGGAGAACCAGAGGCATGGCGACCTGGTGACATTCTAGGATTCTACTTGGATATCGACAACGCTGCTATGGAGTGCTTCATGAACGGCCGGGGCCTCGGAGCCATTACTCCGTTTGATAAGGATCGTTTCGCCGCCCAGGCTACCTCAGGATACTTCCCAGCCTTCTCGTTTACCTCGTTCCAACAGGCGACATTTAACTTTGGCGCCTCGGAGTTCAAGTAAGGACCATGCCATGTTGTTGTACACTTCGCGATAAACTAGGCTAATTTGGCGGCAACAAGGTTAACCTTTTCTTTTTAAACTTGCGAACATTCTCTATCCATCTGACAGATACCCTCCAGCTCTCCCATGGCGAAATCTGAACGAACACGGAGCGATCTCTCCAGAGATGAAGCGAGCCATCATTCGACCAAGGAGCGAAAGCGTCTATGGACGACTGAAACTGGATCCCGTCACTGGTGTCCGTCTGGCCTCGATGCCCGAAGAGGACGACGATATCGACTACAGTTTACTCTGTACCATCTGCTGTGATCATACTGCGACCGTGACTTTGCAACCTTGCGGACATGATGGACTCTGTGTCGAGTGTGCCTACTCTCTCGACATGTGGTAAGTGTACTCCCAAATGAGTTCGGAGGCAGTGAATGATTATGGTCATTTTGTAAGTGTAGATGTTGACGTGTCTTTGTTATCTCGTACTCTTTTTAGCCCGCTTTGCCGATCCCGGATCTATCAACGCCAAATGTTCTCGGCGAGTGAAACAAAGGAAACCACAGCACCAGCAGCAAACGGATTGCTCATCTCTGGCTTGTCGAGTGATGCAAGCGACTGTAGCAGCGCTCATACAACACTCCCAGGACTCTCAGCATCAAGCACTACCACATCTGCATGGTCCACCGAGTACTTTGGTCCATCTGGAGCAGGTCACAGTCGAGACCCGGTGTTGACTGCAAGTGGTGGAGCAACACACCAATACCAGGACACCGTAGCTGCTGCAGCTGCAGCTGCCGCCGCGACTGCTATTGGAACCATGGCCGCCTCAGCACAGAACAGCCGTAGCACGAGTACAAGTGGCGCTCCTAGCCATTCTGGATCGACAGAGTCGCTTTCTCGTCGAAGGAATACTCTGGCGGCGACGACGCCTTCAAGTAGCAGGATTGCGTTGGAGCAGGATTGTCTTATTGATCCATTCTCGCCCCCTTCGACTGCCTACTTTGCCTTCTTGAATCGGCCTTCTCGACTGCAGCGACCCAGTAGTCATCTTCATCCGATGGATATGGATTCTGTGGACCCTTTGGGGCTTCCTGATGGCAGTAGTCGTCGAGCGTCGCTTCAGCCACAGCCATTCGATCCTCTTCCTATCCCTCATCATCACTCTCATTCTCATGCGAGCTCGTCGGAACTGGGACCGTTGGATGCAGTGCCATCATTGTTTTCGTACCCTGATGATATAAACTCGTCGGAGGTGGGAAACTGGACTGCCCCGGTAGTCTCTGAGTATGACGACGAAGAAGAGGAAGATGACGACGAAGAGGAAGGAGACGGTCTGGATGTTCATCTGGTGGATGAGGGCAGAGAGGCGACCAACTGCGATGTGATGGACCTGAGTGCCGCTCCAGACTTTCCAGACGCAGGATCAACCTTACATTCTCGACGGAGCAGTATCCAGGTTGTGAATGGTGCCACATCTGGCTTTCCATCCATGATGATGAATCCTGCTGCTGTTGTGCTACCGACATTGTTGGATTTCGATCGAATGGGGTCTCTTTCTTCGTCGTCGGGAGTTAGTTTTGGAAGCAGTGATGGTAGTTCGATGGATGTTGTTGGAGGATTGCCCCCGCCCCCTCCTTTTCCTCCTGTTGCAGGTGGGGCATCTCGGTTTGGAGGACGACGCGCTTCAATGCCCAGTAATCGCTTGGAAATGTAACTGCCTAAAAAAAAAAAAAAAAGGTATTACCATACACCATAAAAACGAACACCATAATGATACACAAAAGTATGTAAAACACAAAAGCATTGCCTCAAAATAAAAGCGAAGGAAGCGTATTGCTGTTGACTTTGATTTTTATTCGTATGTGTCGTGTGTGTAAAAAAAAGAACAGGGAAAAAAATAACCAACGAAGGGACTATATTAACAAGAAGAGTGGAGTGGAGAGGGGAAGGCTTGCATAAAAGTTATCAAAAATGATACGGAAAGGGAGGGTGAACATTTGGTTCAAGGCATCTACTTGACCATGATGGATTCCATGGAAGCATTCAATGCTCCAATGGAGACCGTCCTGGCCTTTGGTGTCGATGTAGTTGTGGTTGTAGTAATGTCTGTAATAGAGTTTGAGTTAGTGGCTGCGCCCAAGATAGCAGCTACAGAAGATGAGGATGAAAATGCGGTGGGTGCACATGTGGATGTGGAAGGTGTTGCAGTTGCTGCTGTGATAGGAACGGCCACTGGTGCAGCGGATGCAGAGGTAGTGGTAGTGGTGGTATCGTTGTTGAGGTAGACGGCCATGTGGAGGTCCTTGCGGACGAAACCGGATTTGTTGTAGAAGACTTCGTTGCTCTCTGCGCAGGTCAGGAGGAGCTTGTAGCATCCGACCATGGTACCGATGTGCTTCAACTGGTCGATCAAGCTGTTTGTTTGAATAGGGTGCATAAGGATGTTTCATTGTGGGTTAGTTAGGGGCTTGATGACCTTGACCCTTTTTCATGCACATTAAAACAGACAGCATTGAGTAAAATAAAAAGACTTACCGAATGCCAAACTTCTTGCCGCGCTGAGAGTCGTGGACTACGATATCCTCGATATGTCCAGCCTGGAAAGGGCAAAGTAAGAGAGAACGAGACGAATTGGCTCAATTAGAATTCTGACATGAAAGAAATAATAACTTTTGTGATGGTGGTCATGAGGTTGTGATCGCTCTCCGATTCTTTTCATTCATCCACAAATCTCCATTTTCCCTCCCCAGTGTCTTTGTCCACAAGTCATTGGCCCCCTTTTGTTTCTTCTTCTTTGTCCTGCTTCCGGTTGTCCTCACTCACCCTCCAAGCCCAGCCTCCTCCAAAAAATAAAAGCCTCATGTCCAGCTTCCAATTTTTTGTTTTGTGTACCCTTCACCTCTGTTTTGTATTCCCATTCAAATATTTACCTTGGCGCATCCACGAAGGAACTTTTGTTCGACAATCAAGGTTCCCGTAGCAACGATCCGGTGCTGGGCCAGTTCCTCAATCACAACAATATGATACACATTCTCGCATCGACGCATCTGTTCAAACGTCTGGATGAACGATTGTTCAGACACTTTGCCAACAACTGTGAGACCGGCCAGGCAATCATAGAAGCCCTTGGAGTAGTCTGTGATTTCGAGGGGGCGGATGCTGTAGCCCTCGGGGAGTTGGGCTTGGATGGTGGAGGAGATCAGGGAAGAGGAGAAGAGGGTTGGTGGCTGTGGGCTCATTGTTTTGTATGTGTTGTTTGTTGTGTTTTGTGGGAGGAGAGGGTTTGTGGGGTGTGTTGTTATTGCTGTTGGTGGCGGTGAAGAAGAAAAGGCTGAAGGTGGGTGTGTAGTGGGTTGATGTGTGTTTGCTGGGAAGTGGTTGCGTGCGAGTAAAATAAAGTATAGGAGTGAAGTGAAGAAAGAAAGAAAGAAGGTTGCGAGGAACAAAGGGAACGGAAGCAGGCCTATTTATGATATTTGTGTGGCGAGCTTATGTGTGTGTTGTGGACACTCCTCAGCACCATTATCATCATCGCTTATTTTAATTTTGTATCCGTGGTCTTTATGAGAAAAGTAAAAAATCTATTTTTGAACGATGGCGATCTGACCAAGGGGGGAGAAGAAGGGGCGAGACGGACGATGCTCACTCAACTCTGATGCACTCTCGGCTTTGCTCCGCTTTGGCATTGGCATTGGCATTGCTTATGCCTATGCGTCTTTCTTCAATTATTCCCTCGCATAATCCTTCGTCCAAATTCAATTGCCACATACATCGAAGCACAATGACAGAGATGCAATCGGATACTGCCCTCTGGCAGAATATCATCTAAGAGTCTGTCCATCTCATGCTGACAAAACCCAAGGGCAAAACCTAACGACTTTTGTCTCTTTGTCTTTGTATGTTCTGTGTTTTGTATCTGGCTATGATGATGGTTGGATGTCTTTGACGAGCAACTAATATCTCAAAGAGCACCGGGATGGACCGCGATCAGAATGCACCAGTCGTAGTTTTTGATTGCTGTTCATCCCATGAAAAACAAGTAGAGCTTTTTTTTCTCCTCTCTTTTTTCTCTCTTTTCTATCGCTTCGTTTTCTTTTCATGTGCAAACCGGTCTTTAGATCATGAACAGAAACTTTAGTTTGTGACAATGGGTTGCTGGATAATTGATTGCTATGCCATATTGAGCTCACAGCCAGTCCACGATCATGGCATTGACGGCTATCTTTTTTTTTCCGTTTTTTTCTTTGGTTTGCGGAGAGAGAATGGAAAAAGAGAAAAGGACAAACAAATGACGGCAGCAGAAAGTGAGCACGAGCAAGAGCATCCAGAAGGTGAGCTTTCCTTCTTCGTTTCTTCCTTTCTTTCTCCATTCCATAGCACTAACAGTCTCGCGGATACTATCCTACGGCCAGCTCGCCTTGCTTCGCCTGGTGCGCCAGGTGTAAGGGTTCAATTGGTACGAAGAAGGAAAAAAAGAACCTCCACAACGCGCGGCATTCCTTTCATAATCGCGACGCGTTCAAATAAACTAGAAGAGGATTCTGTTCACAACACTTTTTTTTTAACATTGTATCAATATTACCCAAAACAAAACACAATCATGGGCTCGTTCTCTCTCACCATGCAACGCTGTGACAGTGATAAGAGGGAATGAGCAGTGATGGTACGCGCCTACGCAGCATTGCATGTGAAGGGGGGGAAGAAGATAGAGGCACCCAGGCACCATCACTGATCACTGATCACTTTGTCAGTCTCATTGAGGTAGCAGGAATACTGTTTGATCAAACATAAAAACGGCCGTCGTAGAAGGAATGGATTCCAAGACAACGACGACTATCTTTCAGTCCGCTTGCAGCTCGAATGGACAGCCCTAGTGAAGGCAATTGTAGTAAACAAAAGAATGAAAGATGAGAGAGAGGCAATTGCCAAGGAAGGAAGGAAAGGATGGATTGGAACAAATACGTGCACAAGTCCTTGGGAGGTTATTTTGGTGTGCATGTGTTTGTTGAGCAGTTACTCTAAAAGTGTCCGTGGGACATCCAAGAAACTCTATTCTTCAGACCACTCCCACTTTCAATTGGGATCCCGTGCAGTTTTTTTTCTTGTGGACAGACTGGTAAACAAAATAAAAAATATTCCTACTTTGTGATCTACCAAACCTCCATTCACAACTGTCTGAGTCGGTTCCTCTAACCATGGACTCATCACCATCTCCTTCTTCTTCCAAACAGACACGATTTATCGACTGGCTCACCGCCAATGGAGCATCATTCCCAAAGTTGGAATTCCGCGAGGGTAATAATAACCATTCATTGCGAGTTGTCTTGCCTCTTGGCGTCTGTCGCCTCGTTCGTTTTTCCTGCTCTCTTTTTTTCTTTCTTTTTCTTTGTTCATTTGTATTTTTACAATATATTCAGGGCCCAGTCATTCTTCATGCTAATTTTATCTTCTTCCTCTCCTCCTCCTTCAATTGAACAAATAAAGATGCGGATGGCTGCGGGAGTGTCTACGCCTCTGCAGATATCGCCGAGGACGAGGTTTTCCTGATCCTCCCCTTTGAGCGCATCGTCATCACTGACGCCTTGGCTCGAAACCACCTCCCTCTCTCCCCAGCCTCAGCCCAATTGCTCGACAGCCGTACCGCGATTAGCCTCTTTCTCGTCCAGCAGCAGGCAGGAGCAGCAACAGCGAACCAATCAAGCGACAACCAGGAGGAGAAAGGGAGCAGTGATTCGGCAGCTGGTTCATTCTACAAGCCGTATCTGGACATGGTCCCTGACAGGATTCACACGGCATTGGAGTTTGATGATCAGGATATGGAACACCTGCGTGGGACGAATGCTTACTTGGTGGTCAAGGAGCTCAAGGAGACCCTGAGGGCAAAGTACGACAAAACCATGGAGGTTGTTGGCGGTGAACTCACGGTCGAGCAGGGGTACACTTGGGAGCGTTTCCTTTGGGCAGAGACTGTTGTATCCTCGAGGACTTTTCCTGCCAGTTTGTTTGGACAAGTCGAGAACGGGATTGTCCTGATTCCTCTCGCAGGCACGTATTTTCAATTACTCAGTTGCAGCCGTAAGTTAGGTCTACAATGGACATGAATTGACAAGCCCTTCTATTGTCGTGTTTATAGATAGTATGAACCACAAGAGCCGCCACAAGGCCACATGGATCAAGACACCCGAGGGACTTCAGATGTCAACTGCCGCCACTAAAAAGGGTGACCAAATCTTTAACAACTATGGCCCAAAGGTGATTAACTGACCATTTCAGACCAGACCAGATCAGATCAGATCCAACAATTTTCGGACAGAACTCTAACCTTTTGCTTTCATCTTTCTTGTCATCGATGATTTATTTAGTCCAATGAAGAATGTAGGCCTCCCTCACTCGGGGCAATCATGCACAATAACCTGCAGTGCTATTGATGTATATATAGGGATTTCAACCCCTCTTCTTGGGACAATACTCCCTTTTTCGTTTCTGATACAACCTCTTCTCTCGCGTATAATTAATTGGATCCCTAGTACTCATCGGCTATGGATTCTGCATCGAGGTAAGACGCGCTTCTTATTCGCGACCAAGGAAAGGTAACAACCACTCACCTTTTCTCCTAATACAATTGCTCCATTCCTAACATAGGACAACGCGGACGACATGGTGACGCTTAAAACCAATTTTTCTCGGGATCCCGATCAAGAGCGCAAAACAGAGATCCTCAAGTACCTCGGAGTAACTGCAGATACGGTTCATTACCTCCGACGCAGCATGATTCCAGAGCAGCTGCTGGCGACAATGCGCGTCATGGCCATGAACCCAATAGAGGTGACGCGTTGCTATGCCACAATTCAGGATTATGATCAGGAAGGAGAAGATGGAGAGGATGATGCGGCAAGAGAGCAGCGATTGGAGAGCACCAACTTGGTCATCAAGACTACTCTGTCGAGTGAGTTGCAGTTCGTCGGCCTCCGCAATGAGTTTGCTATGCTGGATTTGATGGACATACTGTTAGGAACCAAGCTGCAGGGAATCGTCGAGTGGGATCAAAAGCTCAGCCCTCCTCAGAACTCTGCTCAAGAGTTTATCAAGTTCTACCGACAAGGTTAGTTCCTCCGGTTCACGCGTATTTATTACCTGGTTAATCTTGAATAGCCTAGTGAAGATTGCTGGGAAAAATTAACATATTTTACTCACACCCTTTTACGTTGCGTCTCAATAGGCCAGAAGGAGGTCTTGGAGTCTTGTGCTGAGCTTTGTCGAGGCATGTTCTCAGTTCTCCTCAAAGAGTCATTGGTGGTAGAGTTACCTATGGAGCAAGCTGTGTTTGATGGGGCCTCGGCTCAAGGACAAGAAAGCAACACCCAGAAAAGGCTCGAGCCATCAGCGTCTTATATTACAGAGCGATTCAAGGAAGCAGCGCTGCAGGAAACCAAGTCCATGTCGGACTTGAAGAGAGAAGCGGTGCAACAGGTTCTGTTGAACGCCGAGGGCATCATGATTGAGCACAAGGACGAGCTGTTTGGCGAGGCTTTCTCAACAGCCTTCCCTGATCATGGGTGGGGCGAGAAGTTGAGCAATGATTTGGACGAGGAAGAGGAAATGGCGGTTCAAATGGAACAGGACGCGATCGTCACCTGTTTCCTTATTTTCCAGACCCAGCAACCTGAGCAACTCGGTCGATTCATCACTGCGGCTAAAGAGATTGATTACTCCAGGTACGACGCGTTGTTTACATTTAATTTCACTCACGCTTTTCGTATCTGATCTGCGCATCATCATGCATGCTAAATTAATTAGCGCGTCATTGGCGTTCTCTACTGACATTATGACATCCCATTTCCTCAATTATTCGATCCTCGCTTTAGCCAACTTGACGAGGACATGAAGGACGATGTTGAAGACTTGCGTCAGTCGTTGCAGGAGACATTGGAGGATGTTGATCCGGAGAAATTTGATTTCACAAACATATTCACTCCTGAGGCCTTCCTTTGGGCAACAGGACTACTGGAAGCGCTCTCGCTCAGTCTTCATATCGATGGCGAGCTCGTATCCGGCATTCTGGCGCCTCGGGATCCCCAGGTTGTTGATGGCGGAAAACAGAAGAGGAAGCTTGACGAGTAGGATAAACGTCTTTTTATTTTTATTTCATCTGAATACATATCGGAAAAAACTTTCTCACTCGCTCCTGGATTCTTCTGAACCATGTGAAGAGGCAGCTGAGGGTGGTGGCGCTGGAGTAGAGTTCATTGAAGTAGTGGATGCTGTCGAAGAAGGGGCAGTGGTTGAAGATGTTGAGGAGGGCTCTTCTTCGTCCTTGTCCAGAGAGGCGGCCTCGACGTTAACGTATGGGTTGGGTTGAGACTGCGCCTTGAGCAGCGAGGCCAAACTGGCCGTCAACCTGTCAGCACGGCCTACATTTGGCGGTTAAAGATGTCATGGTAGAATGTATGAGTTTCTTTGGTGTCTGCTGTGAACGTCTTCCCTTTGCTTATTTTCTTTTCGTAGGCGACGTATGTGGTTGGTTACCATCGAGGCTGTCGAGGGCGAGGTTGACAGAGTCAATGTCCTTGAGCATGCTGGAGATGTCATTGATGTCAAAGTCGGCGTTGTCGAAGTCAGGGTTGGTCATGTTTGTGTGATGCGTGATGGGGTGTCAGGAGGGAAAGAAAAGAGGGGTAGCAAGTTGGCCGAGCCTTAAATATCTAATGGCTGGAGGCATTTGCCAGAACAACGTCACATTCACTGCCGCTTATTTTGCGTCCTTTCATTTTTTCTTTTTTGTTCTTCTCTGCACTACAACAACTCATTGCCGCTCACCAACCGCCAGCAGCAAGACAAACCATCGACCACGCCCATCATGAGCAACAACATACTGGCGACGCACGGAAACGAGAGGACCATGAACCTCAACTCGGTCATCTTCCAAAACATCATCGACTCGCCCTACCTCAAGACCATTGCGTACGGAGACCTGCCTTTGTTGCGTCCTGTTATGACCTTCCCTGCTCCTCCCATGTGACATCTACCTTCTCACCTTCCAGACGTAATTAACACCGCATTCCTTTTTTATCCTTTGCTTGTACCATAGTGAGTTAGAGACCTTCCATGAAGTCCAGACTGAGGCACAGCGAAACGGTAGGTCCTCACTTAAGTGTTTCGTTATTGACTTTTCACATATGTCGACAGTTGGTTTTTCTTGTATTCTTCTTTTGATCCGTCCTTGTAGGGAATAGAGGAAAGATCATAGCTGGTTCAAGCGCGATGATGGAGCAGCATTTAACGAGCCGGATATATTTACTCTCTTTTTACTGAACTGTTGCCTTACGACCCATTTTACTTGGCTCATTTGGAAAGAATAAAACTAACCAGCCTTTTCTTCTTACTTTGTCAAATAGTGAAGTCCATGGGTAAGCGCCATTCTTGATTGCCGACAGAAGGCAGGACACCACTACAACGGACACAGGACAAGAGCAAAAGCGGATGACTCCAGCGTGACAGAAAATGTGCCCTCGACAACCACCAACGAAAGAGAACTTTTGACATGGCGAAAGGACGCGCGAAGGAGCTCTTATTGGCAGACTCAGTAATGTTCATGAAGTCTTATTGCATTTCTGACTTTCTTTGATTGACAAAAATGAATTGGCCCTACCCTTATCACAGTTTGCCTCTTGCTCATCCAAAAACTACCGCGCCTCAGCGTCACTTTACCTTATTATTATTAACACTTTTCACTCGTGCCTTTCATGCTTCCTGATTTCTTATAATCTTGATAGAGCCGTTCTTGAAAGGAACAACGCCTTCAACCGCCTGGGTTCTCATGTACAAGTTTTGGACCCTTCGCCTTACAGTGAGGCAGATCGAGGGCTTGATTGATAACGCCCACTCGGTGTAAGTGCTCATTCCTTAAAACTACGAAACTCTTACAAAGATGACAGAGTAATAAGTGAGTTCGTTATCAACACACTGATTTTTTTTGTACCCTCGTGTACTTGTCATTGATTAGGTATTTGCGTGGCCTTGGATTCCTGTACCTGAGATTTGTGTGTAAGCCCGATCAGCTTTGGGACTGGATGGGAGATTATCTTGAGGACGATCAGGAGATTACGCTCCAGGCCGGACCCAAGCCCGTCTACTCGTAAGTTTGCGACATGTTTTCAGTTAGCCGTTGTTGTTTTTCTTCTTTGGAAGGAGATGCATAATTAACATAACCTGATTTGGTTCCTATTTTCATTCTACAGAACGATCGGCAAGATGTGCTACATGCTTTTGCACGATCAAAAGTTTCAAGGCCAGATGTTGCCAAGAATCCCCGTTTTGGTGATGCGTGACTTGGAGCAGAAGCTGGAACCATTTGCCGATGTCGGTCGCGCCAAGGCTGGTCAACGCGACCATTTCAAGTACATTGAGTAGCAAGATTTGAATGACCCATTGCAGTTATATAGTTTCTTTTATCATTCTGAAATATGGTTAGCATTTACGGTACTAACGCACACGCTCCTTGCCTTTTTGCTCTTGTAGAAAGGACAGAGATAACAAAGGTCGGGATGGTGGTAGAGGAAGAGAGCGCGATCGCGACAGCAGTTCATCGAGACACGACCGGCGCCGGTCCCGATCCCGATCCCGATCGAGGGGTCGTGGCCGTACCGGAAAGCGCTATGACGACGACGATCGCGAAGGCATCAGATCGCGCCGTCATAACGACAGCAGGAGCCGAAGCCGCAGCCGCGATCGTTGGGGGGACCGAAGAAAGGAAGCATACCGCCGTCGTAGCCGCAGCCGCAGCCGAAGCCGTGGTCGTGACCATAGCCGGAGCCCCGGCAGGCGATAGATGTATCCCAAGAACGTCGAATATGTTGATTTCGTTGTCTAGACCATTTTACTCCCTTTTTTGCAGCCCAACATCTGGTGCATTGAATTAGAAAAACTTTCATTGTGCATAGTCGTGTTTTTGTGATATGGTCTAGTTCTTTTATTATTGACGATTGTTGCGAATGACTTGAGCTGTTGATGGTTCCAATGGTAACAAGGCGGCGGCTACTTCGCGTCCTTCTTCTGCCAACATGTTGTATGTCGCTGCAGCATTGGCCTGGTAAGGGAATAAGTACAACATTGGATAGAGATGTTAGATTTCCATCCTATTATAACGGTAAGGATAGCATATAAAGAGAAAAAAAAGAATCGATTGAAAGACTGATGTACGTACGGTGCTCATCATGTCGACTTGAAGACCGAGGCTACGGACCACGGCTCTGACTGCCGGACTCAAGGGCGCGAATGCCTTTCCAGTTCCCACAATCAAGATTTCTATTGGACGAGATGGCGTGTCGCGTTAGGTTTCGGGTTGTTTGCTTCATTCAATTGACGCCCTTCTTTGTGAACGGAAAGGGGCTGTTCGTTTACCTGGTCGGGGGTTCATCAACTCAAAGACTTTAAATATCTCCTTGGCAGTATCCTCGTCCATGGTCTCAAAAATAGAACGCGCTGGTTGCTGTGGTGTCGCCGTCGTCGAACTAGATGTTGGTGATGATGAGGCGGCGGTGTTCGTTTTCTTCAAGTACTTGTCGACAGCTCCGCCCTCTTTGAAAATATCCCAGAGAAAGACCTGGCCTCCGATACAGAGGACGGGTCCCTGAAGAGCAATGGCTTCGGTGGTGACAAAGCCATGCTTTGTGCAGGTGGTGACGGAGACTGTGCGGGAATCCCTTTCGTTGAACATGTTCATGAATCCGGAAATGGCGCTGTCGGCGTCTTCGATTGTTCCGGGTGTGGGAACATTCTTTTGGCGGAGGACTCCAGCGCCAGCAGCAGCAGCATTGCCGGCTTTACCGGGATGTTCTTTGTGGTCATTGTCGTTGTTGTGAAGGGATCGGAGTATGGTGTTGCTGCTGAAGAGGCGACTGTATACAGCAGGGGTGCTGGTGGCAGTAGTAATTGCGGTCTTGGGTGTGGTGGACAGACGGGCGAGTGTCCTTGTGGTTGTCCTGAAAGGTGTTCGCAGCATGGTTGGTTGGTTGGTTGTTGACTACGGCGTGTTTGTGTGGAGAAGTACGGCGATAAAGGGGACAAAAACAAGACCGGGATCGCGCATGGATTGAATCGGATCACGTGCGATCAGCTCGCTCTTTTCCTTGCTTTTTTTCTTGTCATCCTTTTTTTTTTCCTCTTGACACTCACCCCGTTCATTGTTCACCCCGTTTACACCCCACGACCCCTTTTAACTACTACAACTCTTTTTTTCCCTCTCTCGCTCTCCTACCTCGCACATCCACCAGCCATGGACTCGCAGCTGTCAGTGGTCATCAACTCGCCCACACACACCCCGCACAAGTTCACACTCGACCTCAGCCGACAGTGCACTATTCTCGAACTCAAGGAGATTATCGTCACTCGACTCGACACTAAGCTCACTGTCTCTGACCAGCGCCTTATCTTTGGAGGCCGGATCCTCGACGACAAAGACACTCTCGACCGTGTCTTTGAGAAGGTAACCGCAACACAACCGCACAACTTATCGTACTCCACTCTTCTTGAGCTTGGACCTTTGGTTGTTTACTAACCTTTGTTTCTACTTTCCACTTGGTAGGTTGACTGTTCCAGTATTTCACCAACGATTCACCTTGTTGTTTCGCACCGACATGAACCAGGGCAAACACAGCAACAAACACCTCTACACACCACCACTACACCCACCTCACCAGCACCCATTCGCTTCAGAGGCAACTCTGACAACTCCCCCTCTACTGCATCAACCAACACCAACACAGCTGCAACGTCAGGCACCGACCTGAACAACTTTGCATTTACGCCATTCACAACGGCCACACCAGCAGCAGCAACAGCAACAGGAGCCCGTGATGGCCGAACCGAGACAGATGCCTCCAACAGCACAACAAACACAACAACTGCCTACAGCCCTTTCCCATTTATGGCCACCGCAGGGGGAGTTCCTGTGATGGTACCTATGGCTCCTCAGGCGATGCAATATGTACTCGTCAAGTAAGTTTGTTGTCTCAGTGCTATTGTTGGTCGCCTGGTCGTGCTCCTCCCTCCCCCTTTGGTTTTCTCCTGACACAAGACAAACAAGAGGGCAAGCCCGGGTCAGGACAAATAGGATTTGAGCACGTAACACCATCCCTGCACGGGACTCCCGTTCCATACAATGCAATTATAAACCCTTGACTAAACTATTTCTTTCTATCCTTTTTTTTTTCTTCAGCGGGATGCCCTATTTGGTCCCAGCTGTTTACCTTCCCATGTTACATTATCAGCAGATGCAACAGACATATGGACAGTTCCAATTCCTCCCTGACGGCGCGCCATTTTTACCCTCACACCAGAACATCAACAACATTAACGGCAATATCAACAACCCCATCGTGGATCAGGTACGCGCAGGCGCGGCCGTTGCAGCAGAAGCACCCCAACAGAACGCACAGGAAATTGCCGCGCGGGATCAACGCAGAGCCGCCTCTTTGTGGTTGTTGATGAAGTTGGCGTTTGGCATTTATCTCTTTGGACAAAACGGAAGCATTGAGCGGCTAGTGCTCCTTCATATCGTTGCTCTCGTTATCTTTTTGTACGTATATTGCATGGTTGTACAATCATCGGTTTTGTTTCATGTAATTAGACCTTGGCGCTAATAGGCGTTTTCTTCGTATTTGTTGTTAATGCTACTATTAGGCACCAAACTGGACGGCTTCGAATTGTTCGCAGGATAGTTCAAAATCCACCAGCAGAGGATGCAGCGCAGGGAGCAGCAAACCCTGTCCCTGGCGCCGCTGCTCCTCAACCAACTCAAACCACCACTTCTACATCTACGACAACTACGACCACAACATCCACATCTACCTCTGGCCCTGCTAACAGCAGTGCATCGACAGCAAACAGCAGCAGTAACAGCGGCACCAATACCCAATATGCCGCCACATCCACCTCCGAGAGTTCAACGACCCAGCAGCAGCAACAACAAGGAGGAAATGCACAAGCACAGGAGACAGTGACAGCAACAACAGAAGCAGCTCAACCTCAAGTGTCACCATGGCGTAGCCTCGAGCATGCACTGCTGACCTTTGTCACATCGTTGGTTCCAGCGCCTCAGCCTGATATTGACCCTGCTGTTGCGGCTGCCGCGGCCGCAGGCGATCGTGGGATGTAATTATGACGTCCTTCTCGGCACTCCAAAAGTTCATCATTCTACGATACGAACTATGGATAGCTCCACCTTCTCTTTTTCAAATCCAACCCTCTCCTCTTCCAACTAGATACCACTTGTCTCCCTTCCTGTTTATTTTTTGTTGTTGCCAAGAATTCCCATTTCCCCCCTCCATTTTTCCATGACAAAGCGCTTACGAAAACAATAAAATAAAAAAAGCACGCTAAAAAGCTATTCCGCGTCTGGCACCTTTGTCCGACGGGAAGAATACAGAAACATCGAACAGTCCATCGCGTGTGAGGCGCATTTTTACCGAGTTCCCAGACCGCTTTTTCCGTGAATATTTTTATTTGGGCTGTTTGTAGGACGTGCGAAGGACGACAGGCAAGACAGGACTGAGAAGGTTCAAGAATGCTTGGGTGCTTGTGCGGGCTGTAGGATGAGTAGGCGGTGGAGCCTTGATCGGACAGCTTGGCTCTCCTGAGCAGGTAGATATGCCAGTGCCAATGAAAGACAGTCGATCTGATCGGCGTTGAGCATCTCCTTTGGCGCCTCTCTTTCATCTCTGACAGCGGTAACGGGGTCCACGTTAGAAGACGTGGAGGCTGTTGGTTCACTCACGACTGCATTTGACGCACGGGCATTAGTGGAATCTACTTCGTTTTGAGTGGCTGAGGGTTCTTGAACAGCTGGAGTCATCTTGATACCATTGAACCAGGCCTGTGTGCCCTTGTCTAGCGTACCAGTTGCTGCCTGACGTGCCTCCTGCTGGCTACGACCTTGAAACCCAAGCCCACGTACGAGTTCACGGCTTGCTGCTGCTCCTTTCTGTCCACGAACTCCACGACCACGACCCCTCCCACCTCGTCCTCGACCTCTATGGTTTCCACCACCACTGCCAGCATCATCATCATCACGTACAACAGCCAGTTCTAGCAACGACTTGCCATAGAAGCTATCCTGCTGACTAACGAGTGCCTCAGAGAGGTTCATGGCCATCAGGACCAATTCATCCCTTGCCTTGGCACGCGCGACGTCCAATTGCCTCTTTGTCGCATCATCCATGGGTTGGCTCATAAAGTCCAGGTATGCGTTTCGCCAGCAGGAGGCACTCTCCTCTGTGGAAGGTGGTAGCTCGATTTCTGAGTGTGGGGTGAGGCGGTTTGGGAAGGTGTTGGCCGGGTGTTGAGTGTCGACAATGTTCGACATTTGGCAGACTTTCATGAAGCAATATATGAGATGGTCCAAGGGTACTTTTGTCCATTCTATCCGAATGGCCTATTTGTGAAAGCAAAGGGGCGAGTGGAACCAACTTCGTTAGGTAATTGCGCTTGCAAAACAACAGCTGCTACTTACGATTACTGTAACAAAGAATCCGCGTTGTTTAAACATTACCTTGAGGGTGGACTGTACTAAAGACGCGACATGATCCGGCATCATATCGTACCCCATATCAGACTGGTAGACCTGTAGGACAGATTCCAAGCCCTTGGACGGAAGAGGGTCCAGCGAGAACCGAAGAACCGTCGTCAAAGTCAACAAGATATCCAATGAATTGCCAACATTCTTGGGATGAGTAGAAGACTCTGTTGTCTCAGAGTTTTCTTCGTCCTGTTGACGACCGACATGCTTGAAGTTATCCCAGTAAGATCCCAACACGGGTAGCTGGCTGTCGCCGGGCGAGTTGTCCAAATCATCCCAGTACAAGTTGGGATTGCTGGGTCCTCCCCAGAGTTGCGCCATGACCGGCACAGCATGTGTGAGCAGTCGATGGCTTTGGTGGCGTGTACTGATACTCAAGACGCGGTAAAGCGCCGGCGTCATCGCCAATCTGAGGATGTGCTGTGTTGAAGGTGGTGGGTCGCCACCAAAATCGATAGCCTAGTCATTTCAAAAACAAATGGTGGCAAGTTTTAGTATCGCAGCACGTAAAACAGAGCGATGAGTATGCATACTCAAGATAGTGCCCTACCTGAATCATGTCTGCGAGTACATCGTCGCACATGCGTCCCAAACCCAAGAACAATACAATAGCCTCCGCTGCCGTATCCACAGTAAGGATATCCAAGTTCTGCAATATCGAACGCGAATACTCAAACGCTCGCAGTCGATCGCCACAGAGACAAAAGAGTTCCTCTGGCAACCTTGGAATCCCCATATCCAACGTCAAGTTCCTCTGGCATGCATCCATAAGAGGCACGGTGATCAGCCTCGACTCTAAATCAACAAGCGCGCTACTTTCCCCCTGGATAGCCTGCCCGAATCCCGCAAACAGCTCTCGCTCCTCCTGATCATACTCTGCCAGCGATGAGACGTAGGCATTCATCCTGAGAACAATGGTCTCGCAGAGTCTTGAGAGACCGTCCAAATGTTCGCCTCCACCTCGTTCTACAGTGGTTTTTCTACGACTGTCGTGTCCCTCGGCCGTCCAAGGGTTGTGCATTGTCCTTAGCTGCAACAACCGAAGTAGGATCCGTAGCTGAATTCCACGAGGTATAGGGCTCTCGCTCTCCATAACTCCTGCCGTTGATGTTTGGACGGATTCACGCTCGTAAATAGTCAACAAGATCCGAGTGACGGACTGAAACAGCGGGCTCGGATGACCACTCTCCAGCTCATCCAAGAAGGGAGCCACGCAGTCTACCAAAAACGCTGTCGGGTCCAACAACTGCATCCCGGTCGTAGGTGATCGTTTGGCCATCGCTTTGATCACAAAGTCGACAAAGTTGTCCTGTTGCTGCTCACTCCATATTAGTCCGGGATCGGATTCGTTTGCTGTCGGTTTGTGGAGGATATGTTGAAGTACGGACAACAAAAGTGTTGGCTCTGATGGACTAGCGCGCAGCCAGGTCAGTTGACCAAGCCCAAGGATCGCCTGAAGCAGAAGCGCGCACTGACCGCGATTCACAATGATCGAGTGAACCACCCTTGAAAGAACTCGGTACGGCGCTATCAGCGAAATCTGCACACAAAAACCACTAAAAGTCAGAACAAAACCTAAGGACTGTATTTGACGGATGTAGTGACAGAAATGAGCGGTTACCTTGACAAGTGCCTCGATAGTATGTGGTGAGACGGCGGACGACTGTGGCGAGTCCTCAGAGACAACAACTTGGTTGAGAGTGGATGTCAAGAGGGTATCGATGTTCATCCTCCAGAACCCCCACGATCCAAATAATGGCCCCCTTGCATCCTTGCATATCACACTAGGAAGATAAGCAAAGTCGTGTTGTGTCAGCCGTTTGCCTACCTACAAGACCAAAACTCAGACACAGAGAAGAAGGAAGAGATACTCACTTGGATTGGTAGAAGAGATGATCGCGGAGGCAGAGTCTCAGGCCAACTCGTTTGGTGAACACTGACAACAAAAGTTCACAGCCTAATTGAAACGTATCTGCAGGCATCCTGGCAGGATCTGCTCGATGTCTTCTCAGGTATCTCAAAAGTGTCGAGGAAAGGTCCCAGTGCAGATCATGATCGCAAACGATATCCGCCAGCTCTTCGTTGATATACCTACAAAACAAGATGCAATGTCGATCAAGGTACGTGTCAGCCAAAGATTCTGCGAATAGCGTCAAAACACAAACACAGATGAGGCGGGACATAAAGACTTACGATTCACCAAATTCAGCAAAGAACTGGAGCTTGAGTTTGGCACAAGAAAGCCAGCCAGCGGATCGACTGCGGATAGTCGACTCGATCCATTCGATATGCTCCTGCAAAACCTTTGTTCGTTCTTGATGATGGCACTGAAGCTTGTAGGTTGCAAGTCGGCTCATCGGTGTCGGCGGGTATGTAGGAAAGTCTTGCTTGCGCCGAAGGTTGTCGCAAATAATCATGAATGCTTCTTGGTGGTTGCTACAGGGCAATATCTGGGATTTGTTTCCCTGTGAAGCGGTATTGCTCTGGCTTTTCTTTGCCACCAATTCAGCATCTCTTCGCAGTCTAGTTGGAATGATTCATAGAGGAAGTCAGATAAAAAAACCTGTTAGTATTTTCATGAGATGCTTAAGAAACGTAGATTTTGTCCGTTACTAGAATGACTTACACCGCCTGCAATATGTCCTTGCTACTTCTCGTTTTGGTTTCCTAAAGAAGTCGAAGCAAGCTGGTTAGTACTATATTTATGAGGTCCTGTCATTTTTGCTATTCAGACATCGTTGGCGTGATGATGGATAGGTACCTCGTGCTTCCTGCGTTTTGGTGACCTTTCAACTGACGAAAGTAGCTCTGAGAGTTTAGAGCCAGATCCTCCGGTAAACAGCTGGTCCCACCTTCTCAAGTCCCCATATATCTCCTGTCCGAACTGACCCACTCCTCCTTGGATAGGGTGCTCCACCAGAATGGCGATAATATCCGCCAAAAGTCCTTGAATGATTTCGTCCGCAACTCCTGATTGAACCGCATCGATCTGATCCTTGTCGCCTAGACCCCAGTAACTGATACCGCCTCTCTGCCGTCGGTTCTGCCGCAATATGAGTTGGTGGAGAATATTTTTGAACGAGACACGAAAAAGGCGGCGGATGCTCTCACACTCCTTGGCTCGATCTGTCCACATACGTATAAACTCTCCTGGATTCTTGGAAGCCTCTTGTGGGTGTGGTGGAGCCTGTTTTTTCCTGTAATGAGCGTCGATCTGGTCCACGGTCCAGATAAACAGACCTCTAAACAGCTCGGTTGTGACCTCTGAAGACTCTAAGATCAATCCAACCAGGCGCATGCTTTCCTTATGAGTGACAGTCAGCAATGTGGCCAAAAGTTGATTGCCAAGACCGAGTCCTGTCAAGAGCTTGAGGTACGCGTCAGTATTCAATGGCCACTTGGCGTTGAGTTCCAGAAACTGGTCCGCACACTTCCCTAGGAAATTACAAACGGTGAGAAAAAAGCACTTCAGTAAATGGAGAATCAATTTGGTGGATCCTTCTGTCAAAATTATCGGAGTACTTACTTCCAGACCATGCGTCAAACATGTATCCATGAAGTAGATCCCGTTGCGCGTACTGGTCCTTGCCTCGCGAGTGCAGGTGCTTCAAGCGTGTCTGCATCTGACATGTGGATCTATACGAATGATGGACGACAGCTGTCAATATTGAGTCCAAAATATTGTAATAGCAATGCTGCTTAGATGTTCCTAACTGTCGGCATTACCTTGGACGAGCCCGTGCCTGGCCGTGATAACCATAGCACGACAGGATTGCGGCCTCCAAATCTAGCTATTGAAGAGTCGAGTATTGGACGTGTCAGACAATAACTTGGAAGGATATGAAGAATGGATACTAGACAAAAGCTGCGTGATAGATAGAAGGATGAGTCTTGCCTTGAGAGAGAGGGCGTCTTTCCCTGTCCTGGACAAGGGAGTCGTCGCCATGCTTTGGGCCATTCGAACGCAGGTGTGCTAACAAGAGAAGGAGATGTGTGCACAAAGAAAAAAAAAGTGCAAAGCCCGTTCGCCCTCATTTAACAATGATTTCAAGGAACGAAGTCACTCCCTCCTCCGTAAACACATATGTTGCCAAGGAGCTCTCTCTTTTTTCTCCGAGTCCGAACACCTTACCACTACAACAAAACGACAATGCCATCAAGCTGCAAGGAGATCCGCATCGAGTTGGCAGAGTGCATCCTCAAGTCAGACTGCATGCTCAAGGACGGCCTGTCGGCAAAGGAATGTCTCCATTCTGACAACGAGTACAGGATCCCTGCAGAGTGCACAGCGATCAAACGGAGTTTTTTCGAATGCAAACGCGGCATGGTAAAGAATAAGCCCGTTTCTTGGCAATACCTCAAATGAACTACAACAACGACAAGGACGACGTGTGCAAGGAAGAGATGCCATGAAATATGTTCCTCTCAATTTGTATCTAACCCATCATGGCACCTGTTGCTCCTCTGTTGCTTTATAGTTGGATATGCGGAACAGATTCCGTGGAAACAAGTCATAGACGATTTTCAGGAAGCCTTCTCCCCGACAAGGCAACCATTTACACATAGGCATAGGCATAAACAAGGAATAACGGGAAAGAGGCAGACAGCAATAGAGATCTACGGGACCTGCCACCCTCCATTTGAGCACCATCCACCAGCTGCACCCGTCAAGTGAACAACAACATCTCCAACCTCAAACATTACGAACCCTTCCCTTGCCCACCGTCAAGTCAAGTTCGCACTAGATTGTACAATAATAAACGATGGAGTCCAAAAATACCGGCTGCAATGACATTTCAAGTGTAAGGGGATGATGTACGAAGGAAACGACATAGAGCCACTGCAGTCGATCCGCAGTTAACTTTCTCTAAGGCGCGACTAACGTCCTCTTCAATTCAACATTCCCGATCATTGATCAAGTTCTCAATTGACTCGACATAGTATTGTGGCAATTGAGAAACGCGATTGCAGCTCACGCGCGAAGTCATCTGTTGATAGGGTCCTTGCAGATCTTCCTTGAATAAAGTACATAATCTCCTGAACACCACGACATATGGCTTGCGTCTGCAAAGACGCAATCCCCCTTGAGAGCAACCGCCCATATTCCCGCAAGAATCGACAAACGGGTGAAGCCAACGCTGAGACTATGCCATTGATCCTCAGTATCCATCGTTACCGTGTGCATGTGCGTGTGTGTGTTTTTTTTATTGGGTGGTTGATGTCCACCCTCTCCTGACTTGTCGAGTTAGCTATCATTACAAAGAAAAATACGGGCGAAAAAAAGGTCGAAGAAAAGCATAATAGAGCAAAAGATGTGCGCCGTCAAAAAACAGGATGGAAGGTGTGGTGTGGAGGTGTCCTGCAGATGACATTGCGTTATTTTTTCCAGAGTTGGTGAATGTTTTGTTGATTGCGAGTAGAAGAAAGGCGCCGTACAGATTTCTCTGTGTATATACTGGTGCCATCAATCCTTTTCTCTCCTTCGCTTCGTGCCCTACTCCTCCATCTTCCGATCCGCTGGTGGGTGATTGTGGAGGGTGAGCCTAATCCCTGCCGCGGCCACGGCCGCCGCGTTCGCCTCTGTCGCCTCCACGTCCACGACCACCGAACCCTCCTCTTCCGCCTCCTCGAGCTATTATTTATCATAAAAACACACCACCAAACGGTTAGCAAAACGAAGAGAGACCAAATGACACATTGGAGCTGCAACAAACACAGCGCGACAGCATAAGACTTGCTGGCGAAGTGGCAAAAAAAACATAACTTGCCTTGAGCTCTTGCTACTGTAGCTTTGCCTCTTCCAAGTCCAATTCCTTTGCCCTTCATTGATGCTGCTCCTTGCTGTTTGAACATGGGTGCGTTCTTGAGCATGTCTGGTACGATAAAGAAGCGAATATGAGAGCCACGAATGTAGACCTGATCCAGTTGTGTCAAACGACCGTCCCTTGCGGTCATGGTGATGTCCTTGAGCTGCACATTCATGTTATCCTCAGCTATTGAAGTATACAAGTGGTAAAGGAGTTTTCTTTCCTGCGTTAGTTTTCTTTTCCATGAAATTGAAGAAGGCATGATGCCTTGGAAAAGCGTGTTTCTTTGTTTGGTCATGGCGAGGCAAGTGGCGAAGTTTTTTGTGGAAGGCGTGTGTTGTTGTGGTCCAGTAAGGCTGTTGTTGTTGCTTTACCCTCGAAGAGAGTCCCGCGGTAGACGGATCCAGTCTTGAGCTCGATGGTGATGATGTGGCCCTGGGCCTCGTGGAGCAGCTTGATGGGGACACCGATAGACATGGTGAATATATTATGTTGTGAGTGAGTGCTGAGAGTAATGCCAGAAAAAAGAGATCACACAAAGGCGATCAACTACTTCAACTGCCAACGGGCGAAATCATGACGTCACCGAGAGTAGTGGCGGCCCTTGCTGCCGCCACCAAATTATCATCTTTGAGTGCTTTTCCACCTTCACGACCTCGCTTAACTTAAGGACGCGTGTGTTCGAAGTTTTGGACTCTGAGGAACAATGAACCCTCTCCGCAACGCATCAACTAGAAGCATTCTCCTTTGATAAAGATACACAAAGTACGTTTAACGCCACCGAAACGCCAATCTGAAACGGGAGGTTGTGTTGGCACTCGGGCACCAATTCCACGCATTCAAAAACCAGACATCGTGTTTCAAGTACTTCCTTATGATAGAGTTCAAAGTGCTGGCGAGAAACAAACTTGAACATGCTTCAATTACTTAGACTCACAAATACTAGAGTCGGTACTACTTTAGCTCTTTCAATAGTGGATTGAGGCCTACACTTTCTCATAAAGACTATATTACTTTACGAAGCGAAACCGTTGAACAAGTGAGATATAATAGTATGGATGAAAAAGATGATGATGGAAAGCCATCGATTTTATTAGATGAAGTGGGGTATGGTATACATATTACTCCGAGTCGGGGTTGAACTCGTTGTTGTAGGCATAAGAGCCTTTAGGGCAGTGGTCAATGATACCATCTTCTGGGTTACCCCACCAGGTAGGGAACTCAACATCCCAGGCTTGGAGGGCAAAAAAGATAACAAGTCTAGAGATCATCAGAAGGAAAAGAAAAAATTGTCAACACAAGCATAAAAAATATGTCAATGCAAATGATACCATTGCATGCTTAGGGCCTCAAAACGAGCACAACGGCGAGAAAACTCACCCAGCAATGGCCACACCCGTATCGAGGGCGGCGGAAGTGAGGTAATTGTAGCGAGACCACCAGTCGTAACGGTAACGTCTGAGCCAGAAGGCGAAGATGAAGCCGAGGGCAAGACCGTTGGTGTAGAAGTAGGGAAGGGCTGGGGGCATGTTGGAGGTGGCAGCCAACAATACGGGCCAGTGGACGAGCTTCAACCAGCCAACGTTGGGGAACTTTCTGGAGAGGAGCCAGAAGGGAATGGGCAAGATAGCACCGGCAATGAAACCCCACTGGACGGTAGAGTACCAGGCATCATCCTTGCCACCAAAGACACGAGCGGGAGCGACGGCACCCCAAATGATCGAGGCCGAATAGAATGTCCTTGTGGAACGGCAGGTGAAGGGTGCGCCTTGTGGGGTGCAGACATTGGGGCGGGTGTTGACCAACCACGTGGCAGTGACCAAGTTGATGGTGCAGGCAATGAGGGTTGAGACGAGCTGGGCCATGAACATGATTCTTGGGGGGATCTTCATGTAGTGACCGAGCTTCAAATCGGATGTGAATGTCAAGGCCTGGACGTTCACAATGTAACCGTAGGTCTTGAAAGTAACGTTGGCAATGGGGTTACCAGGGAGAATGTAACCAATGACGTATTCGGTGATGATGTTCAAACCAGGCTGCTGGTTGGTGACGGCCTGGACGATACCGACAGGCAAGACGAAGAATATGGCAATGGCCATGGCAAGGAAGACAGCCCACCATGGCATGTAGTCGTAGACGATACAAGCGACAAAGGAAAGAGCCAAGGAGATGACGAACAGGGAGAGGTACCACCAGTCGGGGACCTCGGGGTAGACACGCATCAAGCGGGAGTGGATGTCCTCGTTCTCGAGACGGGCGGACTTCCAGCGCTGAACCAACTCCTTGCCGTTGTACAGGACGACGTGGACAATGGTGGCAGTCAGACCTGCGAAACCAACACCGTAAGTGAGGGCGAAGAATGAATCCATGCGCATGGGGCCATACTCGAGATACTTAGCAGGGTCCAAATGACCGTCAGGCCCCAAGACCTGGTCCTTGTCCCAGTAGGATCCGTTTTCACGGAAGAGATCAGCGGACAAGATGGGGTAGTTCTTGGACTTCCAAAGGTTATCGTAGTAGGCCCAAGGGACCATGATCCAGGCGACGAGGATGAAACCGATCAAGATATTGACCTGTGCGAACCAAGGGGTGACGAGGGGTCCAACATAGTACGAAGCGGCAGACCAGTCAAGAGCGATAACACCGATGCCAAGACCATTAGAGCCGGTGAGCTGGGAGAGGACAATGCTGTCGGGGTTGATCCAGCAGATCCAGGCAAGTGTTCCGATGGTGGGGAAGATGTAACCGGGGAACCAGTAGTAGACGAAGGAACCCAAGGTAACGAGCAAGAAGTACTTCAGTCTCGAGGTGCGGCCCTGATCTTCCTCAGACTCCGTCGTGGAGCTGGCGTGGAGAGAGCGGAAGAGCGAAGCAGTGACCAAGGTCGAGGGCCAGATCATGTGAGCAGGGCGAATGAGGAACTTACGAAGGGCACCTAATTATGTTACGGAGATTAATTAAATACTTTGCTCTCAGTTGTACAGATGCTACAGAACTGCATGCATTGAAAATCAATCCCGATGTTCTAGAAAACATACCAGCAAGGGCGAAACCTGTAATTTGGGTGGTGAAGACGAGAAGGAGACCACCAAAGAAGGGGGTGTCCGAATGGTAGAAGACCTTCTGCAAGATGACAATATCGACGGCGTAGGCGGTACCGGTGTTACAGGCAGTCATGGTTCCGATCAAGACGTGCTCCTTGACGGAGAAGGGGCCGGGATTGAGCGAGAAGCTCCAGCCAAAGAGGCTGTATTGGCGGGTGGGGAGGACACGGGCCATGAAATGGCCCATGGGCAAAGAAAGAAGGGCGACGACAGAGTAACCGATCGAGATCTGGGTCTGACGAAGGTAGAAGAACTGGTTGACAAAGGAGATGATGCAGGTCCAGAGAAGACCAAGGAACCACATGCGGAAAGTGTTGCATGGCATCTGAGGATCATCGGTGTCTGTAGGAGGTAGGTAATAGGTGTTAGAGTACAATGTTCATGTCAGTATGTTGTTGACTAACATAAGTGGAATTGTGAAGATAACAATAAAGGCCAGACTTACTGGAGATGGTGACTCGAACCTCCTCAATGGGGGAGTCATCCTCCTCGTTCAGCTCGAGAGCGTTCTCGGCATCATGCTTCTCATCGTAGTGCTTCTCGTGTTCGAGCTCTACCTTATCCATGATGAAGGAGAGTAGCGGTGAAGAGGGAAAGAGAGAAAAAGGAGGTGGGGGTGGAAAGGGTGGTGGTTCACGACGAGGGCTTCAAGAGTGCGGGGGGAGAGCAGCTTTAAATACAAATTCCTTATTGCAACGGATGAATAAGTATGAGAGAGATAAGGGTCTTCTATTGAAGTGGGTCAGGCCCACCTCCTTTGAAAACACAAATGAGCCCTCGTCCTAATACCAACGCACGCCGACCAAACACCTGCCATTTGCTTCGTTTGTTTACCCATTAGCCATTATTAGCCATGTTGTTGTTGTTCAGTCCAAGAAAGAGTTCGAGTCCAGTCGAAGCCACTATCCCTTTCGCCTCTTCATAGTTTTTTTTTTCCGTCGTAATAATGCTCATTGGTCAAACCTTGCTGAGGATAGCATTCTATTCGCTCTCTCGCCTGGTAAACAAAGGCAAAAAGGTATCGAATCGAATGAACATCTGAATGAAAGGATATCTCATTCACGCTTAGTATTGCAATTTTGTCTGTTTTGTTTGTTTACTTGCTGACACTTCCCACAAAGAACACACAGGAGAAGAAAAGGCACAAAATGATATCGTTTGGCCCTGGGTTATCCGTATTTGGACATCTCCTCGTCCACCTCGCAACAGCTCTCTCGGAGCAAGATCCGAGCATAGGGCTGCAGAAGGTCATCCCCTTTGCCTCGGCCTCTCCTCTCCGAATTGTTTACCTTTTCTCATATGGGAAAGACGCCTGTGCTTTTTTGTTTCCCTCAGAAACGAAGGCCATTTTCAACCGGCGAATATGATCGACTCCAAAAGCAATCGAAGTAAGCAACATTGGTTCTTCATTGTCAAGGGAAATTGACTTCCTTCCACTTCCACGGAGAGGGGACTAATAACTGCCATTGTGTTTGTTGTCTAGGAACCCCCTAATTCCTCACGTCGGAACCAAGGCGATTGGCAGAGGAACCATGTGAGGTCATGCTTTTTTATTGTTTTCGCTCCTCTTTACGGCTAGTAAGGTACGCATCTCGATTCAGAATTTCAAGGTGCGCTCCGTCACTGCCAGGATTTTAGCCATTTCAAACACCCTGAATCTTCGGTATGAAGCGCCTATTCGATGGGAGTGAAAACATCTTTTGACACCGATAAGGTGCTCGGCACTGGTTCCGAAGAAAAAAAAAAGCGAATGTGCCCAAAGGCTAGAATCCGACACCTAAGACTGACGAAGACAGGACATGCATGCTTGGCTCGATCATAGTACAGTCCTGCTCGTGAGATGAGCCCAGGCTAAAAAGCTTACCTCCTATCTCTCTTCAGTAAAGTCCCTCTTCAACCTACAGAAATTTTTACTCTGTACCCTACCTTCGCACGAATGTCTGCTGTTCCGGCAGAATCCTGGTTTGCATGAATGCAAGAAGGTACAGAGATGGGATGACAAGTAAAAGTATTTTTTTGTTCTATCCAATTTAGGCGTCCATCTGGACTCAAATGTCCTTGAGAGCAGGGAGGAAAAGCATACCGGGCGAAAAAAACACCGTTTTTGGTCTTTTCTACCCATCCTCCCTCCCATCCTCGGGATAAACACAAACACAAACACAACAAAATGGAAGGCGGCCTTCACTCTCTCACGCATATTTTTTTGTATCCTTTCGCTATCACGCTTCTTTTTTGAAAAAAGAAAAAAGGCCTCACACACTCAAGTTCGCACTTGTATCCGACTTTTGTGTTTCCGGCGTGTATTTGTATTTGTACCTATCAGTCCATTATTCCCACCAAGGCTCTCATTGGGTTCTCCCTCTTGTTTGAAGAGACTAGACCGCCATGCGAAATAAACCAATGTATCGATTTATATGCCAAATCGAGGCGGGTTAGGAGAACAATGGGTGCCAAAGAAGGAAAGGAGAAGGAAAGAGAGGAATAGAAAGAGAGGAGTAGAAAGAGAGGAATAGAAATGAGGTTTTCTCATAGTGCCAAAACGTTCCCTGAAGCTTGGTACTTTTTTTTTGGATCGACCATACAGATGGCATTGTTTTTAGCCACGGTTGTCCAAGGGAATAATCTTTCGGAGAACCGACTGTCGAGAACCTGAAAAGGAGAGGGAAGGGGCGAGAATGAGGCAGTGAGAATGCATAAGCAACAAAAAGTGCGTGGGTCACGACTGCTCCGATTGGAGGCATCGTGTTGATATGAAAGACTTGACACCTGCATAACAAGAGCCAAGGAATCATCCTATAATTTGTTAATGTTCACCGGGCGTCGACCGTTCTCCAGGGACACTCCTTTCCACCTGTCATTCATTGAACCAAAAAAAATCACCACGCCAAAGGGCTCTCAATAAGAAGAGGAGGAGAGAGGGGAGAACACACAGGGAAAGGGGTATGTCTGATCCAATCGGAAGTTGTCCTTGACTAATGCCACTAAACCGTGAAGGTTTGACAACCGAACGAATACTTTGTTCTTGTTTTATGACTCCTTTTCTTTCCGTCAAGTATATTACATGGCCATCAGACGACAACAATCAATTATGGAATGGAAACCAGGCAAAGGTTGTTATTTTTCATTCTTCTATCCCTCTTCCTCCTTGAGTCCTGACACACCCCTGTTTCGGTACTGCTATCCGGTCGGATGCCGTAACCGTACTCTGCACTCTTGTTCTTTTGCGAACTACCGAGATATCGAGACTCTCCAAGGCGCCCTTCAATTGAGTGCCTCATTTGCTCTTTTGGTGAACAATGATAATCCCAGCCAGTGCAGAGCCACCTTGAAAATAGAATAAAAAACGGGTTTGCTCACGTTTTTTTTGCACGTATCGTTTGCTACGTAATAGTATTCATCCGATAATTGATCTCAAGGGAAGGAGTACCGCTCTGCCACCAAATTCGCCAATCGCCACCAGTCAGTGCCCAGGCCAGGCGGCATCGAGGTCATGGCCTTGGATACCACGTCGGCAGACACACCACTTTGCCACAATCTTCATCTGAGCAAAGACGGTAAATGGCTCTCGGCCTCCTTCAACTGGGTCAGGTTCTGGCTGCCCCTCAGCGAGGTTACCAAGGAGGAGGTGCTCTGTCTGATTATCTCGTCGATCGTCCTGTCCGCAATGTGAAGATCTAGGGTGAAAAATGTCGTACCACCACACCTCATATTTTTGATGCACACCCACAGGCACAATTGATTCTGATCTTCAACCCCCGAATCCATGGGTAACGTCAGGAATGAGCAAAACCGAGAGAGAGAGGCTCGACTCCTGCCCTCTCTAATTGTAGTGACCTTTGCAAACTGAATTTGCCTTTTAAAGACACATAGAGGGCAGAAGTCGAGCCTAACCTTAAGAACGCTCGTCAGATTCCATATTCTCTCTATCGGTCGATTTAAAACAACGGCCATGAGGAGAGAGTAGTAGAGAAACGAGGGAGAGGAAAGATGACGGTGGTGGGTTGGAATCTCACTCCCTTTGCACACCAATATGGCCGGATAAATACCTTTCAATGAGCATGTCCCCCAATACACGGCGCTTTATCCCATGTACCATTTCTGCACAGCATTGTGGACAGAGAATAAGAACGAGAGTCATGAAGTGAGTACAAGTACATACGAGCTAGTGAGAGCGTGTCTCTGTAATCTGTATGCGAAAAGAGAGAGAGATGGCGGGAAGAGAAGGATAGAGAGAGAAAAGAGGGCGAGAAGGATCAGCCCGTTAAGTGAGAAACGGCATAGCGGGCAATGCATGTTTTGTCAGAGGCAGACGAGCAAAACAAGAAAGGCTATGACGGCTTCAGGTACCTCTCCCACCCTTCCTCCTTCGTTTGACCACTTTGCCAGAACTGCCAACGACCTTCAGCAACAACAACAACCTTGTTCTACCTTCCAACGTCGCGCCAGCTGCCAGACATATTTTTCAAGTTTGCCAACTTGTTTGTTGCTCACCTGCACCAGATGCATATTCAGTCCATAACAAACAAACCGAAAAACGAAAACCATCACTTCCTCCTGATCATGTACCTCATCCTGCCTTTCCATCATATATAACTTCCTTTTGTCTCTATTTCTTTTCTTTACCATCCTCCTTTCGATCGTCTTCACCAGAAATCTCACCCTGCAGAACATTGAGCCTGCCTTGCTGCGAAGCCCACATACCCTTTTTTACTACAACTACTTTTACTACACTTAATACCTAATACCTAATATTCCTCTCTCTATCTTCCATCATGCCTTCGTTCAACAACAGCAACGGCAACAACACCGATGCCAGCTACTCCCAGTCCCCTTACGCCATGCAACACGACGATCGATCTGGAGTGAACTACCAATCCCGCCCTGCTCCCTTCTCTACCATCCCTTCTACCACCACTCCTCCCAACCAGTCCTCTTCACCTCAACTACACTCCAGAAGACGATCTACCCATCAGCAACAGCAGCACCAACAGCAACAGCATCAACAACAGACATCATCTTCGCGTCCAAGGCGCCAGTCAATTGTAGCCAGTGACAATCAGCTGGGTGGCCCGCTTCCTGTCAACAACGCACAAGTCCATCGTCAACAGCAGCAAGAGTCATTCCAGCACTTTCAGCAACAGCATTTGCAACAGTACCAGCGACAGCAGGATCATGTACGTCAGCAGGACCTTCACAGACACCATAATCAGCAGCAACAGCCCCAGCGACAACAGCAACAGCAAGCAGTTTATCAGCACATCTCCCAATCGGCGTCTGCATACCCTTACCCCCCGCCCCCAGTTCCCCATCAGCAGCACCAACAGCAACAACGACTTCGCCCAATCGCCCCTGCACCACCAGTCCCTTCTGTAAGCGCTTCTTCCAATTTCGCAACCCAGCCCTCTCGTCTCCAACAGCAAGTTCAGGCTGCCGCCGCCACTGCTACAGCTACTTCTGGAGGTTCTTCTGCAGCAGTCTCATCGTCATCCTCTCAATCTGGACCAACAACAACAGCAGCAACAGCTCAGGCGAACAGCAACATCTATGCCAACAACTTTCCCAACAACATCTCCCCCTCTTTGCACCCTCAGTTCCGTGCAAAGGCCGTCTGTCGTCTGACATGCAAGAGTTGTCTCTCAGACGTTTGTATGCGTGGCATGAAGGCTATCCTCCTCGCCGATTCGCGTATTGAGCTCTATTCTACCGATCGCCCACCCAAAGGGTAATTCAACCTTTTCAAACAGCAGCTTTGTTACATGTCTCAAACGTTGTCCAGATACGGTTGCTAATTGACCACTTTATTGTTGATCAATATGTGATATAGCGTTCAATTGGTCTACGACGATTACAGGACAAGGAACTGCAAATGCCGGATCCGCGATGTGGCCTGCCTAGGTTGTGGAAATACCCTGGGCTACCATGTCACCCAACCCTGCGAGTCCTGCCTCGAGGCCTGCAACAATGGCCATTTTTGGATGTTCCATTCTGATGGCGTCTCCTGCACTGAACGTTATCTCCCCAAGACCTCTTCTACTGTTGCGACTATTGCTGCTGCCGCTACTGGGGTTTCTTCTTTGTCTACATCGGGAACGATTTCTTCGTCTGCGTCGTTAGGATCAGGGTTTTCAAGGGGCTCGAGACGTCGTGCGGGGTCGAGAAGGCGTCGTCGCCGTGCCATTGCAGTCCAGGATCTGTCGTTCAGACGCCGGACTAGTATTCACGATATCGAGTACAACAATGCCGTCGGTGCTGGACCCTCCTCTTCTTCCTCAGGTCCGACCAATGGCGACGAAGACTATTACAACGATATGAATGGTGACGACGAAGACTACAATGACTTTGACGACGAGAACGCTAACTCTGACGACGAAGGCGCGGAGGAGATAGAAATGGAGGAAGAGAAGCCAGTCGTGATGCTGTGGGCAGCACTGCACGCGCAGGAAGAACGATACTTGCAACAGATGCAGCAGCAGCTCATCATTCAACAGCAACAACAACAGCAGTGGCAACAACGTCTCCTCCTCCAGCAACAACAGCAGCAACAGCAGCGAGAATCGGAGGAGCAGGCGGCTTTGTTGAACGCTCAGGAGGATCAATGGCCTGTTCACCTCTTAATACCGGCGATCTCCTCACCCACGGTCGGAAGTCGGTATCATAACATGATCAGCAGTGCTATCAGCAATGCCAGTATGATGCTCTGGGATGAAGGGCGGTCTACGAACCAGTACGAGCAGCTCTGCCGCTAGTAATAACAGCAATAACAAACAAACAAAACTAGAAACCCTATCCAAGGAGGAATACCAAAAGTCCTCCTTATCCAAATTGTGTCGCAATCCACAGAATCAAGAAATTAAAAAGGCCCCGTTGTACAAGCTATGCTCTGCTTTTTTTTTTTTTTTTTTTTTTTTTAATTCAACACCATTGTCATTTCTTCCTTCTACCCTACAAGGGACATGACGAGGAAGACAAAGATGATGGTCAAGAATATCTTAATCATCAACCATCGATCAGAGGAAATGTTGCGGTAGTATCTCAGCAGCTGGTTCTGCGCCTCGTTGATATTGAGCTCAATGTCTTCTGAGTTCGCTTCGATCCTTTGTACCGTGTCCCGCTGTTCAGCGACCATCTGTGCCAGTTGTTGAAAAATGCCTCCCAGTTCCTGAAGTGTCGATTCCACGGCTTCAATTGCTGTGGAGCGGTTTTGAACGTACTATGAATAGTGAACAGTGATCCGGGGCAGACGTTAGTGCACACGGTTCAAGTAACTTTACATTCCAGCGAACAAAAGTAAACTGAAGCGGATCAAGGAGACATACTTGTTCGGCATGTTGTTGCTGTTGCTGCTGTTGGAAGAGCATTGACGCCGGACCGGCAGACTCATTGTCGTCATCGTATTGCCCATGAAACTCTTCCGACCTTCCTCCCTTTCTCCTGTGAACACTGCTGCTGCTGTACGGATCGATATCCGAGGAGCCATTTGAATATTGCTGCTGGTGTGATGGTACTGACGATTGCTGTTGCATATAAGGCGACGATCGGCCATTCTGGGGTATATTGCTGTGGTTGCTGTATGGGTTGGGAAGCTGAGAAGGTGTCGGCGTGGTGGGTACGAGTCCTATAGGCGACCTGGTAGTGTTTCTGAGTGGCGATAATATGCTTGATGGAGGTAACGCCAGCGATTGAGATTGTGCCTTTGGAGAATGTCCCTGTCCTTGCCCTTGCCCTTGTCCTGGTCCGATTGCTCCTGTTTGGACCTGGCTTGATTGCAGCAGGTGATCCTGTCTCTTCTTTGTTGCGTGGACACTCTATTTGTGATGATAACGTTATATCACTGCCGTGATTAGTACCTTGTCTCCTTCCTGTCATATATCCATTGTTATGAAGTCTTTCCCAGGTTGTACCTCTGTCCTGATTTCCAATGCTTCCTTGAAACCCATGCTCGTGTTGGCCAGTTTCGACTGCAGGATAATGACCAGGTTGGTCGAGTGTTCGTCCATTTGTCGAGTCGAGCGGTTGGCTTTGGCAGCATTGGCGCGGACATGTTGTTGGAGAGCGAGGATTTGTCCGTTGAGTCGAGATAGGTCTTGCTTGATGACATATGTCAGTTCCTGCAGGGGCAGAAAAAAAAAGTGGAAAAAGAGGCGTTAAAAGAGATGGCAGTACGGACAGAATTGTGGCGAAAATTGCTGATGAGATGAGTTCCTGGGAGGTGTTTTTCCATACCGAAATCTCCACGGGCCGATCGTCGAAAAGTGCCTTTCGTTTCACCACTATACAATTATAGACGTTGTTCGACACCAGAAGTTGGTTTAGAGTAAGTCCAAGGAACAAGAGAAGCGAAAAGAGGAAAAAGAGGGCAGTGTTGCGAGAGATGACAGAGAGTCATTCGTTTACTGCTGGTACTTGCGTTTTGTCAGTTTTTCCAGCTTGGTCGAGGTTTCAATGATCTCCTTGCCGATGGCCGATGCGAGCCTGGAAAAGTCGGCATAGGCGGCGGCTTCCTTGCCTCGTCTTGCTGGGTGGTTGGAGGAGTAGTTTGGCTGATGTCTTGTCTGGATGTGGCCGCGATTGACCAGCGAGTTGACTGCTGCCTTGAACTCTGCCGTCCTGTCCATGAAGGAGGTGTTGTTTGCTGCTTTTCTTGGATTGGTTGAAGGATGTCCGGGCGGGAGTGAGAAAGATGGAAGGATGGAAGAAAGAGAATTGAAACAAGAAAAAAAGGACAAAAGAGGATGAGCGATAAGAGCGAGAGTAGCACGTTGTATGTCCTCAAGTCCTCTTCAATTCATATTCCGTCCGTCGTGGAGGAATTGAACGTGGCCGCACATTAAGGCGTCCTTGAATGATTTCATATTTTGGTGGCGTCCTTTTATGTCATTTAATATTGTAAAAAACATATCTCTGTCTTCTTCACTTTTGATACAGTTGACCCCCATAGAGGTGGAGTCAAAGAGTGGTTTGTTGCCCGCGAGGTCTTCTTCCACGGCGACCGCTTTTTTTTCTTATCCCTCAGTGAAAGCACATAAAGGAATCAGTGATGATGGTGTCTAGACAAGGATTGACCCTCTGTTGATCAGTCTGTTTTTTCTATCTTTCAACTGAATTCTTTTATCCATTGTGCACACCTGGCGATGCGAGACGGCTAGTGAACAATTATGTGGTTTAGGACTTTAATTCGCCCACATAGAACTGACTAACGACTTGAGCTTGTCCCTCCTCCGCCCACCCTCGTCATGGGTACTGCTCATCGTGCCCTCACGACGCCCAATGATCTCAGCCAATGGACCTGCTCCACCACCGCCACCTGCGTTAGATCCGCCAGGGGCATACCCCGACCCGCCAATATCTCGTCCAATGGATCCAGGTCCAGAACCTGTCCTGTCCATCATGGTCGACATGAATCCTGCCACACCCCAACGAGGATCCGTCTCCGGCACTGGCGCATGGACCGACTCCATCTCGAGTGACCGCCAGATCTCCAGAACGCTCTCGACCTTGTTTGCAGGACAGCAAGCCATAGCGTATCCGAGAACTGCCAACCGCTTGGAATAATCTCGTCCTGCTGATTCGCTTCCCACCTGCACAAAGATCTCCCAGGGCTTCTTTGTGTCGACATCACTCTCACCGAGTGCGGGGGAGCCATGAGGAGCCGCAGAAGTTCCTAAAGGTGTACCAGCTCGCGAATTAGGCATCGAAGGGACCAAAGAAGGAGATGAGGGTCTAGAGATAGGTGTCGATCCGTTCTCATCGGCTCCAGTTGTCGAGTTAAAGCTGCTGCTCTTGTTCACGCGGCGCATCTTGAGTGACCCATCGGTGTTCAAATCAGTAGCTCCAGAGACCCTGAGCAAGTCCATCAAACGCTCCGACTGCTGAAGCGCAAAGACATGATTCCGTTCCCTGAGCGCGGCCTCAATGAGCATCCCAACCACCTGAATTTCAACTTGCTGCCGCAATGCCTTCTTCTGTCCAATGCCTGTCACCTTGATAGCGAGTTCGAACATGGCGGCATGGTCGCGGTAGGCGTTCTCCTGTGTCATGATGAGTCGTCGCACCAAGGAGAGTCGGTTCTCCGTAGTGCGGATCTGGAGAGGCAAAATGGTGTTGCTGCTTCCTGGCGCCGTCAGATTGTAGGTCAATGTCATAAAGTTGGTTGCTTCAATCAGATCCATCTCTCTCCGAATGTTGGTCGTTTCTGGCAACACCTTTAGACTATGGGTTTGCAGAAGGAAATCAGTTTGCGTCAGAGACTTATATTTCAATCAGAAAAGCGCCCACAATTCAATCTCCGTGAGCAACTTACCAGTCGTAGGCCATTTTCATAAGACCCTGGTGTCTATTCCCAGAGGAGGCATTGTTGTACATCTCGTTGGAGCAGTCAATGACCAACTTCTCAGCGACAGCCAGCCGAACGGGTGGGAGCAATCCAGGGGGGAACAAGATAGCCTTGGCGAGTTCGAATTCTACGCATCACGAGCGCACAATAGGTGTCAGAGGAGTGGCTTGAATAGACCATCGGTAACGAGTTTGGGAGACTAGGTATACTTTCAACAGACAGCACATGCAACTTACTTCCACAGCTGAGAACTCCAGCGAGGTATTCACGGTAAATGTCCTGCTCAGAGACCAAGCTGAGCACTCCACCACCCTTTTCGCCTCCTCTCAAGCGAATCAAATCTTCCAACAACAGCATCCATTCATCATCACTCTCGAAACGCTCGCCTAACTTCTCCGGTCCTCCGCTCGCCAACCGTGCCATCTTGATGACCATCTGAAGCTGACTGGCCTCAGAGTCCGAATTCTCCAAGAACCAGGAAAGGCGAACGGGAAGGTCGTACCGAGCAAGGGTTTCAGCAGCCGTCAAATGTTGTTCAAGGGTATCGAGAGCGTGCTGCATCAAGCCCTGTGTGGGCGCGTACTTGACGAAGGCGGGGAACATGTTGATGGGATCCAGCTGTTGAGGCAGTGCAGCTCGATCGTGAGCCAGCACAGGCGAGGTGCCCTGAGGATCGGTTCCTGATCGAATAAAGATGTCCTGGCGAAGTTCGGCTCGGCGCACCTTATCGACCGCCTCATCCACGTCTTCTGTCTGCTCAAACATGGGCAGGCAAACAATCATGTCGCTCATCACTTTCCATTCATCCACCGTCCTGCATCCGTACATACAGGCCATCGTCAGCCAAGAGAGATCCATGTCGTTGCTGATGATGCGCTCCTCGGGCTCGTATACGGGTTTGGAGGCTTCTACAATGGCCCCGACCCATGAGAGATGGGTAGGACTCTGGCTCAGGAGGAATGCGTACAGGTACGACATGGGATTGTCGATGTCCAAGCCAGCGGGGAGACCTTGTCCTGGCACATGGATGGGGTCTTTTCTCTGCCATCTCCTGGGGACTACAACCGAAAGGTACGGCAACACAAGACGCCGAACGTCCTGCACGATCGTCAACTCATCACTCATTCCCAGACACAGCTGCACGACCTCCATAGGGTTCATAAGAGAGAACTGCTCAAGGGAGATTTCCAAAACGGTATCAGCCCATCTCACTTGTGCTTCCGGTCGGCGGCTGTCGGGCTTGATCTCGTAGAGCAACTTACAAAGAATCTCCAGGTCCTCGCTCATTGTCTCCAGACCAGGGATATAGTGGTTGGTTCCGTGCTGGATTAATCGCCGCTCCTCCATCATCTGCGCTGCATTCCTGTCGATCTCCAGGGCTCTGTCAATGTACCAATGCGAAAGTGTCTCGGTTGAGGCGGGGAACGCCAGGGCTGACGGCAAGATCTCCTCAACTTCCTTCTTGATAGCGACCATATCCAAGTTTGCTGCCTCGTCTCCTCCATGAGCCGCCCTACGCTCCTCCAGCTTCAACGCATGAAGTTCCAGATATATCTCCATCTCGTGATCTGCCAACCCAAACAGAGCTGTCCTGCACTCAGGGATCTCAACCCAGTCAAGGTCCCTCCACGGGTGGTCGGGTGCCCAGGCCTTCTCCTGTCGGGTCTTGGGGTCGATCTGTGGCAGCAAGTCCTTGTAAAGTTCTGTTGGGCACGCCTCAGGGACTCGGTTGGCAATAGCGAGCCTCCAGGGCCATGTCTCGCGGTTGTGTCGAGTGAACAGAATCTTGACGCCTTCAATAAACTCCGCTTCCGCAAAGAAGCATGCCTGAGCCGAAAGATCCATGTCTTTGAAGGTGTTGAACGATCCTGTGAGCAATGGTCGAAGTGGCGCCTTGTGTTCCGGAGTATCATCGTAGTGCATGCCGAGCGGGTCCAACTGGCCCTGCGCTTGTGGTTTTGGTCGCATTTCTTCCTCCTTTGCCTCCTCTCGCGCCCTGATCTCCTTCTCGACCGTGGTCAGCTCAATAAACGTAGAAAGGCGATTGAGATACTTTAGGAAATACCACCGGTACTTGCACCAGAGCGTCTCCTGCTCGTTCAACTGGGCCTCAAGCAGAGCCTTACTGGTTTTCGGACCCATAGGCTCCCTGGCTGCAGCCGCTCGAATCCAATCAATCCTGACGTCCGAACCCAGCTCACACCGCCTAATGATGTCGTCCATAAGTCCTTCCGTCAGCCGAAGTCCGTACTCGAGAAGAATCCGGGAACCCTCGAGATCGTCGATGGTGTTGTCAATGCAGCTCGCAAGAACCCAGTCCTTGTTCTTGATCCTGTCCAGTAGGGTCGAAACAACCTCGGCGTTGACGTAGGTGAGTTGCCGCCACTGATGCTGAAAAATAATATCGGTGTCGAGCTCGTATGTTGTGGCGAGAGTGAGTGCTGAAGAGTAGTCCCTTGCATCCAACTTGCGATGGAGGAGTTCTTCTGGAGGAACTCGGAGCATCCTGTAGAGCGATAGCGTTCGCTTTGGCACCAGTATGAATTTTTGTCGTCTTCCTCGATGGTCGCCAACCTCCTTGGACTCAAAGTATTTTGACAACTGGGCGATCCACTTGAAGAGAAGACGCTCGTTGCCCATCATCTGGGCAATCTCCTGCTCGGTGGGCTCGCCCAAAGCCTTGTCCTCCTGCTCCGTCATCATAATCCATCGGTCGCCAACAACGCGCGCACGGATCATCCTGGTCATCTCTTCCATGACAAAGACCTGCTCATCATGCGAACTGAAGCCAGAGTTAGTGAACTCGAGGCACGAAGCAAACACCTTGGGCTCCTGTCCCAAAATGTTGACCAGCTCAGGGATCTGGAGAACAATCATCACTCCGCTCTCATAGCCCAACAGGATGGCGTCCTTTGTCCAGAATCGCATCGAAACACATCTCCCGTTGACGACGCCGATGAGGAGTTCCGATGTCCCGTTGGATTTGTATTCCTTGACAAGCTCCTGGAACTCTTGGAAGGAGAGGGAGCTGTGCTCCCTGGATCTGGCGTAGTAGTTGAGATGTTCGCTGTCCCAAGTCATCTTTAAAACGCCGCCCCGTTCCTTGGAAAGTGCCCAGCTGGTGAGTGTTCCAGAACAGTCGAGGGAAAGAGCGCCGTACTTCTCATGGATGACAACCGTGTGAACCGCATTTTGGACCAAATCTGCATCCCGCTCGAATAGCCTGTGAATGGTTTGCCCCACAGCGGCAAGCCCTGATCCTGATTTTTTTGTGTCCGGGGAAAGTCCCGTTCTTGCCAATGCGGTGTCAACTGAGGTTTCCAACTGGCCATCCGATTTGTATTTCCTGTAGTAGGGGGCGTTGTGCTCCGTGGCCAAGAACATGACTCTTGGTTGCGGTCCAGGCGTATCTATTAACGCGGATCAATGGTCAATTAGCGCCAGTTTCAAATATTACAAGTGCCGGTCATGAATGGTAACCATGGTGGTAATCTTTACCGTCTGTATTCTTGCTCTGAATTGGTGCCCCTCCAACGCAAAGGATGCCAGTTTGCTCATCGACAGAGGCGCAGGTGACGGTCCGGAACCAAGGTTGCAGAGTGAACTTGTGGTGGAAGCAAAAGAATCCAGGGTCTGAGAACCCTTCTCTTGGCCAGGAAGTTTGCCGGGGTGTGAGGAGAGACTGAGTTGCCAGGAGGGATCGGCGGTGTTGGAGTTTTTTGCTGGCTGGATGGTCCAAGCTCGGGGACGTTGGGTCAGAGACAGCGTGGTCGAGGGCTTCTGATGTGTTGAAAAGGTAGCTCCGGAGGATGCCGTCATAAGTGATTGTCAAGAGTTCGTACGCGTATGTGTGTCCGTTGAAGGTGACACCCAATCCCTCTGCAGCCTTGCTCCTCCGAACGTTGACAAAACCCACGTAACTGAGAGGCTCAACAAAGAACGGGCTAGGAGGGGTGATGTGCTGTTCATGTTCGGCGGGTGGTTGATCCCGAGGAATAATGGATCCGATGAGGTGCCCCTTGGTGTTTACAATTTCGATGGTACCATCGCTGAAGCTCCTTGCCACCAATCTCGAGTCCATGCTCCAGGCAACTTTCCTCCATTTCGGATACATGTCGTTCTTCTTGCCGCCGCTCCAGACCGCGTGAACGACTTGATAGCTGGAGTTGAGTGTCCTGAATTCGATCTTGTCGTCATGATTGACAGCAAGGAACTGACTGTCAGGACTCAAGGAGACTTGCCACGAGGACTTTAGTGGAGTGAGGATGGATGCGAGACCAGAGGGGACGGTTGTGGTGAGAAACAGTGGCGAGATATTGACGGCAACGCGTCGAAGGAGCCATTGCTTCCACTGTGAGACCCTCCGTTTAGTGTCCTTGTCGATTAAGGCAAGTTGTTGTTGTTGTGAGCCGGAGTTAGAGTCGTTGTCATCTGTAGGAGATGGTGGAGACGCGTCTGCACTGTCGTTGGGGTTCCAGATGGCAACCGTGTCGATATCGTACAGCTGGCGTTGTTTCTCCATGGCTGGAGTGATGTAAGTGTGGGTGAGGGTTCTTATGCCTTGTGTATTAGTAGGGAATGCAGCATGCAGGCGACGAGTGAAGGTAGCGCTGACTCGTGTGGTATGAATGTAGGCGGTTGTGAGGTGGGTGTGATGGGCTGTGAACGAAGAGTGATGACACGCATGCTCCCATGGTTGGACAGAACGAGCGAGCGCCCGAACGTGACTGTCTTCCGATGGTTCAAAGTGCAAGAGCGATTCTTACATCAATGAGGACCGTGTATCAAGTGCAATAAGTGTTCTGAGGTCCAGTTGCTTATTGCTATTTCTTGTGAACCACAACGCAGTGCAGCATTGGCAGCCAGTATGGCATCATGCGTGCGTTGGCCTAGTTGCTACACTATTCCTTTGGCATCGCAGTTGTGGCCTCGTTCCTTCTTGGTAAGTCAAGTGAAGAAGAACAAACAAAAAGTGCTCCAGCGCAAACTCCACCAATACAATTGACGATTGCAGCAACCCTTACCGCCTCCAGCAAATCGAGCTAGAAACTTCTGGGCCGCAGCAGCCACCTCTGAGGTGGATTGTCCAGAAGGCTCCTCGCGCCTCCGACGGGTGACGTATTGGAAGCACATAGCGGAGTAAATATTAATTTGCACTCCAAGGAGTCCAACAGCATCAAACCGCAAAAATTTGAATGAAAACGAACGCCGTAGAATAAGAAAAACTCCATAGAAGATCAACCAAGTTGTTCTTGTCTTTTCTTTTTTTTTCATTCGCTCCTCTCTCTTCTCCTCACTTCGCCACTTCTCCTCTTGAAAGGCGTTCATCCCTCCCTCCCTCCCTCCCTCCCTTTCGCACTCCTTCCTCTTCCTCCCTTCTCGCCACAACAGCCTGTCCTCTGTCCTCTTTCCAATACCGCTGTTGTCCAGTGTCGCCTACCCCACATACAAAGTACACATATTGATGCAGACTGCTGATGCCGCTGGGTCGCACGACCCCTCCGAGAACACATGGCCACAATACATCAAGGAGACCCTCCTGCCATCCATCACAACCTCCTCTGTGAACGAACGCACGCAGCTCCTCCACTTGCTCCTCGTCCGTATCAAGCGCAAAGGTACGTGAGCGATAAAGCTCGTCTTCACGTTTTTCGTGCAATTTGGCGTGCCTGGGAAAAAAATATATATCTCTGCACAGATCAGGTCTCCCGCCACCAAATTAACACACTTGGCTCCCCTTCACTGTATTATAGACTTGCCGGTCGAGTTGCTTCCTGGACTCCTCCATGTTCTCTTCATCTCATACCCCCGTTACACTGACAGAGCCTCGCGTCTGACAATGCTGGATATTCTGACCGAGCTTCATGCTTGGAACGCCGAGGAGTTCTTGAAGCTCATGGTCCCTGCCATTCACAAGGAAGCCGAAAGATTGTCAGCCAAGAGCATAGACGGGTAATGATCGAGATACAAACGACCATCATCCAATAACTATGCTACAATGCCACGAGTATCCTTGTCGCTAACATTGACTACTGCGGATCTGCATTCTGATAATAGTGTCTACATCACCGCAGCGACCAACCGCTTTGTCCTCTTGAACTGGGTGAACGTGCTGCTGAACAGCGTTTTGGGATCAAATTCAGAAACTCCTTCGCCGCACGCCAAGACCCTTGTTGGTTGCCAGGCCCTCCTCATCGATGGTTTGGTTGACGCCAACAAGAAGAGCGTCGCCCACGGAGCTATTGGAGACGTCCGCCGCAGTATTCGCAAGGTAATTTGTTTGTTTGTTTTAATGAATGGCGTTCGTTTGTTTATGTTATGGGATGTACTGCATGTTGTTCAAGGTATCAGTACTGACAGGCAAATTACTCTTGTTTTCAAATATCTAGAATGCGGCGTCCATTCCATTTTTCTTTGAGTACCTTACCTCGACTACGACTACACCCTCATACCTCAACTCTGTATTATTGGGAGCTGTGGTTGATGTCGCTCTTCGTCTCAAGCACAACACAGAGGTCGCAAAAGGATACATTTCAGCACACAAGGACGCCATTGTCAAGTATTACTTGACCAACTTGATCTCGTCCAAGCAGGCAGTACCAGCCAGATCCGCCGTAGGTTTCACCACAGCATCAAAACAGCATGTCAACATCTCACTTTCATGGTCCCCACCTTACGCTTTATTTATCCTTTGTCATTTAGATCGCATTCACTGACTTTATCAAGAACTACGTGACGCTGGATATCTTTAAGGCCGATTTCCTCCCAACCATGGAGCGCCTTGTTCTTCGCGCCCCCGAGATCGTCTTTGCCCGTATGTATTTTCTTTCACCCATTTATTTCAATGGCGATCAAGAAACGAGTCAGATGATTCTAACATACCAGCGGTTTATATTACACTTGTATAGTGTTGGTGCATCTTGTGAAGGCTCTTTCATTCGACCCATCTTCGATTTTCAGCTCATCGCTTCAGGACCCTTTGTTGAATGGATTGCGCTCGACCTCGGAATCTGTTCGCACTTCTTCCAACGCTTTGTTCAAGCAGTTGGCCGCGCAAAGCAAGGAGGAGGAGCACGTTTTGAAGGTTGTAACAGAAATGACAAAGTTGCTCACAACTGGCAAGGTTGCATTGCCCGACCACCGTGGTATTTTCTACGACTGTCTCGGAAAAACCGCTGCAACCAAGTCAGAGGCTGTTTCCATCAAGGCTCTTCAGGGATTGAACACGATGACTGCCAAGGAGTCTAACGAGGCCGCTGTCACTTTTGGCATTGACGCCACGATCTCGCACCTCCAGGTGCTTTTGGCTTCAGGAAAGGACGTACCCGAGGTTGCAGCCACGATTAAGACTGGTGCTACTGCTCTCGGAAGCACTCGTGCTTCTCTCCGCAAGACCTGGGCTCGCGGCATGGGCGATCTGATCTGGAAGGGTAAAGGACCTCTCGCGTTGCCTTCTTTTATTGTCAGGAAAATTATTGCTACGTATCATCAGGACTAATTATGTTTATTATTATTTGACAATCTATAGCCGAGTATGCTCAGGAATCTGTCAAGAGCGTCTCGCTGCTCATGACTCCTTTAATTGCCGCGTTCAACAACATCCAGAAGGCACCATTGACATATAAGGATGGACCATTGGAGGGCTACGTCGCAGTCGCTGCTGCTTACCGACTTTCCAAAGAGGGCGATGCTCCCGCTCGCCAGCTCATCAAGTCTGCTCTTGTCGTCTCCCCAAAGCCATCTTTGGTTTTGTTTGACAAGGTTTACACCAAGCTGACCACTGCCGAAGAGGGCGTTTGGTTTGTGCATGCTCTTGAGGCTTTGATGGCTGAGAAGGACGCGTCAGAAGAGGCCAAGTTGGCCATCGGAACAGGATTCATCTACTCCGCTGCTGCCTCCCCATACGCAGATGCTCGCAAGGAGGCTTTCCTTGCTCTCCAGCGCTGTGCCAAGAGCGATGCCGGCAATGTTGGCAACATCATCAGGGAGTCGCTTCTTCGCTGGGTCAACCTCCTCGAGACACCCGTCAAGGATTCGACCCCTTTCCTTGCCGCTTCCAGCATCTCGACTGATCGTCACATCGCCGCCTACCGCCTTTCAGAAATCTTGTCCGCCATCACCACCTACAACCCTGACGCAGACCAGAGCGTCATGGCTAAGGTGGCAACAGAGCTGATTGTTCTGTCCCACCACGAGGCCATTGCCTCTCCCACTAAGAAGTACGACTGGATGAGCATGGTTCAGCGTGCCAGACTTGACCCTGGACGCCTCGTTTCGGACTATGAGGATCGCATTAATGAGCTTGTGATGGCCGCCGCCAGCCTGGATTCGACTTCGCCCTTGATGTACAAGGCCGCCATGTCCACTATCTCCAGTCTTGTCTTCATCGCTCCCTCGTCCATGATCCCCATTTTTATCGGTCACCTTGAGCAGGATCTTGATTCCAGTCTTTTGGACAGGATTGGCGAACAGGAAATTGGTATTTGGAAGCACCCCGAGGGCGAGCTCTTCGTCGACGTCTTGAAGGGCATGAAGAAACAGGGCGGCGCCGACCGCAGCCGCCCCGCATTTGACGAGCAAAAGTTCAACCGCGATGTCAGGAAGGCTCTATCTGCAAAGAAGCCCGCTGCTACAGCTGCTACCTCTTCTACACCCAAGTTGACCAGGGACGAACAGGCCACAGTTGATGCCCAGCTTGCAAAGGAGTCTGCCATCCGCAAGAACGTCCAGAATACGTATGTCCACTTGATGCGTGGTCTTGCCACCATTCGCGCCCTTGTTGATGGTAACGCTGAGGAGTTGACCGCCAGACTTGTCGAGCTAGTCCGTCTTTTGTTGAACGGAGTTGTGAAGCGCGGTGGTCCCTTGGTCGGTTCTATCGCCGTTGACACCTATCTGACCCTTGGTCGCTGTGTCTCGGACCGTCTTGACAGCATCCGCATGCCTTTGGCCTTGGCTACTCTTCGCAGTTTGGATGTGAAGGAGGTTCCTGAGAACTGGACAGAAGAGTCATTGGAGAACCTCGTTTCGCGTGTCCTCTACCGTCTCCGCTTCGTCACTGAGAAGCAAGCCTTGCTTCCTTCCAGCTTTGCCTACTGTTTCCCTCTGATCCATAAGGTCCTCCAGAGCGGCGGTATTGTCAGCCCTGACAAGTCGTCCGCTGATGCCAAGGAGGTTTCTCAGGAGCAGGTCCAGATCGCCGTCGACGTTGTTTCGTACCACGCTCTTTCTGGAGCCTCGGATTCTTTGCCTCGCAAGGAGATGATTGACTCTCTCCTTTCCATCATCAAGGAGTACCCTCAGCTTGCCAAGACTGCCAGAACCTCCTTGGGTGATTTGACCCACTCCATGGGCGAGTCCGCAACCTTGGACGAGATTAACGTTCTCCTTGGTGGTCTTCTCTACAACGAGACCTTGGTCCGTCAAGCGGCCTTGGGCGCTCTCGAGCCATTGGAGTTGACTGTCATCGACTTTTCGCGCGAGCTTTGGACAGCCTGTTACGACGATGATACCACCAATGCCAAGCTGGCCTTTGAGCTCTGGGAGGACAACGGTATGGAGGTCGAGCCCACTTACGCGGACGCTTTGCTTCCATACGTCATTCACGAGAATGGCTTTGTTCGCCAGGCCGCAGGAAAGGCCATCGCTGGTGCCGTCAAGTTATACCCTGACACTGTTTCAGCCACTTTGGGAGCTATCTACATCGTGTACCATGAGAAGGCCCAGCCCATTGTTCCTCAGTACAACGAGTATGGTCTCTTGATCCAGGAGTCCCTCAGCCGTCTGGATCCCACTGATCAGCGATTCGGACTGTCGCAGGCTTTGAAGCACATTGCTCCTCTCATGACTGCTGCCGATCTCCAGCCCTTTGCCGAGTTTTTGATCCGCCAGGACGCATTGGGTGATCGCAGTGGCGATGTTCGTCAGGGTATGTTGGATGCTGGTTTGGCCATGATTACCGCCCACGGTGCCGAGAACGTCCACGCCTTGATCCCCGTCTTTGAGAACTACCTCTCCGAGCCCGCTCGTAACTCTGAGACCCAGGATCGTATTCGTGAGTCTGCCGTCATTTTGTTCGGTGCTCTCGCTCGTCACTTGGAGACCTCTTCTCCCAAGATTCCCTCGGCCGTTCAGAAGCTCATCGAGACCCTCAACACGCCTTCAGAACCTGTCCAGGTTGCTGTCGCCAACTGCTTGCCCGGTTTGGTCAAGTGCATCCCCGACCAGGTCCCTGAACTTCTCAAGACTTTGATGGACAAGACTTTCCACTCCAAGAAGTACTCTGAGCGCCGTGGTGCTGCTTACGGTCTTGCCGGTGTCATCAAGGGCCGTGGTATCTCTGCACTTAAGGAATTCTCTGTCATGGCCTCCTTGAAGGCCGCTGTCGACGACAAGAAGGATGCCCATGCTCGTGAGGGTGCCATGATTGCCTTCGAGACCCTCTCCCAGACTCTCGGCCGCCTCTTCGAGCCCTATATCATCCAGATTTTGCCCTTATTGCTTGTCTGCTTTGGTGACGCCGTCAGCGATGTTCGTCAGGCTACTGCTGAGACCTCCCGTGCCATCATGGGCAAGCTTTCAGGCCACTGTGTCAAGCTGATCATGCCCTCGTTGATGGCTGGCTTGGACGACCGCCAGTGGCGCACCAAGAAGGGATCCGTCGAACTCTTGGGATCCATGGCTTTCCTTGCCCCTAAGCAGTTATCCATCTCCTTGCCCACTATCATTCCCCGTCTCTCGGATGTCTTGACAGACTCTCACACCGCCGTCCAGGATGCTGCCCGTCTTGCCTTGACCCAGTTCGGTGAGGTTATCTCGAACCCCGAGATCCAGGATCTTGTCCCTATCATGATGGCCGCTCTTTGCGACCCTAACAGCAAGACTCATCCAGCCTTGACCGCCTTGTTGGGAACCTCGTTCGTCCATTACATCGATTCTCCCTCGCTGGCATTGGTCATGCCCATCTTGGAGCGTGGTCTTCGCGAGCGTGCTACCGACATTAAGAAGAAAGCTTCTCAGATTGTCGGAAACATGGCGTCTTTGACTGACCAGAAGGATCTCATTCCTTACTTGCCCCGTCTTTTGCCTGGCGTCAAGGAGGTCCTCATTGACCCCGTCCCCGATGCAAGAGCTACTGCTGCCAAGGCTTTGGGAACATTGGTCGAGAAGCTTGGTGAGTCCAACTTCCCCAACTTGGTTCACGAGCTCGTGGATACCCTCAAGTCCGACACCTCTGGAGTCGATCGCCAGGGAGCTGCTCAGGGCCTGTCTGAGGTCTTGGCTGGTCTTGGTTTGGAGCGCCTGGAGGGCTTGCTTCCCGAAATTATCATCAACACCGACTCGCCTAAGTCGTACATTCGCGAGGGTTTCATCTCGTTGCTTGTTTACCTTCCTGCCACCTTTGGTCAGCGCTTCCAGCCTTACCTCGGTCGCATTATTCCTCCAATTTTGATGGGTCTTGCCGACGAGTCCGAGTACGTCCGTGAGGCCTCGTTGAAGGCCGGTCAGATGATCATCAACAACTATGCCACTAAGGCCGTCGACCTGCTCTTGCCCGAGCTCGAGCGTGGTCTGTTCGACGACAACTGGCGTATTCGCCAGTCTTCCGTCCAGCTCATGGGTGATCTCCTGTTCCGCATCACCGGCACGAGCAAGCAGGCTGGCGTTGACGGTGAGGATGAGGGTGAGGAAGATGCTCCCGAGGACTTTGGTCACTCTGACAACATCCGCAAGAAGTTGCTCGAGGTTCTCGGTCGCGACCGCAGAGACCGTGTCCTGGCGTCTTTGTACATTGTTCGCGCCGATGGCTCTGCTATTGTTCGCCACGCCACGCTTACTGTCTGGAAGTCGTTGGTGACCAACACTCCACGTACCTTGAGAGAGATCTTGCCCACGATCATGTCGATGATTATTCGTAACTTGGCATCGACCTCGTACGATCGTCGCATGGTTGCTGCCCGTACCTTGGGTGACTTGGTCCGCAAGTTGGGTGAGGCTGTCTTGTCCGAGATTATCCCCATCCTGGAGGCCGGTCTCGAGAGCCCCGAGAGCGACACTCGCCAGGGTGTCTGCATTGGTCTTTCTGAGATCATGGCCACTGCCGGCAAAGTCCACGTTACCGACTATGTCGACTCGATCATCCCTGCTGTCCGCAAGGCTCTTCTCGACGAGTCCCCTGATGTCCGTGAGGCTGCTGCTCAGGCTTTCGATACTCTTCACCAGTGCGTTGGTCCCAAGGCCATTGACGAGATTTTGCCTTCCCTTTTGGCCAACCTCCAGACCGGCGACAAGTCCGAGTACGCCTTGGAGGGTCTCAAGGAGATTATGGCTGTCAGATCCAACGTCGTTTTCCCTGTCTTGATTCCTACTTTGATTGCCCAGCCCATCACTGCATTCAATGCTCGTGCCTTGGGATCCCTTGTGTCTGTGGCCGGAACTGCCTTGAACCGCCGCCTGACCAACATTTTGGCTGCGTTGATTCAATCGCAGGTGAACGAAACTGACCCTGATACCCTAGAGGCTTTGGAGACCACCATCTGCGCCCTTCTTCAATCGATCGACAACGCTGACGGTGCCCACACTCTGATGATGATGTTGTTCGAGCTCGTCAAGTCTGAGGATGCCTCCAAGCGTGCTTCTGGATGCAACATTCTTGCCACGTTCTGCGCCGAGTCGACTCAGGATATTTCCCGCTACGTCTCTGACTGGATTCGTGTCTTGATCAACTTGCTGGACGACCGCACCCACGCCGTTGTCGTTGCTGCCTTGGCTGCCTTGAACGCTGTCACTCGCACTGTTCGCAAGGATGAGTTGGAGGGGTTGGTGCAGTCGGTCCGTCGTTCCGTTCGTGCCGTCGGTATGCCTGGCGTGGATCTGCCCGGTTTCTGCTTGCCCAAGGGTATTGCTCCCCTGTTGCCCATCTTCTTGCAGGGTCTTATGAACGGATCGAACTCTATTCGTGAAGCTTCTTCTCTTGCCATTGGTGACTTGATCCAGCGCACCTCTGCCGATGCTCTTAAGCCCTTCGTTACCCAGATCACTGGTCCATTGATTCGTATTGTCGGAGACCGCCACACTGGCGAGGTCAAGAGTGCCATTCTGAGCACCCTCAGGTACGTGTTTTTCTCGATGCTGGTTTATTCTTTTTGATTCATATCGGCATACTGAGTACGCGTTAGTATGTTCTGACTTATTATTTTGCCATTATTTTCGAAACATAAATAGCTTGTTGCTCCAGAAGGTTCCTGCTCACCTCAAGCCCTTCTTGCCTCAGCTGCAGCGTACCTTTATCAAGTCCTTGACCGATCCGACCTCGGCCACTGTCCGTACTCGTGCTGCCGCTGCCTTGGCTATCCTCATTTCGCTTCAGTCTAGAGTTGATCCTTTGGTGACCGAGTTGGTCGCCGGTATCAAGTCTAGCGAGACTGGCGTTAAGGAGACTGTCATGGGTGCACTCGAGAGCGTTGTTAGCAAGATTGGTAGCGGCATGAGCGACGTCGCCAAGCGCGCCGTTATTGGTGTCGTCATGGAGGGCATGGATGCCAACAACTCTGGTGAGACTGGATGCCATTGTATTTCACATTTCGTTCTGTGGGAAGCTTGTGTCAGTATATGACTCTAATGTTGCCTTCATTTTTTTTCATTCTCTATAGAATCGATGTGGTTGGCCTCTGCAAAGTTGTTGGGCGCTTTCTGCAAGCATCAGAGTGCTGAGGATGCCTCCTACTTGATCCAGACCCAGATCTTGGGCGATGCCGTTCCTCTCAGCGGAGCTATGCTTGCTATCAACTCTGTCCTTGTCGAGTCGCCCCAGCTGTTCATTGAGACCGGTCACGTTCAGGAGATTGCCAACGCCGCCTTGGCCGCTATCCCCAACCCCATTGAGAGCAGTTCGACTGCCGGAGTGTTGGCTATCGGCAAGATGATGACCAGCGAGGCCTATCAGGCCGACCAGGAGTTGACTGGTGAGCTGATCAAGAAGCTGAGCCAGCACTTGACCCAGGATATCAACGTTGAATCCAAGCGTTTGATCCTTGTCTGCCTCCGCGCTGTTGCCCGTCAGACCCCTTGGTTGATGGAGCCTCACTTGAGCCACGTTGTGCCATTGATGATGACCTCTGTCCGCGAGCGTGTCATCCCTATCAAGCTGGCTGCCGAGAGAGCCTTGTTGTTTTCGCTTCAGTTGCAGAAGGACGATTCAGTCTACCAAGCGTACTTGGGCACCATCGACGCTGCTGCCAGCAGAGCGTTGGTAGATTACCACCGCCGTATCTTGTCCAAATTGGCGATTAACGAAAGGGCTCGTTTGGAGCAGTTGCATGGTCAGGAGGATGCTGATGCCATTGAGGAGGATTCTGAGGTCTACTCTGTTGGAGGTTTGAACCTCGGTACCAAGGATGACGAGTAGAATGTATTTGTTTGCGGTAGCCCGGGGTGGGGGGAGAGAAACAATAGAAGGTGTTTGAAAATTCGATGAGGTTAATAATTACTACGGTTTTTTTTTGTGTTTTTCTTCTGCATTGTCATTTGTTATTAAAGAATGTATCGAGATTTTTTTGTTCGTTTTTATTTGTATCAGGGACGGAAAATGGTATAATGGGCAATGCGAGGATGCGAGGATGATGCTATGGCTCGAGGGGACGACGGCCGAGGCCACAGTGGTCCATTGCTGCAGCATTGATATCGGTAGCGTTAGGGTCGGGGTTGCCCCACCAATAGGGCATCTTGATGTTCCACATCTCGAACGCGAAGAAGATAACCATCCCCGCAAGTGCGACGCCCGTGTCGAGTGCTGCAGAGGTCAGGTAGTTGTACCTCGACCACCAGCGGTACCGATACCGTCTCATCAGGAACATGAACACGAATCCGATGACGAGTCCGTTCGAGTAAAAGTAGGGGAGGGCTGGGGGCATGTTGGAGGTTGCGGTGAAGAGGACGGGCCAGTGGACGAGTTTGAGCCATTGTGCCTTTGGGAACTGTTTGCTTGCGGCCCAGAAGATTAGGGGGAGGAGGGCGCCGATGAGGAAACCGAGTTGGACGGAGGAGTAGAGGGCGCCGTCCTTGTGGCCAAAGACGCGGGCGGGGCCGATGGCGCCCCAGATGACGGAGGCTGAGTAGAAGGTGTTTGTGGCGCGACAAGTGAAGGGTGCGCCTTGTGGGGTGCAGAGGTTGGGTTGGGTGTTCATCAACCAGGTTGCGGTGCCGAGGTTGATTGTACAGGAGATGACGCTTGAGATGAGTTGGACGAGGAACATGCTTTGGGGTGGGACTTTCATGTAGTGGCCCAGTTTGAGGTCTGAAACGAAATTGAGGGCTTGGACGTTGACGATGTAGCCGTAGGTCTTGAAGGTGACATTGGCGATGGCGCGGCCGGGGAGGAGGTATCCGATCACGTACTCGGTGACGATGTTCAGGCCAGGTTGCTGGTTCGTCACGGCTTGGAGGATACCGACGGGGATGATAAAGATGGCGGCCATGAAGAGGGCGAGGATGAGGGCCCACCAGGGCATGTACTCGTACTTGACGGTCGTTATGAAACTGAGGGTGACCATGACGACGAATAGTAAACCGTACCACCAGTCGGGGACTTCGGGGTAGGCGCTCATCAAGCGGGAGTGGACATCCTCCCGACCGCTCGCAGCAGATTTCCAGCGTTGGACAATCTCCTTGCCGTGGTACAATATTGTGTGGATAATGGTTGCTGTCAGGGCTGCGAATCCGACTCCGTAGGTGAGAGCAAAGAAGCCGCTGATCCGGAGTGGGCCATAGATCCTGTACGCCTCCTCGTCCAGAAATCCATTACTGTCAAGCACTGCCGAGACGTTGTAAATCGACCCATTCTGCTGGAACGAGTTGGAAGAAAGAATGGGGTATTTTTTCGAGTCCCAGAGGTTGGTGTAGTACGCCCAAGGGACAAGAATATACGTCAAGAAAATAAATCCAAGCATAATGTTGAGCTGCGCAAACCAAGGGGTGACCAACGGTTGCAAGTTATACGAGACCGCCGACCAATCCAACGCGATAGTTCCAATTCCAAGTCCCTGTGACCCCGTGAGTTGTGCAAGGACCGCGCTTTGGGGGTTGATCCAGCAAATCCAGGAGATGACGCCGATGGTAGGGAAGATGAATCCTGGGAACCAGTAGTAGATGAAGGAGCCGAGGGTGACGAGGAGGAAGTACTTCATCCTCGACATGCGTCCTGCGTTTTCCAGATCCGAGCTGCTGCTGCCCGTGCTGCTGGCGTGCAGACTCCTGAATAAGGAAGCGGTGACCAGTGTTGAGGGCCATACCATATCCGCCGGCCTCACCAAGAACCTCCTAATCGCGCCTATTTGGTTGTAAATGGCGAGAAATGAAGTCAGACGTCTCTTCTTCGTTCTCAATACGTTAAGTATTAAGCATTAAGCTGAACCCCAAAGGCTCCATCGAACAACTCACCAGCCATTGCGAAACCCGTCACCTGGGTCGTCAACACGAGGAACAACCCCGCGACAAAAGGCTGCTCTTCTCCATAAAAGATCTTCTGCAAGATCACAATATCAACCGCATACGCAGTATTGGCATTACAAGCAGCCATGGTCCCAATCAAGATATGCTCCTTGATCGAAAACGGACCCGGGTTGAGCGTGAACGAGAACCCGATACGTGTGAACGGTACAAGAGTAATCCTGAATTGACGGGTGGGGAGACATTTGGCCATCATATGGCCTAGTGGGAGGGAGACGAGTGCGACTACGGGATAGCCTATCGAGATTTGGGTCTGGCGAAGGTAGAAGAATTGGTTGACAAAGGCGATGATAGCGGTGAAGATGAGGCCGAGGAACCACATCCGAAAAGTGTTGTAGGGTAAACTTGGGTCATCGCTGCCTATATTGTGATAAGAGCGTGGAAGGGGGTGGGGTAAGGGAATAGACAGGGAGAAGGGGGTCAGTTAGATTGGTCGGGAGACAACACAAAACGCAAGGGTGCTGTCCCGCCTATGGAAGGTTTGGTTGGCTGGTAGTGCTCTTGGGAAAATAATAATCCCAAATAAACAAACTGAAAAAAAAAAGTTCGGTACAAGAGGGAAAAGGTACAAAACAAAAGTACTTACTGGAAACAGTTACTCGCACTTCTTCAATCGGCGAAACACCCTCATCCTCGTCAAGGTTGATAGGAGGCTGTTCGATGTACTCGAGGCTCTGCTTTTCATTGTACTCGTTGAACTCGTTGTAGCGGTGGGAAGGGTATGTAGTCGAAGGGGTAGGGGTATGTGTCCATGAGGTGGAGGCAGAATGTGACTTTGTTGTTGTTGTTGTTGGAGGTGGGCCTGCCGACAGGTGCTTCGGTACACTCCTGAGCTCCATCTGTCTGTGTTTAGAAAAAGTGGGTATATGTCACAGAGGGTGTCGTTGTTACTTCTAAGGGTGTGAGTTATAGAGAGGTGAAGTGGAGGGAGGGTATTGTTGATCCTGAGGAGAAGAGGAGGCGGCTGTGTGAACGATGAGGAGAAGGAAAGAGTAGAAGGTGGACGGATATGTACAGAAGGAGTTGCCGAGGTGTATGAAGAGAGGGAAGGAAGAAGTGGTGATCGATCAAGGGAGCAAAGGGGAGGAAGACGGAGAGGAGAAGGAAGGATGATTATCGAACGACGCAGCGATAGAAGGAGAAAGGGAGAGAGGGGCTGTGGTTGCTTTTGATTGAAGGGTGAAGGATGTAAGTGGAATGAGGGATAGACGACAAATGGTGGAAGTAAAGGAAGTAAAGGAAGTAAAGGGAGGAGGAAAGGAAGTAAAGGGAAGAGGAAAGGAGAGCGAAGGAAAGAGAATAGAAGGAGGAAAGAAGTTGTTGAAGGGAAGGGGAAAACAGGAGCATCATCGATGCTTAAAAAGTCTCGCATTCGGCCGCGGCGATTGGGTGCTGATGGATGGTTCCTAGTATCAGTTATCACCAGTTGATTGATCGAACCACGACGCTGAATCTGGCACCTTCTGCCTCCATTGTTGGTGTTGTCTCCTTATGTGTGTCTGTTCACGGATAGACAACCGTGTGGTCCGTCCTACTCTCTTGTCCACATTGGTATCGATCGTCTTTGTGATATCGGTACTGTGCAATTTGCTCTTTTTTTTTTTTTTTTTTTTTTGGGATTTCACCCTTCCATGGATGCCGCCCCTTTGTGTGTGGCCCAATAATAGAGTCTCCTCGGATGTGTCTGCCGAACACAAGTCAGACCAACCAACAGAAAAATTGATTTCATGATCCAACCACTCCGACTGAGTGCGCAGGGGCTACACAAGAGGGATGGGAGAATGAACTTCTTCGTGAAAACAGCCCTACAGAAAGAAGACCCAGCGCAAACACACTCACGCAACTCACCCATTCAAGGTCTAGCATCATTTCCTGAAAAGTGGTCAACAATGATCCCTTTTGGACTCGCACGAAAAAAAGAAAAAAAAATACTATGGAAAAATACAACATATGCGCCATCACAAACAGGTATATGGCCGCCTCTCTTGGGAGGTCCTGGGAAACGGATAATTCGAACACACGAGACAGTAGATGATAAAAAGAAAAGAAGACGCCCCAGTCCTCAAACATCCATCTACTCCTCTCTTTTTAGGCATGTTTGCAAAGTCATTTATTCTCCAACCCTTTCTACCTTGAGAATCCCTGTACCAATTTCACACATGTCCCCATCCACTCAAGATATTGCGTCTAGAAAACAATGTTCCCATCGCTTCCCATCAAAACAACATAGTAAGCATCTTCTTTCATTCTTTGTGAGTGTTCTTGTATGTTCTACCTGTCTCTCCCCAAAAACACTCTCGATGCTCAATGGCTCTCTCTCTATCACGAACCCTTTCCCTGTCTTTCCCCTGCTTTTCTCCCATCAGCCTCAATTACCATGATGATATGTAGAATGAAGCCTGTCCAATAGGATTGCTCCCTTTTTGTTTTAGGGTTGAGCGCCCAACTATGAACCTGAATCATGCCAAATAACAAGCTCCATGAGGTTCATCATCATTCATTCCTGAGAGGGACTTACACATTGATATGCAGAGGACGAGTACTAGAAGCCATTAAGCATTATCTTCGCCACTCTAGTCCCGGCAAGCAGCCAAGCTACACGCCGCTAGTTGCTGAGTCCGAAATGAATAGTCAAGATGTACACTTTTCGACACATACGGAAAAGCGGCGCAATAAGAGAAAAGTAGAAATGATCTGACATCACATGTAGTGTCCAAAGACTGTAGCCGAGGGAGAGCAACCAAGTAAATAAAACTACATCTTTCCCTTCTCTTTCAAATAGCCTGAACCTTTTCTTATTGTCCTTGATAGACAGTAAGCCTCTCTTTCCCCTTTCAGCCTCCCTTATACTCTTCCATCAATCTGCTGCAGTGACAACCGGCGTCTAGGCAGCGAAGATGTATCAAAAGCAGTCGGAGATGCTCGGTCTGGGATCCGGTCTACAGACAAAAGGCGAGCAACTCGGGTCCAACACCCGTCATTGTGTAACAAAGCCCGGAGCCCTCCCTTTTCAGGCCTTCGATACACCTGCATACATATATTGGGTTTTGGGTCATGCCTTCTTTTCTTTTTTGTGCGAAATAGTTGTGTTACAGAACGTTCGCTGGATCAAAGGGAGCGTGGAAAAATGATGAGGTTGGGGAGTGCGACCATTTAGAGAATTAGAGCCAATCAAAAGAGAGCATGAGATTGTGCCTGAAGCGTGGCCGGAACTTGTGGAATGAGCGTACAGGACTGAAAAGGTGGTGGCGTCCTCTCTATGCCTCCATCTTCTTCCTCCTTTTAAGGACCACATGCGTCGTACTCTACAACCTCACATTGCAGTCCCTATGTTCTCTCAAGGACTAGACTCCTCGTCACCTTAGTTTTCTTTCTCCACATCCACTTTCGTTTGCTGCATCAACACGGCGAACCGAGGCCCATGGACGATACCAAACTTGAATACTCGGACTTAGGATCCGAGGGAGATTGCAAATAAGATGTACATCTAGACTATGAAGAGGTATTTGTTTCTAGCAATGGATCTTGGACTGTTGGACATACTGGGCGAATATGGACACCGGAGACACCATCCGTGAGGACAAGAGTGAGCGAAATAAGGAGGCTACTAGAAAAACATAAATCCCTCAGGCTAATAAAAAATGAAGCGTGAGGCATTTTTACTTGACGCGACTTTTTGATCAAGTCCATGCGCCATTTTTTCCCATAAAAAGGATGCGAGGTTCCTAAACGATACCTTTTTTTTTCCCTTTCTCTCTCCTCACCTCTATTTTTTCCAGTTCACTCCACTCTCTTCTTGACCATTTCTTTCCCTTTACCCTTCTCTCCCTTACCATTCTCGTCTTCCCCCTCCTCGTCACCTTTTCTTCCCTCAAACTCAGCCTCGCTCCTCTCACACTACACCACCATGCAATATCATACCAAAGCCCTTTCCACACGTCGTCTTGGTGTTCGATAATGCGTCTCGATGTAGATCGATGTCTGCCAGGGAGAGAGATCTGTGCCATGTGGAAAATGGGAAAAACAAAACGCACAAGAGGTGGATGGTACATCCATGTGTTGCATAAACAAAGTGCGACGTGTCACGCGTGGGGGAGGGGGTTGATGGTAGTGATACGGCAAGCAGGGAGGGAGGGCTCTCCTGATCCACATGCTTCCCTCATGCCCATCATTTTTTTCATCTGGAATAATGCACAAACACATCGTCGATCTTGCGGAGCTGAATGGGTGGGGGTTAAAAAATAGTGGCGGCTAATTTAGTTGGTGACTGACCAAATGGACGTATAGCAGTCGATGCGTTCAAGGCGAAGACAATTCTTCAAACAGCCAAACATATAGAGTAGTTGTTGAATGAACAATTTATTACAGGGGGTAAATGGTATGAACAGCACTAATAGGCTGGTGTCGTGGATGGAAATAAAAGAAAAAAAGGGAGACCTACTACCAGGATTCACCTGCGTAGTTGGCGCCACCGAGAGGACAGTGATCATAGACACCGTCAGCAGGGTTACCCCACCAGGCGGGGAACTCGCCATCCCAGGACTGGACAGCAAAGAAGATCAGGAGACCAGCGATGGCCACTCCGGTATCTAAGGCAGCGGAGGTCAGGTAGTTGTAGCGAGACCACCAGTCGTAACGGTAACGTCTGAGCCAGAAAGCGAAGATGAAGCCGAGGGCAAGACCGTTGGTGTACATGTAGGGAAGACCGGGAGGCATGTTGGAGGTGGCGGCCAGCAACACAGGCCAGTGGACGAGCTTCAACCATTCAATATGGGGGAACTTCTTGGAGAGGGCCCAGAAGAAAAGAGGGAGGAGGGCACCGACAAGGAAACCCCACTGGACCGGGGCGTAGAGAGCGTCGTCCTTGCTACCAAAGACGCGAGCAGGTCCGATGGCACCCCAGATGACCGAGGCCGAGTAGAAGGTCTTTGTGGAACGGCAAGTGAAGGGTGCGCCTTGTGGGGTGCAGACGTTAGGACGGGTGTTGATCAACCAGGTGGCAGTACCCAAATTGATGATGCAGGAGATGACGGCAGAGACCAACTGGGCCATGAACATGACCTTTGGAGGGATCTTCATGTAGTGTCCCAGCTTCAAATCAGAGACAAAGTTGAGGGCCTGAACGTTGACGATGTAACCGTAGGTCTTGAAGGTGACGTTGGCGATTGCGTTACCGGGTAAGATGTAACCGATAACGTACTCAGTGACAATGTTCAAACCAGGCTGCTGGTTGGTGACAGCCTGGACGATACCGACGGGCAAGACAAAGATGATGGCGATAGCAAGGGCGAGAAGAAGGGCCCACCAAGGCATGTAGTCCCAGACAACACAAGTGACCATGGAGAGAGCGAAGGTGACAATGAAGAGGAGACCGTACCACCAGTCGGGAACCTCGGGGTATGCACGCATCAAGCGGGAGTGGACATCCTCGTTTTCAGCACGGGCAGACTTCCAGCGCTCGACAATCTCGCGACCGTTGTACAGGAGGACGTGGACGATGGTGGCAGTCAGACCGGCGAAACCGACTCCATAGGTCAGAGCAAAGAAGGAGTCCATGCGGAGAGGACCATACTCGACGTACAACTGCTCATCCAAGATACCCTGGGCGTTGAGGACAAGACTCTTGTCGTACTCGGACCCGTTGCCCCTGTACAATACGGCGGTGACAATAGGGAAAGTCTTGGAGCCCCAGAGGTCAGAGTAGTAGGCCCAGGGGACCATGACCCAGGCGACGAGGATGAAACCGACCAAGATGTTGACCTGGGCGAACCAAGGGGTGACCAATGGTCCGATGTAGTACGAGGCAGCAGACCAGTCGAGGGCAATGACACCAATACCAAGACCATTAGTGCCGGTGAGCTGGGAGAGGACGACGTTGTTGGGGTTGATCCAGCAGATCCAGGCAATGTAACCGATGGTGGGGAAGATCAAACCGGGGAGCCAGTAGTACACAAAGGAACCACCAGCGATGATCATGAAGTATTTCATCCTCGACATGCGACCGCTATTGTCCTCGTCACGCTGGGCGTGGAGTGAACGGAAAAGCGAGGCAGTGACCAAGGTCGAGGGCCAGATCATGTGAGCAGGGCGGACCAAGAAGCGACGAATGGCACCAGCAATGGCGAAACCTGTGATTTGGGTGGTAAGGACAAGGAACATGCCGGCGACAAAGGACTTCTCGCTGTTGTACCACAACTTTTGCAAGATGACAATGTCGACAGCATAGGCAGTGCCCTGGTTACAGGCGACCATGGTTCCGATGAGGACGTGCTCCTTGATGTTGAAGGGACCGGGGTTGAGCGAGAACTTGAAGCCAAAGAGGTTGAACTGGCTGGTGGGGAGGACACGGGCCATGAAGTGACCCATGGGGAGCGAGAGAAGGGCGACGACAGAGTAACCGATCGAGATCTGGGTCTGACGAAGATAGAAGAATTGGTTGACAAAGGAGATGATGCAGGTCCAGAAGAGACCGAGGAACCACATGCGGAATGTGTTGTAGGGCATAGTGGGGTCATCGGTGTCTGTAGTAGGGTAGGGTTGCAGCAGGGAAGTGGATAATTATTAGTCATTAAGCTTTGAGAGAAGAGTGGGCAAGGATAAAGGGGAGATGAAGGAGAGGAGACTTACTGGAGATGGTAACTCGAACTTCTTCGATGGGGGAATCATCTTCCTCATCGAGGTTGAGCTGAGGCTCGACGTCGTCGAACTGCTTCTCGTTCTCGTACTTTTCGTGAATGACTTCTTCCTTCTCCATGGTGGATGGGAGAGTATTAGGATGAGAGGGGAAAAGAGAGAAGGAGGTGAAAGGGTGAGGGGTGGGTGGATGTTGGAAAACGGCACAAGGAAAAAAGTAGAAAGAAGTGGGAGATGATCGGATATTTATGTTATTATTGACAAAACTGTAAGTGGTGACACTCCTCCGTTCCATTGCTCGATCGAACCACTTTCCCAGACGAACGATGACAATAGATGAAAGGGAGGGGGAGAGAAGGAGAGAGGGAGAGCGTCGTGGGATTCTATTCGCACAAGAACAACAATAACAGCAATAACAGTTGTGGACGAATGGGATGGGTAAACACCCGTCTGTTGCGAAATGAAATTGGGAGAGAACAAACAAACAGGGACAAGGGGAAAAAAGAGCGTGCCTCGGCCTTTCTTTCTTTGCGTTTATGTTGTATGACACCGAACGTTATACACATGCCTACTCTCTCTCTCTTATTTGTTTGTGTCACGAATAGAGGTTGAAAAAGAAGAGAGGAAAGAGACGCTAATCCCAATGCGAAATGCGAGGAGAGTGCGTATGACCTGGAAACTACCGGTTATGGATTCCCCTTGGTCGTGGCTCTCTTATTTCCTCTAAATCTTGTTCAGATGGACACCTATTGACCCCTTTTGGACATGGGCAGGTGTGCCGGACAAAACTTTCTTTTCGCTCAACAACAACAAAGAATGCGATTGGCCATACTCAACCAGCGGAGAACATGGCTTTCGTGCTTTGTTCTAGCTCTGCTTTGTTCATGTCTTGTCATTGCATGAGCGAATAGGATTCATTCCAGCAGGAACAAGAGCACACCACTGTCTCTTGCATCCTTCTCTTTCCTGCACTCTACTGTTGACTGGCTGGCGGACAAGACATGACACTCAACTCCGTTAGAGAAGTTTACCCTTCAAGACCAACATGCTTATCACTTTGTACTCTTGCCAGTTTCATTTCCACCAGAGCCAGCCAATAAAATTGTTCAAAGACCTCAATGGGGTAGGGAGCTTGGCCTCTGAGCCACAAGAACGATGTAAGCCATCCATCCCATAAAAGCGCTTTCCTGTAGATAATCCGAACCATAAGAAGCTACTTGAACATCGGCATTGACATCTTGCTACAATTGTTCATCCATGATTCAAGGGCTAGCTGGCCCCATTGACATACCTCTTGTACCTTTTGCTCAGCACTCTCATACACATTGTTCTTACTCCTTCTCCTCCCGATCATTTGTGAACAATGAACAATAATAAGCTTACGCTTCTTTCGTTCAGACTCAAACCACCAGCGACAACTTTTGCCCCTCTTCGCCTCCTTTCATCCTTGAAGGACGCTTTGATAATCAATTTGTAGGAAACTGAACTGTGCACCGCCTAATGTTGCCAAAGTAACTGTCGAAAGCCAAAAAAAAAAAAAAAGGCCGGGAAGCAAGGTACAAGGGATGGAGAGATAGGGACTCACTCTTCCGAGGACCCACAGAGCAGCACACTCTTTCTCTTCTTCGTACTTCGTCTCTGAGCACGAATAGTTTCTTTGTTCGATCGGGTTTTCCCTTCGATGCAGCATCTTGTCATCCATTGGTCGTACTCCCTTGCGCCTTCTGTTTTTCCCTGAACTGTTTTTCCCTTCACTCCAGTCTAGCATTCGTTCGGCTATTGGACCGAACCAAACGGACTCTTTCCGGATGAGCATACACACACCACCTCCCTCCTTCTCATAAACAAGAAACAAGAAAATGGGCGTGTGTCATCGAAAATAAGAAAGAGATACGAAACTCTAAATAGGTCCTCTCCAACCGTCTACAGAATTCACATCACACGCCACGATGCATTTTTTTTTTTTGAACAATGAAGAATAGCCGGACAGAAGAACTTTGTATCCCTGCTCTTTACCCCTCTTTTTTTTTTCTTTTTGCGGCGGAAGAAAGCATGTACACTGTCAACATCAGCGCCGACCCCCCCTTTCACTTACAGTACAAAGAGAGGAATCACAACAAACAACAAGACCGTGGGTACCTTCCTCTTTCTTCTCATTGCAAATAAACCAAAAGTCAACTCCCTTTCAACAAACAACTTCGCAGATTTTCTCTCATTCTCCCTTCTCAACGGCGCATAATAACGAGTCCATACACAAACACAAGCAAATACGAACCAAGTGCTCTCCTTAACCTTCACGTCCTTGTTGTTCAAATTGCAATCAATACACAAACATTTCATTCCCAAAACGTGGAATCACGGTCGGGTGGACAACCGAAGAAGAATAAAAAAAAGCACAAGGCCTATGATTCTCCAACCAATCACAGCCCATCCTTGCGTGTGTCTCGATCGCGAAGGGAAAGGTGAAAACGGATGCTGCTGCCGGAGCTTACTGCATGTTAACGGAACCAAAGAAAGTAGGAGCACGTGCTCTGCGAGACGTAGGCTTGGACTTGGACATTGCAGATTATGTCTCCTAGCAATTAGGATGGTGAGGCACTAGCCACCAGAACTCCGCGTTACCGTGAACGAATCGGGTGCCTTCACATCTATAAGCCATATATACTTTACTCGTCTTCATACTTGATCCAATCGTTACAGTTACCAAAAGATCCAGATCCCATTTTTTTCAATGCTGGAATGCGACTGTTGTTTATGATGATTTTGTGTGAAAAAAAGAAAAAAAAGGGTGTATGAATGTTGAGTGAGGGTAGGCGCTGTTTAGTTCATCTCCTCGTCGTCATCCTCGTACTCAATTTCTCCGCCCTCGATCTCCTCCTGCTCAATTTCTGGCCCCAAAACCTGAGTGATGGTCTCCAAAAGCTCCTGGGTATGCTGCAGCAAAGGCTGATCTGTGGACTCTGTCGTGTGCCAGAGCTAATGCAGGTAATAATGAAATAAAGTAAGGGTTAATATATATGACAACATACAGATATCAATCGCAAACCAATAGCAAAATAAAAGTGTCCAACAAGTGTTCGCACGGTACCTTGACGCAGGCGTTTAATGCCTCCCTGGCGTTTTCCAACTGCTCTTGCCTTTCTTCTTCAGCGGTAGGCGAAGACTCATCAACCTCCTCGGCAGCAATATAGTTGGCCCATCCAAAGAGATATAATGTGTCGGGGACCTGGTCGTTCTCCTCAATCAATCCGTTCAAGACCGTGAAGGCTTCGTCGTACATGGCAGTCTCCAACAGAAGCTTGACCAATGCCAAACGGGTCTCGTAGTCAGGTGTAGGCCCATCTTCCTCGGTTGGGTCCGATCCCAACCACAATGCCAATCCCTGCGCCAAAGCAGCCTTGGCCTCATCCACACGCTGTTGACTCAATCTGACCGAGGCCATGGTCTGGTATACCTCTGGTGTCACAGGCTCAATCTGGATCGCCTGTGCCAAGTAAGTCTCGCACTGTGATTCTGCGTTAGATTCGAAACTATCAAGAAATATGGTGGGTGGTGATGAATAAAGAGTCGTAAGTATCCTTGTCCTTAGCGTTCATGTAAATTTCCTACGCACTCCTTCGCCTTTGTTGTATTCGCCCTTGCATCCTGGCAGTGAATTATCCATAATCAATCCAAGCTTGTTTTCTTATTCTTCCGTCTCCGATGGCTCTCCAGTTGTCGCCTTTGTATCCTAAAGCCAAATATCCCAACGTCGATCTCATTTTGCTTGTCTCATAAGCCTCTTTTGTAGCTGCCCTTGTATCCTGAAAGTCAATTATTCCATTGTCATGTCGAAATTGAAGACGAGACATGGAGCAGAGTGACATACCAGCAGTCGGTAAGGTAGATGTCGGTCATGGAGCAAAGTGCGGACGAGATCTTGCTGGACAACATCAAGTACTCGCTTCCTTTGGTGAGATCCTGAGGCATGGCCGCACGCTCGGCAATCATGAGGTTGACTCCTTGTTGGAAATATGAGATCGCCTCCAGCTGCTCCGACATTTGACCGAGGTACATGAACTTTGAGTAACCAGAGTTGGGCTGAATCTTGACGCATTGGAGAAAGTGCTATCGAGGTATGAAAGTTCCAATAACGAAAGAGGAGGTTAGAAAACGCGATCTGGCATCATAAGACATCCTTGCAGTAGTTGCTAGCAAGGCAAATGTGGTTCCCCGCAGTTTTATATGTCGTCTTGATAGACATACCTCCTTGGCTTCGTTGAACAGCTCAAGCTCGACCTCGATGGAACCAGCAGCCTCGAGAGCAGCGAGATTCTGGGGCTCCATTTGCAAGGCACGCATGGCGAACTGGTGGGCGAGCTCAAACTCGAATGTGTCGAGGGCCTGGTTGGCCTGGGCAAGGAGGTCATTGACGGTGTAGGTTGGCGCTGGTGCGCTTCCTGGTTGCCGGGTTGTGACTTTTGAGCGCTGGAACTTTCCCATGTGTGGAATGTGTCGGAGGGGGGGAGGTCGAGGGAGGAAGGTGGGATGAGCTGGAGGAGTTGTTCGACTGCTGAGAGAGAAAAAAAAAAAAAAAAAAAAAAGTAAAACAGGAGAGACTGGCTTTGGTTGCAGCTCAACTTTTTTTTTTTGTGTGTGTGTGTAAATATCGCTAAGCCACTGCGTCTTGTCAGGCTGGCGTATTCCAGGCACAAAGAAAAGCAAAACGCCACCATTTTTACTTTCTCATCACAACTAGCTTGAGCGCTTCTTTTCCTCGACCTTCTCTCCACTCCCAGGTCAACAACACATATTTCCTTTCTTTTACTTTCCACTCACGCCTTCGCAGCTCTGCCTCACTCCTATTCGCTCTCTTTCCGTTACTCACTTTCATCAACAACAAGATTCAACGACCTGCCCGCGTCGCCGTGCATAACAAGAATCAGAAGGAAGTGGGACAAGGGTCGAAAAAAAGACGATGATATCGTTGTGCTATCGACGAACGACAATGGTGAAGACGGAAACTAAACGATAAAATCAACGACAAGGACAGGAATCTACGACGGCGCAAAACGGCGACGTCGGAAAGGAGGTCTTCGTAATGAAGGCTGCCATTGGCTATTACAATGTAACAATATCAACGAAAGACGACGACAAACGGGACATTCAACGATAATATCAGCAAAGTAGCAAAGGACGAAAATGAGGAAACAGAAAAAGGACAGAGAGATCGCTTAAGTTGAGCGAGGGTCAATCCGCAACAGGATCGAGGTTGAGAATCGCCAAGCCAAGAACTAACAAAGTCATCGATAACGATGGTCACTCCTGAAACCATGGGCGAGGATGAACAATGCAACACTGACAAAGACGGCGATACCAGTTGATACCGCTTGATACCGCTTGGGGTATCTAGGTCTAGGTCCCGAACGGGCCTTGCAGGTCGTTCATTTACCAATTTGATTGAGGCATCGCAGGCCGTCAGAATTTTTTATCCATAGAAAAGCGTAGAAAGAGACCAAAAATGAAAAGGTGTTGTTCGTGTCATTTTGACCATAAACAAGAAAGGTTCCAATGCACCCGAGAAAAAAAATGAGACGATCTATGAACAGGCATTTATTGTATTTGTCCTTCACTCTATTCAATTGAAAAGGAAAAGCACGACATCGAAAGAACAGTGCCGTTATCCACCCTAGGGTTCAAAAGATGTGTGAAAAGGAGAGGCAAGGAGAAAAACGATAGAAAAAGTAAAAACTGAAAATGGGGGGAAGTCCTATACAAGATATGTACAATGAACTATGTACAAGCGAGATGGTAGTCCCGCGATTCTTTGTGTGTTTGAGTGAGAGTGTGAGGGTGCTGTATATACGGGTGTGTTGTGTGTTGTGTATTAGCATGCCGATGGTTGAAGCCGAGGTGTGCATGGGACCAAAGCCCCCACGCTCATTGACTCCCTTGACAAGTGCTAGTGTTGTAGTTGGCGTGGTGTTGTCTCTTTGCTGTCTGCGATGGCTCCGGTACTGAATTTTTTGTTGTTGATAATTTTTTTTGCTGTTTTTTGTGTTATTGATGTGCTGTAGATATCCCGCGTCAAGTTGCCGCTCAGAACTGCAGATCTATCCACCCAACGTGGACTCGACCCTGAAATCCTGACTCATCCTGACATCCATAAAAGAAAAAATAAATATCGAAGATCCTGATTATATGTACGATGGTTTGTCGTCTTCGAGAGGTTAGGCTGGCGTCGCCGAAGCATTAGCCACAATAGGCGAATTGGGCGTGGGGGTCAGGGTGCGGATCGACAATGCAGGCGATGCGATAAACCCGTCCAGAGCGGACCGGGGCTCCTGAAGTGCCATCAGCTTCTCCACTTCTATTAAATACAATGGAACAGTGGCGATGAGTACGTGCAATGCAGAGCCGACGTTATTCTTTCAACCACAATGAATGGAAGTTAACTTACTGGTGATGAGATGCTTGCCGTAGGTGTATTTCTTCAGGGACTGCAGGTGAGGCTTGATCTTGGCAACGAGGACATCACGTTGCTCGCCGTCAACAACATCCAGCATCTTTTGGACGACATAGTTGGCAAACTGGTCCTTCATCATCAACACCAAGGGAGAGGTTCCGTCAGGCTTGGTGATAATGACTTCCTCAATCAGCTTCTGACGATCCGAAGGAGATCCGTAGGCAACGCACTTCTCGACTACGTTGCTGGCAAACTTGTGTTTGCTCAGCTGGAGGACCTGACCCATGACTTTGGACACAACAAGCGACTTTTCCGTGGGGTTTCCGCGCTCGAGAATGTGTTGGATCACATAGTTTCCGTACTGGTCCTGAACCAAGTTGGGAATGTATCTGTGGAGCTCATCCATCAAAGGCTATTTGAGGAAAATGAAAAAAAAACAAGTTGTGAGATATCGTTCCTTGATGTTAGGACATAAGCGCATAGTAAAACTGAAAGGGCTTATCACGTACAGTCTTGGTGTCGGCGCAGTGCTCAAACATGCGCTGGATGACACGACATCCATATGGATGGGTAGCCAAAGTATAAACCTGGCCAGTAAAGGCGTTCATGATGAACTGGATGTGCTCGGCAGGGACGCACTCGATGGCTTTCTGAATCACGTGGTTTCCGTTCTGGTCCTTGACGCACTTCAGAACATGGCCCTCCAACTCTTTGACCAAGACCGCCTGCTGGTCGCTCAACACATGCTCGAGACCCTTCTGGACAACACGGCATCCGTACATCTGGAGAGCCAAAGAAAGAATGTGGCCGTCCATCTGCTTGGCGAGAACGCTCTTGTGCTCCTGGGCGCCGTGTTCAAAGAATTTTTGGATAACATAGTTACCAAAGACATCGGTCATCAGCTGCAGAGCATGGGGCAAAATCTCATCAAAGACCATAGCTTTCTCCTCCTCTGTAGCCGTCTCAAGCTTTTGCTGAATGAATCGAGATCCATGTTGGTCTCCGCTGAACTCGACCACGCTTCCTGCAATGTCCTAATTGGGTCCATTTGATAAACCGTGGATCAGTAACATGGCTCTTCCATTAGAATGTCAGTGTATTTTTGAAAAGTGTGGTTAAGTTGACGAATATTACCTTGAGTTCGTATTTCTTGTTGCTCTTGTTGCTTCTGAACTCTTCGAGCAAGGGGCTGCGGAGACCATGACCGGGGTCGTTCTCGCTGTCCTTGGTATCGTCGCCTTGGTGGCTCCTTGACGACACGCCAGGTCCACCGTTGTTGTGATCGGAATCGGTACCAGACTTGGCATGATCGCCCCCATTCTTGTGCTGCGAGGCATGATGATGCTTAGGAGAGGACACCTGAGAGTGCTGGTTGTGATTGTTATTGTTTTTGGAGCGTGTTCTCGTCTGTTTGTGACCGTGAGAATGAGGCTGCTGACCGTGTTGATGCTGTTGTTGTTGTTGCTGTTGTTGGTGCTGGTGCTGGTGTTGATGTTGCTGTTGTAACTGCTGCTGTTGCTGCTGTCTCATCAACATGAGCTGCTGTTGCTGCATAAGAATTTGCTGTGACTGAAGACGGAGCTTCTTCTCCGCGGCAGCATGGATGGCTCTGGCGGCAGCAGTTGCACGCGCGTCGGCATGATTCAACTCTGACGCTCTTAGACCGTTTCCAGGATAATCCATTGCAGAGGGCGACCCCAATGAATCCATGGAAACCCCGTTGGGCGAGTAGAAACCATGCTGTTGTTGCTGTTGATGCAATTGCAACAATTGCGCCTTGCGGTACTCAGGCGACAAGCTTGGAGCCGGATGATGCATCCTGCGTGGATCATAGGCCAAATCATTGGCACGGAATCCCAAAGATGCCTCGTCGTGTCCTGCAAGCATCGAATGAAGATCTAGGAATTGTAGAGGCACACATTTGTGAGTCAATTGCTGTAACTGAAGACCATTGAATTTGGTACCCTTTACATATGTATGGCGTGGAAAAGTACCTTTTTGGGAAGCAGTCAGAAGATCACGGCTGGATGAAGTGTCCTGCAAACCAGATGAAGGCAAGTAGTCATATCCGAATTGAGTGTTCGTCATACGGGGATCCTTGAGCACGTTCTGGCTGTCAAAGTAAGGCGAGTAGGCTGTAACAGGTGTATGAGATCCATGGAGAGGGTGGTGTAACTGCTGGAACTGCTGCTGCTGCTGACGTTGCTGCTGAAGCTGGATCTGCTGCAATTTCAGTTGCTGTTGGTTCAGGTGGAACTGCTGCCTCCTCAAATTTGCCTGTTGAAGCGCCAAGTCGTCATCCTATCAAAAGTGGGTGGGCGTAAAAAATGAGAGCATTGAAGGATGAGCGACTAAAAACAAAGCAACAAAAGTAGCGTACATAGAAAGCAGCAAAAGCAAAAAAAAAAAAAAGGGTGACATACGGAGTTTCCGAGCTGCAAGTGGCGCATGCCAAAATCCATGTCTGACTGGGCTGCATCGAAAGCACTATCGGCAGAGAATCCTGGGGGGTTTCGGCTGTGTGGGAAACCTGGCCCAGAGATGGGTGGCGTGGAGGAGGACCTCTGAGGAGGCGCAAATTTGGTTTGGAACAAGGGCGAGCGGGCATTGACCGCGGTGGGAATTCTTTCGTCCTCCCCAGCATCGAGCGCAGCGTTAAGGACAGATTTCAACTGAGAAGATCTGTCGTCCATATCATCCGACGCCAGTCCATAATCCAAATCGTTTTGCGAGCCTACAGGAGCGGACCGCAGAGGCTCGTCTATGCCGAGAGACTCGGAAATGTCATGTCGAAGAGTTGAAGGGGTCGACAAGGGTGAACGAATGTTTTGGCTGGGCGTCAACGACTGATAGAGAGGGCTGCTGTGGGCTTGATGTGGCTGTGAATGCGATGGCAGGTTGAAAAGAGGGGAAGGTGACCGAGGAAAGTCCTGCGAAGGCGAGGAAACCGATGGAGCCCAGATATGGCTAAGATGATCAGAATGGCTCCCAAACATGGGCGAGGCAGGCATGGAAGAAGTGTTCCGCTGCAAGTTGCTACTGCTGTTGTTGTTGCTGCTACTTTCGCCGCCAAGTCCTTTGAGCTGGGCAAGTCTGGGCGATTGGGTCTCCGACCTGGATATTTCCGGCGACTGCATCTCTTGGCGCCAAAGAAAGGCGGGGTCGGCTGTTGATGTCATTGAACCCAGGTAATCCGTCGATCCTATATGACAGGAGAAGTTGGTCAGTCCAGGCACTAATGTTGTCAACGAGGTGAAGTCCCCGAAAGGTATAGGAAATGATTACAAGGGGGGAGGAAGTGGGCACGGTCCCTCGGTTGTTTTCCCTTGTAATAAACTCTTTGACATGCAGAAACTGGCCGCAAGGAGGCAAGGCAGGAGAAGAGAGCATGATGTGTTGTCCCTCCAGACACTGTCAATTGCTCTCTTCAGTCGCGATAATGAGGCACAAAAGTGAAAAGCAGAAATAGCGACGTCGACTCTTACCAGCTGCAGTAGTGCTCAAGTTCTTTCCAGCATCGTCTGATCCGCCTGCTTGTCCTGAGATAGAGGTGGTCGACGACCACAATTGCCACGATGGTCCAGGTGAGTAGACTGACGACGACGACTGTGGCTGTAGCAGTGCAGAACGAGAATCCTGGCGCGGCGACGTCATAAAAGCTGCGCCGTGATTGTTGACGGTAGTGCTGCTGTTGTTGTCGTTGTAGTTGTTGTTGTTGTTGGCACCGAGGTAGTCTGTGGACTCGGAGCGTGTGAGATCTGCGGGCGACAAGGGCGAGTCGTATCCTGGACCAAAGTTGCTGAATCGAGACGAGTTGGTCTGGTGGTGCTGGTTAGGAGGCGCGGAGCTGGAACGTGAGATATCCAGACCCGTACTGTAGTTGAAGCCATCAAAGTCTCCGAACTTGCCTCGCAGCAAACTAGCCAACTGCTATTGATCGTTTCGTTTGTAAAAGATGATGTCAGATCATCTTGTTGAATCATAAAGGCTGTTCCTGACAGGAGCTGTTGCGTAGTATTCGTTTTGGTTGTGAGTGCGTAGTATTATTATTACCTGTCCATGCTGGTTGTTGGTGATGGCGGGTTGGTAGATGTCGGCGTTGTTGGCGCCGCCTCCGCCTGAGCCGTTGGCGGTGGTTGAGCCTATAGGCGCGCTGTAGAAGTGATCATCCATGATTGAGCTGGCTGGGTTCTCCCTTTTTGGTGGCAAGTCCAGATGAGTAATAACGGTTATTGCCAAGGGAGGAGGTAAAGCGCTGAAATGCTCAAGAGCTTCGAGGGTGTCAGCAAGTTGGGATAGAAGAAAGGACGAAGGAAAGGAGCAAGAAAGAGAACAAGTCCAAAGACGTGAGGGGTTCAAGGAGGCGAGGAGAAGAAAAAGGGAAAAGGACGCAAGAAGTAGAGAGAAAAAGAAGAAAAAAGAAAACAACAAACAAGTGGAAAGGGAGAAGAAGAGGGAAAGACTCTTCAGGCCTTGGGTTGAGTGTCCGAAGAAAGGACGACGCAGTGACGAGAAGAGTGGAGAGAGGGAGAGAAAAGACGTCGGTCTTTTTTTCTTTTGTCTGTCTGTGTCTTTTTCTGCCTTGTTCCAGTGGGTGGGTGAGGTGTGTTTGTGTGTGTCCTGTGCACCTGGACGGAGGGGACAGAGCGAGTGTATTTGGTACACTGAAGGATCGGTGGGGGTGGATACGTGGGACACGACGGAGGCGCAGAGGAGCAATTGAGCAAACGAACAAACGAGAGGCAAGGGTGATATGGAAGAAGAAGGAGGAGGAGGAGAGGTGGGTGAAAGGGAGGGTGAAGGGAAGGGTGATGAGAGGGAGGACGAAGTATGGATCCGACCAGAACAGCAAAAAAAAAGGATCGGATGGTGATGGGGACTGGAAAAAAGGAGAAGACACAGAAGTGAAAAGGAAGAAAACAGGAAAGAAAAAAAAAAAAAACGGCCTTTTAAAAATAGTAAGGAGGGCGATGACAGAATGCTGGTCTGCATTCAGAGTGACAAGCAAACAGAAAGAGAGAACGACGGATTTCACAGCGGAGACCTTTTAGCGTATAGTATTGCCACTTCCCTGTTCTTCACTGTTCTATCGCGCTGACTCATCAAGGTGAATAAAAACATCAAACTGGGTTCCCCAGGCCCCAGTTCTCAGGTTCCAGGACGCAGGTACAAGATGCCCTTGTATCACATCAGAAACAACCTAACCAAGAGTCGTGTTCCCACCGTTCCCACCGCGCGTTTTTCCAAAAAAAAAAAAATGCCGGGTGACGTCACCTGCTGGAACGACGCGTTGTCGTTCCAAACCACGCCCTGCACCTTTCTTCTTTAGTAACCTCGAACAACCCACCAACACCAACACTTAACACTTAACATACCAAACCAACAGAAGCACATACACACCAAACTGCACATAATGTCATCCAAGATTCTTCTTCAGTTCAAAGCAGGACGATGCTTCAGGGACGGAGCCACCAACACAGTCAAGCCAGATGCCACCAAAGGGTACTTCAATGCTCCCTTTATGCCTCTTCTACCTTGCAGACAGCGTTCCTCGTGGTCATGTGGAAACCACCTTTAGAGCAACACCTGTTTACACATATGAGCTCTTCACTTTCTTTCGTTGATAGGTTGGTCTATATGGAGGAGGAGGACGGCCTGTTGCACTTTTTCTGGAAGAACAGGACAACAAACTCAGTTGAGGACGTACGTTCAACCTATCTCGCCTACTCACCTTACCATGGAGCCAAAGGAACCACACAAACGCACGCATATGGCTGACACGACACTATCAAAGACAATCAAAGACATTGGCTGACTCGAACACCTTTTCTTTTATTGTCCCACCCTTTGACGCAAAATAGGATCTGATCTTGTTCCCAGGAGACGCAGAACTGCTGAAGGTCGACGAGTGCACAACAGGAAGAGTCCTCGTCCTCAAGTTCAAATCATCTTCACAAAAGCTCTTCTTCTGGCTTCAGGAGTCCAACTCCGACCGGGATCAGATCGTCTTGCAACAGGCAAACACCCTCATCAACCAGGGCAGCGATGGCGGTTTCGGAGATGACGATGTCAACATGGAGTAAGATTGGAATATTGCCTTGTTGCACTCACTCACGGCATTCGCACCACCATCGCCACCACCTGTACAGAACCAACATCCAAGCCATTAAAAGATGACAAAAATAACCGTCTGTCAGATTGATCTATGTCAAATTATGGTGCGAGTGTTCTTTGTGCAGACTTTTGCTATTGACCGGGATGCATCAATTACATCTTTTCTATTGCAATTGGGAATTTTCAGCGACCTGAGGTACATGAACAAGGACGATGACAATCATTGGACAAGGAGAACGAAGCAAGATTGATAAAAGCTATCGAACAAGGATGGCGAAACTCCTCGAACAGATCTTATGGAAGCCTTCGGACAGCAATAATGAAAGCCATTGAGGACCGAAAAAAAGTTGGCGAACAAGGCACAACTGCAAATGAGGAAAAGGTACCAGCAAAACAGTTGGCATCGGCATATAATTTTTCATCAGGCATGATACGGAGAAGTGGTTCATTTTAGTTGTCTAAATGAGGCCATAATGCTTGCCAAAGATGATGGCAAGAACGCTATAGATACCCATGACTCCAATGAGACACCAGAACCATGTCAACGGCTCGCCATCCATGTCAGGTTGCCCCGGTACGTGGACGTTCATTCTGTCGTTCAAAAAAAGAAAAAGAAAAAGAAAAAGAAAGGCAAAAGTAGGTCAGTGAACTACGCATTTAGCCTTTTCATAAATTCTTTGCTACCAAAAATCAAACAAGAAACACTCACCCCCAGAGACCGGCGATAAAGGTCATAGGCACAATCAAACTGGCAAAGAACGTCAAGGTCCCGACAACATTGTTGGTCTTGTTGGAGAGCTGGTTGATTTCGAGCGAGATCTGAGCGAGGTAGTTGGAATGAGATCGGCCCAGCACCTTTTCGTAGCTGTTGAGAGACTGCAGCATCGTCAGGACGTGGTCCAGAATATCGCCCAGGTACAGCATGATCTCTGTTTCACGGTAGTTTTGAAGTAAGTACTGTGGCTGCTGATGCTGCGACATGTTGTCTGGTTGAACTGGAGCTGCTGCTCCGGGAGCATTTCCTGCAGGGGTGGCTCTTCCACTGGCTCCTGGTCCAGTTCCTGCTGTGACTCCTGCTCCTGGTTGCGCGGCGGCCGGTACTCCTGCTCCAACGGCACCAATGACAGGATCTCTTGCTGGCTCGCGTGGGCCAGCATATCCCCAAGCACCTCCTGCAGACATCATATACCGTTCGTCGAACCGCTTCATCAGTCCACGAATGACATCGGCCTTGTTCATCAAGAGTCGAGAGATGGCCATGACGTTCTTTCGACAGGATCCAATTCGCCTCAACATATCCGTTGTCTCGTTCTCCCGAAGCAAGAGAACCAGATCATCGATTGAGTCAACTTCATATTCGATTGTCTGGATCGGAGACGCAAAGCTGTCGGTGATGTCGTCCAGGAGCGCATAGTTGATCCAATCTGGAGTCAAAGTGATGTGCGAATGGAATTGCTCGAGTCGGCGGAGTACATTCAGATGGTGCGTCGTAGGTAAAAAGTGAAACTATCGGAAATCAACAAAGAACCTCATCGAGTTGGAGGACATGTAGACGAAACGTGCCAATCGACAAACACTGAACAACAGCAAATACCCTTACGGTGATGATGCCCTCCCGCAGGACGACAGAGTACATTGAGGCAGGCTGGAGATAGGATACCGAGTTGTAGTCCTGGTCAAATGTCCGGAAGCAGACAAAGTAGTAGTTACGGAAGACTTCGTACTTTTCCCGCACTTCCTCGGTTGAGATGTCCTCGATAGTCAGCGGGTGAATATGAAAGTGCTATCGACACAAAGAAGATCCGATCAATTTCAAGTCAGCATGCCAATGCCAATGTGCATTCAGAATGAGGGGTAAGCGGAAGAGCGGCACATAAAATAATATTCCTGTTTACCTTGGATAAGATCTGCATGTCGAAATCACTCGGGTCAAGGATATCGATCCAGAAGCAGCCATCCTTGAGCAGATCCGAAAATACTCTGGGTCCTTCCGTCCCAACACCCCCTCCTTCTAACGACGCCTTGCTGAGAATCTGTGGCAGCGATGGCGCCTCGATAAATCCTGCTGTCCTCGAGTAGAATGTATACCGAACCTGTTCTGGCAATGGTGGCTAGTTAAGTTGAGTTGGTCCGAGCACAACAAAGAAAAACAAAAGGGTAAGCTTCCTGCGGTCGTGTGACGCCTTCCTTGTTGGGTTTGTTGCTTTGGTTGCACAACCCGGATCTCCAATAGGGATTGTCTTTGTTGTTGGTCAATGTTCTTACTCTTGGAGATCGCTCGCTGTAATAACTCGATTTTCGGGCAGACCTTCTCCGGAAGGCACTACCAAAGCCTCCTGATGATGATCCTGACGATACTGCCCTGTCAAGTCCCCCTGAGCTCTTCTCCATGACAGGACTCTGTGTTTGGTCCTTGTCGTCAAGGAGAACAGGCTGTGGTTCATGATATCCACTCTCAATCAGTCCAGCCTCGTTCACACTGGCGTCCAGTCCATCGTAGTCGATATTCATGACATTGACCGGCCCCATTGGGTCCTGGTCATGCCCATGGTGGACACGATGATTTCCAATGTGAGGATGAGCTTGTGTAGAAGGTGCTGCTGAAGCACGATAGCTAGCTGGGAAGGCTGAGTAATCGCTCCTGCTTGTAGAATTGTAAGGTATTGAGGATTGCTGATGACCAGGGAGGACTTCGGACTGGAGTGTGGGTGAGTAGCCATTGCTGACGCCTGTTGTAGAGTGGCTGTTGTTGCAGGTGAATGTGTACAAGTCAGGGTCGTCTGGGGTGGCAAAAGTAAGTGATGGCTGGTGGACAAAAGGGAGAGGTCCCGAAGGAGTCTCCTGCTCCTGCAGCAATTCGCTGTTGTTGTGCTCTTGCTGTTGCTGTTGCTGCTGTTGTGGGTGAGGAAGAATGGTAGAATTAGTTTGTTCACTGCTAGCGCTAGTGTTGCTGCAACCAGTTGACGTTACGTGGCTTGCTGTAAGTGTAGTTGCTGTAAGTGTAGTTGTTGTAGGTGATGTTGGAGTGGCGGGCACGGGGTGGTCACTGACAGCGATGACGATGTCAGTGTCGGCGTGGATGCCAGTGATGTCGTTCTGTTGCCGACTCATCTGTGAATTGATTAAGGTGAATGAGTGGAGGAAAGTCGGGAGAGAAGGGGTGTAGTGGGAAAGGAGAAGAAATGAAAACCAGACAGCCGGCGGAGGGGAGAAGTATTATTAGTGGCAAACAAAGGAAGAAAAATGAAACGAAGAAAAGAGAGATCTCTGAGGGAGATCCCTCTTTGATCACTGATCAAGTAGATATATGTCTCTGAAAGACCAATTGGCCTTTTTAACTGATGACGATGGTCAAGAAGGGGATGGGGCAGCAGCAAGTAGCAAGTAGCCTTGCGTCCCCCTTCTCCCCTCGCCGTCTTTTCATTTCAATCGACAATGTCCTTTTTGTGGGCGAAGAAGGCTGGCTGAGACTGACGACGATGGCCATATTTTTTTCTTCTTTTTCCTTGCAGTCTCGCAATTATTTGTCTGTGTCACAACTGCATGTCTGACCATGGGAATGTCACTCGTCACAAAAAAGGGCACAGAACCACGTTTTTTTACCTTTCCACACCCTTTTTTCAAGTAATATCGACAATCGGCCCCAAACCATTGCCATAACCCACTCAGTCTTGCTCTCTCTTCCTCCTCACTCTGTTTTATTCACCTCCCCTCTCCTCCTTTCCCATCGCAATTTCTGTCATTCTTTCTCTCTTTCTTTCTTTCTCTCTTTCTTTCTTTCTCTCTCTCTCTCTCTCTCTTTTACCCAACCCATCTCTCCTTGCGAAAAAAATCAGACAAGAAAAGAATCCTTCTCGCGTCCAGGCTATTGTTACCTTATTCTTTTGTTCCCTCTCCTCCCTTCTTTCCACCCTACCCTTGCCTCTCCCGACTGCATCCCTTCCTTCTCTCTCTTTCTTTCGTTCTCGCTCTTGTACTTCCCAATTTTTCCTTCTTAATTGTTTCCTCCCCTCCGAACTCCAGGCCCTTCCCTTCACTTCACTTCACTTCCACACATATATACATACATCAACAACCATCTCTTATCACACCTCCCTCTTGAGTCCAATCCACCTCAACATCAACCCTCAACCCTCAACTTGCAACGATCCTTCAAAATGCTCGACCGCCCATTCTCGGATGTGTGCTCGACAGTATCGTGTTGGGCACTCATATTCTCCGTCATCCTTCCGTCAATGCAAGTCATGGGGGTCAAAGTCACAACTCCCGATGCTTCGCCCACTACCACCACAACCTCCGACCCCCAACAACAACACTACCACCTTCAGAAACATGCACACCAACAGCAGCAGCAGTTTTTGCTAAAGACTTCGACATTCTCGTTGACGGTGTATCTGGACCCGACGACCTTCCAGCAGACCCTGCCGCCGATAACATTCCTCTCCGATCCCTCACCTTCCTCGTCCGGCAACAAGAACAGTGCTTCTGCGGCTTCTCCCTCGTTACCAAAGAGTCACTTGTTTCAAAACGGCTGCTGGAAGGAACAACAGGATCAACAGCTCCCTCACCCTCAACTCAATCAGCGCTCTTCAGTCATCGGACAGGACGTGGATCCGTCGTCTCCAGCTAGAGGCTTCTCCTCCTCTTCCTCTTCTCCTGAGAGAAAGCGTGTTCGTGGAGGCAACTCGAGAACCGTCATCGTCGACCAGGGCAGTGTGTCGAGTCGCTCTTCCCTCTTTCTTCCTGTGGAGGGTGACACCGACAACAACGACGAGCGGCACTACAGCCATGATGCCACACCCGCACAGCGGGAGAAGGAGGAGGGAGAGGAGGAACGAATCGGTCTGGGGATCTCGAAGGAACCTCGTCGCCTTTCTCGACACCGTTACCCACATGCATTGATCCATCGACTGTACAACAACAATAACAGGCCATTGAGGGAGGGCAGCAGCAGAAGAAGAATGGCGACAATACCCAAGACGACTTCCAAGACGATTACCACTACCAGGAGGATCGGGGCCAAGAAGCGTCCCTCCCGCCTGCAGCGGTTGTTACTACTGGACCAACAGGAGCATAATGTCGACGAGAATTTTTGGGCAAATGAAATCAACTACAACAACAACAACCACCACCACCAGCAGGAGCCATCAGCTCGGGAGGACGACTTGTCTTATTACTCAACCGATCGAGGCTTGGCCGAGATGATGAACTTCATTCTGAACGACGAAGAACTCTCGAAGTATCTTCTCGCAAACGACAATATGCTGCACAGTACTAGCAGCAGTAACGACAATAATCATCCCAACGACTCACCAACCTTTGAAACCAAACAACGACCCCAACATCAACAATCGACTCCTGCCCCCACACCCTCTTCCTCAGCTTCTTCATTCGTCTCACCATCGCTCTCAGGATGGACGCAAAACGATATTGACATGGCAAGGGCTCTCTGGGATTATTGGGAGGAACTCGATGCAATGGATCTGATCCAGGCGCAACTCGAGAGTCAACTCGAAGATGAGAACGATGACGACCACGAGGACATCGACGACATCGACTATGAGACTCATCATCTACGCCAAGCCCATTTGCGACAACAACCAGAACCCCAACCGTCCAGGAGTACGCTTTGGAAAGGGAGAGTCAAGGCATTTGTTAAGGATGGTACCTCCAACATGTCTTCTCCTCCGGAGTTGATGCAAGACAGCATTTCGGTAAGACCGCGTTCTTCAACCCCCAAGCTCTTCTTTTTTTTATTTTTATCCCCCATTTATGCTTTAACGTTGTGGTGTGCATTTTAGAACATTGGATAATGAGTGAGCAAGAGGGGACATTAGGGTCCACAATGTGACCATGGACATGGTTTGGTGGGGCAAACGAAGGCATATACCGGATAGTACATTTATTTATCCTTTTGGGTTTTTTGGGCGCAATTTTCTTTCGGAGTCAGCTGATGGACTTGGCTTGCATCATTATTTCTCAGCCAATATACTGGAGACCATGGTCCACATCACCTTGACATGGGCATTCTTTTTGTGTCTAGCCCAACAGAGTAGCTTTTTTCGTTCTTTGCTCCCCGACCATACCCGTCATTCATCTATTACATCTCCAAAGCAATTTATTTTGTTTGTTCCAACAAGAGATTTTTCCATGTTCACATCAGGGATAAAAAGGAGGCGGGGTGAGGAGACGGACTACGCAACAAACAGATGAGTAATTGTGAACTAGGAGAAGAAAAAGGTCATGGCGTTTGTCCATTTGGCCAAACGGAACACTGACTCAACAAATGCCTTGTCCTTTGGATATGTAAAATAAGCAACAAGTGGGCCACCTTGGGTGCACAAAAACAAACAGATACGCGATATTCTACTGCCTCCCCAACCCCAGTTTACATCCGCCCCTACTTCACTCATGAATAAGTTAACAAGGCGAAATCACTCCTCTTCTTTCTCGCTTGCCATTATACCACCATTCCTCTTCTTTGGGCATACATCGAAAATCTATTCGATATCCTCGGCTCCTCCAAATGGCCACGTTTCTTTCTTATACCCGCGTGGGCAGGTCATTACATCAAGAAAGAAGGAACTGGGGTTCTGACTTTAGCCAGCACACAGACACCCAAAACCTCACAACGCAAACAAACAATGTAATGAGAAATAACAGTTTCAACTAATATGCTTTTTTTATTTCCTTCCTTTCTAGGGCCAAATGATGCACTTCCCATTCTCAGGACCGATGCCCATCATGCCTCAAAACTGGATCGCTCTCATGCCCTGTCCTGTCGAGGAATCACCTGAGTTCGACCTGGACCAGATAGGAAGAAAGTCTCTTTCCCTGCCTCTTAACGCGTCGGCGATTGTCTTTTATGAGACGACCAATGAGGACTGCCGGGGTTATGCAGAGATTATTGATGATGAAGGCGATTCTTTCCCTCCAGTTATGGTTCTGGATGCTCTGTCGGCGAAGAGGTTGATCTTGACGTTAGACAGTCTTTCTTATGGGACGACTGCTATGGCTTCTCTTGCCAGGACTGATCCCGACTCTAAGGCGACGGCGATCCGGATCAGCACAACTCCTATCAGAGCAGATGACAACGACAATGAAGAGACGACAGACGCGGGGACAAGAGAGGAGAGCACAACTCCCGACTCACTAGACACGTTCGAGAAGGAAGAGCTTCCTAACAAGGCAGCTAAACGACCTCTCCGTCGTCAAATCGTCATCTCCATGCCCGGGCTCGCATCCATGGTCGATTCTTTCACAGCGGGGGCAGTCATTCAAGCACGGAGGGTGCTGGTCAACCTGGGGCTGGATACTCAGGACACAGTCACCGACGAACAGCTAGACGTCGATGATGATCGTAGAGAGAGGGGGAGGGACGATGCAGACTATTACCGCCCGTTGACTGCCGCCATGTTGTTGAAGGATGGAGGAGTCAGATCTCGGAAGGCGGCGTACTCTGGACCTGAGGCTGCTGATGTTGACTCGCACGGACTGGATCATGATCGTGGTCAAGACAAGGAGAAGGACAAAGGGAAGGGGAAAGAAGGCACTGCGTCTCGAGCATTCATCTTGCAGCGACACTCAAAAACGAGGACACGACCCAACCGTCTATCGCAGCGTGGACACCAAGCATCGACTCAATCCCAACTCCTCGACCAAGTCCAGTCGTTGATGCTCCTGAAAGAATACCCTCAATACAACAGAGGACGCCAAAGTCTCCACCGCCACAGTGATCTCCAGCATAACAATAACAACAATAACCTCCCCCTCGCCCACCCCGACAACACAACCATCTCCGGAAAAGTCGCCATGGTGCTGATGAGCACCATCTGCGGGATCGGCGTAGGCATGTTTGGCGCTCTCCTCTTCGTCGTGGCTCTCAAAGTCCGACTCTTCCAGTCCCGACGATCCAACAACTCGGGATCAGGCCTCCACCCACTCCGCCACGCAACCGCTGCACAACAACAGCAAGCCCACCAACAGATGCGCGAGAGTGGAGTCAAAAAAGTCATTCCGCTTGGAGTGCTGGAGAGTTATGGGGTTCAGACGGTGCTTCAGATGTCGGATGCGACCATGGTCTTGACGGCGGTGAGTGAGAAGTCCAAGGCAAAAATGGCGTTGTTGAGTAAAGGACCCAAGACTTTTGCGGAGGATATGATTGAGATGGAGGAGGGGCTTGAGGATGCGGAGGCGAGGGCCAATGCTCGGCGGCTGCGGTTGGAGAGGAGGAGGAATCGGGTAGGTGGTCCAGGGCAGCTGCGACTCGGACAAGATATTGAGGAGGAAGACGAGGAAGAAGAGGAGGAGTCTGGTTCTGGCTCGGACGAGGACGAGTATGACGATGACGATGATGTTGACGAGGACTTGGATCAAGACGAGCAGGACAGATATCAGGAACACGGACAGTACAGCGACGAAGAGGAAGATAACGGTGACCAAGTTGTTCTCGAGATGAGGTCCAGTCGCGACGGAGGATCCATGGACATGGAACAGATCACAGCGGCTATTATGACGGCAACGAGGCAGGGATCATACCGACGTGTGTCGTACAGTCGCCAGGGCCATCTCAACGACTCGACGTCGTCTTTGTCTTCTTCTTACTCTTCTTCTTCGACCTCGTCGTCTTCTGGATCCAGTTCAAGTTCGAGCTCTCATTCCATGGAGCGAGCATTGACATCCTCTTTCTCATCGTCGCTGTCTCGGCCCGATAACCCTCAAGGCTGCACCCACTCGATCACTCACTCCCACTCCCACGAACAGCGCAGGAGGACAAGGAGCAGCAGGCGCAGGAAGACGCGCACCAAGGACGAGAGAGCCTTAGCAGAGGCGAAGAAGAAAGAAGAGCTTCCGTTTGCGAATGCAAATGCGCAGACGATGTGCTCGATCTGTCTGGCCGAGTATGAGGTCGGCGAACAGGTTCGAACATTACCGTGTTATCACCAGTACCACCAGGGGTGCATTGATCCGTGGCTGCTGAATGTTGCGGCGCTGTGTCCGATCTGCAAGCGGGACCTGTTCCCTTCTCCTGCTTGCGGCAGTGCACCTTTGTCATAGAACGTACATTACGTGATCAGAGCAATCGGGCCCAGGCACAATCACTCTTGCAGTAATTGATTATCAGTGATAAAGCAAATAAAATGGTGGTGATTTCACATCACTAGTTTGGCAAGTGAAATAAATTAGGTCAGATCGCAGCCAATCAGATGCAACTGTTGACTGTTGGCAAAGGGGATTGGGTGTTGTCCATCCGCCCTGTGGTTTTTGTTGTTCTCTTCCCCTTTTTTCCTTTTTTTCTTCGCCTTTTTGCTTTTTACCCGCTGTCTTTTTGTTGTCCTCCTTCTTCCTCAGGGCACACCAACACTCGCACTTTCTCCACCTCACACGCACCTTTACACAACGCACACAAGCCAAAAAAAAAGGGACAATACAAATGACTCAACACTACCAGCGGACAGCAATGGCTCCCGCCATGCCTGGAATGCCCATCATCCCCCCTCGCCTCCAACAACAACAGCAACAAGAAATGCTCCTCAACAACCGACGCCAACACCCTCAACTTTATCAACAACAGTATCCTCAACAGCAACAACAGTTCCGACCTAATCATGTCCCTGGAGGACCCTTGCCCTTCACGGGACACACCCGAAGTTTGAGCAGCGGTGGCCGTCCTGCTGCACCTAATGGCTACAGTAAGAATGGTAGACGACCGTTGAATAGTCCTATTAGTAACAACAACTATCCTCACCAACAACAACCTGGCAACAACGGGGACAGCAACGGAGGGTACAACATGCAGCAGCAGCAAGGGTTAGCCGGCAGACTACGCTCGGAATCCAACCCTTCTTACAGCAGCAACCCCAACAATTCCGTGTATTCTCCAGGTGGGACCCTTGATGGCGTCCCCAGTAGAGCCAAGTCCAGTGGCACAGCAGCGTCAGGAAGCTCTTTCCAGGACCGCTTGAGGGAGCGGGACCGAGAGCGACAGGGTCGAGAGCGAGAGCGAGAGGAAAGAGAGGCTGCAGCCCGTGCTATCCATGAAGGTAATTGACGGTGAACGATTTACAAGCAAGCGTTTCAATTAAGCGAATACATTGACGACGATATATTTCATACATGATTGATAATGACAATGAGGGGTGCACTGTAAATTTCGGACAGAACGACATTCAATCCTCTTCCTCACTTCAACATGTGCTATCTATTTGTTGTTACTCACACCACCCAACCGAAATTTTGTTTTACTCCACTTTTCTTCCATGTGCTTCTTCCTTTCTCTCTGTCATTTAGACCCTAAACATAACACCGTAGCGTCGACGAACTCTATGACAGCAACCGCGACGGCAGCAGCGGCAAAGGAAGCAGCGGCAGCGGCAGCAGCAACGGCGCAGAGTACGGGAACGGCGCTCTGGAACCGTATGCGTGCAGCCAAGGATGCTATCAATGTGGCCATCACAGGAGAGGAGCGTTGGCCAGGTATGTGCGCAAAAATCGAAAAAACACTCACACAAAATGAAATGGATGTTTGTATTTTATGTGTTTTTTCTTTCGTTCTTTCTACTTAAGCTCTCATACATACATCAATTTGTGAGCAAACTGGAGGCGAAGGGGGACCCTTTTTCACTTGGGGTTCTTCTTTCTTCTCAAACTAGCGCACACAAGGCGCCAAACAGAAAGTGCCCAACAACAAAAGTCCGTCATATTAATCTCGCACCTTTTCTTTCGACTTTTCCGTTCTTGCTTTCGTCAGACTCTGATGACTCTGATCACGAAGGCGAATCGCACGTCAGTCGTGTGCTGCGAGAGTACAGCGACAAGAAGAAAATCGATGAACTTGACCGCATGCCTATCGCTAGCCCATTATCGTCCAGCAGCAGCACTGGCAGCAACTACAGGAATCGAACCCTCCGGGACGCTATCCGACAGGAGCATGGTGCTAACAACAGCAGTTCCCCATCACCAACTTCTCTTGCGTCATCGGCGTCGTCGAGCGATTATCTTGTTCGGTCTCGCAGAGCTAGAGGAGAAACCGGACACCTGCCATCTCGCTCAGACTCTGCATCCTCGGCCCCACTCCGACCTATAAGAACCCGAGAAATCGGACAGAAGCCAGCTGGTACACTCTCGCCGCCTGCATCCCCTGCTTCTGCAACACTACCAACACCCACCTCGCCTAATACTCCTAGTAGTGCATCGTTGGAGACACCGCGAATCGGGAACCGGTTTCGGACAAGCAGTGATGCCAGTCTAAGCGCAGCGCTGGGTCGACTGGAGGGCAAACGGAACCAAGATGCGTTGGTCGCTCAGGTAAGCCATCTGGGGAGCACACGGGCCCGGTCGCCTCACCGAGGGAACAGGGCTTACCGCGAACATATCGATGTCGCCCCACCACCACCTCTGCCGACGCCCAAGAGTGACTACCGTCAACAGCGACAACAACCTCTCACACCACCCTCTTCTGGGTCATCTTCGAATACGCTGAGATCGAGTCCATCGTTGCCGTCATTGTCGTCATCGTTGTCGTCATCGCGCAGAAACGGCCAGCCTGTCGATTTGGGTGCATATGGACAACGCCAACAACAACAACAGCAGCAGACACAACAACAGCAAGCGCGCTACTTTTAAAGCTATTAGTGTACTTGTGGTATCTCCAAGTGAGTAGACGAGGTTTTGTTGTTGAGACGGGCCGTTCCAGTCTGTTTGCGGTGTCTCTGGCTTAGTACAGGTCATGTCGCCAATAGTAATTGGCAGACGCGTTTCAATTCTACCTCTGAAAAAAATTTCTTGCACATGCCGCATATGTAATTTCGCGTCATTCCTGCATCCATTTCTACCCTTTCCCTTGAACTCCTCTTCTTTTTCTTTTCTCTTCTTTTTTCTTTTTCTTTTTCTTTTTCTTTTTTTCTTTACTCCACTCATCTGCCTTTCTACCGTTCTCCAATTCCTCTCCTTCACAATTGTAAATACTGTAAATAATAAACACTGCCATCTCACTACTACTCTCCACACCAAATAAACAACCAGCAAACAAAAATAAAAAATAAAAAAGAAAAAATGGAGCGAAGCAACCAACAAACAACCGACAACCCCTCTTCAACCCGCGCAACCGCCATGCGCGCAGGCGTCCAGAACCCCTCCGGCTTCAACTACCAAGTCGCCGGCCCCACCGTCGGAGGAACCGCAACCCCCTACAACCCCGACAACATCGAGGTCGCCAAGGAGCATCTGGCCGATTCCCTTGGCAGGGCTTCTCTCGACGATAACACTACCACCACCACTACCACTACTACTGGTACTACTACCACTTATGGCACGGACTCGACGTTGAAGGATCAGGTTATCTCGGGTGCCTCGATTGCTGCCCATACTGCTGCGGATGTTACCATGACTGTGGCCGCGGGTGCTGCTGCTGCTGGTGCTGCCACTGTCTCCGCGGTCAAGCACCTCTTTGCGGGTGACAAGACTGCTGTCGACCACAGCAACCCTGCATCTACTACGGCTCACACCGGGATGGGTGCTACCAACAAGTCCCAGCCCATTGCTGACTTCCCCAACGTAAGTTTGCATATTCAAGAAAAAACTTTGCAAGAACGCGTTTAGGTACTAAGAAATGTTTCAAGCTAACAATTGTTTCGTTTGTTGTATTGACGATCCTTGTAGACCCAGGTGCACAACATGCATGATGACTCGACCCCCGAAACACCAACCCGCATCCACACCCACGCCGCCACAGGTCCCATCCACTCTGTCCCCGTCGACTTTGAGCCCATCCACTCCACCGGCTTGGACAGCACCGCCTCCATGGCAGACTACCGTGCCAAAAAGGACGATCTCCACGCCACCCCTGGCGTTCGTGATTCCAAGGTCGATGTCCACCCTACCACCGAATCGAACCAGGGTTATAACACCCACCACTCTACTACTGCTATCGACGCGCGTCCTAGTGCCAGTGCTATTGATGCCCGTCCTACGACTGCTTCCACTACCACTACAGACTCGCGTCCTTTGACGGAAAAGGTCACGGCCCCCATCGTCGGTGCTGCCGCGGCTATGGGCACCGCTGCTGCCGGCACTGCTGCCTACCTTGGCAACAAGGCTTCCGAGGCCAAAGAATCAGTCAAGGGGACTGCCAACAACTTGACAACTCCTTCTGCCTCCTCTGCTACTCCATCGTCTGAATCTTCGCATGCGACTATGGACTCGTCTAAGGGATATTACAACCCTTCCGTCCCGAGCTCGACTTCTGCTTCTGCCACTACTCCTATTCAGCCCCAATCGGCCCGCTCTACCGCTCCCATCCAGACTCAGTCCCCCTACTATAACACTACCACTTCTTCCGACTCGCGTCCTTTGACGGAAAAGGTCACGGCTCCCATTGTCGGTGCTGCTGCGGCTATGGGCACCGCTGCTGCCGGCACTGCTGCCTACCTTGGCAACAAGGCTTCCGAGGCCAAAGAATCAGTCAAGGGGACTGCCAACAACTTGACAACTCCTTCTGCCTCCTCTGCTACTCCGTCGTCTGAATCTTCGCATGCGACTATGGACTCGTCTAAGGGATATTACAACCCTTCCGTCTCGAGCTCAACTTCTTACACCTCTCCTGCTTCTGCCACTACTCCTATTCAGCCCCAATCGGCTCACCCTACCGCTCCCATCCAGTCTCAGTCCCCCTACTATAACACTACCACTTCTACTGACTCCCGTCCTTTGACGGAGAAAGTCAAAGCCCCCGTCGTCGGTGCCGCCGCGGCTATGGGTGCCACTGCAGCCGGTACTGGAGCTTATCACGGAAGCAAGGCCTCTGAGGCAAAGGAATCCGTCAAAGGGACCTCTAATAACAACAACACTTACTCCACCCCGACCCCTATGAACACCTCCACGGCCAAGACCCCAGCCTACACGACCGCCAGCGACTCTACTCCCGCCGCCGCCTTTGCCGACCCCATGATCCAGACTAGAACCTCTGCCACCAACCCCGTCACCAAGGCTGAGGAGATCAAGGCTTCCCCCGTCACCCCTGTCACCGAACCCGCCATCACCCGTTCCCCAACCTTGGGCCCTTACCAGACCAAGGCCACTACCACCAACCCTTCCTCTTCCCTCGACTCTCCCAACGTCACCACCTCGTCGTCGCGTCCAATGACCGAGAAGATCTCCGCCCCTGTCCTTGGAGCCGCCCTTCTAGGCACGGCTGCACACCTCGGCAATAAGGCCACGGCCACAAATGCCAATAACTCTACTAAGATGTCCACCCCCTCGGCTAACAACTCCCGCACCACCGCTTCCTACAACCCTACAAACACTTCGTCCTACAACACTCCCAACACCGCCCCTACTTCTTATTCAACCTCCTCCAACACCGCCCCTACTTCTTACACAACCCCCTCCAACACCGCTCCTACTTCTTACACAACCTCCTCCAACACCACCATCCCCGCTTACGAAAAGTCGGCCACCGCAGCCGCCCCCATCATGGCCGCGGCCTCTGTCCCCTATATGTCCAATACTAGCGGCAACACAACCGCCCCCTACTCATCCGCAACACCCAACGAACGCAAATCCGCTGACACAACCGCAGCTGCAATCCCCGCATCCTACCACGGTTCCATCCCCCAAGCCGGCCCCGGCGAAGAAGTTGTCTGGGTCAAGACCGTCACCACCACCGACTACTACGACGATGGCACACCCAAAGGACGCGCTGATGTGGTGGATCGCCATCAGGAGGCAATTGATCCTCGCGCCTATGCAACAGTCAAGGACGGAGAGAAGGTTTATGACAACAATGACCAGCATATGCACCAGCAGGAGCACAAGGACCAAGATGGTGCTGGTCGTCATTTGTAAATAGTTCTATTCGAGTATAAAACAAAAAAACCCCACACAGTAGGTTTGTATAGGAACACCAAGAAGAATATTAATTATCATGACTACATTAAAAACAAAACATACGAACACGCGTGCACTTGCATATCAACCATGCACATATTTTGGCCAGAATAGTTTGTTCTCTTTTTCCATATTTTTTTGGATTTTAATATATTACAACAATTGTTTTTTTTGTGAGGGTTCCATTATGGAGTGTGGGGGAGGTTCAAAAGGTCGCTCTCCGAGCCGGGTCGCCCGTGTTGCTCCTGCTTCCCTGCCCCACAATGGTTGGTTTTTCTAAAGAGTGCCTACAAACAGACCTCTCCTCCTGGTCTCCTTCAATCGATGCAAATGCAAAAAGATGCAAGAGAAACGTTAATGATGTCCTTGAGTCGAGTAGTGCTGTGTGTTGGGAGTTACGGCAGAGGTGGTGGTGGTTGTTTTTTTGTGTATGTTATGTCGATATTGATTGTATGTCTGTTGTTGTTATTGAATGTTCGCAACTCCACATCTGCGTCCGCTCTGGAACTGTCAACAGCTATTGCCATTACTCCTCATCGTCCGAGTACGTTGGGCTGGTCGACTTGCCCTGTCCGGCAGGAGGTCGGGATGGGCTGGCCGCACCATTGCCGGCGGGACTATACATGGGTCGTCCAGGAGTCGCTGCTCCGCCGCTCGACGGTCCTCCACCTGTGCCATAGCCCATGGGTGAGAACGACGTCGTCGGTGCCGAGTAGCTAGGAGAGTAGCTAGGGCTTGCTGGGGAGTAGCTTGGGCTCGTAGGAGAGTAGCTGGGACTCGTGGGGCTGTACGACGGCGACGTGGGCGAATAGCTAGGGCTCGTGGGCGAGTACGACGGCGATGTCGGCGAGTAGCTAGGCGACGTGGGACTGTACGAGGGCGACGTAGGCGAATAGCTCGGGCTCGTAGGAGAGTAGCTTGGCGACGTAGGCGAGTAGCTTGGCGACGTGGGGCTGTAGCTGGGGCTCGTAGGCGAGTATGATGGGGACGTGGGCGAGTACGACGGCGACGTAGGTGAGTACGCCGGCGAGGTCGCACCGTACCCATGGTTCGTAGGAGAATAGCTTGGGCTTGTAGGCGAGTACGACGGCGACGTCGGGCTGTAGCTTGGGGACGTGGGGCTATAGCTTGGGCTCGTAGGCGAATACGAGGGCGACGTAGGAGAATACGAAGGCGACGTAGGCGAGTACGAGGGTGACGTGGGCGAATAGTTGGGAGATGTAGGGCTGTAGCTCGGCGACGTAGGGCTGTAGCTGGGAGACGTAGGACTGTAACCAGGGCTGGTCGCGTACATGGGCGAGCTGGGCGAGTAGCCCGGAGATGCTGGGGAGTATCCAGGACTGGTAGCTCCATAGGGACTGGCTGCATCCCATGATCCAGGGCCCATAGGTGAGCTGGCTCCAGAGTTGCCCATGGGCGAGAACACTGCATCCATGGGCGAGCTGGGGTGTGAAAAGTCCACATACTGAGGCGAGCGGCCGTCGTACGGCGTCATCGCAGACCCCATGCTGTCGTGGCCCATACCCATACCCATTCCCATACCCATTCCGCCGGCCATGCCAGGACGGGGTCCCTCAACGACCGTGCTCAACATCTTCTCATCCAACATCAGGTCAAATTCGCCGGTTCCCAATGGCGCCAGCTGTCCCAACATAATGTTCTCAGCCACTCCGCGGCAGTCATCCAACTCACCAACAGCGGCGGCCTCCATCAAAATCTCGACAGTCTCCTCGAACGAACAACGCATCAGTGCTCCAGTCTCGGCGCGGTTGATACCGTGGCGGGTAATAGCCATCAAGTGTCCGCGGTGAGTCATCACATCACACAGCAACGACAAGTGACGGTAGTTGACATAGGAACCATCAAACTCAATGACTCCACGCAACTCCTTCAAAAGCGCCTGACGAGCTGCCTCAATACCAAGGACCGACATGACTTCACCGCAGTTGTTCGAGTAGGTCCTGCTAGCGTCGACATCCTCCTCGCACATGACGGCCTTCAAGTTCGAACCACTGGTCTCCAAGTGCCACTCCATATGAGAGCCAAAAGTGCCGCTCTCCGTGATGGTGATCTTCTTCTTCTCCACCATGTACACACGGATGATGTTCTTGATACCACGCAGGCCGATCGAGCTCAACAAACTACTCTCAATCTTCTTCAAGAAAACATCCTCCTCCTCCTGAACATCCGCCTGCTTGTCCGCCTGCTCCTCGCTAATGATGCGGCACCGGATAATCAGCTTCTCGGCGTTGTCGTCGGAGCAAATGCACATCAGGTCGCGCTGGAAGTCCTCCGAGATCTTGTTGGACACATCCGCCATCGTTAGCTTCTTGTCAAGCATCATCTTGCGGTCCAACTCGATACGCAGCAACCAGGGCGACGTGCGTGAGGGGTTCAGGTCATCATCGGGCATGGCATAGTAGGCCGAAACAAAGTCCTGATCCTCTTCGATGTTGGTGTTCTCTGGGTCGGGGTCGTAGTGAATCTCGGTCGACGAGGTTACCTTGCGCAAGTTGGTGTACTCAAGCGCCACCTGGACCTGCTTGGCTCGCTCCATGTTACGCGCACAGTCGTCGGTCAGGTAAACGTTCAGCGAAGGCGTCTTGATGTTGGTCGCAACGTTGATAATCTCCTTAAGACGAGGCACTCCCAGGGTGACATTCTTGGACGACACTCCGGCGTAATGGAAGGTGTTGAGCGTCATCTGTGTGGCGGGCTCTCCGATCGACTGGGCAGCGACCGTACCGACCATCTCTCCGGGATTGACCATCGCGTGGGCGAAGCGGGATCCAATCTCGCCGACAACCCAATCAAAAGCCTCGCGTGTCAGGTGGTACTCCTCAATCACCCTGCGGACTGCAAGCGTCGAACGAATCAACATGCGGAACAGCAAAGTGGCATTGTCCTGAGCCTCCACACTGATGCGATCCGTGCCGCGAACGACAACCAGTTGCTTCTCCAGGTTCTTGATGCTCTCCAAGATGTGGCGAGGATCAAGGTCGCTGGGTCGCTTGTGGTCGACGTGGAACATCTGCTTGGAGTTCCAGATGTAACGTCTGATGTTGGTAGGCATAGGCCATTGGTCGTCACCTTCCGTGAAGATGTAGTTGCGGAGCAAGTGGCGGTCATCTTCCAACTGCTTGAACTCGGCATCCAGCAACGACTGGACGGGGCCGACATTGGACCTCGACCCGCTGGACCTGGCAGCATCGGCCTCCTCCAACGACTTGAGCACAGAGTAGTCAAGGGTACCTGACTTGAAACCCTTGGATTTGTCCGCCAACTCAATCTTGAACTTTCGCTCAAACTGAGCATTGGACATCTTGACCGTATCCAAGCGTTGCTTCTCGACGTGACAAGCATCCATGCCATCCTCACCGTAACAGAACTGGATCACATGGCCGAGGGAGTTTCGGACGGTACCGTCGTACTTGACCATCACATCCTCCAGCGCCTTGACCAGACGACGCTGAATGTAACCGGTCTCGGCAGTCTTGACAGCGGTATCAATCAGACCTAATGAGTACGTGGGAAATGAGTGGAAGGCGAAGAAAAGAGGTGAGTAAATGGTAATCGAGAGCATAATAATAAACAAATACATAATAAACCTTTCATGTTCGCATGCTTTACCTTCACGTCCTCCCATGGCGTGGAAGAAGAACTCTTGAGGGGTCAAACCACGAAGGTACGAGTTCTCGACGAAACCACGACTCTCGGGCGAATGGTCGTCCTTGGTAAAGTGGGGGAGGGTTCGGTACTTGAATCCAAAAGGAATACGTTTACCCTCGACGTTCTGCTGACCCACACAAGCTGTCATCTGCGAGACGTTAATGAAGGATCCCTTGGATCCAGAGATAACCATTTGCTTGACGTTGTTGTCCTCGCGCAAACTCTGCTGGGCCATCTTTCCTGCATCATCACGAGCCGTGTTTAGCGCCCTGTTCACGTTCGACTCGAATGTCTCGCGCAGGGTCATACCGGGCTTGCACTCGAGTTTGTCCTGCTGCGCCTGGATAATGAGGTCGTTGACGTTGCTGGTCGCGTTGTTGATAATCGTGGAAATGCCCAAGACAGTGTTACGATCCGCAACTGTGTCTCCAATACCAATACTGAATCCGTGCTGCAACAGCCAGTAGTTGACGACCGTCTGACATCCGTTGAAGAACGTCTTGGCCACCTCAGGTCCGTACTGGTTCATTATTACGTGGATCCATCCGCCTCCTGATGTACCGACAGTCTTCTTGCAGACAATACCGCAAATCAATTCGCCGTTCTCGACAATGACCTTGGTGTCTCCAGGGGAAATGTCGCTCTCTTCGTTATCAGGGTGAGTCGAGTGGAAGGTGATACAGTTGATACCCTTGGGGATAATCATACTGACCATCTGCTTTCCGGTCCATAGAGGCTTGGGCTTGAGGATTGCAGGGGTTGGCAGGAATCCCTCCCAACCGGGCACCCACATCACCAAGTTCATCACCATCTCCTTGGTCAGGAAGCAGTCACGCTTGGTAAACTTGCGCACACCGCACAGCGTATCCTGCACAATACCCATGACGGGCTTGTTCGACTGGGGGGAAACGATCTGGCGAGGAACCATGCAGATCTCTGTAATCTCGGCACGCGTCTCAACCGACTGGGGAACGTGCAAGTTCATCTCGTCTCCGTCGAAATCGGCGTTGTAGGGCGATGTGACAGAGAGGTTGAGACGGAACGTCGAGTAAGGCATCACGCGAATCTTGTGACCCATCATCGACATTTTGTGCAGAGAAGGCTGACGGTTAAAGATAACAACGTCGCCGTCGTTAATGTGACGCTCAACCTTCCATCCGAGCTGCAAAGGGACTTCTCGCTTGTTCCACCGCAAGTCGATACGCTGGCCATCATCACGGATGACATACACAGCTCCGGGATGCTCTGTGGGTCCGTTCCTGACCAGCTCCTGCAATTTGTCAATGTTGTAGGGTGTGACCAATTCTGGGTAGGTAAGGGTCCTGGCGATACTGCGGGGCACTCCGACCTCGTCAATCGACAAGTTGGGGTCTCCTGTAATAACTGTACGCGCCGAGAAATCCACACGCTTTCCCATCAAGTTTCCACGAAGACGACCCTCCTTTCCCTTCAGACGAGCACGAATCGACTTGAGCTGCATGGCGAGAAAACAATTAAACAGAGTTGGCAATAAGTACCGTGTCAAGGAGCTCAAAACAACTAGCTCGGCAAAGTCACGTATACGACATGTTCAAAACAAACAATATGTCCACTTACAGGTCGTCCGTTCTTGTGAGCTGCTGGGGGCTGTCCAGCAATGTCGTTATCCATGTATGTGGCGACATGGTACTGGAGCAGCTGCTCGTGCTGCTGGATCAAATGTGCTGGGGTTCCGTCCTGTGCACACCGGTAGACATCAGCATTGGTCTTGATGATGGCAAACAACTTGTGAGTCAAATCATCCTCTCCTGTGCTCGATCCATCCATTTGAATACTGGGGCGGACAGCCAGAGGAGGGATAGGAAGCACTGTCATGATCATCCACTCGGGGCGAGCAAACTCTGCAGACAGACCCATGGCCTGGATATCTTCGTCCGAAATACGCTTCAAGATGTGGTACGCATCACTGGGCGTCAATGTGCGCTTGCCCTCGGGTTGAGAATCCTATGTTCAACATAAGGCGAATGGTGAACGAGGATTAGTATTGTTGTTACGGGCCATTTAACAAAATTGACCAACGGTCAGGCATAGCAATCACTGCAAGGATAAAAGAAGCCATAATACTTACGTCGTTGGCGTTGGCTTTGAAGTTGACGCTCAGGCCGAGACCTTCCTTGCGGAAGATGGGCTGGCGGTGTCCACATCCACCGTGCGACTTTTTCTTGGGCTGTGGAATACCTTGCTCATCCACCTCCATCTCTTCGCCCATCTCGCCGTCAATATCATCGCCACCCTCGCAGACCATCTTGGTCTTGGCGAGCTCCCAAACAGCCTTCAGACGGACCTTGGGGTCTCTGATGCGTCGAGCTCTGACAAACTTGCTGTTGTTCTGATACCACAAACATATCAGAACAGAGAGAAATGATCGGAAAGAATAACGACCGAATTAGCTATGCTTTGCCACCAACAGCGCCACCGGCCGATATTATTTTTCGTTATCCACTCTGACGAAGCTGGAAAATGGCCAAAAAAAAAAAAAAAAAAAAAAAAGGAGGGCAACAAACTTACATCGTCCACCTTGAGCTTGGAGCAAGAGTAGCACACACACTCAAGAATCTTCTTGACCTTGGTCAGAAAACCTATTAGGCAGTTGCGGTTCAATGCTCAGATTAGTCGTTCATATATCCCTACACGATTCTTGCCTCAGAAAAGGACTCAAAAATGCGCGTTTGAATAAATAACGACTAAATAAACCATGGGACATGTCAGTCGGACATACCGTTCAGATAAACAGGCTTGGCCAACTCGATATGACCGAAATGTCCGGGGCACTCAGCCATGCCCTCCGAGCACGTCTGGCACTTGAAGTTGCGGTTGATGGTACCCATACGGGGATCGTGCAGACCGCCGATCTTGGGCCGCTTGGTACCCTCGTCAATCAGCTCTGCGTGCTCGATCTTGGCCACAGACATGTTTTTCTATATACATTTTTTTTTTTGGTGTTTTGTTATTTGTGTACATACACAGATCAGGAATACATGTTTATTAGTTTTACGCTGCCTCTCATTTCTCATACGCAACAAGAACAAAACACAATACGGTGTTCGTTCTTTGTCCACTGTACAGGACACATATACACACACTCATAACCACACGCGCAAACATAAACAACAAAAGCATCAAAAATGCAAACGTACAATTTCTTCTGGCGAGAGGATACCAAACTGCACACAGTCCACGCGCCGCAGCGGTGCTGACGAGTAGGTGAATCTGTTGCCGCTCATTGTCGTGTCGGCGGATAGTGCACGGCAGTAGGCGTTATCTGCTGCGGGGTTTTTCTGCTGCGGAGTGAAGGTTAAAGGGAAGGCTCCCGCGGAGACAAGTCCGGTGTATCAAGAGAAGTGGTTTGTGTAAAGACCAGTTGGTGAAGGCTGTTGAGTTTTGGTGGAGACGAGAGTGTGTGGTTACAGGGCGGTGCGGGAGTGTGGAAGGGGGTCTTGATGACTCCTGGGTTACTAATGTGTGGCCGAGTGAGTGTGTTGGGTTGATTACAAACTGTTGATGAGAGAGAGTGAATAGTCCTATTGCTGTCGGCTGTGTTGTTTTTTTGGTCCTTTCTTTTCAGGGTCCAATGGTGGTACCGAGACGAGGTTAGATGTCGATGGCAACCTTTCGTCAGGCAGAGGAAGTGAAAGAGAAACAGATGGAAAAGACAAAAGCGCAAGAAAAAAAGGTGCAAAAGATCTTTATTTATACGTTGGATTAATAAACCATGCGATATCGCAATTATCAGTGACGTAACATTTATTGGGGTCCTGAGGGCTCCAAGATCCGCACTCTCCCAACTTACTTAAACTTCACTCTCCTCGCCATCAAGATGTCCACCTTGTTCTTTCATCCACGCTTTACAGTCTTGTCATTGTCAAGCAACAGCACCGCAGGATCCTGTTGCGCCTCACCCATAACACCTACCACCGCTTCCTATCTACCTCTCCACATCCTTACTTCCTTCTAATTAGCTACATCCTAACTACCCACGAGCAGAGCGATAGTCAGGGTAGAAGATCGACCCAGAAACCCATTCACTGGCAGGAACAAACCAACGAGGCATATCGCACATAAGGACACCGCGACACGACAATGAGCGGCAACAGATTCACCTACTCGTCAGCACCGCTGCGGCGCGTGGACTGTGTGCAGTTTGGTATCCTCTCGCCAGAAGAAATTGTACGTTTGCATTTTTGATGCTTTTGTTGTTTATGTTTGCGCGTGTGGTTATGAGTGTGTGTATATGTGTCCTGTACAGTGGACAAAGAACGAACACCGTATTGTGTTTTGTTCTTGTTGCGTATGAGAAATGAGAGGCAGCGTAAAACTAATAAACATGTATTCCTGATCTGTGTATGTACACAAATAACAAAACACCAAAAAAAAAAATGTATATAGAAAAACATGTCTGTGGCCAAGATCGAGCACGCAGAGCTGATTGACGAGGGTACCAAGCGGCCCAAGATCGGCGGTCTGCACGATCCCCGTATGGGTACCATCAACCGCAACTTCAAGTGCCAGACGTGCTCGGAGGGCATGGCTGAGTGCCCCGGACATTTCGGTCATATCGAGTTGGCCAAGCCTGTTTATCTGAACGGTATGTCCGACTGACATGTCCCATGGTTTATTTAGTCGTTATTTATTCAAACGCGCATTTTTGAGTCCTTTTCTGAGGCAAGAATCGTGTAGGGATATATGAACGACTAATCTGAGCATTGAACCGCAACTGCCTAATAGGTTTTCTGACCAAGGTCAAGAAGATTCTTGAGTGTGTGTGCTACTCTTGCTCCAAGCTCAAGGTGGACGATGTAAGTTTGTTGCCCTCCTTTTTTTTTTTTTTTTTTTTTTTTGGCCATTTTCCAGCTTCGTCAGAGTGGATAACGAAAAATAATATCGGCCGGTGGCGCTGTTGGTGGCAAAGCATAGCTAATTCGGTCGTTATTCTTTCCGATCATTTCTCTCTGTTCTGATATGTTTGTGGTATCAGAACAACAGCAAGTTTGTCAGAGCTCGACGCATCAGAGACCCCAAGGTCCGTCTGAAGGCTGTTTGGGAGCTCGCCAAGACCAAGATGGTCTGCGAGGGTGGCGATGATATTGACGGCGAGATGGGCGAAGAGATGGAGGTGGATGAGCAAGGTATTCCACAGCCCAAGAAAAAGTCGCACGGTGGATGTGGACACCGCCAGCCCATCTTCCGCAAGGAAGGTCTCGGCCTGAGCGTCAACTTCAAAGCCAACGCCAACGACGTAAGTATTATGGCTTCTTTTATCCTTGCAGTGATTGCTATGCCTGACCGTTGGTCAATTTTGTTAAATGGCCCGTAACAACAATACTAATCCTCGTTCACCATTCGCCTTATGTTGAACATAGGATTCTCAACCCGAGGGCAAGCGCACATTGACGCCCAGTGATGCGTACCACATCTTGAAGCGTATTTCGGACGAAGATATCCAGGCCATGGGTCTGTCTGCAGAGTTTGCTCGCCCCGAGTGGATGATCATGACAGTGCTTCCTATCCCTCCTCTGGCTGTCCGCCCCAGTATTCAAATGGATGGATCGAGCACAGGAGAGGATGATTTGACTCACAAGTTGTTTGCCATCATCAAGACCAATGCTGATGTCTACCGGTGTGCACAGGACGGAACCCCAGCACATTTGATCCAGCAGCACGAGCAGCTGCTCCAGTACCATGTCGCCACATACATGGATAACGACATTGCTGGACAGCCCCCAGCAGCTCACAAGAACGGACGACCTGTAAGTGGACATATTGTTTGTTTTGAACATGTCGTATACGTGACTTTGCCGAGCTAGTTGTTTTGAGCTCCTTGACACGGTACTTATTGCCAACTCTGTTTAATTGTTTTCTCGCCATGCAGCTCAAGTCGATTCGTGCTCGTCTGAAGGGAAAGGAGGGTCGTCTTCGTGGAAACTTGATGGGAAAGCGTGTGGATTTCTCGGCGCGTACAGTTATTACAGGAGACCCCAACTTGTCGATTGACGAGGTCGGAGTGCCCCGCAGTATCGCCAGGACCCTTACCTACCCAGAATTGGTCACACCCTACAACATTGACAAATTGCAGGAGCTGGTCAGGAACGGACCCACAGAGCATCCCGGAGCTGTGTATGTCATCCGTGATGATGGCCAGCGTATCGACTTGCGGTGGAACAAGCGAGAAGTCCCTTTGCAGCTCGGATGGAAGGTTGAGCGTCACATTAACGACGGCGACGTTGTTATCTTTAACCGTCAGCCTTCTCTGCACAAAATGTCGATGATGGGTCACAAGATTCGCGTGATGCCTTACTCGACGTTCCGTCTCAACCTCTCTGTCACATCGCCCTACAACGCCGATTTCGACGGAGACGAGATGAACTTGCACGTTCCCCAGTCGGTTGAGACGCGTGCCGAGATTACAGAGATCTGCATGGTTCCTCGCCAGATCGTTTCCCCCCAGTCGAACAAGCCCGTCATGGGTATTGTGCAGGATACGCTGTGCGGTGTGCGCAAGTTTACCAAGCGTGACTGCTTCCTGACCAAGGAGATGGTGATGAACTTGGTGATGTGGGTGCCCGGTTGGGAGGGATTCCTGCCAACCCCTGCAATCCTCAAGCCCAAGCCTCTATGGACCGGAAAGCAGATGGTCAGTATGATTATCCCCAAGGGTATCAACTGTATCACCTTCCACTCGACTCACCCTGATAACGAAGAGAGCGACATTTCCCCTGGAGACACCAAGGTCATTGTCGAGAACGGCGAATTGATTTGCGGTATTGTCTGCAAGAAGACTGTCGGTACATCAGGAGGCGGATGGATCCACGTAATAATGAACCAGTACGGACCTGAGGTGGCCAAGACGTTCTTCAACGGATGTCAGACGGTCGTCAACTACTGGCTGTTGCAGCACGGATTCAGTATTGGTATTGGAGACACAGTTGCGGATCGTAACACTGTCTTGGGCATTTCCACGATTATCAACAACGCGACCAGCAACGTCAACGACCTCATTATCCAGGCGCAGCAGGACAAACTCGAGTGCAAGCCCGGTATGACCCTGCGCGAGACATTCGAGTCGAACGTGAACAGGGCGCTAAACACGGCTCGTGATGATGCAGGAAAGATGGCCCAGCAGAGTTTGCGCGAGGACAACAACGTCAAGCAAATGGTTATCTCTGGATCCAAGGGATCCTTCATTAACGTCTCGCAGATGACAGCTTGTGTGGGTCAGCAGAACGTCGAGGGTAAACGTATTCCTTTTGGATTCAAGTACCGAACCCTCCCCCACTTTACCAAGGACGACCATTCGCCCGAGAGTCGTGGTTTCGTCGAGAACTCGTACCTTCGTGGTTTGACCCCTCAAGAGTTCTTCTTCCACGCCATGGGAGGACGTGAAGGTAAAGCATGCGAACATGAAAGGTTTATTATGTATTTGTTTATTATTATGCTCTCGATTACCATTTACTCACCTCTTTTCTTCGCCTTCCACTCATTTCCCACGTACTCATTAGGTCTGATTGATACCGCTGTCAAGACTGCCGAGACCGGTTACATTCAGCGTCGTCTGGTCAAGGCGCTGGAGGATGTGATGGTCAAGTACGACGGTACCGTCCGAAACTCCCTCGGCCATGTGATCCAGTTCTGTTACGGTGAGGATGGCATGGATGCTTGTCACGTCGAGAAGCAACGCTTGGATACGGTCAAGATGTCCAATGCTCAGTTTGAGCGAAAGTTCAAGATTGAGTTGGCGGACAAATCCAAGGGTTTCAAGTCAGGTACCCTTGACTACTCTGTGCTCAAGTCGTTGGAGGAGGCCGATGCTGCCAGGTCCAGCGGGTCGAGGTCCAATGTCGGCCCCGTCCAGTCGTTGCTGGATGCCGAGTTCAAGCAGTTGGAAGATGACCGCCACTTGCTCCGCAACTACATCTTCACGGAAGGTGACGACCAATGGCCTATGCCTACCAACATCAGACGTTACATCTGGAACTCCAAGCAGATGTTCCACGTCGACCACAAGCGACCCAGCGACCTTGATCCTCGCCACATCTTGGAGAGCATCAAGAACCTGGAGAAGCAACTGGTTGTCGTTCGCGGCACGGATCGCATCAGTGTGGAGGCTCAGGACAATGCCACTTTGCTGTTCCGCATGTTGATTCGTTCGACGCTTGCAGTCCGCAGGGTGATTGAGGAGTACCACCTGACACGCGAGGCTTTTGATTGGGTTGTCGGCGAGATTGGATCCCGCTTCGCCCACGCGATGGTCAATCCCGGAGAGATGGTCGGTACGGTCGCTGCCCAGTCGATCGGAGAGCCCGCCACACAGATGACGCTCAACACCTTCCATTACGCCGGAGTGTCGTCCAAGAATGTCACCCTGGGAGTGCCTCGTCTTAAGGAGATTATCAACGTTGCGACCAACATCAAGACGCCTTCGCTGAACGTTTACCTGACCGACGACTGTGCGCGTAACATGGAGCGAGCCAAGCAGGTCCAGGTGGCGCTTGAGTACACCAACTTGCGCAAGGTAACCTCGTCGACCGAGATTCACTACGACCCCGACCCAGAGAACACCAACATCGAAGAGGATCAGGACTTTGTTTCGGCCTACTATGCCATGCCCGATGATGACCTGAACCCCTCACGCACGTCGCCCTGGTTGCTGCGTATCGAGTTGGACCGCAAGATGATGCTTGACAAGAAGCTAACGATGGCGGATGTGTCCAACAAGATCTCGGAGGACTTCCAGCGCGACCTGATGTGCATTTGCTCCGACGACAACGCCGAGAAGCTGATTATCCGGTGCCGCATCATTAGCGAGGAGCAGGCGGACAAGCAGGCGGATGTTCAGGAGGAGGAGGATGTTTTCTTGAAGAAGATTGAGAGTAGTTTGTTGAGCTCGATCGGCCTGCGTGGTATCAAGAACATCATCCGTGTGTACATGGTGGAGAAGAAGAAGATCACCATCACGGAGAGCGGCACTTTTGGCTCTCATATGGAGTGGCACTTGGAGACCAGTGGTTCGAACTTGAAGGCCGTCATGTGCGAGGAGGATGTCGACGCTAGCAGGACCTACTCGAACAACTGCGGTGAAGTCATGTCGGTCCTTGGTATTGAGGCAGCTCGTCAGGCGCTTTTGAAGGAGTTGCGTGGAGTCATTGAGTTTGATGGTTCCTATGTCAACTACCGTCACTTGTCGTTGCTGTGTGATGTGATGACTCACCGCGGACACTTGATGGCTATTACCCGCCACGGTATCAACCGCGCCGAGACTGGAGCACTGATGCGTTGTTCGTTCGAGGAGACTGTCGAGATTTTGATGGAGGCCGCCGCTGTTGGTGAGTTGGATGACTGCCGCGGAGTGGCTGAGAACATTATGTTGGGACAGCTGGCGCCATTGGGAACCGGCGAATTTGACCTGATGTTGGATGAGAAGATGTTGAGCACGGTCGTTGAGGGACCCCGTCCTGGCATGGCCGGCGGAATGGGTATGGGAATGGGTATGGGTATGGGAATGGGTATGGGTATGGGCCACGACAGCATGGGGTCTGCGATGACGCCGTACGACGGCCGCTCGCCTCAGTATGTGGACTTTTCACACCCCAGCTCGCCCATGGATGCAGTGTTCTCGCCCATGGGCAACTCTGGAGCCAGCTCACCTATGGGCCCTGGATCATGGGATGCAGCCAGTCCCTATGGAGCTACCAGTCCTGGATACTCCCCAGCATCTCCGGGCTACTCGCCCAGCTCGCCCATGTACGCGACCAGCCCTGGTTACAGTCCTACGTCTCCCAGCTACAGCCCTACGTCGCCGAGCTACAGCCCTACATCTCCCAACTATTCGCCCACGTCACCCTCGTACTCGCCTACGTCGCCTTCGTATTCTCCTACGTCGCCCTCGTATTCGCCTACGAGCCCAAGCTATAGCCCCACGTCCCCAAGCTACAGCCCGACGTCGCCGTCGTACTCGCCTACAAGCCCAAGCTATTCTCCTACGAACCATGGGTACGGTGCGACCTCGCCGGCGTACTCACCTACGTCGCCGTCGTACTCGCCCACGTCCCCATCATACTCGCCTACGAGCCCCAGCTACAGCCCCACGTCGCCAAGCTACTCGCCTACGTCGCCAAGCTACTCTCCTACGAGCCCGAGCTATTCGCCTACGTCGCCCTCGTACAGTCCCACGTCGCCTAGCTACTCGCCGACATCGCCGTCGTACTCGCCCACGAGCCCTAGCTATTCGCCCACGTCGCCGTCGTACAGCCCCACGAGTCCCAGCTACTCTCCTACGAGCCCAAGCTACTCCCCAGCAAGCCCTAGCTACTCTCCTAGCTACTCGGCACCGACGACGTCGTTCTCACCCATGGGCTATGGCACAGGTGGAGGACCGTCGAGCGGCGGAGCAGCGACTCCTGGACGACCCATGTATAGTCCCGCCGGCAATGGTGCGGCCAGCCCATCCCGACCTCCTGCCGGACAGGGCAAGTCGACCAGCCCAACGTACTCGGACGATGAGGAGTAATGGCAATAGCTGTTGACAGTTCCAGAGCGGACGCAGATGTGGAGTTGCGAACATTCAATAACAACAACAGACATACAATCAATATCGACATAACATACACAAAAAAACAACCACCACCACCTCTGCCGTAACTCCCAACACACAGCACTACTCGACTCAAGGACATCATTAACGTTTCTCTTGCATCTTTTTGCATTTGCATCGATTGAAGGAGACCAGGAGGAGAGGTCTGTTTGTAGGCACTCTTTAGAAAAACCAACCATTGTGGGGCAGGGAAGCAGGAGCAACACGGGCGACCCGGCTCGGAGAGCGACCTTTTGAACCTCCCCCACACTCCATAATGGAACCCTCACTTCCTACAAAAAAAACTAGCTGCCATCTTTTCCTTTGTAAAATAATTAAAACGAGAGATTGTAATCTCTAAGAAACATCTGTGAACACTGTTGACTTGTGGGAGAATGCTTTCGTTTATTATTGATACCCTCTAGTTGTGATCTTGCTTAAACCGCTTTGGGTCGCGATCGTTCATAGCTTGATCGCCGTCAGGATGACGGGGCGGCACCATGCCAGGAGGTGGTGCCATACCAGGAGGTGGCGCCATGCCTGGTGGCATTGGCATGCCAGGGTAATATCCAGGTGGAGGCTGCTGACCAAAGAATTGTGGTGGTGGGATGCCGGGCAACCCTGGTGGAGGAACCATACCTGGTGGAGGGAGTGGAGGTGCCATTCCTGGTGGCATTCGGTTATATCCTCCTGCTTGAGGGAACATTGGGGGCTGGCCTCTTTGAGGACCGATGGAAGACTGGAGGTGCCCACTTGAGGCATCATGGCCGTATCCGGGTCCACTTGTAGAGGCGGCTGCTGCTGCGGCCGCATGTCTCTGTGCGGTTTTCGCGACCGTAGCTGTTTGTCCATCCCAGACATTCTTTTCCCTCTCGATTTGGCGCTTCCGCTCCTCCTCCGCATTCCTAGTCTGCTCTTCGCTGAAGATATCTGTGCGGTGAGATTTGAGGAGACTCAAATTCCTTGCAACATCAGTTCCTAAAGGTGTGGGTAAACACACAAGAAATAATCTGGACGTTAAGGTTTGTTCATGTCATTGCAATGATTTGGTTGCCACGTTATCTACCACGCAATCCAGCGTATACCCAGCTGTTGGAACTTACCATCAGTGACCGTGGTACTTGATTTTGTTTTGGCATCGGCCTGCTCACGGAGCACTTTGTATCTAGGATCCAACAATTCAATGCGGACGTGCTCGTCCATCTCCGAAAGTGGGATCTGCTCCCCGCAACGAGGACATGTCTGTGTAGCCTCCTTCAAGCTGGCAGCAGTACGGCCCTTGAAGGTCTTGGGTACAAAGTCCTCCTTGATCTTCATGGGCGCGGTCGACTGAGAAGCGGTCATCACGACGTCGTGAGCTCCTGCTGGACTATTCTGTACATCGTCGTTGTCTTCTGCATCAGAGTCCTCCATATCCATATCGTCGTCGTTGCCATCAATCTCGATATCCTGGGGTGCATCCACTGGTGCATGTTCGCTCTCTGCCAGAACTTGGATCATCCGCTTTTGAGCCAACGACATATTCTCCAGTTCTTTCAGACTCTTGGGCAATGGCAAGTCTACGAGCTCATCGGCCTCTGTGAACTCGATCGTTTGCACAACAACGAAATCCTGCCAGTTAATACTCAAAAACGCCTCTAATGACGTTAGAAAATCGGGCAATGGGAGAATGAAAGCGTTAGTACACATTATCAATCAATACAACCAACACTGTACTTCAGTATTCAAAACTTTGCACCAATGATCTCAAAACTTACGTCGTTCGGCGTCCTCCTTTTCATCCTTCTTCTTGCGAAGTTCCTGCTGGTATGCGGTATACTCCACGCGCCTCATAACAATATCTTGGACTGCATACTTGTCGTTGGCTCTCGCCTCGATCTCCTCGACCATTCCTGGGCCAGGGACCAAAATCTTTGTGTATTGCTCCACCAACTTGGAGAAGTAGCTGAATAAACTGTGATTGGGTCGCAAAAAGTCGAACTGGTAGTTGCGAGCTTCCCGCTGTGCCAATGAAACCATGAACTGCCTTCCATTCCTTGCCACGAACTGTGCTGTGAGCTTGATAATGTCCCTAAATGCCACAATTATGAATTTTCAAACGATTAACATCTGATCAAGAGTGAAAACGGCATAGAGTCTGGGACGAAGTTAACAATAGTGCATATCGGCGACTTACAGGTCCTGAGCTGAGACAGACGGCATCGGAGTCATGAATTCCAGAGCTGGTGGTTCTTCTGGTGGTGGCTTTATCGCTTCCTCAATCTTCGCCTCCACTTCCGCCTTGAGTTCCGCAGCCTTTGGTGCTATTGTTAACAAATGTGCAAAAAGAGACATACATCAGTTTGAGAGTTTTTCAATCCCCACGAACAACGATAAGCATGGAATGCGTATGACATACCTTTTCCTGACTTTGCCTCCTGAATCTTAAAGGCGTAGTAGGCGTGGTAGGGATCAGTAGTGTTCAAGAAACAAAACTTGGGGTTGCTCTTTTCCTTCTGACGAAGGCGTTCCTCCAGCAAAGCACCTGAGTCACTTCCAGAGACATATGCCGCCGTCTTGTCCGCGATTTCTATAATTGTATTCAAGTTCATAGTTGTTAGTAAACATGGTTCTACAAAAGTAACGCTGTTGAATGCCCTGATCCCTGATCACCTCTAAAATAATAACGGTTCTTGATGTACCTCGAATATAAGGTGGAGGGTAAATGATGCCTACGGATGCGACATCCTCCTGCTCTGTTCCTTGTGCTGGTGGTTGTTCCTCGGCTCCATTCTGGGCACCGTATCCGCTGATGGCGCTTGGCAGTGGTGGAGGCGCGACCGACATGTTTGCTGGTAGGAGAAAAGAATGTAGTGAAGTTTAAGTCTGGGCGATCAACTCGCTTTTCATCTGATGTCGACGACATAAAAGCCTTATTTCCGTTCAATATTAGGAATTAAGACTTCCTATCCAAAGCCCCTTTTTGCCTGCTTCTGATTCGACGGACAGGCAAGAATGCAGATTGTGGTTGTGCTACAGTAAGTGAAGTGATGACATATCGCGCAAGCAGCTGAATCGAGCAATGGCTCGAAGGCAATAAGGCACTCGGTCAACAGAATTCACAACAAAGTGGTCAGCGTAGCAACCTGAGAGGGGATCAATTGACAAAATGCCTACTCTAAGCCCATCTCAATTGAAAAAAATGGACGCGTCGAGATAAAGACACCTCTCATTCTTCACGACAAAGATGGCTGTCGACGATAACGACTATCGCTACGGATGGTCAATTGCCATCGAGAATGAACGACGTATTGGCGGCAACATGCACTGGGCTAAGATAGTCGTAAATACGGAGAGCATACGCCTATTTATTTTCGAATCTTGTTCGCTCGATCTGCTTACACCAAATAAAACGAAGCTCGCTTAAAGGTGTGTAGGAGAATTGTTTAAGGAATAGGATATAGGCAGCATAAGACATGGATTTGGGGGTGGGTCTGCAATGGGTGGTTTCCCTCGCTGTCTCCCTGAAAAGGGCCTCTTTTCCTACCTCCTTTTTTGCCTTCTAGCCCAATGAGTGCGTAAAAGAGAAGACAGACATCGCTCCTCATCCTATCATCTATTCCTTCGTTCTCTTTGAACTCCTTTCTTTTTTTTCTTTTCCTTTCTTTTCACTTTCCACTGTATCTCTTTTTTAATCACTCTCATAATATCGATCCAAGATCCATCCACTTGTAGACACCGTTTCACCCTTTCCTTTCGCTTTTGCTTACCTCTTCCACCGCACAGTCTAGCAAATTCGACTAACCCTTTGTCAAAAAGTCAGTAAGCCCGTCTTTTATTTCATCTTCAATCAGTTCAATCCAATATTGACAAAACCTATGCAAAAAACTGTCGTTTCTCATCATATTTACGCGTTTTTTCTGTGCGTTGTCTTCATCCTTATTTTATTCAACCTTTGACCCCGATTCGATACAACAAGTCTCCAATGAAACTTCTCTCTGCTGTCTTGGTCGGCGCCTTTGCTGCCATCTCAATCGCCCAGGGTGCAAAGTGAGTTGATCCTGATCCAGAGCGTGCAGCTCGCGTTGCAGGCTACATTACCTGCATTAGACCCTGTCTCCAAGAGGCGGTCACAGACCCTAGCAACGGGGTTTGCCAAAACGCCACCGATTCCAAAAAGTGCTTGGCGACTGTAATTCCCAAATACCTTCCTTGCGTAGTGAAGTGCACCGGACGAACGCTGTCCCAATCTGCCATCAACACCCCCTCCGGCTATCTCGATGACAATGGCCAGGAGGCCTTTGGTCAGAAATACTTCTAAAACACCCACGCCGCTCTCCCGCCTCTTTGCAAGGATCGCTCAGCAGGCTTTCATCATCCTCAATAAACCAAGGAGTTCACTCAACAACAAACCAAACCACAGACTCTGGCTCCATCAGCTAGAAACACACACCACCTTCCTTTCCATACATCGAATCTTTTTTTCTCCACCTTCGAAAATAACCGGAGGAAAACCCATCAAAAAAAGTCAATAAGAATAAATGAGCGCGACTTTTTGTATACATTCAACCCCCACTATTTTCGAGTTCCACCCCTTCTCTCACTCATCCTTCCCTTTTAGGTTTTTTTTTGTCCCTGAAAGCACATTCTTTTAGGGACGTGAGAAAAAAAAGAAGGGTAGCAAGTAGTCAAGAAATAAACAAGGATTTTCACCCTACTTAGGAGCTTTCTTGTTAAATGTTGCGAGTTGATGTCAGTATTTTTCTACGGGTGTATTGTTATCCTCTGGTAATAAATATCGTGCAGATTCCTAGCCTTTGCTGCTGTGGTATGTTATAATATTGTTTGATTAGAACAAGATGTAAGAAGGGGCTCGATTGCCATGAACGAGTCCTTTGACGCGATGGTGCTAAGACTCGCAAGATATCCTGATCACTTGCACGCGTTTAGATTTTTGAACACGTCACAGGGAATCGGTAACGTGACAGCTCCTTCTGCGAGACTGTGAATCGACGGAGCGAGGTGCCTGGCAGTTGGCTGACAGACAAAAAAAGAAGAGAGCCGTCGTTTGCCGTTGTTCTTCTCACACTTCCATCACGCACTCTCTCATCACTACTCCGCTCTTCACCCCTCACTCCCACTCCTTACCATGGTATGCGCACTGCAACAACTCGCTTCAAGGAGTCATACACTACTACAGTTAATAGTAACATCAGCAGGACTAACACCCCTACCTACTTCGTCCTCTCCGTAGCTGGTTCTCGTAATAGGCGACCTTCACATTCCCAACAGGGCTCACGACCTGCCGCTCAAGTTCAAGAAGTTGCTTGTAAGGAAAACGAGAGGACTCACAAGTGCCGCATGACAACGTACACACGGACAGAAGAACCGAATTACTCCCATTCAGCAAACAGAGACGGACCGTTCATTCTTTACTAAAGCCATTCACAGAACAGCGGAATCCTGACTGACCACCGCAATTGCCTTTTGTGTGCTCCTATTGTAGGTTCCTGGAAAGATTCAGCAAATCATCTCGACAGGAAACATTTGCGACAAGGAGACCTTTGACTACCTCAGATCCGTTGCAGGAGATATCCAGGTTGTGAGGGGAGACTATGACCAGGTGAGTTGTTTTTGGCGACCTTCCTTCCCTTACCTACAGCCGCATGTTTTGTATCTCCACAGCCTAGGTGTTTACCCCACGAGGTTTTCGAGTAATGCCAAGCCAACCAGTCCTGCCAATTGGACCAAAACATATCTAATCTCGGTGAATATCTTTCGATCTCTCAAATAATAGAACGTATCGTGGCCTCTCTCAAAAATCATCACCCATGGACCCATTCGCATTGGAGTTGTTCACGGACACCAGGTCATCCCCTGGGGTGACACAGAGTCACTCAACATCACTGCCCGCCAGATGGACGTCGACATTCTCTTGACAGGACACACACACAAGTTCGAAGCCTTTGAGCATGAGGGCAAGTTCTTTGTCAACCCAGGATCAGCAACCGGCGCCTACCACCCACAAATCGAGTACGTTTCCTTTCATGCCATCCCATTATAGTTTTTGCTCAATCTGGTCGTATCTACATGGCGTTTATGATGACTGAAGCCAAGGTTAATATTAACCCGAAACTGTTACCTTTTCATAATTGACATAGGGATGTGACACCTTCGTTCGTCTTGATGGATTTGCAGGGATCGGTCGTTGTGCTCTATGTATACCAATTGATTGATGGCGAGGTCAAGGTCGAAAGAATCGAGTACCGCAAGCCATTCGACAGCCGCACTGCTTAATCCACTTCTTCTTTCTGTACCACCGCCACACAGTCAACAGCGAGGACATGCACGCCAGACATTGCAAAACAAATAAAGTGAATGTACGCTTCTTTTTTTTATATCTTCCTTTCTCTTTTTTTCTTTTTCTTATTTTTTTTAGCTTAGTTGGAAAGAGTCCATGCGACAATCTCCTTGAGCAATGAGAGTCCATAGAACTCAGCAATGTTCTCAAAGACCCTCATCTTGCGCAGATAATCGTTCCTCCCAAGCACTGTCACAAACCGACCCGAGCACTCACACCACTCGCCCAGATGATCCGCCTTGACTCGTCGACACTTGACACACTTCAGATCCTGCATCTGGTACTGGTCCACCATCCGCTCAACAATCGACACCATTGACTCCTCAATCGCCTCACGATCGTACTCCTCCTTGCACTCCTGACACCTCCAAGCTCCCAGCACAACCTCACCTGTGTCCTTCTTGATCTTGGGCAGCAGATGTGGGTCGCGGCAGAAATCCAGGTCCTGGCAGTAATTGCAGTACGAGCAGATAACGCCTCGAAGCACAAAGCTCTCGCATGGATTCGTGAAGAGCGACTCGGGCGAGAACTCGCGAATCTCGATCAGATCCAACAAATTCTTGCGCATCACCCGGACCTCTCGTTCGACAGTCGGGTCAATACTAAAGACCGCCGCAAGAGACTTGATTAGCTCCAGCGCTGGGTTCGACAGCTGCAAATGAGATCCTGGTTGGCGTGGGAAGGCATACAACAACGCCAATTGAGGATCCTTGAGCGAGTCGCGTCTCTTGGCCATGATCTCGGGAAAGACCTTAAGCAGCCGTCTGGAAATCTGCTGTGAAATCAGCTTCTTCTTGAACGACACTGCTTCGACACTCTTCTTGTCTGCCTTGCTGGCTCCCGCGCTTGCGCCTGCACCGTTCTCTTCCTGGCCGTTCGTCTCGCCATTCTGAGAACTGCTGCTGACCTTGGCCAGACGCTTCTGGTGAGTGAACTTGTAGACCTGGTCAATAAACTCCGCAATTGTCTTCCCGAACTCGTCCTGGAGTGCCATCGGCAGATACTGCTGAATGTTCCAGGCCAGCGTGATAGGTCGGTCGACCTGGGTCAGGAGAGTGGGCTGGTCCTGTTCTTGAACCTCGTGCGGGTTGGGGCAGATGATACCACCATAGTTGGCAGAGTCCATCCATAGCAGTTGCTCCCAGTAGTGGACGGGCATCAGGTCGATATGCATGAACAATGGCTTGGCCTGGATATGTCGAATGACCCAGCTGCAGTAGGCGTAGGCGTTTCCGACTGAGGGCTTAGACGTTGCAACTGTCAGCTTGTTGAAGTTGCCATAGGTGACACGGGATCCCAGGCGCTTGAACTCGGCCACGAGCTGCAAAAAGACCTTCTTCATCAGACCGTGGATAAGCGCATACATGGAGGGGTCGTACAGCTTTGAGTTGGGACTGGTCAGCCACCGGTGAAAGTGGGCAGTCAAACTCTGGGCAAAGAATCCCTGCGTCTCGGCCACCTCAATCGCCCATCCTCGCACCATCGCCTTGATCATCGCAAACGCCTGCACGGAAGCCATTCCTGTCCCAAACGAGATCACACTTGAGACCTTTCCAGAGTTGTAGTCGTCCAAAGTGTGGGATGCGTCGAGAGTTGCTTCGCCACCGCCCTCCAACTCGTTGATCTGACTCGACTGCAGCAATGTGTTGACGGCCAGGCCAAGCATATCCATCTCCAGACAAACAGTCTCATAGTGACCAGGGGTGCTGATGATGGGATCTGACAGCTCCTCCGATCCTGATAGGTTCTCGTCTTCCTCACGACCGCCCAAGTCCGGCTTGCTCGATGGAGACCACCAGAGCAACATGTCATGGCGCTGAAGGCGACGAGCCAACATAACATCTGTAACAAAGATGGGCGAGTCCTGTTCGATATTGCAGAGAGGAACATCCGCGTATCTTGCCATAGCAATTTGTTCCGTGATCCATCCTCCGACAGTCAGGAACTGGGCCAACATTCGCTTGGTCGCGTTTGTTTGCCAGGCTAAAGCCTGGAACGGCTTGATGTTCTTGGAGCAGGGCATTGAGATGAGTGGGAAATCAGAGAGGATACTCATGCTCTCCAACATCTTTTGGCGACTCCATGGGGAATGCAAGATCACAGCCGTGGCTCCGCGACGCTCGTCCTGATGCTTGCTAAGACACTTGATCAGACCCTTGATTGCGGTCTTATCGTTGTTGACATACTCGACCTCGAACTGGAGCTGACTAAAGTAGTCAAAAGCCTTGTTGGGTCGTCGGGTCGTGTCCGGCATCCGGTCGATCTCGGCCTTGACCGCTTCGTACGTTCGGCTCATGTTAGGCATCTGGCCCTTCTGTCCAGGTGCATCCACCACAAACACAAAGACTCGATTGTGGACCGAGGAGAAGAGGGCAAACAAGTGTCGAGTGTCTGTCGTGGCGTGGTACAAATACAGATAGTTGAGTGCCCGGTCGTCCTGCATGTACGGCATCTTGTCCATGCTCACTGGTTTGAGATCGGCAAGCTCGAAGCCCTCATCTAGGCCGCGCTTAGCTCGGTTGGTGACAGAACACACGCAGCTCAGGTTGATGATTGCCCTGTAGAACAACGGCAACTGGGTCTCGTACACACCTTCTACGTCTGGATGACTGAAGAAGCTGGACAGGTTCTTGGACTCCTTCTGGTACAAACTCTCGGGCATTGTGAATTGGTACAGATGAAGGCAGGGATGGGCGCGGGGCAGGGTCCTGACCAACTTTTGCTTGGGAAAGAGTCGAGTTTCGTGGCTAGCATCCTCGACTCGGCTGTTGACGTAGAAGATGCGTGGTACTGACAAACGGACCGAATGAAGAGCCTTGTCGATGAGGATCCAAAGCCTGAATTCGCCAGGGATCTCCGACTCGACAATTTGAACAATCTGCCACACGTTGGTCAAGATGCTGGTCGACTGTTGCTGAATAAAGCCCGATAGGGAACCGACGGGGCCCTTGGCGCGAGACTGACCCAGGGCCTTCCGTTGGGCTCGCTCCAATCTCTGACGCTTCCATTTCTTCTTCTGATATGCCAAGAATCCATGGTAGTCTGTGAGCATGTCAGGCATCTCGGCAGGCAACTCAAGCTCCAAGACCTGCTCCTCGATCGACTTGTGCTGCTGTTGAATCCTGCTGTTCTTGCCCTTCTTGGTAATCTTGTGGACGATGGGTCTCGAGGGGAAGCCTTGATTAGCGCCGGATGAGCCAAAATCCTCCAGATCCATAACGCCATCCGCATTAAACGGACGCTTCTCGGTAGGCTTGAAGGCGTCGGTGATACGGTGCTGCTTGAACTTGTCGTCAATGGCGGCCACACGCTTGAACAACCAGTCGGGGTGCCGAACGCGAGGAATGGGGTTGGTGACTTCCTGCATCGCTGCGGGAATGGTGATCAGCTTCTGGATAACGCCTCCGAATCGCTCCAAGTAGTAGTGCCAGTCCAAAATCGATCGGATGTCAAAGTCCTGCAAACTGCTGTCCTTGAGCCACTTCCGGAGGTAAAACTTCATGACCGCGGGCTCAGCAGAGAAAATGGCGACGGGAATGGCTCGTTCTGTGACCGGAGCGCCGGCAGGCTGGGTGGCGATAATGAACTTGCAGTTTAGTCCCTTGTCCTTGACCATCTGATCGCCTAAGAACTCTCCTAATCTCCTTGCGGTACTAATGGCAGTCGACTTTTGAGCTCCGTACTCCTCCAACGACTTGGACATGTTCCTGTTCTCGGAAATCAGATCAAAAAGCTCATCCTCCTCCAGATCAATCCCCTTACTGTACAGAACGTCGAGCCACTGGTTGGCGACCCTTGCCACGGCATCGTAGCATCCCACAAGATCGGAGCCCTCCAGGAAGACCTTGAACAGCTGCGACTGGAAGTTCTTGATTAGCTTGAGCTCTCCACGACGCTTGACCTCGAAACCCTTCAGCTCAGCAATCGACCCGTCTTTGTTAAACACGGCATAACGCTTCTTCAGCAACTTGTCCTCCTCCTTGGATGCGGGCAGGATCATGGCGTGGTAGGGACCGTCGACCTCGAAAAAAATACTGTTCTCCTCGATCGTCTCGTACTCGTGGTCGTCGGGGTTCTTGAGAACCTGGTATTGATTGTTGGTGAACTTGGCGTGAACAAGATGGTTGAGCATGGTACAGGGATATGAGATTGGGAATTTCTTGCCACTCTTGAGCTCAAAAGTGAAGTTCTCGGGAAACGTTTGCGGAAAGATGCACCAGATACCATCTGTGTCCAGCTCGAGAGGTTGGCCCATTCGCTCGACCAACTGACGCGCCAGCTGAATAATCCTTGCTCCAGTCAGACACACAATACCGGCCATCTCCATCGAGTACCAACGCGCACCCTTTCTCATGACGTATCCATAGAACGAGTTGAGAATGCACTTGTGAGCGAGCTGAAGGGAGTCATACAGAACGACCATCTTCTTTGCGTTATCAACCTCAACAAGATCTCCTGACTTCAACGCCTTGTCCGTTTCTCCCTTCCACTTCTTGTGCAGACCCTTGTACTCGTATCGACGATCACGGAAGGCCTTGACGGTATCGACGTAGAACGGGTTCTCCCTCTGACAGACCACTGCCTCTCGCTCCATGACCTTGGTCTCGTGTGTCTTACGGTATACCTTCCTCGAGTACTCGGCAATACGCTTCGTGATCAACGATGCCTGCTCAGCCTCCGTCAAACTGTGAAACGTCCGTGGCTCGTCCCAGGGCTTCTTGCCAGGAAATCGCTCGGACTCTAACTGGTTCCTGATCATGTTGTACTCGCTTCTCTTGGCTGGGAAGTATTCTCCACGCCACGACCAGGTCATCCTCCGATCGCACTCCTTCCCGACTCGGTTGAAATCGCATGCAGCGCAAGTCGACTCATCAATAATCGAATCCGGTTGAAGTCGATTGGTAAGAATGATGTTGGGGTACATGGCGGCAACATCCAAATGGTAGATGCTGGGATTCTCGCGTCGCTTAGGATTGTCCCGCAGATCTTCCAGCGGTGCCGTAATCGCAGCTTTCACCTAAAGTCATTGATCAAACAATATACAGTCAGCTACGTGTACGTTTCTTGGCCAGGTTTTGCTCTGTCGCAACTTTGGAGCGCCTATTCTAAGTACAGTAACTTACCTCTTGATAGTTGACAACGTCTTCCATCTTGAGATTACCCTCGACTTCAACACTGAACTTCAACGCTGCGTCCAAATCGTCGATAAGCTGTTGAGCCGTGCTCGGGTCGAGTTTGAAGTCGTTGGGGATATCACTTCTGTAAACACCGGCCTTCAGCGCCTCGACGTGTCCTCCGACATAGGTTTCGCTCTCCAGCAAGTGTCCCTCATACATTTTGTTGAATGACTCCACATGCTTGTTAGGCATGATAATGTTGCCCTGATATGCCTCGACCTACATAATCATACGAACAGAACTGAAAGTAAGTATCATACTGACAAACCCAACATAGTACATCATCATTTCTGCGATATAATTAAATAACGTACCATGAGAAGGGTCTCGCACAGAGTTCCGGATCCTTTACGCAAGACCTCGTCTGGGTTCATTGGGATAATGTTGCAGAGGGAAAAAATGAAAGGATGCACGTACTTCATGTACAAGTAGTAGGTAGCAACAGCATCGGAAACGGAATACTGAGCTAATGTCTGGGGCCTCTCTGAGGCGAACCGGGTCATGTCTTCTGGGTCAAGTTCCATGGGGTTATAGCCCAGCTTTTCTTTAGTAACCGATTTCAGACCTTGACTTCCCATGGGCAGATAAGAATCACGCTTGACCCAGCGGAAAGCGTCCATATGTACAGCAGTGTTGGATTTGTACTCGTCCTCGTCGTCCTTCTTGACTCCAATTTCCTAAGTATTTCAATCACCAACAGCACTGCGCGGTTAGCATGCAATTTTTATGGAAGGCGATCCAGGACACATGCGAACCACAGAACTCAATCCTAGACCAAGACGCTTACCAGGAACATGTCGATGCCGTGGACTTTTGATCGAGCCTCCATGAATGGCCAATCGAAAAAGTCTCCGTTATATGTGACAAACACTGTGGGCTTGACCTCTTGGACGTGGTGGAAAAATCGACGAAGGCACTCTTCCTACAAACGCAAATACGACGTGACGTTTGAGGGTTAGAGACCAGCGCTGAGCCGCGAATTACTTTCCTATTCGTCAAAAGTAGATCAACCCTTAGGACATACCTCGTTGGGTTCATTGAAGATTGTAAACAAGCCTTCGTATTCCGGCTTGGGGGTATATTCAAAGTCGTCAATGTCCTGAGAAACCACCTCTCGATTTGTAATCAAGAATCCCTAGAGGTGAACAACGAAAAACAGGCATTAGCAACCTGCTGTCTTGACATGACATCACTCTTGCTCCTTGCTTTTAGAATGCCGTGAGAGTTCTTCTTTACCTGACCATCGATCATGTATGAAATCATCATCACAGAGTCAATTGCGGCGTCGGGAAACTTGAGCGGCAGCTTTGTCGTCTCGATATCGAATGCAAATACTACTGGATCTGCACGCGCCACCCTGTCGAACTGTCGCTTGATCTCCACATCCGTGGGTGTGACTCGAACAGTGTACCACAGTCCAATGCGAATGTCTAGATAGAGAAACGACAATGAAAGTGTGAGCTAACGGATCAAAAGCGCGCTATGCCACGTCTACTTAGAATCATTGTTCAACATGATGTACCTTTGTCAATAGCCACACGGATGGTGTATGGAATATCGTACTCCCGAATATCGACAATGTAGTCCAAACCATCCCCTCCGCCTGCTTTTGAGGAGATCGGCTCGTGGTCCATGCCAAAGTCATATGCAGCGGAGATGGTTTCGGCGTAGGTGTCCAGGACCGACATTTTTGCCAGGTTCTGCTTGGCTGCTGGGAAGACAACTTTTCGCACGTTCAGCAAATCCCGAACATTCCTGAACGCCAGCTTGATGAATGTCCGAGTGTTTCCCATTAGATGGTTTGGCTATGGGTAATTCAGAGGCGCAAGGTGTATTAATTAGTATACACTTCCTGGTCGAAAGACAAGAATATTTTTGTTCGCCATGCTGGTTGAACACCCTACACAAATATGAATCGTTGCTTACCATATCCAAATCCTCTTTCTGTACTCTGTTCATTTTCTCAACCAAATTCTCAAACTTCCTGCGAATGTACTCTTCAACGTCGCCCTCATACCCAACCTATACAAAACGAAAAAGGACGGCACACGTATATGTTAGCACTCAATATTAAATTGAACAACGTTCACGATACCTTACGCCTCTGATGGTTGGTAGCTTACCTTGACAGCAATGTAAAAATATGGGCTGTACTTCAAGGTTGTTTTGAACATCTCGCCGTCGTCCTGGATAAAGTAATAGTCGATTGCCGCTCGACCTGTTGGCCAATCTTCGTCTTTTACGATCGTCTATGACACCAGCACCCAAAAAAGAGTCAGTCTCCGTCACCCCAAAAGGAAATGTATGAAGAAAAACAAACACGAAATAACAGGCAAATGGCAACTTACAGCGTGCTGATTAATGAGCCAACCCAATTTCTCGGGCCCTTCCTGGAACTTGAAAAAGCCTAGCTTCTCGTCAATCTCATCCTGCAGCACGGCATCGTCAAAACGCTGCTCGACATGAGTTCCTTCGTCACCGGTAGGTACGAATGCCTGTGCTTTGGGGTCTCTGTATGACTTCCCGCCTCGTCCACTACCACCACCTCGACCTCCTCGAAATGTGCTACCACCGCGACCACCACCACGATTCGATGGTGGCATGAGTCCGAAGGTCGTCTTTTTGAATCCCATGTGTCCTTTGTTTGGGTGTGAGTGTAGTATGAGTGTTGCAGTTGGTTGGTTGTTTTGCGTTTTATCGTTAGTGGGTCATATACAGTGAAAAGGAACACGGGTGAGGAGCGTGAGGAGTGTTAGCGAGAGGAACGGAGATGATGTGGTACAGCGAGAAGGAGCGAAGAGTTGGTGCCTGGAAGTGGCAACGCGCACTATTTATGTTTTTCCGACAGTCCATTTTTTTTAATTTAGAGGCGCGTCTCTTTGTGTTTTGATTCTATTGCAAGTCACGCTTGGGTCATGAAAGAGAAACGCGAACTATGACAGTAAGGCTAGGATCAGCCCGTCAAGATAGTCCGAGTCTCCCTCGCCCCGCACACCCTGCTCACTCGACTGACCTCCACCTCGACGATCAGCAAATCCTCTGGCCGCATTCGAGTTGACAACAACCTGCAGACTCTTGGCAAGAAACTCTCGACACCGATTAAACTCTTGCTCGATCGCCTCGAGGGATTCACGATACGAGCTGCTGCCGATGCCACCCTGCGAGGTCTTACGAGACGCATCTGTTCGCCTGTACTCTCGTCTGTGGAACAAACGCTCGCGTGGGAACCTTGCCGTATTTGAGCCAACCCGCTGCTTCTTGACACTACTGGAGCTCTCCCCTGGGTCCATCTCAATATCCTCTTCGGCGGGATGGTCTTGACCGTCGTGGTCAAGGTCAATATTCTCTTCTAGACCTCCATCCCTGTCCTGTTCCTGATCATACGAGTCTTCTTCCGAGTCTGAGCTGAGCTCTCCTGTTAATCTCTCAGGGATGGGTCCTCGAGCGCCCAGATTAACCTTTGGTGCAGTATTGAAACTCACCCTTCTGCCACTACGGCCTGTCCGTTCCCTGGAAGGGTCAACAGCCTTGGGCTGTGTATCTTCTCCCTGCCCGCAATCCGTAACAAACCTTGACAAGAGTGTCGAAAACTCGAGTGCCAGATTAAGCATTGTCAGGAGTGACCGATGAAGGGGTAAAGTCTTCTCCTTCAAGAAGCAGCGCTCGTAGCATGTGCTGATGAAGCGCTGCGAGAGTCGAATCATGTCGTCCAAGTCACCCTGTCCCTCGATTTGCGACCGAAATTTTTGAATCTGCACGTCAAGTACCTACAGAAGTAGAGGGGAAGCACGAATCAGTATCTCAATTCAAACCAAGCGTAGTCCGCGTTTTTAGGCGCCAGTGTACCAAGGGATTGATACTATGCAAAACTTACTGTCATCATGAAGTAGCTCCAGAGGTCATTCATGGTGCAAAGGAACCGCATCCGCAGCTTCCAAAAGGTTGACAGCTCCGGCGTGCGTGGAGGTTTAGACTTGAGAAAAAAGGACTGCTCAATAGCGAACTTGACTGTTTGGACCTGGAAAAGCAACCCTGTGATCCGACTGTACATCTGTTTTGATTGCTCGGTCGAATAAAGGATCCCACTTAGAGGCCAAGGGAGCTAGAGCATAATACAACGCATTAGACCGTTGGCATGTATTTATCAGAACATACTCGTCGTATTCTGTCGTTTAACATACCATGTAGTCAAACTCAATGAGCTCCAACGTATGGGCCTTGAGCCGCACGAGATCTGTCCAAGGGCGCTTTCCCTCGCCAACTCTGATTTTGACAAATCTAGCATACTGCCAGTCACACAGTGTAGCGACTTGGTGAAAGGTAGACTCCAGGGTGTAGCTATCGAGCCAAGGCCGCCTGCGTTTCATCTGTTGTGTCAAAAAGGTTGACGTTGTGTAAATAACCTTTCCCTTGTTGAATCCTAATCTCGCTCGAGCATATTTCGAAATACGGTTCGAGGTACTGTACCTTACTGAATATGTTGGCAGCAAACAAATGCATGACTTCGCCCTGCATCATAAAGAAGAACTCAGACATGCCCCTCAGATGCCATTGTAGCCGCGATTGTGTGAAGAGCAGAGACTTGAGAATGGTGTTTGCTGACAAGTACTGGAACTGTATTGCCTTTGCCAGCTCAGACTCCATTCTCCAAGTAAAACTGATCGCCCCATCGCTGTTTAAAAGGTTCCTCGTTCTCGTCGTGTCGCCAAATAATCGCGATAGTGGCGTCAAGGGGTACTGTTGTCCAAGAATGGCAGAGTATCTAAGAAAATCTTGGTGCAATGCAGAAGTAGAAGCAGCAGCGTCGTCAATGTAATCCATGGCGTCACTGTTTCCACTCTCCTCAAATATGCAATGAGAAACCGACGTTGCAAATCCTATAGCTGTGGGCATTGTAGTCTATTCAATTCAAAAGATGTTAGTTAGTGCTGCGTTTCATAATCCACTAAATCTCAATAACAAGGCATCATACGACCATGAAGAAGCATGTGCATACCTCCAAAGTCTTTAGTGCCAAAGATATTTGCATCGCCTTGCCAGCATATAACAGTTGTTTGAGTGAGAGATCTGGGACAAAACAGGGTGAAATCTGCGCCGTCGAGGTTCGTGTTTTGCCGTTGGCGAGGTCTTCCGTCGCAATCTCTGCCTGGATCTGATAGCCTTCAGACCAAAACAGCGTCGAGAAAAGATCGATTTGAGGAGACCTAGTTACGCGTTAAGGGAATCACACTTGGTTAATACGATGCCACATCATGCCAAGCAAAAAAAAACACTCGGAGTTGACAAAGAAAACCGGGTGCAACGTACATCTTGATCATGAACTCTGATTCAGAATCGAGAGGCTGTCCTGAAAGCCAACGCTCCATGTTGAGAAGAAATGGCCTTATCGCCTGCTGCAACAATCGCTGAAACATTGCTGACGCTTGGATGTCACCGCACAGATCCAGTTGGCGAACATTATCGTACAGTCGGGATAGGACATCGATCGAATGGCCACAGGCACGCTCGCCATTGTTAGAAGGCTCAGCTACCAATTAAATATATATAACGATTAGAACAAAAGTAATTTAGAGTCAAACATATGTTCTGAATCCACACCACGATCACTTACTGTAGAAGTCACAGCGCTTGATAAAGTCCTGGAGCATATGCGCAAGGTTCATTCGCTCCGATAATGTCGCCTTCAGCTCGATAAATGAGGCCATCATCCGTGTTGGTCCTAAAGCAAAGACACAGCAGGCACAGTTAGTCTCAGGAAGATATCTTTGTAACGAGCACAACCGTGACCGCGGAATATACGTTTTGTTGAAAGCTTTCGTACCTGCGCACCTGCGATGATATGTCCGTTGAACTGATGCCACGAACTCCTTGAATTCGGCCAACTCCAAATGGATTGCCGATGCAAACATCTGAATGATTTTTCCATGCGCCTGAGACGATGCGGAGCAAATTCTGTCGGCCAATTCCTGCAGCGTCCGTACCACCGTGGCTGAATCCTGAAATGGCCTCACAACTGCGCTCACAGCTCCCGGAGACAGGTGAGATGTGGTGACCTTGGGAGAGAGCTATAAACAATGAAAGGAGTGATTAGTCTTCAAGCAGATGTTGCATGATGTTTCCAAGCATGCAACTCACTAAACAAAGACATGTATTCCTAGTACCTTGAAGAAATCGTCTTGTCCAATAACAAATATCGTAGTTGGGAGCCCTTGGAGCAGGAAGAACACCTCGTGGATAATGTCGATCTCGTCCATCACCGGAGTACTCTGCGCCAGCACAAAGCCTCTAGAGTTTTGGAGAGATGAGTTGAGGTCCGAGGCGGACTGGATATCATAGTCGAGCGTTTGCCGTGAAGAGGACCGCGCTGGCTGTTTCGAGATAAGATCGCCATCCCGCCAGTATTGTTGCCGTTCGAGTGTTTTTGCTGGGAGAGTATGCGAACGCGATACGACCCTATGCATCCAGATCCCTGTATCACTGGTACTAGCCGCATGCCTCGACTTGTCCTTCCCGGAAACATCCTCCTTGGATCCTGGACCAAGATCCTCAGTCACCGAGACAGGAGCAGCGCGTGGATGGACATCCATGTCCTCGAAGTCACTGTCGCTGCTCTCGCCTTCTTGATTATCGACTCCAACTCTGGCTTGCTTCCAATGATCACCAACGAGAGGATCCTCCTTCAGTATTGATGCCCAGAGCTCCTTGTTGATCTGCTGTTGTGTTTTCGGCGCATTGGTTGGTCTGAGGGCATGTGGGACGACATAACCGTACTCGCCCTTCCTCGGAATAGTCGGCGTGTCAGAGAGCTCCAGCAAGAGCAACAACACCGACGAGACGATATTCTGGGAGGCCTCTTCTTGATCCGTTTCACTGCTTGTAGCAATCGTCCTGACTCGGCCCCCCTCTCCTATAGATCGTGCCAACCCTCGGACTCGTTTCTGGTATCCCCTGAGCGCCACTGCTTTTTGATCCTGGCCCTTCATGGAGAACTTCTCGGCTAGTCCATAAATGCGTTTGTTGATGAGTTCGTGATCCATGGCCTTGTTCTGTACACCTCCCATGCCATTGACGTCAAAGAGGTGGTGACCGACATATTCGGAGCAGGTGTCAAAGTACTCCTGACCAGGCTAGTGAACATAATAGAGTGGCAGTGGTTAGCACATGAACTTAAACAAGTGAATGAAAGAAAAAAGCGCATTCCAGGTTAAAGGCTGACCCGTACCTGGAATCCCGTTACGTAAGTGACGAGCCGTCTTCCTGCTTCCGGTAAGACCCCAGACCGTCGTTTGGACATGGTGAAAGCGGCAAAAAAGGTTGGGAGACAAAGTCCCTTCAACTCTGCTCAAGACAATTTTCCTGCACTTCATGGAGAGACTCACGTGCGCCTGAGAATACAACTAGTAAATTATGGACCACGTGATATAGCAATCCAATAGTTGATATTAGAGTCAAAATCTTGTTTAACAATCTCTTCCTAGTTGGTCCAGTGGTCAGGATTTGTCGCTCTCACCGACAAGGCCCGGGTTCGATCCCCGGACTGGGAATATCTTTTGCTCTTTGAACCTCCACCTTACTGTGCCCCAGGCATCACTGGGCTTCAACCTTCTTTTTGTTTTGTTTCTTTTCAGTTAGCAGGCAGCCCGGGGGGTGACGCCCGGGGCTTTGCCTTTATTTTTGTGGTCGAGTCACTCTATCCGGTTTTAAATTTGCGACTCTTACGAAGGACGGCCTGTGGCCTTGCCACGGACAGCGTCCTTGCAAGTGTCCTTTGAATGTTTCGGGAGGGGAGAAATCTCAAGCAGAACGGCCGTAGCCAAGCTATGGTCGTCCTTTTTTCAAAGTCAAGTATTATGGTATTCTGGCTTGTGCCATGATCACCATGGACGATTGATCGGATTGTCGGAAAAAAAAAAAAAAAAAAAAGTCAAGGTTTTTCACATGTGTCATCAGTTTTTTAATACGACCCGCTCAAGCAGAACGGCCGTGGCCGAGCCACGGTCGTCGTCCTTGCCAAGTGTGCTTTGTCTGTTCGCGGGGTCAGCAAAATGGATAACCTTAGGCATTGCCTGTAGTATTTGTGAGTGAATGTTTTTGACCAAGTTAATTGGTTGACCTAGCAAAAGGTTAATCATCGCTTTTTTATTTCACGCATCTTTTCATTTTCTATTTTTTTCTTTCCTCTCTACTTTCTACGACGGCGTTAATGTTTGTTTTGGTCATCCACGCGGATGAGCCTTCGTCAAGTCGCGTTCTTCTTTGTTGTCAGATTTCATTTCTCTTTGTTACTCTTGTTATTCTTCTTTTACACTTTCAGGTTTCCTTCTCTTTTCTTCTTCTTCTATCTTCTTCCTTTCTCTCGTCAATGAGTTCTTACATATTCACTTTCACTCTCTCTTGTTTCCACAACCTTATGACCCTTTTGTTTATGGAAACCCTGCTCCCACCCGTTGGTGTATTCAGCCCTGAGTCATCGTCCCTTTTCCACTCCCTGAACGTTGGAATGACGTTTTCCCCTTGCTGTTTAGCACATCACATTCACCTGAGTCAGTCCCTTCTTCCGGCCCTTCCTATCCATCCTAATATTTGTTCTTGTCGCTCGAACCATACATGGAATAGATCTTCCTCCTGCTGTCTATCACACTCACCCAGCTCCCAGGCTGAAAACCTTTACCGTACCGTGCGTCGAAGATTCGCATACATCTTGTCGTCACCAATGATCTCTTCCTCATCCTCGAATTTTGCTGGTCTAGTTGTGATCGTATGGGACTAGGGTTGCTCTCCTCCCACATTGACCACTTTTTTTTACCCGTCTTTCAACTAATTGACCGATTAACCAACTGACCAACTGACAAAATAACTAACTGGCTGACCGATTAACTGGATTGACTGAATAATTAGTTACTAAGCTACACTGATCGCTATATCCCATGCTCCACTTATCGCTCGAGTGACTGGATGCCATTATTTTTACTATGTAATAGGAAAAATGCAGAGGTAGGAAAACAAGTGATAGGACAATGGACGAGACAAGAGAAAACAAGAGGTACAGAACTAGCGCCGTTTAGTATACAATGTGCCAAGTTAAATGGAGTAGAGTCGGACTCAAAGTGTAGGTAGGCAGAGATGCAATAAGAGGCAATCTGTGATCCTGCTACAGCGATGAGAGAAATAGTATAGTGGAACTTAGAATGAAAAGGCACCTAAGGAAGACCGTTTGAAAATATCGCTCGAGTTCGTGATGAGAACTGTCGGCTCCGAGTGCTTGCTTGATGTAACATACCGTTTGGATATTGGACGAAAGAAACAACAGCATGTCACTCTTTTGAAAGATAACTCGTGCATTTGCCTTCTACTCCAATATATCGGGATTGTCTGTCGCCATTCCTTCCATTTCATGCAATTCGACCGCCGCCTCAAGTATCATATCAAGATCATTCCAAGGCGATGGTGCATGGATCACTTACAGGACTCAGGAGAGCTAGAAGAGTCTTGCGGACCGTTTATGCATGCCATGACACAAAAGGCAAACGTCTGGTGTACCTGCTGTCACATTTATGAGTGATATGTTCAAGATTTTCTCATCGACGACTTCACTCTCGCAAGGTGACCAAAGCCAGCTTTCAAATAAAAAGTCGACATGCAGAGATTTCAGGTCTGGTGAAGGATATTCTCAATGTGGTGGATTCGAGTCTAGATATGTGCGAGATGGTTAAAGAGAGTCTTGGCGATGTAATTGCGAAAGGCAGAGGTCTTGAGGGTATAAGGTATCCAGTCCATGTCAAAGCGAAAGGCAGACCAAAGAAGTTACGGATGAGGAGTAGTATGGAGACTACAGCACGCTCCACAAAGTGTGGGGTATGTAATAGGCCTAGGCACAACTCCAGAAAACATTACGACCAAAACGGTGTTCTATTAAGCAGATTGTCGAATAAAACGAACAACCTGAGTTGTCAATTACATTAATCCTCAAGTGAATGCCCCAACTTGCCAACGTATTCTTTTTTCAGCGTTCCTTCCTCGAACCCAGCGTCTTTGCAAAAAGAAGAAACGTACATACACGCGATAAAAATTATTATTTCTTAGGATTAATCTATTTTCACAGGGGCTGTCGCTTCAAAATGTTAGTTTTATTGAACCATTTACATCCAGAACGCCCCACGCACCTCTGTCCTTTCTAACCTCTTTTTTTTCTTCTTTTTTTTTTACAAGCTTTTCTTGCTCCTCTTTTTTTGTATACAATTTATTTCTCTGACAAACAATACAAAGGTGGCATTTGGAAGTAAAGGAAACTACAAACCAAACTCTTCGGTGCACCATCCACGAGTGAGAACGGGGACATGTTCAATCGGCCCGGTGGGGATCCAGTTTGGAATATGCCAAAAAGAGTTCTCGACGAGTCTTCCAGTCACATTTTTATGGAGTTTCCAAATCGCTGTAAAGGTGTGGTCTTGAAGAATGGGACGATCAACATCCACAACAAGGTCTTCCGGCGTAACGCCAATACCCCCGGAACCGGAAACCCGAATCCCTTTTAAATCTGCCAAGCTCATGTTAGCAGAAAAAAGACGGGGGGGGGAAAGACGGAATACTGCACTACCATGCTGGTGCTTCATTATCTTAAGGGCTTTCTATCTCCAAAGTGAACTCCTGTGTGTTACTCAAAAAAAAAGTTCAGCTGTTCAGCATGCATCCACACAGTCCTGTGCGGAAGGGGATATGGGTCTTATTCATACAGCCACTGTATTGGACAGAAGGGCACACCCTGTGAGAACAAAAACAAAAACAAAAACAAAACAAAAAACTTATTCCGACTGGGTGTGCGAATAAGAACGCATAGGGCTGTAAGATCATCCTATTTTATATAATTATTTCGTAGCAAGTGATCTAATGATCGTACATGAAGGCATAGCCGCTAACTCATCATAAGGCGGGGGGTGGGGTGATGTATTAGAAAAACTACCATGCAAGCTTGCCAAAAACACTGTTGGGAAAATTCCTCAACATCAACTTGCGTATTTCATCCAATAGTAAGACGGCCAAGGCGCAAGGGAAGGGGAGGAGCCAGTACTTGATAGGGACAGGGTTGGTCAACATGATTTGGTTAATCCAGGGCACCTGGGTGACAAAGATGGCCATGAGGAGCGATGTGAACATTCCAGCAAACAGCCACAGGTTACGGCGCTTGGGGCGAATGGGATCGGCTTGGAGGATTGACATGCGGCGGTTGCGGATTGAGAGGACGTTACCCCATTGCATTATCACTAAGGCGACAAAGGTGACACATTGGCCGGTGTTGACATAGTAGTTGTTGAACATGTCGTCGTCGATGTGGGGATATCGACGCTGAAAGTTGGGGTTGCCGTAGGTGAAAACCAGGTCCTTGAAAGGGACGCCGGTGTATTCCTTGATGTACATGTAGAATAGCATGTTGCTGAAGAAGGTCATGACGGAGCCGATGAAGACATAAGAATGGAGGTAGATTTTGGCCGTGATCAGGTGCTCCGTCTTGGAGTTGCGAGGAGGGAGGGCAAGAAGGTCAAATTCCTCCTGCTCCATGACTAAGGCTGTACAGGGGAAGCCATCGGTGAAGCAGCAGATAATGATCATTAGGAACGAGGACAGAGACAGAGGGGTGCCGAGGAAGGTGTTGATCAGAACGGGGAAGATCTCGGACCAGGAGCCAGCAGGGAGCAGGTAGCCAATGACCTTTTGCAGGTTCTGGAACACAATGCGACCAAGACGCATCGCCACAGGAATGGAGTCGAATCCACCGAGAAGGATAAGGTCGGCAGCCTCAATGGCGACATCAGAGCCAGATACGACAGCAACACCGACATCGGCTGCCTTGAGCGCAGGAGCATCGTTGACACCATCGCCAGTGACAGCAACAACGCCGTCGCGATGCTGGAACTCGGTAACGATCTTGAGCTTTTGTTCAGGAGACGTGCGGGCAAAGACAATCTCCTCATAGGCACAGACAAGATCCCACTCCCCAGGGCTGATCCTAGCGAGATCGGTGCCAGTTAACAGCAGAGAGGTACCCTCACGGAACCGAGGGCGACCAGGCTCAAAGACGCCAAGATCATCATAGCTTCCACAAGAGATATCGAGACCATTCTTTGCACCTTTCCGGCTGGGATCGACCACATCTTCATAAGTGTCTGGTTCGCGGTGGGAGGAGAAGAGACCGATCTGTTTGGCGATAGCGGCAGCAGTGAGACCAAAGTCGCCGGTGACCATGAAGAAGCGGGCACCAGCCCGGCGGCAAGAGGTAATTGTGTCTCTGATCTCGGGGCGAGGTGGGTCCATGATACCGATCAGACCGATAATGCAGAGCCCCTGGAGTCCTTGATGGGCAAGCTCCTCCTGGTGTGCGGTGCTGGGCGATGATCCGTCGTTGTTTCTTGCTTCAGCCAAGTAAGGACTGAAGCGACCTTTGCAGAGCATCAAGACGCGCTTTCCTTGGCGAGACCATTGCATTTGAATCCGAGAAAGTTCTGCCGACCACTCAGAGGTGAGGGGCAGACCAATGTTGGAGAGGCCAGAGACGAAGGATGTGCAATGAGGCAAAAGGACATCGGGAGCGCCTTTGACAAAGACCAGTTGCGAGTCCTTCTCGCTGGCAACCATACCGGCGTTCATCATGTCAGATCCAAAGAGAGCCTTGATGGGCTGAGGGTTTTGGACCGATCCTTGGTAGACAGACATCATCCATTTGTTGCGAGAGTTGAAAGGGATCTCCTGGGTGCGCTCAAAGCAAGGAGCAAGATCCGAAGAGTCGGCTACCTGAGCAGAGAAGCGAAGAAGGGCACTGTCGGTGGCGTCACCATGGACTGTGCGCTCGGGGACAGGGAGATTGAGGGTCTCGGGATCAAACTTTGCATTGTTACAAAGGAGAGTGGCCAGCTGGAGTTGACGGAGGGCGACGACGGAAGGAGTTTCTTCAGACAGAGGGAGCGTCTTGCAGTTGGATTGCTTTTCGATCTTGGCGCGAGCCTCATCAAGGGTGGATTCATTGTCGAGGAAGGCGATGTTGGTGACAAACATCTTATTCTCGGTGAGGGTGCCGGTCTTGTCGGAGCAGATAACATTGACACAACCGAGGGTCTCAACGGTGGTGAGGGCCTTGGGGAGGATGTTGTTTGAGCGCATGCGGCGCGCAATCATCATCAGCGTGAGGGAGACACACACAGGCATGCCTTGAGGAGGGGGGAGATCAAAAATTAATGTGAGCAATGGTCAGTGTGGATGAAAAGAGTGTGTGCAACCACGGTCTATGCATACGCGCATGATGTCACTCCTTTTTTTTCTAACGCGTTTTCTAGACGCACAATTGTCTGCACACAGAGACAGAGATAAAAAATGAAGACGAGGAAAAAAAAAAAAAAAAAAAAAAAAAAAAAAAGAGAGAGAGAGAGAGAAAATTCTTACCTTCAGGAATAAAGGCGACAACACAACCCATGAGGGTGACAAGAAGAACATTCACAGGCATGAACTCGGGATACTTGACATGGAGGAACCCAGCCCAGTAGGAGAGAATAAGTATAGCTAAGAGGATGGTCAAACAGACAATGATGCGGACAAAGCGACTAATCTCCAGCTGGATAATCGTCACCTTCTCCTTGCGGCCCGTCGTCAGTTTGTTGATGCGGCCCATTAGGGTATCGTTTCCCTTCAGAACTACCACGCCGACACAGGACCCCTGAACGACATGAGTTCCCATGAATGCAATGTTCTTGGACTCCAAAAAGTTTTCGTCGGTGTAGTGTGTGGCTCCCTCGATGGCTTCACTCTCTCCGGTGAGTACTGCACGGTCAAAGCGAGTGTCGTTCGAGGCCTTGACGAGACGCAGATCGGCAGGGACCTTGTTTCCGAGAGAGAGACTGACGCGATCGCCGACAACAAGAGTCGAGGCAGGGACCTTGACCAACTGGCCGTCGCGGATGACCATGCAATCGGCAGGGATCATGTCCATGATGGATGACATGACCTTGGCGGTAGAGTAGTCTTGGAAAGCCGAGAAACTTGCTTGAAGGAAAATAACAAATATCTTGAAAACCGAACAAAAAAAGTTGAAGGAGCAAAAAAACAAAGTGTTAGCAGTTTTCCTAGATGGAGCGTTATTTTTCTAATTGAGTGCATAAACAAGTGTTCCAAAATGAAGCTTACAACTAGAATGGCTAAAGCCAGGTTGGTGGGGATGGGCTCGGGCTGAAGAATGGGCGCCCAGCAGACGAAGAAAGTAATGACACCGATCCAAAGGACCGAGCAGAATCCTCCAAACACATAGCCAAGGGCCTTCTTGATGTAGTTGGGCTTGCGGGTATCCAAAGTGTTTGGCCCATCCACAGACAAGCGGCGCTGAGCTTCAGCCTGGGACAAACCGAGAGTTTCGTTTGTGTTGAAGCGGAGGCTGACCTCGGGGTTGGTGAGTTTGTGAAAGTCGATGGTTGAGAAAAAGTCGGTCTCTGGCTCAGCCACGTCGTCGTCTTTGCCCTTGTTCTTGCCCTTGGAGGTCTTGAAGTCGCCGGTCTTGTTGGAGCGCTGGGTCTCAGTAACTTGCATGGACAGGGTGCGGAACTCGATGGGGACAGTATGTCCATTGGCGCGCTCCATCGTTTGGGTTCGAACGAGGTCTAGCGACTGGTCCTTGCCCATGGTCTTTTTTTATGTGCTTGTAGGTGAAGTGGAGGGAGAGTTGAGTGAGAGAAAGGGGAGGAAGAAGGAGAGCAGGCAAGAGAGGTGTCGGAGCAGAAGATGAAAAGTAGAATTGAGGACGAGAGCGGAGGAGTCGAAAGAAACAAGTAAAAAAGTAGAAGACAGCGGCCACTACTTATCTCATCCATGCCATTGCCAATAAGCAACAATCATCGAGAAGATAGCCCGAAAGGTACGCCTTATTTCACTCAGAAAGCCAATTTGTGCATCGATGAACAAGTGCAAGTCTTTATGTGGTACTCCGCAACAGCACTGCAGTAGCAGCCGCCGCTTTTTTTTTTGGACTTGGGGTCGCTCAATGGTCTACTGGATAGCTCTGCACGCTACTGCAACCATGTACCTATTTGCGAAGAGACCAAAAAGATGCATCAAGGACATCTCTCCTTCATCCCTCCTCCCCTCTTTTCTCATCTCCTCAACGCCCATCATTGCACCAGCTGAGAAAGGGAAAAAAAGAATGAAATGAGGGATTAGTTTGTCGAGCTCTACCAAAGTTCAGTCAAGGAGTGGTCAATAATAATCGCGCATTTTCGTGTTCAGAAAAGATACACGTTGTCGTGGTCGCATGTTATTTTTATGCTGTGTGTGGTGCATGTCGTGCAGCAGAGGCAACGGCCCTTCGATCGAACGACAAAGGCTTCGAACTAAAGATCTAATTATTGTGCAGTGAGGCATTTTTGTTTTTATTGTTCTTGTAAGTGCATTGGTGTGGTGGTGGTCACTGGAAGGTTTGAACTCTGTTCTTGATTCGCGCGACACTCAGCATTACCGAATAGCGAGAACTGCTGGAATCTGCAGCAACTCTCGGTCGAGACTCGACAAGCGTCGTCTTCTATGCCTTGATCCCTACCAAACCCCGCCATCTTACTTCCATTTTTTCATTTTTTTGACGGATATGTCATGCGAGATGGAGCCCAATTGCGCCCATCTGTATTTGAGAAGGGGTTCTAGAGTTGTAGACGATAGGGCGAGTGGTGTAAGGCGCGTAGTGCATAGTTTTGGTGAGTCCTGTAGTATCGTCTGCTCGTCCCTTCACACTTTTATGGAGGTGGAACAGTGAAGAGTAAGTATCGCAGGATGTGAGGAGGTGAAGTGGAGTGAAAGGCTTCGTGTAGGCGGAAGAGAAAATAAAAAAAAAAAAGAGGAAGAGGGCAACGATATTTATGTCGTTTTTCATTCATCATGCCTCAACCTCAGTCCTTCTATTCCCCACACTTCCCACTTCCTACCCTTCTCTTTTTTCTTTCAGCGCATGAATTAGCTCTTGGAGGAGACCATCAAATGCCTCATGGAGCACAAACAAACAAAAAGGCGCAACTTATTGTTGTGTTTGCTTTGGGCCATGCAGCCATGCGGCATTTTTCACCTTTGTGGCGAAGGCTGCATTTTATCACGTGACCTGGCCCTCTTGTTGTGAATGCAAACCTCGCCGAGGTAAGAAAACCAGGCGTCTGCAGCACAAGGCTCGCCCCATGCCCATACATGTTATCCATGTACTCCTCCTCTTCTTTAACCCATTAGACCCATAGACCCAATTGTGAATTGTAGATAATAAAAGAGAGAAAACACCCCAGAGGGTGTGCCAAAAATTGGGTCGACCCAGGCGGAAAGCCAGAGCCAAGAGCACAAGGCCCTTGACCCCGATTGAATAACTCTCTACCTTGGACAGGTCGACCACCAAATAGTGTTTTTTGAATACAAAAAAGCACTCCAAGCATTCGAAAAAAAGTGAACACTCAAAGTCTTCCAGGTACCAAAACAACTATTTTCCAGTAATAAAAAGGAGCTCCAGCGTTGACACTCTCGGAAAAGACCTCATTGAGATGCCATCACATCGTTGTTCCATTTCTAGTAGTTTACAGGAAAAGAGGAAGCAGAAAGAAAACAGAGTTCCTTCCTACTCCGTTCGTTGCCTTGTTTTTTTTACCCAGATCGGCCTTGGCTATCGTAGCTTTCTTCCTCGGGACATGTCCTTTAATGCGAAAAGGCAGTTTTGTGTGATTCTTTTTTCTATGAAGAAGCAAATCAAGGATTGCTGACGAGTAAAACTTTTATTTAGTCTGAGTGACAGGGCGCAAGAGTTCCAATCGACGTCACTTTCGATCACGTGCAAGGTGTAGACACTCTGGTCTGCAAGCGCCAAGCGTCCTTTCTCGTTCAGGAACACATTCGAGGCAGGCACCAGACATCACGGACATCACAACCCACAAGGGAACGGACGACGAACAGACGAAAAAACGAACAATACTACGTCAAACAATACCCCATCCATCTATCTCAACTATGAACGACTCGGAGGAATTGGCAGAAAAGTACCACAAGCTCTTCCAGGACTACACGCGGTATTTCCTCCATTCTGTTTCGCGCGACAAGACACTCTCGTCAAGAAAAACGACCCATGAAATACTGCCAACACAAATGCTCCTAGCACCTCATACATGCTAACTGACGTTTCATTGGATCTATATTTCCTGTTAGTATCAAGGCACAGCATGCTGTTCTCAAAAAGGCCGTGCTCAAGGTAGCGTATCAATGGTCCGCATTCATCACTTTTTTTCGACGTTCGCTGCGCCTGTTCTTCATTGATTTTAACAACCGCTTGTCAACTGATCATTTCTAGGAGCAAACAGAGAACACCGCGATGCAGACAGCAATGAAAGAGAAGGAGCAGGAAGTCAGAAAGGTGTTTGCCCTTGATATACACGATGGTCTCCATGCACTTAGGGTTGATGAATACCTTACTAACCATGTCCTTTTCAATTGAACCGCGAGTAGTCGCTTCAAGATCTGGATCTACTTACCTTCCACAACCAGCGACTGACAAAGCGCATAGAAAACCTGCAGAACCAGACAGCCACGGTATGTGTCAATACGCAACGAATGTGATGTGAACCTGTGTGATATAGTCGATCGAGAGTTTCCTCCGCTGACCTTTGCTGCATTGAATTGGAATCCAAACGATTGTAGAAATCAGGAGGTTCATGGCTTATGGGAGGCGGATCTGTCAAGAAGGAGCTGGAAAAGTCACAGACAACACTGGAGGCCGCCACGATAGACCTTCAAGCCAAGATTGAAGAGAATGGTAGCATCTTTGTTGCAGACAGTATGAGTGTGATCACGTCAGGGAAGGAGAATGAAGTCACGACTGACACACCTTATTCATGACTGTAGAGAACCTTCACCAACAACTCTATGAGATTAACGCATTATACCCAAGACATGTCACCGAGCTCCAAGGCAAGATTCAGGCTTTGGAGAAGCAAAACCAGGAACTTCAGGTATGACTTCTATTATTGTTTTTGCATGGGCTCAACGGAACAATGAGATGACCACTGAAGGGCAATTCGTTAACCATACTCCCCTATTATTCGCTCTACTTCTCTCAATCGAATAGGTGGATGTCCAACGCGCTGGAGTTGCCAACGAAGACACAATTGCCATGATTCGGAAGGAAAAGGAATCCGTGGAAAAAGAGCTCGGAATGATTCGAGACGCGCTTGCAGGGTAGGTCAGCTCGAAAGATTTGGAGTTGTGCAATCAGCGTATCTCACGCATGTTCTAACGATGGCCCACTGTGATATTAGCCAGCTTAAGGATGAGCAACGGTCTAGCCAAACCCTGCGAGACAAGGTCGAGCGGCTTGAGAACGAGATTGAGCGATTGTCAAAAGTCGAGGTCGAGCTGGAGGCGCTTCAGGGCGAACACTCAAAACTGCAAGGCGAGCTCGAGACGCTGAAGTGGATTTCGTCGGAACTATCACAGCTTCAAGAGTCTTTTCACAAACTGGAACAGGAAAAGGTTCAAATTGACAGGGCCCATGCACAACTGTCGCAGCAACACACAGCGCTGAAACACGCGGAGGAGAGCGCCAGGAGAACCCTGGCTCAGGTTCAAGACAGCTTGAGAGCTGCCCAGGACCAAAGCCGGAGACTGACCCAGGACTTGGAGGCGGTCCGAGGAGAGGCTTACGATCGCGATCAAAATCGGCTGAACCACATCCAGCAACTCGAATCGGAGCTGGCGAGTGTCCGACAGGAACAGGAGCAACTCAAGGGTCAGTATGAGGAACTTAAGGTGGCGGAGCAAACAGCAAAAGCAGGAGAGTCCCAAACCAAAGCTGAGCTCGCAAAGGACCTCTCCAACATGGAGTCTAACCTGGTAGCTACGGCAGCCAAGGTGAAAGAGTTGGAGGAAGTACGAGCGTCTCTCGAGAAGGAGCTGATTGAAACCAAGGAAGCTCTCAAGGCAGAGCAAGAAAAGGCCACCGCTGTGACCCATGAAGCACCAAAAGAGGACAGTAATGTCGACAACGAGGCCAAGACAGAGCCAGAGGACAACCACGTCACAGAAGAAGAAGGCGCCGAGAAGGACAAAGCTCCGCTTTCAAAGAAGGCTAGGAAAAAGAAGGCAGCCGTTGCCGCCGCCGCCGCCGCAGCAGCAGCAGCAGCTGCAGCCGCCACCGCGGCTGGCGTCAAGGAAGAGAAGACCGCAGACGAGCCAAGCGAGGACCCCAAGGCCACCAAAAGCACTGGAGACAATAGACCGGATACGGAGGTGCAGGCCGAGCAGGAGTCGCGGAGACGGCAGGATATTGCCCAGGCCAAGAAGGAAGTGGAAGAGTCTTTCAATTCTGAGATCGAGTCCCTTCGGGCAAAAATCGAGGCATCTCAGGAAGCAGACGCCACCCAGCAAGCGAAATTGACTGCAGTTCAAGGTAACTATTTGAACAGTTATTTGAGTTTGCAAAAGTGTACAGTTTATGAATCTCATTAACAACGATATTGCTCATTATTCAACTACATGTATAGCCGCGTTGGAGGCCGCCAAGGACGAAAAGGAGTCGCTGTCGAGCTCACTGGAGATGCATGTTGACCTGACTATGCAGCTGCAACAAGAAGTCGAAGAGATGAAATCCAGCCTGGTATGCTGCACTATATGCGCCAAGGTAGTTTTCACTATCCCAAGCAGCTCGGACGTTAACCATTTTACCTGTATTTCATTGTAGGCCAAAGCGCAGCTTGTGAGGAGATCCCCTGTCATGAACCAAGATGACGATGACGAGCCACTCGTGCGGACGCGACAGATGAGCGGCGCACAAGGAAACAAAGGCGACCGTACGCCTCAACGAGCATCGACCCCTGTACCAACGGCTGCACCTACGGAGAGCAGCAAGGCTGTGGAGGTCAAGGACGAGTCGACCCAAGTGGAAATAGTCGAGGCTAGCGACAAGGCTGTGCAGTCCGAGAGTGTAGAACGCGTGGACGAGAGCACCCAAGTGGAAGTTACTGAAGGATCTGTTACCAAAGCAGAGTCTTCAGCAGAGACCGAGACGCCAGATAAAGCCAAGGACTCGGAGGATGTGGCGGAGAGTAGGGAAGTCAGTACTGGAGTTTCGGGAAATGCTGTGAGAGCTATTGATGATGTACCGACGACGAGGTCGATGTTGGGACAGGAAGCGATCAACTCGACAGGGGCAAGCACAAACCATCAAGCCAACCGTGAGTTCCTGATCAAGAAGCACTACGAAGTCAAGGTCCAGAATATTACGGAGCAGCTGCAGCTGTCGGATGGACGGTATGCACGACTTCACAAGGAGTTTGGGATGCTGAAGGGGCTGCTGTTGGAGACTGTCCGGGATAAGGAAGCGATGGGCAAGGAGTACCAGCAATTGCAGGCCAAGAACGAGCTGTTGCAGGAGGAGCTAGCTGCGGCCAAGGAGGACAATCGGGCGCAGGTCGAGACGATGACCAACTTTATGAAGAGTCTTGACCAAGGAATATAATAATATATAATACTGTCAGTCTGTCAGAGTGTGTGGCTAATGCTTGTGGTTGTGAGACAGACAGACAACTCCAAGGGATGGATAAATTTTTGAATGGAACCTTGCTTCAAATTCTTTGTCCCTTCCCTCCCGCCCCTTTTTTCCTTTCTTCATTCTTTTCCTTTCCTTTGCCCTTGCTTGCTTCACACTCTACTCCACTCACTCTTCTTCCTCCAATTCTCGCCCACTACGCATATTTCCTATACCCCTCTCACACAACACAACCAGGACTCCACGCCAAACACCGCATCCACTTGCCTCACAAACCTACTCCTGTATGTTCCTTCTGTCATTCAAAGAACGTAGAGCGAAACCATTATGTCTCTCGCGTATTATGCAGGGCTAGGAGTATATATAAACACCGCCAAAGCGCTAAAAACACAGCTGGAGCGATCAGGATGATGCAGCATACAAGGGGATGGACTTGACCCTCACTTTGCATCTGGAATCCGCGAACAGTGGCAATCACGTCGGTCATTTCAGCGCCCTCAAAGGATGACCAACCTGGAGGCTGAATGTTGTTCATTCGCATAGAGTGTTCACGACTCAAAGGCAAGCAAGCCCTTCTAACATGGTGTGTGTACGCTTCGTCTTTCCCTGCTAGCTTCTATCTGTCATGGTCGGGATACCACAGCCAGCCCTCAGGCTGCTTCGCTTCGCTGTTCTAGTATACCTCGCAGGATCGGTCGTATTCACACTGCACTATGTGTTTGTTCGGTACAGAGAACCGCAATTGAACCAAGCAGCCAAGCCGCGATCGCTCGTTGAGCCAGGACAAGCTACGTTCGACGTCGAAAGCATGGTCTACTCCAATCAAATCATGAACTGGAAGAGTACGGCGACAACTGGTTATCTCCCTTGGTGTCCAAATACAATGAAGCTGCAATCGCTCTATGATTATTGTGTGTGCTCACAACAAACGTGTTGACTTAGCCTTTCGTTCTTACATATTTAGCGCCGGGAACATATCCCGAACACAAGATTGAGGAAGACACAGTGATCCACAAGGTCTTTTCCAACACGATACAGCCATCCAAGGTTCTCCCCTACTATTTCAAGGCTGGTCGGGAATTCGACCCTGAATCCGTTACCATTACGACCTTGATCACCTTCGACAGATACCCAGTCTTCAGCAAACTGGTTACCAACTATCAGGGACCAATCTCGGTCACCATCCACATCAATGATGATGAGAACCGGGACGAGAACTTGTCAAAGCTGCACGACATGTACAACTCCAACCCAAACATGAAGGAGTTTGTCGATGTCCATGTCGTCGTCGACAAGTTTGATCGACAGTTCAATATGTGGCGTAATGTCGCCAGGTTCTTTGCGCGCTCTAATTACTTTATGATGCTCGATGGTAAGGTCTAGAACTTGATGCTTGTATTCCTGAAGAGTGTTACTCGCTTCTTTACTTTGTATGCCTCTCTGACCTACGCTCTCCTCCACTTGATATGGCATATAGTCGACTTCCACATCTGCACCAACTTGCAACACCACCTCTCACTCGACCCAGAGGCAAAACGACTGATGAAGTCAGGAGTGGCGGTGCTATTGCCCGCGTTTGAATATGTCGACCAGGAAGACGGCATTGACTCTGCGACATTCCCCAAGGACAAGGACTCTGTCTACAAGCTGGTCCAGGAGAAGAAGTTGACCATCTTTCACGACTTTTTCCTGAAGGGTCATAATGCGACTGACTACGAGCGGTGGTACAAGACGGACTCTGTGTACAAGGTGACCGCCTACCAGCACTCGTACGAGCCCTATGTCATACTGAAGAAGGAGGGCACTCCTTGGTGCGACGAGCGTTTTGTTGGATACGGCGCAAACAAAGCTGTAAGTGGAGCGGAGCAGTCAATAGGCAACCTTGATGAACAGGGTTAAGAAAAGTGTGGGAGCAATGGAGTTCTGACAATGCCTTCATTTTCCTTTGTTCTTGGTCTAGGCATGCCTGTTTGAGATCTACATCTCGGGCATCGACTACTACGTTCTCCCTCGCGACTTTATCATCCATCAGTCGCACCCTTACAAGGAGGAGACGCGGAAACAGGAGCGGAAGTATAATCGCAAGTTATACCAAAACTTCCAAGAGGAGGTCTGCTTCCGGTACGCAAAGAGCTTTATTGCTGCCAATACGTGGGCCCAGCCCAAGGCGGATAATCTCAAGCAGCAGTGCAGCAAAATCAAGGGCTTTAGAATAGCCATGGCCACCTTTCAGTAATCTCAGTAATAAAAATTAGTGGCGCTATCCAAACCTACACGTGACAGAAAGGTGTTCTTTGTGGTTCTTTTTTAACGTCGTGATCTTTTTTTTTGAATTGTTCACATCTTTATTCACATCACCTTCTCATGGAACCGGCAATGGATTCGCAGCAGCAGAGGCACAACGACACTCTTAATTCAGAAAACGCCGTTCAGCATGAGAGCCAGGATGCCAACACCAAAGTAGACACCAAAGAGTGTGCGGGGGAGTTGAATCTCAAAGTCAAGGAGGCAGCACTAAAGTCCGAGCTGAGGTCGATTCACACACTTGTTGGGAGGAAGCTTGATATCCAAAACAGTAAGCTATTAGGAACTCAAGGGCTGCACGAGCGGTTTAATATTATTGTCATTGTCACCCTGAAGCCTTTGACCGGCAGTGCTTACGACCTACGGCTTTTGTTCTGCGTTCTCTGTACGCTATAGTCGATCAGGAGCTGCGACAGCGACTGGAGGATCTTTCAGCTTTGCGCCTTCATAGCCATAACGACAAAGGGTCAGAGACATCAAAAGCAAAGGAAGCAAGCGCAGTGACAGCGACAATGACGGGCGACGAGAAGACGATACCGGATTCTGACGAGAAGCCAGCAGCCGAACCTGTTGAGGACGTGCGGACCGAATTTGTGCTTCAGTCGGTGGGGCTCCTTGCAAAGTTGGAAGAAGATTTGATGGCACTTGTGCGAGACAGAGGTAAGGATTATGGGAATGCAGACTGCCTTGGATTCAAAGAGTCAAATAGTTTGTATCGCCGAAAAGAATGCGCAGAGATACCAATCAATAAATCGAAATTTCCATACGTGCTGGTTCCAAAATATATATATAGAGATCAACGACCCTGCGAACGATCAGGAGTTGCTGGGACTCATGGACCAGAGGATGATACACACTATGCTGGAGATTATTGTCTGCTGGGGAATATATCCCTGCCTGCTGCCAGGTGTGGGAACGCCGCTTAACCGTCGTGTACGATCAAACATTGCTCAGAAGGATCTCTTCACTGCAGGTCCAACAGCTAACAGGACTAGCGCTGATGCCAGTGCGACAGTTACGGATAAGCCTGTGGATCCGACAAAGTCTGCCAACACGCTTTGGGCCATTATCGAGCCTCTCGCCAAGATTGCGGTCGCCTATTCACCAAAAGCTTGCCGATTCACGACTATGGGGAGTATTTTGGCCAGCCGACACATTCCGGATCTGTATGCTGCATTACTTCAGTTGGCGTATCGACCACTACCGAAGCCTGTTGTGCCCTATACCGACAGCGATGTCGACACGGCGGGCTTGGGAGTTCGGAGAAGTGATGCACCAACCAAGCTCTCCAAAGTCACACCAGGAAGTCTTTTGTCCAAAACGACAAAGGCATCACCAGTGGACAACAGCAGGACAAAGGAGAACGCTCGCCCAGTCAACCAACACTCACACTCCGTGATTCATGGCGACAGTGATCCGACCCGATCTCTGATGTTGCAACAAAAGGAGGAGAGCGCCAAACTATTCCACGACCTCTTTTGGAACACAGAAGCCTCAAGGTCACTCGAATCTCTTACAGTACTCCTGTCATCAGCCTCGCCCACACACCCAACGCCCGCCTGGATCAAGGGCGTCAGCGGGCGGTTTCTATCGCAGATTCTCCTTCGACCTGGTGGTGTCCGAGTGGTTCTCGAGTATATGCAGGGTGCAGGCGACACGGTCAAGTTGGATCAACTCGAGAGGATGGCAAAACTCGTCACCTCTGTCCCAGATCAGATGTCATCTGTTCACGAGTACTATCACACCATCTGTCCTGAGTTGCTGGAGATTCTAGAGATGGACCTGAAGGCGTCTGGCAGTCTCGGACTGGAGCAGCTGAAGAAACTGACCATGACGAGGATCACACCCCCTAGTTCACAATTGATCCAGACAACTAACTTTGTGGTCAGCAAGCTGCTGAGCAAGAACCCTGCAGTTGGGCAAGTCGAGATTGTGGCCAAAGAGGTTGAGCCGTTGTGGAAGTGGGGGACGCGAGCACACAGGAAGGAGGAACCGAAGGCATCGGATACGGTTCCTCGGCAGGGGCATGAAGGCGAAAGTGGCGTGACAGTTGAGGATGCGGACGAAACTGGGGGGGACGACGTTGGAGTCATTGGAGCTGCGAGTGGTTTAGACCCGATTGTGGCTTCCGAGTATGACGTGGTCAAGGCTGTGATGTTTTTATACACATTCTTGGTAGGAAACGAGCCTTCGCCGCCACTCTTCAAGGCCTTCCTTAGCCAAGCGAGTCTTGGACTCTACCAGCTGTACGAGTTTTCGAGTCAGGTCCGCTCGGTTCTTCGGGAAAAAGCCAAGGAGATTCTGATTGTGTACATGAGGATTTTGGATCCCAAGGAAACGATCGAGGTGCTAAAATCGATTGTGATGCGGCGTAGAGTGCCCGTGTCGAAGCTGAGGCCCTGGCAAACCCTTGTCAACTCGAGTGGGCAGCGAATTGGAGACCTGGTGGAAATGGGCAGTGTTGGCGAGAGCTATTATGCTCCTGGACCCACAGGTGGAGCTGTCTTGCGCCGAAGAAGGTACTCTTGGTTCTCTACTTTTGTGATGGCTCGCCGAAGATGTTGAGTTTATTTTCCCCGTTCCCCTAGTATTAACTTTATCTTCACCGTTCATTCTACAACAATAGGTCACAGGATGTAAACGCGGCGACACAGCTCGAGCTGGACGTGGATGTGTTCTTAGACTTCTTGTCAGAAGTAGAGACATCTACCAACGAGGGTGAAATCCTAGGCGACCTATACATGTATCTCCTCGACGAGTATCAATCAGGAAAGGCGCGCGGAGCAAACGCCGTGTCTCCAAGAAGGTAACCATCACAGAGCTTGCGTCAGCGTCTTTGTTTTTCCCTTATATGCGAACTCATCCAGACTAACCACTGTCGCATGTTGACTTTTATGTAGGATGTTGACAACGTTGCAGCTGATTCTAAGCATGACACAGAAGCTGGGACCAAGTATCATGAAGAAAGTGACGCAGATCATTGGCCTTGCAAATAACATTTTGGAGCACCAGGGTACCGTTGTGAGCAAAGACGAGGACGAGAAGGACCAGAGCATGGATGAAGACGCCGATGAAGCCGATGTGGAGATCCTCAGCTTGGTGTTGACATTGCTGTCAGCCATCCTTACCGGTACGAAGAAAGATTTCCCACTGTCGATCCGCTGGATGTCACGGTTTGCACAGAAGACTCGTTTTACTGACCGCCTAGTTTGTTTTATTGTGCGTGCGTGTCAATTATAGAAAATGAGCATCTGTCGCAGCAAGACAGACATTTATTGGCGTTAACGCTGGTCCATCTGAAGAAGCTGGCGGACCATCCATTGATCGAGATCCGACGAATTGCTCACGACCTCCAGACTCTGATTCCGACGCGATTAAGCGACGATTCCACCATGGGTGCGGATACGCACAAGAAGTCAGAGATGGAGATCGAGATGGAAAAGTATGCCTCTGCACTGGCGGCACTTCAGGACAGCCTCCTCCCTGTCCGTGCGCACGGTCTTCATATCTTGCGCGAGATGATCCTTGCCAAATCGATTGTCCTCACAAGAGCCACTGGTGGGGATGGCGCCGAGCGAGAACTGGATCACGCCCTGGACATCTTTATCCAGCATGTTCAAGAGCCCGACTCGTTTATCTACCTCAATGCAGTCAAGGGTCTCGCTGCTCTGACGGATGCTCATGGGGCAGAGATTCTCAAGAAGCTGATGAAGATCTACTCGAACGAGAATGGGCGCCAGACGTTGGAGACTCGACTTCGGGTTGGAGAGGCGTTGGTTCAGACTGTTCAGCGGTGTGGTGACGCACTTGGTGGGTATGTGGATGCTCTACTGCCTGGACTGTACAAGGTGATGAACACAGAGATGGATCCTAGGTTGGTGGAGGCACGCGTGGAGGAGAGACGCAAGATGGCGGAGAAGGAGAAGACCAAGAAGGCGTCAGAGGCTCTCCTTAGTCCGGAGGAGAAGCAACGCAAGTGGAAGGCAGAGCAGCAGAATCGGCGGCGCCAACAGCAACAGAAGGAAGGGGGCGGTGCTAAGGGCGAAGGAGATAACCAGGATGGAGGCGATAAGGGCCAAGGACACGAAGAGGGAGAGGAAGAAGAAGACGACGACTCGCTGGTGGATGAGGTGTCGATTTTACGATCAAGTGCATTGACCATATTGGCGACTGCGGCAGAGACCTGTCCGGTGGCGCTTTTACCAGAGATGCGGTATCTGGTTGACTGGGTCCTTTCTATCCTGGATCTCGACCGACAGTTTGAGGTGCGGAGAGCGGCGACATTGGTGTTGGTGTTGCTATTTAGGGCGTTGGGGGCTAACTCGTTGCATCGAATTGATGGGGACCAGTTGAAGAGGGCGTATCGGACGCTGCGCTACATTGAGCAAGTCGATGAGGATCCGTTGTGCCGCGCCCAGGCTCGTGCGGGGATTGCGGATTTGGACGGTATTGTCAGGACGGAGATGAGCCCCCGGGAAGGAGGTTCGAGTCAGAGTGGGGGCTTGCTGGGAATGATTAGTGGAGTCAGTAGTGGGTCGATGGTGGGCAGTCGAAGTGTTGGGACCCCGGAGATTCGATACAAGTGAGAGAGGGCGATGATGATGGGTTCAGAGTAGTGGTGTCTGTGTACGCTTATTTTCAGTGCCACCTTTTGAGCACAAGGAGTAGACGAAATGAATCGAGTTCAAAGTCCACAATTTATGGCTATTTCTTTTTTTCCCTTATATTTTTCTTTGCCTTGTTGTGCTTGTTGTGCGAAGGCTCCACTATTCACAGTAGATAATGTGGACGGCAATTGCTGTATTTACTTTAAATACAGTGAAGTGGACCTTTCAAAAGTTGAACATAAGGAAGCGAGGATAGATATTGACATGGTCGAGGAAAGGCGTTTTTGCTTGCTCTTCCTCCGTTTGTTGTGTGTGTGTGTGTGTGTGTGTGGGCTCCCACTCAAAAGATGATGATGATGTTGTTTGCCCAGCATGCCCAGGTGCCAAGAGATGTCAAAGGGGAAGGAGACATTGTGTTTGGGCGCACAAGATGAAATGGAAGAATGAATAATGGGCAAAAAAAGGTTCAGAGGCAGACAGGAGGAAGGTGCGACCGCAGTACGGAATAGGCAACTTTCTTCTCTCGACCTCAAAGAAGAGTGTGGGCGGTGACACAGTGAGAAGGGTTGGCTGTACTCTTGTTGCTGTCATGGCGTTAGAGGCGATGTGCAAGGGCTTTTTTTGCTCCTTATTTGTCGTTGTTGTTGCCGTTGTTGTCTTCCAATTGCGGGCATGCCCTGTCCGTGCCTGAAAATACTTTTTGCGTATAAAACGGTCAGGGTTCCCCCTCCTTTTTCTTTCTTTCTTTCCTTTTCTTCTCCACACTTCGCCTTTCATCTTCAAACAACTTTCTCTATTATCCCATGCACACCACAACTACTTCTACGTCTGTCCTTGCCGCTTCTGTCCCTGTCCCTGTTACCGCCTCTTCGTCGTCCAAGAAGAAGACCCCCCTTATCGTCGTCAAGCGTATCTCCCTCGTCGCCGAACCCAAACACAAGTCCACCGCCTCTTCGTCTTTGTCTTCTTCGTTGCCTCCAAACAGCAGCAACAACAGCAGCGTCTACAACTTCAGCCCTCACGGCAGTCGAGCTGCCAGTGCAACGACCTTGAGCCACTTTGCGTCAGAACACTCAGCCCATCACCGTAGCCACAGCCACGACCATCATCGCCACCATGTTCACCGCAAGAACCGATGCTACATTACTAGCGATGTACCTCGTATTCGCGACCATGCCCATCACCACACCCGATCTGCCGACATGAGTGTTCTTTCTCTTGAGCGTACGACAACGGCTTCTTCTGCAACCTCCTCGACGTCTTTTACCTCTTCCTCTTCCTCTTCCTCTTCTTCTTCATCTTCGTCTGCTGCCTCTGCTTCATCGACCTCGTCGGCTGAGGAGAAGGAGGGCGAGAAGGAGGGGGCTAGTGAGAAGAAAAAGTCTGTGGTTCGGTCTTTGGGCAAGAAACTTCGCCATATCATGAACAAGGCTTAAAGGGCGTTCAATGGATGGGTAATCAACAACAGCCAGCTAACGGGGCAACGGCCTCTAGCTCACAGCCATTAATCAGCAACCAGTCATCCAGCTAGCCAACTGATAAAGCAAGCCAGCGATGGCAACAGCCAGAGCCAGATGATGTCTCGCTCTTTCCTCCCCGCTCTCCACTCCCCGCTCTCCACTCTCTACTCTCCACTCTCCACTCTCTACTCTCCACTCTCCACTCTCCACTCTCCACTCTCCACTCTCCACTCTCCACTCTTCATCTGCGAGCCTCGAGCCCAGGTCTCCCTCCCCTCCTTTACTTGTAAATAGTCGAAGGGTGTCCAGTCTGGACACCATCACCCCCTTTTTCTTCCTTCCACTTTACCCCTTGTGTATTTTTAGACACACATTCGAGCGTTGTTGAGGTTTCACTCCTCCACGTTTCCCCCCCCTTCGCACATCCCCACCTACAGCATTCCATACCCATTCAATCCAGCATAGCATTCATCTTTCATTTGTATCCAGCATAGCCGTAGTCATCATAATCTAGCATTCAATACATCATACAAAAAAAAACATGTATCCTAATTGATCGTTAATGGAAGGCAGAGGAGTGTTGGCCTCATCGCACAACTATTCATTCTACATGTTTCGAAGGCATACGTATTCCTTGGCATCCAGGGCCCCGCCAAGCGAGTCAGTAAGTTGAAGAGATCGAGGTTGTTTGTAACCCTATCTGCGATGGCAGTCTGTTCCTGTGCTCTCAGACTCTATGGGAATATTGAGAGAGGAGGAGAGTTGCCTGCAATGTTGGCAGTTGGCAGTTGGCAGGCACCCGAGGCACAGAACGTTCTTCATGTGACAACAGGGCCGTTCACTCGTTCGGCTCACTTTTTTTTGTTCTCCAAAATTCCACTTTGTCATCGTGTCACGCAGCAGGGTGGGACACAGAGATGTACTCCAATTGCTTTTGCCTCGCATACAGAAAAAAAAAGATCCACCTCTACTTTAAGCTTCTCCTTCCACCTTTTCTCTTTTCCTTTCTCCTCCTCCTTCTTTCTTTTCTCCACTCCCTAAAACTCGATAACCCTTCGCTCACCAGTCCTCAGGAACGCACTCATTCACATCACAAAAAAAAAAACAAGATGCCACCATCAACCATGAACAAGATCCTCCTGGCCATGCCCGCACCCATGCTCCAGCACTCTGCCAACCTGATCTCATTCTACTTCCAACACGTCCGCCCCCATCAAGCTATGGTCCGCAAACACCTCCGTCGCCTAATCCTCCTCGTTTTCCTCCTCAACTTCAAGTCGATCCCCGGAGTGTTCCATGCAAAGATGGGGCTTCGTATTGCGGCAGTTCAGTTGTATTCGATCCGGCATAGAAAGGGGTTTAGGATTAAGCCTACGGATACCAGTATTGTCCGTGAGCGGGTTTGGGTTGATGACCTTGACCTCAACTTTCACTTTTCCAACAGGTAAGCACTTTGTTTTCATTTTATGTGATGAGGAGAGAGGGAATTGGTTGTGAGTATTGCAGAGGGAGGGGGAAAAGATGATTGACGGACGAAGAAAGGAAGTTGCACATAGTGGATGGTACAGGAGAGGAGGAAATGCGGTAAAGTTGAACAATGGAAGGAAGGCGAACAACTGGAGTGGGAGTGTTCATAGCGTCATGTTTCTCCTTCCGTAGTTCAGACTTCTTATCTCTTCCCCTCGTTCATCCATCGTGTTCATTGTTACTTTACGCTGACAACCACTAAAATTCCGTTACCTTAATTCTCCACTGATAATTTAGCTCTTACGGAAAGAACTGTGACTATGCGCGCGTCAAGTATGTGACCTCGCTATTGGGACCCAGCGTGCTGCCGTTGCACCCGATGCGCAAGATTGCATTTGCCCTGGGCGGGAACCAGATGTGGTTCAAGAAGGAGATCACGCTGTTCCAGTCGTACGAGATCCGCACGCGTCTGTTGACCTGGAATCAAAAGTGGTTTGTCATCGAGCACAGGATGTACACTCCCGCATCCTCCCGTGGAGGCAACCAGACCCTGTGCGCGATCGGCATTTCCAAGTTTGTCTTGAAGTATGCAGGAGGCTCATGGAAAAACAAGACGATCCCCTTCCTCGACGCCCTCGAGATGGTTGGACACGATGTCTCGGAGCTGCGTGCCCTCGAGGGCAAGTCTGAGAACGGCAACGTGGTCCTCTGGCCCAAGGAGGATCTCGAGTTCAAGTCGTTCGAGGGCTGGACGGACCGTGCTGCTGCTGTTGGTAACGCCTTGGAGCTGTGCGAGACTATGCTCCTCCAGGAATGATTGTCACCTTTGTTTTTTTTCCCAGGGCAAAACGCCTTTTAATAATAAAAGTATGCATAAATCACATGACAATTGGGCCCGAGATTTTCTTGTTTTTTTGAGAGAGGTGTTTCTTCTTTGTTTGTTCACGACTTACGTTCATCCCTCCCCCACACCCTCTCTCTTACACACACACAGCACATCAGCGACTTTGCATCAACAACAAGACAGGAGGCAGTTCCATCAAACGCAACCATAGCGAGCCCCCCTCTCTCTCTCTCTCTCTCTTACTTTTATCGACAACGTAACCAACTGCATCAGCCTTTTGCCTTTGGACCTTCTTTCCTCTCGCCCAGTCTTTCTCACACACAAATACAGCCAATAGGCGTTGTTCCCTTCTCCCCTTTATCCATGTCAGACCAAACAGACAAACATCAGCGACGACCACACAGGAGGTTACTTGTAGACGAAGACGACGACGACGACGAAGTCGAGCAACTCCACGAACAGAACCACCACCACCACCAACATAACAATAATCGTTATGAAAACAACTATTTCCTCAAAGAAAAGGATCCTCGGAAGGTAGAGTTTGTTATCCTTGGCTCGTTTGCAAAATGGTGCCACCGATTTTTCAGAGCTAATCGCGACGAACAGCAACAACATACATGATTTGACCTAACAAAGGTTGCTCCCCCTGCTCACTCTTTTTTTTTTTTTTTTTTTTTTTTCATTCTCGACTTTAGGTTGCCCAAGGCTCGATCGTCCGTAAGGAAGACGGTCCTCAGGCTTCCAGGAAAAGAAAAGAGTCCCTTGGTAAGGGTCACTATGATCGTGAGAAAGAAATATGACAAAAAGAGTAGTGCAAGTCCCCAAACACGCTACGCAAGATCATTTACTCAGCAAGTTCTCATTTTATCTGCGACAAATAGACGAAAACTTGGACGAGGATGATCTGGCACTTGTGGAAGAAAATACAGGAATGAAGATCCAGCGACCCGAGGTACTGCATCCACACGTATTCTTCGACTCTGGATTGTCAGCACCCCACTTACAGAAGGGCTGATGGTGATACTGTAAATCCATTCAACAAAACATCAACAAAGTGCTCACATCGTTTGATGCTTTGGCGCCGATTAGAGGTTCAAACGGCTGAGGAAGCGTCGTCAGGACTATGGCAGCGGTGACGACAGCAACGACGAAAACGGAATCAAACAGGAGCTATCCCGGTCAAATGACGACCCACTTGCCCAAATATTCGATGCTCCAGTGACCGATGGCGAAGAAAATGGCCATGGTCGAGGAAGAGATACTGATGACGATATGGATTTCATTGACGACGATGAAAGCGATGACGATGATGATCAGGATATCATCGAGCACGAAAGGAAACGCAAACAACAAGCAGATGCCATGAAGACCGCGCCTCAGGGAGCCTCCGCACGCCACTACAACGAGGAGTAAGTTGAGATATCGTAAACGAGCTTGCATTGATTTGCTCACGCATTTACATGCTTTTAATAAGATGGCTGATTGGTGCTTGCATTCACTCGTCAATATAGGATGAACGAATGGCACGGAGTTTTTGGGAACGGAGAGGACTATGCATATGCGCTCAGTAAGGAAAATGGAGAGGTACCCTTCAATGGTTCACCTCCAGAGGCTCATCTCAAGGACGTGTTTGAACCGGGCGTGTTGGCGGAGAAAATGCTGACACATTCGGACGATATCCTTCGCCTCAAGGACGTCCCCGAACGGATGCAGATGCGACCCGGAATCGAGACAGACAGGAAGCTCACGGATCTTGAGATTGAGCTGGAGGCCTACTGGGTCATGACAGCGTTGGACGACAACCTCAGACGAGTCGACCGACCATCTTTCGACTCTATGCATGTCCAATCGGTCCTCAAGTTCATGTCGCAGGAGTTACTCGAGGTGCCCTTTATCGATTTACATCGCCAAGACTATTTTACAAGTGTCCATGGGCACAGGTTGACAAGGCTGTTGTCACGGGAAGACCTCTGGTTCATCTACGACGAGGACTTCAAGTTTCGATCTTTCCTGGAGCGTAAGGAGGCTATCAGCGCACTCGTCGACCGGATGCATATCAACGACGAATACCTGAACTATTCCTTGTTGAGAGCCGAGAGACTGGACGAGCTGACGGACATCTCGGACTACATCAATCTCAGATATTCCAAGAAGGTCGACGAAGCTAATACGAACCTGCTCCGACGTCCAGGGTCTGCAGGAGCGTTCGATCCTCAGGAACGGGAGCACCTTTCCACCTTTATCTCAACTCTCGGAATGACGACACGAGAATTCGGCACCAACCTGAGCGAAGGCAACAAAAAGTTCTTTCCAAAGGACGACAAATCGTTCCCAGAGGAGGCAGCTGAGGCATTTATTAGGGCTGCAATTTCATCGCCGCAGAAAGTGATCTCGATGACGGTGGGGATGATGACGCAGGAGATGGCGGTCGATCCACTGGTCAGGAGAGTAATACGGACCAAATATGAGACTGCAGGTTGTGTCTCTGTGACCCCAACCGAGAAGGGTGTCTCGACGATCGACGAGCTCCATCCGTACTACCCCTTCAAGCGACTGACGCAGAAGAACGTCCGCGAGTTCCGTGACGGCCAGTTCCTCCAAATCCTACAAGCCCAGTCAGAGGGGCTACTCAAAGTCGAGATCAAAATCCCGGACGAGGACAGATACATTCAGGGCATCTCGGACTACTACCTCAGTAACGGCCGCGGAGACAAGACACAGCAATGGAATGCTCTCCGGACAAAGATTCTCTCCTCCGCGCTGAAGAAGCACATCTTTGTCATCGTTGAACGTGGGATGATCGAGAGGCTGCGAGTTCAGGCCGAGGAATGGGTCGGTTCGAAATGCCAAGCCGCTCTGGAGGAGGTAATAATGAAACGCTAACATGAACCTGTTTACCATTTTGTTAAAGAATTTTTGCAACGACTCACAAGATATTAACAACGTAATATTCAAATCTTACCGTAGAGGATGAATATCGCGCCTTTCATCGTGCCCGGGACGACCGAGGGCGAAAAGGTGCTTCCACGAGTTGTTGCGATCTCACACGGACCTGGATCAGTCAAGGACGCCATCCAAGCGGTGTACGTGGATGAAAAAGGAGGGTTCATCGAGCACAAGAAACTCGACAATCTCCGTGATCGGACGCTACAGGAGGAACTCCTCGACCTTTTGGAACGTCGGCATCCTGATGTGGTTGTAGTAGGCGGATTCTCGGTAGCGACGCGTCGGCTGTTGGAGCAGACGGAGAGCGTTGTCAGGGAGCATCGGGATTCGAACGGCGACCAAGTCTCTGTGATTATGACCAATGACGAGGTTGCCAAGCTGTATCAGTCATCCAAGAGAGGCGTCGAGGACCATCCCAAGGCATACGAGATCACCCGGTACTGTATCAGTCTGGCACGCACCATCCAAAGCCCCATCAATGAGTATGCAGCCACAGGAGTCGACCTGGTTGGCATTCGTCTTCACCCGCTCCAGGAGTTTGTAAGCGCAGACCGACTTCGGGAACTTTTGGATCGAGCCCTGGTCAACGTGGTCAACGACGTCGGGTTGGATATTAACGAAGTCGTTTCGTCACCCTACAAGGCGGTGATGCTTCCGTACATTTGCGGCCTCGGTACTCGGAAGGCCCAGCATCTGATCAGGACCATCGAACGAGACCCTGTCACCAGAGGAGTTGACAAGCGAAGTGACTTGATCAACCGAAAGATGCTGACCTGGAACATCTTCATGAACTGTTGCAGTTTTCTCCGGGTCCATACGGAGCGTGGAGGCGATATCTTGGACCACACAAGGATTCACTTTGAGGACTACAACCTGGCGAGGAAGATGGCTGCGGATGCACTGGAAATTGACGAGGAGGGCCTGCAGGCGTATGATGAAGAGTCACAGCATGTGGAGGAGTTGATGAGCGACAATAACGCCGAAAGGTTGAATGAGCTCTTGCTGGACGATTATGCGCACCAACTCCAAAAGATGCAGCAAAAGCCCAAGCGGATGACTCTGGAGCATATCAAAGCCGAGCTCCAGCATCCGTTCCGCGACCATCGGACACGATTTGTACCAGCAACTTCGGACCAGATCTTTACCATGTTGACAGGCGAGACGGACCAAACCCTGAGGGAGGGCTTCATTGTGCCTGCGCTGGTGACCAAGGTACGGGAGAAGAATGCCATGTGCCGGCTCGACTGCGGGATTGACGGGATATTGTCGATTCAGAACATCTCCGACTCCAGAATTGAATCTGTCAAGGACCATGTCTCCGAGGGCCAAACCCTGCAGGTCAAGATTCTTCAGCTGGCGAAGGACCGGTTCTTTGCAGACTTGACTTGCAAGGAGGGCGAGTTGAGACAAGGCGATGCTCACTTGCGAGCGTTACCCCTCGACAGGACGTTTGACCAGTTTGAGGAGGATCGGTTCAAGGACCCGGCCGACCCCAACGACAATAAGGGTAAATTTGTTCATCGAAAAATCCACCACCCGCTATTCAAGAACATCACCTCCGAGGCGGCAATCAAGTACCTTTCGACCAGGAACCGAGGCGAACTGGTCATCCGACCTTCAAACAGGGGTGCTGACCATCTCGTTATCACCGTCAAGATTGCCGACGATATCTACAAACACTACGGTATGAGTCTCTTTGATGTGTATATAGGCGTGTGGAGTATACGGCGGTGAAGTTACAATTGCGGATGAGGATGCTGACGAGAGCCTACATTTATGTTTTGATCGATAGATGTCCTTGAGATCAACAAGAAGGACAATGTCAGTTTGGGCAAGGCGCTACAGATCGACGACTCGACATATAACGATCTGGATGAACTGTTGGTGTCTCATATCGAAGCCATCTTGGGCCGTTTTCATGATCTCATGAACAGTCCAAAGTATCGCGAGAATGAGTACGAACTGAGTAAGTGCAGCTTTTCTTTTTAACCGCGTGCGATTGTGTTGGTGGGACACCTCAGGCTAGTTACCAGCATGTGTTAATAACTTACTAACTGTACAATTGTTTTCAGGAGCGTGGTTGGAGGCGCAAACAAGAGCCCGACCGGATGTTGCAGTCTACGGATTTACTCTCAGCCGAAAGTATCCCGGTTACTTTTCGCTCATCTTCAAGCTGGGACACCACGCCAAGATCGACGAATGGAACATCAAGGTCCTCCCGAATATCTATCAGCTCAAGGGCCCATCCAAGCGCGACTGCGCCAACCCGACCGCCATCTCGGACAACTTCAAAGACATGGCCTCGAAACTCAGTCACCGCAACAGGGCGTCAAAAAAGCCGGGAAACGCCCCTGGTCCTGGTTATGGCCCTGGATCGGCTACTGGTTTGGATGGCTCCGTTCATCGGAGTAGATCCCAAAGTCGCCGCCGGAACAGCGTCAGCTCTAATGCCACGTCCTTCTCGACGTATGGGAAACCAAGGCCGCCAAGCGATCGTGGATATTCTCCGAGGTCCAACACTAATGCTCACTCAGCCTCCGCCGCGTATGACAGATCCAGGTCTAGGCCGGGGTACCAGAACGGTGACAACAACGCCAGCAGCAGCTTTCAAGACACTGGCTTTGATGACTTTAGCCTCCAAGACAGCAGCTTCCCCAGCTTCCAATCTGCCGCCAGAACCAATACCAATACCAGTTGGAATGACAGGGGTAGATCTAGGCCCAGGCATGGCTATGGCGATAGCAATGCCGATACCATCAACACCTACAACAGCAGCTGGAACGATCGATCCAAGTCTAAGCCCAGGCCTGGATATGGAGACAGGAACTCTAACAACAACGGCGGTCACATTGGTACTAGTACCAACATCCCCGTTAGAAGCAGATCCAAGTCCAAGTCCAGGTCCAGTCATCAGAACGGGGACAACGGTGCCGATGGCGGCAGTAACGCAGCTTGGAACAACAGAGGTCGCTCCAGTTATCGAGACGGTGGAGGGGACGTTGACAACGATCGCACCGCTTCGTGGAGCAACAGAGGACGGTCTAGCCATCGGAGCGCTGACGGAAATGCCGCCGATAACAGAGGAAGGTCAAGCTATCGTGGCCGAGACAACAACGCCGTCAGCAACGGCGATGGTTCTTGGGCCAATCGGGGACGGTCCAGTTATCGGAGCGGTGACTCTACTGCTGCTGACAACAGAGGGAAGTCAAGTTATCGTGGACGAGACAACAACACCGACGGCAATGGTGGTGGTTCTTGGGGCAGCCGGGGACGGTCAAGTCATCGTGGCCGAGACAACAACGCTGATAGCGTCGATGCCTCCTGGAACAACAGAGGAAGGTCGAGCTATCGAGGCCAAGACAACGACGCTGGCAACAATAGCGGAGCCGCCTGGAACAACAGAGGAAGGTCGAGCTATCGAGGCCAAGATAACGACGCCAACAACAATAGCGGAGCCGCCTGGAATAACAGAGGGAGGTCGAGCCATCGAGGCCGAGACAACGACGCCGGCAACAATAGCGGAGCCGCCTGGAACAACAGAGGAAGGTCGAGCTATCGAGGCCAAGATAACGACGCCAACAACAATAGCGGAGCCGCCTGGAACAACAGAGGGAGGTCGAGCCATCGAGGCCAAGACAACGGCGCCGACAACTACAGCGGAGCTTCCTGGAACAACAGGGGAAGGTCGAGTTATCGAGGACGAGACCACCATGCCAACTCAAACACCAACAGGAGCTGGAATGATAGATCCACGTCAAAGCCCAAGTACGGCTATGGCAACAGCAGGTCCAAGTCCAGGGCCAGGTATGGAGCTGATGCCAGCTCCAGCTCCGGCTTTCCGACCACCGTCATCACAGGATATGGTTCTTCTAACCAAGAACGAGGTACCAAAGACAGTTCAGGACCATCGTACAAGCTATCCAAAGCAACCTCCAGCCAGGATCAGTCGATGGGTTTCAGGGCTTACTCTCCAGAGCCGATGCAGACTACGGGTGCGATGAAACCTACAGCGGACCTTAGCTTCCCTCAGCCTAGCGACTTTGCGGCTTACTCTAAAGAACCTGCAAGAGCTGCGGCGTCGTCAGCGCACGGTAGACGCGCTTCGAATCAATCCATTGGCTCTACGGCATACTCGCCAGAGCCTACGAAGCCTGCGGACTCCACGGCGCCACCCTCAGCGAGATCAAGTTCCTTGCAGTCCGCAGACATCAAAGCTCGCTCTCCCGGAGCAAAGTTGTCCGAGGAGTGTGTGAGATTCCTTAGAGCAGGACGCGATCCGTCTCAACCCATGGACATTGCAGCTTACTCTCCAGAACCCACGAAACCTGAGGTTTCGTCTAAGCCCACGGTGGCGATCACGTCAAGATCCGATTCTCCTCACCCCCCAGCGAGATCCACTTCTTCCCAGCCTCCAGCGAGATCTAGCCCTTCTCAACGGACGAATATCTCGGCTTATTCTCCAGAACCCATGCAGGCTACAGACCCTATAAAGCCTACAGAGTCAACAAAGTCCACGCCGAATCCCACTGCAGACTCTACAGTAAAATCTGAGCCACTTCAAGCTGCAAGCGCTCGGGCTTACTCTCCGGAGCTCAAGGGAAGCGCACGCTTAGTAGATAACTCTGATCCGTCTCAGCCCATGGAATTCACGGCATACTCCCCAGAACCCATGGAACTCGCAGAGCCTCCTAGAACTGTCAGCGAGGCCTACAAGCCATGGACTTCGTCGTCATCAGCCACGGCTGGAGGGGTTGGCGACGAGGACGACACTGGAGGTATTTCATGGGGCAGCGGCTCGTACGGTGGTAGAAACGGCGGTGGATCGTATGGTGGTGGCGATAAAAGCAGATCCTACGGCGACAACAGACAGGGTGAGCGTCGCGTTCGCTCAGGCGAAAACGGAACGTCAGACAATTCATCAGATCGCCGCCCATACCAATCTCAGCCATCACAACGGCAGCAGCAGTCGCAGTCGAACTATGGTTCAGGGTATGGAGGCAGGGGCCAAGATCGTTTTGGTGGTGACCGCGAGAGCAGGCCTCGTCAAAACAATGATGGAAGCCAGGGCTATGGTGGCGGAAACAACAGTCGCCATGGGGAAAGGGGAGGAGGACCATCATCAGCAACCCAAGGAGGGGGCGGAAGTGGGTATAGAAGCAGCTATGTTAGTACAGGTGGTGGTGATGATGATGATGCTGGCGGCATCTCATGGGGCAGCGGATCGTACGGCGCAAGTGGTGGTGGCGGCGGTGGTGGTTATGGCGGCCACGGCAACTCTGGCAACTCCGGATATGGAGACAGAGGCCGCAACAGCAACAAGCAGGGCTATGGAGGAGGAAGAGGCAATGATCGAAACGGCAGCAATGGCGGTAGTGGCCGAAGTCAGAGCCGACCTCGCTCAAGCTCGTCTCGTCGTTAGTCCTTCTACTTTGTGTGGCTGTTCTGTTTCTACCGTTCATTGATATTGCGACTGGACGATTAAAGATGCTTCTGTGGAGTACAAAGTCAAGTAGGATTATTGCGCTACAGGTACAAACGATATGACACTTAAAATAAGTTGTTTTATCCGCACTCTTGCCTTTCAAGCGTTAAGCATTCAAGGGGGATTGTTAGATACATTGAGTTTATTATGTAGATATGCAATTTTTTATGTCGACTTCTTTTCATCAGCAGCGGTAGGTGCATCAGCAGAAACTGATACGTCAATGGCAATGGCTACGGTAGTCTCCTGCGAATCACCCTTGGGCTGTTGCTCCTGCACCATGGACCGAATTGCATGGGGTTCGCAGTCAAAGATGGAGGTCTCGCGCTGATGGAGTCTGCAACAGCCCTTACACCTCTGGTGGACGCACTTGGCGGAAAAGGTGTTGAGGCATTGATCCGACTGGCAGAGGTTCGCCTGAACTTTAGTCTTTTTGGGCTTGATCTTCCTGACTTTTCCCGATGATGTGGTGGCGGTGGCAGTAGCGGTTTCGCTGTCTTCGCCTTGAGCTGCCTCGTCGGCCGTCCGTTTTGACCCTAAGGTTGTGGCTGTGGTATCGGTTTCGCTGGCGCCTTCCTGACCAGCCTCCTTCTTGCTCTGGTCAGGCATTGGCTGTCTAAAGTAGGGTTGAGCCAACCAGTGAGGCAAGATGGGGAAACCCTGATCATCGACCCGTCCCTCAAAGCTCTCTCCCTCCATCCGTGAAGTCTCTGCATCCTGGATCAGTCTGTCCTTCAGCTTGCGGGTGATAGTCCAGAGCTCCTCCCGTGTGGTGGCCATTCCAAGTTCGGTCCGCAAGTCGGTATGTATGACCAAGCTAGGGCGGAAGATCTTGAACAAGTGTCCACGGGTATAAGCGAGCTTGGTGTCGTGTTCATCGCAGATCGTCAAGTACTCCTCTGCAAGCTTCCAGGACTGGGGGAGCTCAGGTGTGAAAATGGCTGGGTTGTAGAGGTTTCCCTCTGCCGACATGATACCGTCACATCCAGTCTTTTCCATACACCGTTCTAGATCCTCGTGGTATAAAATGTTTCCGTTGGCGATAACAGGGACCCGATGTCCAACCGCCTCCCGAACAAGTCGAATTTTCTCCCAATCCGCGACTCCTGTCAAGTGACCCTTCATCTCCCGCAAACGTCCGTGTACGACCAAGATCTGGGCTCCGGCGTCGACGACCATCTTGGCATAGGCAACCGTCTTTTCGGCTTCGGGGAAGACTCTGATTTTGGCAGTGACGGGGATTGGGAGGTGTTTGTGGAGGGTGGAGATGAGGGACGAGATCAGCGGCCAGTCCTCCATGAGGAAAGAACCGTAGTGTCCTCTCCTGGCAATGTGCTGGGGGCATCCGAGGTTGATGTCGACTGCGTCGCAGTAGGGCGCCACCATTAATGCTGCCTGCAGCAAGTACTCTGGGTCGTTGGCGCAGAACTAATGGCACCAAAAAAAAAATCATTCGAGAGGATAGTGAGTCATTTTTTGCTGTACATAATAAACTGGCAAAAGGAGGGCTTGTGCATATTTGTGTTAATTTGTTCGTACCTGAACGATCAAGGGCCTGTCATTAGGTCCTCCGCCACCGAGTCCACTCTTGAGTCCAGCCCAATGTTCATCCCTGTACTTCTCCTCCTTGGCAAACAGCTTGGCGTTGAACATGGGGGTGTAGCACAGATCGGCGTTATAGCGTCGAGAAAGAATCCTCCAGGCAAGTTCGGATTGGTCGACCATAGGGGCGACGACATACTTGGGCGATCCAATGGACTTGTAAAAGTCGAAAGATGAGAGTTTTTCGGCGGGGAAGGTGTGTTCGGCCCGACAATTTGCGACTAGGGCAATATTGCGCTGCTCGACTTCTTCCTTGACCTTTTCTGAAACCATTAATGTTGCGATAGTTGGTGTTGTTGTTGGTTGGAGGTAGTAAGGGAGGTGAGGGAACTTTTTGAGGATCAGTTTGCGGTGTGCGTTGAGGGGCGGTTGTGCAAAGTAGTCGCCGTTGTCGGTTGTTAGTTTGTGTTGTTGTTCCTGAGTTGGTGTTGAGGAAGAAGGGAGGTGGTGAGGGGTAGAGGAAGGGGTGAAGAAGAAGGAGTTGAGGATGGTTGCTTTGAAGGAAGGGGAGGTGAAGAAGGATCGGGCGGGTGTGGCTGCTCTGTGCGATAGCAGGGAAGGGATCAGCATCAATTCAGCCCTGGCTAGAGAACTGAGAGGGAAAGGTAAAGGTGAAGGAGGTGGAGGAGTGAAGGAGAAGAACAACGACAAGGGTCCGCTTGGTGGCCACTTTTTTTTTTTTCCCAATTTAACAACAAATTCCGTGACTGCGCCTTTGGGGAGTTGGATCGGATGGAATTGGCCCCTGTGAGGTAACTGGCCAATCAGGATTCCAGCACCTCTCTTAGCACCTTTTTATTCTTAGTGCTTTTTGTTGCACAAAAAAACCTCTTCCTTCATCTCTCCTCTCCTTTTCATCACTTTCGCCTTCCCTCTCCTCTTAATCACAACATGTCGACTGACAAGGACGACAGGTTCTTGCCATCCCCCGCCGTCCAGCGCGGGGCACCCCAACACCCCATCAGCCTCATCATCTCCGCCATCGCTTTCTACTGGGTCGCGTCCCTCTCCGTCGTCTTCCTCAACAAGACCATCCTCTCTGGCTCAGAATACAAGTTCCCTTACCCTCTCTTCGTCACCCTCTACCAATTGATCGTGGCCCTGGTCCTCTTAGTCGTCTGCGGGCAGCTCGGCAAGAGGTATGAAAAGGGCCTTTCACTCGACGCAAACAACGGAGCAAGTGCGGCTCTTCCAATGAAGTGTAGCACAAAAAAATCAAGAACAAAGATAACAACGAAATTGACCACTTGAGTGATACTATCCGCAAACACTTCATCAAACAAATAGGAATCGCTCGTTCTCGATGATCCCTCCGTTCGAGTTTGACCTGGACATTGCCCGCAAGATCGCCCCTCTCTCGGTCGTCTATGTGCTGATGCTGACCCTCAACAACCTCTGCCTCCAACTGGTCGAGGTCACTTTCTACCAGGTCGCCCGCTCGCTCTCCATCTTCTTCAACATCCTTCTCACCTACACCATGCTCCGCCAAAAGACCTCCCCCGGAGCCATGTTGGCCTGTGCTGTCGTCGTCCTCGGCTTCTTTGTCGGCTCTTATGGCGAGAGCAATTTCTCCTGGGCAGGTCTCTGGGCTGGTGTCGGATCCAGTGTTTTTGTGGCCCTCTATGGAATCTATGTCAAGAAGACACTGGCCATGATCGATAACAACCAGTGGCGCCTCCTTCACTACAACACTGCCATTTCGATTGTTCTTTTGACCCCTATTGTGTTGTTCTCGGGCGAGCTGGGCGAGATCAGCAGGGAGGTGTATTTCTTGGACGATTTAGGATTCTGGACCTTGATGACCTTGACGGGAGTTGCGGGATTCTTGATCAACACTGCCATGTTCTTGCAGATCAAGTACACAACCGCTTTGACCAACACCATCTCTGGAACCGCAAAGTCCTGTGTCCAAACCCTCCTCGCCATGGTCTTTTACCAAAACCCCATCACCGCCATGGTATGTCCCTTTATTTGTATATTTTGTATGCGTGTTTGCGGCAGTGGTTGACACTCCTCTCTGTAGGGGCTTACATCCCCCCTCCCCCTTCATTTTTTGTGCATGCTATTAATTATTTGCTAATCAACTCTTGCATGTTTACTTTCTTCATAATTAGAACGGGTTTGGAATCTTTTTGAGTTTGCTGGGATCGGGCATGTACTCCTGGGTTCGCTATGCAGAGATGCAACGCAGATAGACACACGTATACCCCCTTACTTTGTCGTGCACTTCTCATTAAAACCATCATATCCAACATACAACTTGCGTCTGGAGTTACAGGAGTCAGTATTGCGTCTTATTCGATTGTGATTTTATTTTCTGTTGGCCTTTTAAAACGTGTTGCTTTGTGACACCAGGATTCACCTGGCACCCTCTTGGATCTCTTATGCAATGCGTGCGAATCGGGACCACAGACGGACCAAGACATCCTGCTGTAGCAGGGCATAGACCTGATCCTTGAATGGCTGCCTCGAGTCCAGCGCCATCCGATTACTATTGATCCTTGCCTGAACCCTCAACAGCCCTTCGGTATTCTTGGTCTCCTTGCACAGCGTGCTGACCAACTCCAAAAGCGGCAAGTCAAACATCAGCTCAAGGAACTGTTGCCCTTGAAGACTGAGCGCCACTGTGGCGGGATGATGAGCGCCCCAAGTGCTTCCTGCATTGTTGGAAAATGGCGCAACCGGCTTGATCGCCGACCGCCCCAGTAATGTATCGACCGCTCGTTCGCAGATCGGGTGCTTCATCTCTGGCTTGAACAGTGTGACTGACGATTGGGTATGACCACCAATCGGTCGTCCAGAGCCTGCCATGTGTCCTCCTGCTCCTCCGCCTCCTCCGCCTCCTCCCAGTAGTCCACTGCCCAGACTTGGCGTAGGCGCAGGATTAGGGAAAGATCTGACGATAACTGATCCTTTGGCAAATGTCAGCATTCCACTCTCATGCGCAAGCCCGATCGCTCTAAATGCCTGGCTGTAATCCATCTTGGGTAAAAACTGCTGCAGCACAGCGCCCGCAAGGAACTCCTCCAAATGCATACAGCTTTCAATCGCCTTCAATGCAAACTGGGATGGTGTCTGGGACGTAGGTGGTAATGGCCCACTGTTGGAAGGTGGCGTGGGTGCAGATCCGTTTGAATCCATGGTCAAGGGTTGCATGCCGAGTCCGACTGTTCCTGTTCCGTTGTTGCCGGCAGTGCCATTGGTGACAGAGAGTGAGGAGAGTGTCTGGAATGTGTTCAGGAACTGAGGGTCCGAGGATGATGCTGAGTAGCCGTTGGTGTGACCGGCATGTGGCGACGCGACCGTTGGTGGGATGGGTGAAAAGGAGGTGTTTGCTCCGTGGTGATAGGTAGACCATATCCTCCGGTTCAGTCGCTCCGTTTCCGAAAAGCACCTTGAAGCAACCATGCAAGCGTTCAAGAACGCCGCAAGAGAATCCTGGTACATGCCCTCCAAATGATAAAGCTCCGTCAAGCAGAGCGAGTACCGGGTGATATGCCCGCTAATCTTTGTCGAATACATGGCCGACACAGAGCCCGAAGTTGAAAAGTGGGCGGTAGGGTCCAAGCGGTACAAGTTCGCTTTTGCCTTGGCCTCAACCTTCATCCTCATCGTGACTGAATCCGTCTCTGCCCGAATTTGTTGCTCGTAAAGTCGAATAAGGAGCCTTGAGAACCCTTGCGCCGCTCCAGGAACTGCCTCGACTGCCGTTCCTGCTTCGCGACTGCTCAGCATCGCAATGATCTTTATCCGTGAGTCGGTCCACGAGTTAACACAGTCCAGCGAAGTCGTGAACAGCGCAAAATATCCAAACTCGCTGAGTGTCAGTTTGGCCCTTTCTGGCAAGAGGGACGAGAGAGCTCCTGCCAAAAGCGCGGAAAACACATCGATGACGCCTCGAGTCCGCACCATACTGAAGAGCTCCAGGATGACGGCAAAATCGCTTAAGCTCTCTCCCGCCGGGACTCCGTGTGGGTTCATGGTTGGTTGTTGGCCCTGCATGGATGTCAAGTTGTGACTCAATGGTTCGACAGCATGGAGAAGCAGGCCTTGAATCATATCGAGAGCGGCCATGCGGTTGATTTTGATTGGGTCCATGTCTGATGAAAAGATGGCGTCAAGGCAACCGGCGACAGCAATGTCCCGAAAGTCTACACCCAGCACTGTTTGACTCACATTGAGGATGGCCGAAAGAGGTCCCAGCACACTGTATACAAGGAACATTGCTATTTCAATAATAATAAAAAAACTAGTGCGGTTAGTTGAAGAACCGATGGGCGATATTTTGACACTTAAGTGATACGGTGACTCGAAGGGCGTGTGTTTCCATACCTGGACACATGTACTTCTCCAGTCTTTCAACAGCTGCACGGCAGTAGTCAGAGATGAACGCCCATTTCTTGTGGTTGATACAGATTGCCAACGCATGCAGCTAGAACATATTGAAGAAGTTCAAATGTAACAAAGTGTGTTAAACGTTAGACATCAAGCACATAAAGTAGACCATGTCAGCTTTGATGACATAATTCACGCAGACATGAACTGACCTGTAGTTTCTGATCTAGTGGCCCAAATGTCTGTAGGTATTCAAAGAGAAGCTGGCAGAGTCCTTCGACAATTTTTTCTTCGTCCTTGCTTGGAACGACTGATGGTTCTGACGAGTCGGGCAGTTGGGGAACATCAACGTCCATTTTGTCGTCATCCGCTTGTCCACGCTGGTTATTAGGAGCAACAGGTCCTTTGCTTGTACCAGACGCACCACCAGTGTTAGGGGTGCCATTGATCCGCTGCTCCAGTCGCGCTAACAGTCTCCGTTCCCGTGAAGTCTCATAGTCCTGAATCATGATTCCAAACTGCGTAACGGCGACCTGCTTTCCTAGTTCAGCCTGCAGACGGTTGTAGGCGATATTCATGGGGACCATTTGCTGGTTGCCAAGGAAGCGTTCGCACGATTGGAGAAACAGAGCCGAATCGAGGCAACGATCCCGTTTGCATGCCTGCACACTCAGGGCTAACGTAACTAAACCCGACGTGAACGGTGCCAGACCATCCTATGAAGGGCCAACACAAAAGAAGGGGAAGAATTAATAAATGCACCCAAGCGCAGTTGTCAATGACTCCTGTCGCATTTGAAGGGCTATGACTTACCTTCATGAGATAATTTTCGACGTCAGCTGGATGTTGATACTCGACAATCAACGATAGTTGCTCTGCCAACCTCTTGGCTGGATCGTTGGAAGCCGCTCGAGGATTAAATGGGACCCTTGTCTGTGGAGCGAAATGTAAGCCAAGCCAATAGGTAGGATGTGTTAGTCAGTATCAATATCTTTTGTCCGTGAGAATGAAACTCATTGTACTTGGACAATTATACATACCACAAGGGCGCTGTACATATCCCAAGCGTGACTCCAGTCCCTCTGTGTTGGGGGTAGAAGGCCTATCAAAAATGTAATGCGTATTTTAGTGATACTGCTCGAAGGACGTGTATCAAGCGAAGTCATCTCGATGGTTGACGAATTGTGGTAATTACCTGACTTCCATGCGGCGTCATAACAGAGGAGATGTCCAATAGTATCACAAAATTGTGACACAAAAGCCGTAATCTTCTCCTCGATCACCTTGTCGCCATCCGTAGGTGCTTCCTCAATCAAGGCTGTTTTCGTCTCCACAATCACATCCATGATATCTTCAAAGATGGACGACGACAAGTATGCATCCGGCTCATGACCACTCTCGAATACAATCTCTCGAAGGAATCGAAGAATAGGGTCAGGTATCTCGAGTAGCATCTCACCTAATGAGCACAAAAGGTGGGTGTTTCACGTTGTCAGTCCTGTGGTGACATTGAGATAAAGATTCAACTATTGAATAGATCCTTAAATGCTTACATGGATCACCGAGACGGTAGAGTGCGTTGTAAAGAGCAAGGAAAGCACCGACATCGTAGTCCGACTGATTCACCACATTCCAGAGGAGCCGTTGCCGCCAAATATATGGCAATGTCTTGGAGAAATTGTCCTTCCTGAACTCGTCAATGAGGTCGTCGAGCCTCTGTTCACGTTCCATAGCCTTCACTCGAGTCAATAGGCTCTCCTTGGGATCTGGAAGAGAATTTCCGACCGCCAAATGTGCCAACTTCAAAAGAGCGCTGCTGCGTTTTTCATCCAGTTGACTAACGATATAAAAGCAGTTACATGCGGATGAAATTGTTGACAATTATTAGCCTATCCTTCTGTACAATATACAATCGCGGTGTACGGTTCCAGGCTTATAGTAAGTAAGGCGTACCATGTTGGCTCGCTAGGAGTATGGCTGCTGTGCGCGTTGTTGCATTGTTCCAAGTGCTTGATTGCCTCGTGGTATTGTCCATTCCAACAGTAATATTGTCCAAGCTCCGATGACATTTGGCACCGGGTGCTATGAACCCGCGGGCTATCCGTCACCTATTTGGCGTCATGGTTATAACGATCTGTAAGTAAAGCTCCGTTGTGCAGCAAAATGATCCTGTCTTTGCTGATGCCCTTAATATGCTACCTTGGAAAGTGCTTGCAGTTTTGTCTCCAATGCTGTGACATGCAGCTTCGTGTCGCCAAGATCCAATCCCGAGGTCTCTGTGCCAGCCACCCTTGAGCGAACGATCCACCTTTGAAAGAGAGTCAGTGCATCCCAAGGCTCCTCAAGGATCCCAAACGTGCTCGTGTCTGCTCCTGCTTTCCTATTAGGCAATGAATATTTAGAATTAGATCGCGGTTGGGGTGTAGGGTTGTTAATTATCTCCATCCCGATAGGATATTACGTCAGGGCGCTTACTGGGAGAAGAGCATCATTGCAGTGAGCAGGCAGAGTTGGTTTTGTTGAGGCACTTGTTGAATGATGTCGTCCAGTGATAGCGAGGCCAGGAAGAATACTTTGCACGCTTGTGCAAGGAGCATGTCTAATAAAAGAGAGAACGCTTCGCGTCAATCGCGGTCCTAGTACTGTAAAGAATAACACCATCCAGATAACAAGGCCAGGAAAGTAATATTTCCTGTTTGTCTTGTACCTTGGCGTTCCGAGAGTCGCATTGTTTGCTGGTCGTCACTGGTGCCGCTGATACGGTCATCCGATCTGTTATTGGCCGTCGACTCTGGTAATCCAATGGTTGGCGTTCCGAAACGCGCGATAGAGAGAAGATCCTGTAGTAACCGCCGACCCTGATTGTATGACTGACTGCGCGAGAGACTCGATAGCTGTGCGGGTAACAATAATAAAGAACGTGTGGGATTGTTATTAGGTGGCCTCCTTTTTATAACAGAGAGCGTACACTTAGGATATGTTTTGGAGTGAAATGACTTTTTTTGGTCAGAATGCAGGCGTGAAGTGAGGCATGCCTTGGTTTTGATAAGCCCTGGGTTCAGCAAGACCTCGAGGGTGTCGAGGGTGAGATTCTTGTCCTTTTCTACCTCCATCCTGTCTGTTTGTTCTGTCAATGTTAATCCTTTCTCTGTGGACAATTTGTGTTGGATGGGAGAGTGTGCCAGAGTCTCTGCCTCCCAATTGTGAAAGGAGGCATTCAAAAGCAGTCTTGGACTGTCTTTGAGAACCAACACAAAAGAAACGCGCTATTCAGGGCCCCCTGCACTCTCTCACCTCAACCGTTGCAACCACCACCGCTCTCCTCGATCCACACACACATCGTCGCCATGGCTGAAGCATCGATCAAGGACAGGCCCGAATTCGACCTCGGTACAGTCCAACAAAACATTTCTATGCGACACTTTCCTCTAGGGAGATCAACTCTTTCTTGTCGACGGTCATTCCCTATTTAGTTGCCACCAAAAATAACAAACTGACTCATCCCATGACCAAAACTCGTTTGACGACTGTCGTCTTTTAGACAACCAGGGAGAACAAAAGTACTGCTCATTCCTCAGAAGTCTACCCGACCGTCAAGAGAACTGTATTCGTTTGTTTGAGAGAAGCTCAGGGGTAAGGCAGAGTCCAATCGTCATTTACCGCAGGATTCAAAAACGCCACCGAAAACACAACGGACACAAGCTCACACTCAGCTTTATGAACTATCATAGGATTTCTACAGCGTACACGGCGATGATGCTTACTTTATTGCTCAGCACGTCTACAAAACTACCTCGGTCATCAAATATCTTGGAGGTATGGTTACTTTTCTCGCCAGAATTAAGTAAGCGAAGCCAGACGACATGCCATAATTGCCTGGCTAACTAACCCAACACACTTTTCTTAATAGGCGACGTTACAACTGGAGTTCCCAGCTGCACGTTATCCAGGACAACATGCGAGACATTCTTGCGTGATGCGCTTTTGAACAGGCAGATGCGGGTCGAGATCTGGGCAGCGGAGCCTCGCAAGCAGAGTGTCTGGAACATTGTCAAGCGGGTACGATTATTTGGTACTGGCGTTTTGATAACACACATGCTTGCGACCATTGTTGGAGGCGAAGGCTAAGATCATTTAATCTGTTTCATAAACATAGGCGTCTCCTGGAAACTTGCAGGATATGGAGGATCTCTTGTTCTCAAACACAGATATGGCAGCATCGCCTATCGTCATGGCTGTCAAGATTCGCACTGGAGGCGATCAGAGGACTGTGGGCGTTTGCTTCGCCGATGCGACTGTTCGCGAACTCGGCATTTCAGAATTCATCGACAACGATCTTTACTCCAACTTTGAATCGCTTGTCATCCAGTTGGGCATCAAGGAATGTCTCGTCCAAGCCGACGAGGGCCACAAGGACTACGAACTTTCAAAAATCCGTTCGATCCTCACCCACTGCGACATTGTGATCACAGAGAGAAAGAAGGCCGAGTTTGGTATCAAGGACGTGGAACAGGATTTCAACCGCTTGCTGGAGGAGGATATCTCGATCGCTGCTCTACCTGAATTTGAACTCAAGAACGCCATGGCCGCCTCGGCTTGCGTGATGAAGTATCTTGCCCTTTTGACAGATGAGACCAACTTCGGCCAGTACACTCTTCGCAACCACGACCTCTCGCAATACATGAAGCTAGATGCCTCCGCCGTCAGGGCCCTCAATTTGATGCCAGGACCTCAGGATGGGTCAAACAAGTCGATGAGTCTTTACGGACTTCTCAACAAGTGCAAGACTTCACAGGGCGGACGGATGCTGGGTCAATGGCTGAAGCAACCTCTTATTGACATTGCCGCCATTGGTAAGTTGCCTCTGGTACATTTGTGGAGATTCGGGATGCTTTACACGCCTTGTCGTCAGACTCGTCGACTAACTTGATCCGATTTTATTCATGGCTTCTCCGCGACTACTAGAGAAACGGCAAACTATGGTTGAAGCATTGACCCTCGACTCGGAATTGCGCCAGAACTTGCAGGAGACACACTTGAAGATGATTCCCGACTTGCATCGCTTGGCAAAGAGATTCCAGAGAGGTGTCGCGTCACTGCAAGATGTCGTCAGAGCGTACCAGGTCGTCATCCGCTTGCCAGCTATCGTGAGCTCCTTAGCTGCGTGCGAGACAGGATCGCCTGAGCACAAGGAAATTATGGACGCCGAATTCACATCGTTGTTTGATGAGTACACCTCGAACCTTCAGAAACTGCAGGAGTTGGTTGAGACGACTATTGATTTGGATGCCATCGACAGCCACGAATATCTGATTAAGGCCGATTTTGACCAGGGACTGAAAGGTAGAAATGGCGACCATTTTCGATTGTGAGAGAGTGGCAGGTGTTACTACCGGAACCACATGGAACTGACCTCCAATTTACGTCTCATAATTATGTTCTAGTTCTCCGCAAAAAGATGGAAACCTTGAAGTCGGAGATGCAGAGGGAACATGAACGCGTCTCGGGTGTGTTGAACATGGAGGTCGATAAGAAGCTGAAGATGGAAGACCACCAGATTCATGGATGGGGTTTCCGTCTGTCTCGCAATGTAAGAACTCTTTTCATATCCACGTGCGATATGCAACTGTGGTTGTTGTTGAAAGGCGACGATTGTTATCAAGAAATAGCGAACTTTTCTAACCTTCATTCTGTACTTGCATGTGTAAATGGTTAGGATTCTTCATGCATCCGCAACAAGAGCCAGTTCCAAGAATTGGCGACACAAAAGAACGGTGTCTTCTTCACAACAACGCAAATGCGGAAGGCCTCGACAGAGTTCAAGGACATCTCACAGGAATATGAGCGAACGCAGAGCTCTCTGGCGAAGGAAGTTATTGGAATCGTCTCCACATACTGTCCAGTCTTGGAGAAACTTAATACTCTTGTGGCACAACTGGACGTACTTGTCAGGTATGTACTGGTTCAGTGGCAGCGTCTATCATGCAATCCAGCTTGTATTTTTATTTCATATGAATATCTCGTATCGTACCTTCTATTCTTCCACATGCATATGCCTCTATTATTGTTTCTTCGTGTAACAACAAAAAGAAGAGAAGAGGGAAGAGAAGATTGAGCGCCAGAGTAAAAATGAGAGCTTGGCCTCGAGCGTCTTTCATTCACCCTTATCTTTCTTACTCCACTTTTCTTTCTCTTTTTTCTACACTCATGTGCGTTACCAAGGATGGCTCTCTGCCACTATGTGAGAAAATTTGGTCAAGCACCGATGCATTAACCTTATATGCCTCTCTTGCCTTGCGCCATTGTCCAAACAATCACTATAGCTTTGCACATGTTTCTGTTCATGCCCCGATGCCCTATGTCAGACCCCATATGACAGCCATGGGAACTGGAGATGTGGTCCTGAAGGAGGCGAGGCATCCTTGCCTTGAGGCGCAGGACGATGTCGCATTTATTCCCAACGATGTCTCCCTTGTTCGAGGTAAGAATCAATCTCCCACCTTCATTTCTTCCTTCCATCTGTAGTACTGGCGATCTACCTGTTCCTTTTTTCATGTACTGTACCTGAGCTCGGGCAGGCTGCTACGTTGATACGTGCGACTGTGGGTACTTGATGCAGGTGCTAAGGAAGAATAAGATATGAGAGATATGTACCTTGAATCCTGCAGGAATATAATTAATGCGTTGGGGGGCTCCTGGTACTTTGTTCTCAGCTATCTGTGGAATGTAGACTAAAAACATACATGTGATTTCTACGTTGTTTTGTTTATGTAGGCAAAACGGAGTTCTTGATCATTACTGGTCCCAACATGGGCGGGAAGTCGACATATATTCGCCAGGTATGTATACTTGTTGGATTTGTGCCCTTCTTTATGGCGTGTGCATTGCTCTACGGGCGTCTCTGTCTGTGTCTGTGTCTGTGTCTGTGTGCCAATTTGGTTGATGTTTGGGTTTAGTGTTTTCCTCATGTCGTTCCTTCACTGACACGACATTCTTTTATCTTTGCCTTGATGGCCCAGATTGGTGTTATTGCTCTGATGGCTCAAACTGGATGTTTTGTCCCATGCTCTGAGGCAAGTCTATGCGTCGTTGACTGTATCCTTGCCAGAGTCGGTGCAGGAGACAGTCAGATGAAGGGCGTCTCTACATTCATGGCTGAAATGCTGGAGACGGCGAGCATTCTGAAGGTATGTTCCTTGCCCCTGCACTTTTCTGCCCATTCTTTTGTCCTCTAATACCTATTCGGACTCTGTGAAGGAGGGCGGTGTTGTTGTGAGACATCATTAGCGCCCCGCACACTCTGGGACGTCCTGCACCTTTGGTGGTGCATATCTCACACAAAAAAAAGATGGGCTCCGCATGCTGTGTTGAAGAGACAGAAGTGCCGCTTTGCTTGCTCTTCCAATGCTCCCATCCTTTTCTTGTGATTGCTCGTAGTCCCTCCTTCTTGCCCCCTCTCACTTGCTCCTTGTCCCTCCCTTGTCATCGTCACCCACCCTCTCTTTCCTTTTGCTCTCTACCATGCACGACAATTGTCGTTTCTTGGTCCTGTCCATACGTTTTTTTTGTAATCCCGACACACCGCGCACATTTTTTATTTTCTATTTTCGACTCCTCGTCCTTCTTACTCTTGCTCACTTTCTCCCGCATGCAGTTGCTCAATTGAACAGCAGTTTAACAAGACATCATGACCATCCCACATGGCATATAGTGCTCTCAATAGCAAGCCCTGTTGGCTCACATTTTTATTTTATTTTCTTGTTCACGCATTTTTAGTCTGCAACGGTCAACTCTCTCATTGTCATTGATGAGCTTGGACGAGGCACCAGCACCTATGACGGCTTTGGCCTTGCCTGGGCTATCTCCGAGTAAGTGTCTCACATGGAACGGCGTCTTGTTGTTTATACTTTGTATGCCTTTGCGAGAACATCATCTCTCCATGTTCCTCTTCTCGGAATTCTCCTAGAATGGACAACCCACTTACACCCCGAACATATTTATATCCGCTTGTCCTCAATAGACACATTGCCATGAAGATCAAGAGTTTCTGCCTGTTTGCAACTCACTTCCACGAGCTGACGTCTCTTGGAGAGACAGCCCCGTATGTGGGCAATTTGCACGTCTCGGCACATGTTGACAGTGGGCAAGGGGAGGCTGGCAAGAGTCGTGATATCACTCTGTTGTACAAGGTGGTTGAGGGAGTCTGCGATCAAAGTTTTGGTATCCACGTCGCGGAACTTGCTCAGTTCCCTGACTCTGTCGTACAGCTTGCCAAACGCAAGGCCATTGAGCTTGAGGACTTTTCGGCCCACCATCACCATCAGGCCCCTGGATCGAATGGATCGAGTAGCCAGTTGCAGTCAGGGGCATCGAGCAAGAAGTCCAAGGCCGAAGATGTCGAGGTAAGCAACGCGCACACGTACACATACTCCTCGTTGATATCAATATACCCAACAAAGTTGGACAGGTGGACGGACATCTTGGGGAAAACAGAGGCAAGAGGGAAGGGAAAACACCACGGCCAATGTTCTCAACGAACGGGCTACTTGTGTTTGGTTGCCCTAATGACATCGTCATGCATGCACGGGAGAAAAAAAAGCACGGAGTCCTACAGTCCACGTTTTTTTTTCCTTCAATTGATGACCTCTTTGTGTCATTCTCGGTCCGTTAGAAGGGAAATTTTTGATCACCTTTTTTTTTTTTCCTGTGTTGTTTTTCCTGTTGATTGGCTCGTTGCTTCTTTATCTGCTTGCCTGATTGTTTATTTGGCGTGTTTGTTGGCCTGGTCAAACCTTGACATGTACGAATGGCGAAAAAAAAAAAAAAAAAAAAAATAAAGGAAAAATAAAGGACAGTCTCTCACAGACTGATCAGGAGCGCTATCTGAGAGAGAGAGAGAGAGAGAGAGAGAAGGAAGGGAGCTACACTTTATTGCGGTGGGTGTTGTGTTTTGTGAGGTCTTCGCTCTTTTAAGTTGGAGCATAACGGCAAGTGGGCGAGAGATGGTTAGCTTCTGGCTATTCAGTTGATAGCAAAAAATGTTTGTTTGTCTTGCGGGCTTTGTTTGGTGAGCGGAGAATCGAATGGGAAGAAGAGGACCCATATCGAAAAGAAGGAAGAGAGGACAGGGGAGAGAAAGGGTGATGCAGCAGCCCTTTGTCCTTCAAACCAAAATCTTTTCTTTTTTTCGCTAGTCTGGCTCTCGTTCTACTCTCTCTGTGTTTTTCCTTTGTCTTTTGGAAGGGCCGTTTTGTTACTTTCAATGGCAGTGACCGTTGTTGAATCTCCTTCGTCGCGTGTTTTTGAGTTTGCTGTCAGTGCATTTTTCCCTCTCTCCCTTTCTTAACAGGCGGGACTCTACCAAAAATAGGGGTGGTTGTTTCCTGTCTTTGTTTCTTTTGATTTCATTATTTCTTACATGATCTGAAAGGAGGTGATCCGGTGTCCATTACTGTCTTTCCTTCGCTTCTCTCCCCTTTCACTTTGCGGCGAAATTGGCGTCGACATGCATTGCATCGGAAATGGCTTTTCCGGATCCATACAAAACAATAGAACACGAGTCAGATGCGAGAGGGAGCAATCGTCTAAGGGGAAGACTACAAGGAGGATGAGGATGACGAGGATGAAGGAGCAAGTGTGTTGATATTATAGAGCATTGGAGGCGAATGGAGCTCGGGGTCGTGAGAGACCTGTATCTTCCCCACATTTTTCTTTATTTTAGTTTTTGTTGAGGTTGTTGTTTGGGTTCTCTCTGTCCCTTCGATCTCTTGGTCAGCCATTGTCACTTCTGATATTCTCCTTAAGATTTTCTTCTTTTCTGTGACCAAGAAAAAAGAGGGACAGAGGAAGATCAGGAGAGAAAGAGAAAGAGAGTGTGTATGTACTTTGAGAGTACTACATACCAGGGCTCGCTGTGTTCCAATCATCGTTGTCAAGGTTATGACTCTGTTCGCGACCCTTTTTTGCAATATTTTTTGTTTGTTTACATTCAATTGCAACTATGTGAGTATGTGGTTAGGACTACATGTGCTGCGTGCGAGAGAACAGTTGTAACGGTTGAGAGGGCGATGACGACGCTGGTTCTTACTGAAAGATGGAATAGGTCACAAGTCTGTTTAAAGAATATTGTTGACCTGGAGGTCCGTCAGGAGTTAGGGAGAACAGGAGGTGATTGATAGAGCGAGAGAGAGCGAGTGAGTGAGCGAACGAGGGTTAATGTTTATCGATTGATCGAGGGGTGAAGGATTGAAAGGGGGAGAGGATGACCACCAAAAGAGCAAATCGAATTGAAAACAGCAATAGCAACAGTAACAAAGAGAAAAATAGAAACGATCCAGACAGGGCAGCAGATAGGGTGGGAAAGAGGAGAGTAAGCGAGGGAGAGGGAGAAGGAGAGGTGAAGGAGAGAGAGAGAGAGAGGTGAAGGAGAGAGAGGGGAAACCTTGGTTGTTGTTTTGACGGTGAACCTAACCTTGAACCTGAAATTACATTTTAAAAGGTTCCTCTTGGTGATGTCCCTCCTCCCTTTCACCTGTTGGCTGTGTTGTTTTTAGAGTGCTGTACTTTACGACTCTCATCTCAGTGCTCGTCGTTTGTTATTGTTGGTGTTGTTGACAGCGGCTACCCGTTTTTCTTACATTCTTTGCAGAGGGTGGGTGCTAAAAATACCTTATCAAGGAACCAGAGCAAGAGAGAGGGAAGGTTGTGTTATTACTACCCACCCCCTTTGTCAAATATGCTCCTTTTGGTTACCTTTCTGTGTGATCTCTTTCTTGTCGACGCACTGTCTTTTGTGTTTGAATGGCCTGGTTGTTTTTGGTTTTCTGTCAATCTGTCAATCCGTCAATCTATTCGATCTACCATCGTACGATGAGGGAGGGTGCCAGAGATCTCAACAATCAAGAGCAGTGAGGGACGATAACAAACAATTTGGCAGTATATTCTCATTTCGCTGCACCTTCTATTTGTCTGATCAGATGACTTCAGCTCCTACCTTGCTTCGCAAACAGACCACTGACACCTCGCGCACGCTACGTTACCATGTACTCTGAATAGAATGGGTCGGCATTGATTGAGGAGATGATTCAGACTATCGCCAAGGACTACAAGGACATTACCATTGACGGTGATAAGGACGGAAATCGAGCAGCTATGCTGAAGCGGGTTGAGCAAGTCCGGGAACAGTACATTGACCGGATCCAGGCTAACCCATGGCTCAAGGAGCAGCTTGCTAGTGTCTACTGGGACTAGACGTCCAGTTAGCGTTTGGTTTTAGTTAAAAGAAAGCAATATCTCCAAGAAGAAGAAACAAACTTTTTCTTTCATGCAAGCGAAGGAAATATAAAACTGGGTTTGTTGTTTTTTTGACTGTATGACTGTATGAACTCTCAAGGAGCGAGCGGTGTTCGTTTATGCTTTCAATCTTTTCTTTACTTAAACAACAAGCGAGAAAGTATATTCAAGGATGGAGCTGTTGAGGTACGAGCTTCTTTTTGAGTATTCTCGCTTGTTATTTTTCTTGGAACTGTTATGGTTTCATTGCTTTTGCTATGGCCTTTGCTTTGGCCCATGCGTTTTCCTGTTGCTTTTTGCTTGTCCTTTCTCGTTTATGAATGAGTATGAATATGCATTCCTTCCCTTTCTCATCTCTATGGGTATCTCTTCGCACCTCACCCCTCTATTTTTTTTAAATGATAGACTCAAAGATTGGTTAGGAAGCATCCCATCTACCGGACACCAATCAGATTCGCCCCTTTCAACCGATACCTAGCGAGATTCCGGAGAGATTCCTAAATTTTTGATTTTTGTACTGTGCGAGACCGAGTGTACCTCCAGTGTAAGGTTAGAGGGCTGTTACGAGGGTGAAAGGTAGTACCCTTTTTTTTTGGTTGCGTTTTCAGAAGGTGCTCCTTCTGTCGTCATGTTCGTGAGCTACACAAAACTCGCCAGAACGTCAAGTGTCACTTACTCTAGGCGGCAGTAGAGTGAGTTTCACGCCCTAAAATTACGAGGGTTGTTTTTTTTTGCCTGTGCGAGAGACAAGAGAGAGACCTTGTGTCTATTGGATATTACCCCGCACTTTTTTTGTAGTGGGGGTGGTGGAGAAAAAATACCACTTATGACCCTGTCCTTGTTGGACGACAGGCGATAACGATGATGGGTCACGCACCCGCGGAGAAAACACAGCTCCCCAGAGAAAACAAGAGAGCTAGGCAAATCTAGAGCTAGCAAAAGGAAAAGGGTATAGATAGCCATTGCAGTATCTGGTGCTGAAAACGCAAAAATGCAATAATCGAAAACAAACATTTTTTTCTTTCGTGCTTATCGCTGACTAGTAGGCTTGTTTTTCACGCGAACTCACCCAGTCTACCATTGGCTTTTTTTCTTCTCATTACTCTCCTTCGCCGGCTCTTTTATTTTTATATACACTCATCTTGCCCTCTCTCTGTCTTTCCAATACGCTCACAACTTCTTCTTTTCCTCTCAACAATAGTTCGGCTGGTTGGAGAAGAAGAAAAGCAGTGGTGTGGTTTGAAGTATGTACTTCAGCATACATATGTATCTTTTTATTCCATCTTCCTTTCGCCTTTTTTTGGTGTCGGCGATGAGGATACGCCTGTTGGTGTCGTTATTGTTGTTTACGTCCATTGGTGTGTTATTTATTTATGTTTGTACTGAGATGTCATTTTGAATGAGTCGATGAATGGATGACTGAATGATGATGCACTGTTCAAGCAACCAGGCTGACTGGTCAGTTGGCCCTGACCTTTGGCTCTTGACCTTTTGGCCTCTGGTTGTTGCGTCGGGCTGGCCGTCGCTTTAATTGAATATTGCACAATACCTGGCCTTCTTTCTCTCTATCTTGCACTTGCCGTGCGCTTGAAACCTTGCTTTTGCGCATTTTCGTTCTGTTGACGATGTTTTTATCTTCTTCTCTTCAAACGGTTCAGGCGCTCATGATGACCCGTGGCGACTTTACCCCACACACTCGCGCACCCACCCAGTTATCTTCAATGCTCCCCACGGACAGACTCAAAACAAAAAATCTCACACGACCCCCCTCCCTTCCTTTTGGCAATTCTTATCATGATACTATCAATCTCTCTATCAGGGTTTAACATGAGCAACAACAACGACGACCCCAACAGTAAGGAAGAAAGGTGGGAGCTTTTTGTACGTTCCCAATAATACGACATATGGTGTTGCTGTTAATGTTGTTGATGTTGTTGCTGTTGTTTGTTGCTGTTGTTTTTCAATGATGGGAAGGGAAGAATACATTTGTGCAATTAACCAAAGAAGCAAAGAAAAACAACTAACCAACCGCCTTCATGAGTGCATGGATGAGAGTAAAAGGAAAAAAATGCACCCATAAACAGCTGATGTTCTTCTAGATGGTGTGTGTTCATGCACCTTTTTTTCTTTCTTCTAATTAGTTCTCATTGTTTTTTTCCCGTTTTCCTTTGTTGTTGTTTCTATTTTCCTTTTCGAACACATGTGCACGCTCGTACTCATACGCTGCAAATCCATAGCGGGCGCATTACTATCCAGGTTTTTCTTTCTCTATTGTTTTTATGCGTTTTTTTTGTTTTTTTTGTTTTTTTTTGAGCGGTTGAGCGGACGTACGAAAGAAATCGATACCTCATTTTTTATCTGCACTGGCCCATACTCGAAAAGTTGAATCTGTAATGGCCCATATTCGAAAGTTGATACCCTCTTTTTCTTTGGTTTCTTCTACATATCCACGACTTCGTGTTCTTTTTTTATTATTTTTTTCTTTTCCTCACGAACTACCTCCCGCTAGTGCCACATTCTAAACAGTGAGGAACGTACTGAATGTATGTGTTTTGTGGAGTGGGAAGTATAAAAGAAAAGAAGGGGGGAGTAACGAAACGTTATGATGGATAAGCGTAAAGGGAAAGATGGGAAAAAGATATTGTTGAGAAAGCTAATAGCTATGCCACGCGTGATTATTTTTTTTAGGGGCTGGCGGTCGTGAACTTTCGCCTAGAAAAAAAAAACTAAGCAGCAAGGGTCGCGTAGAACGAAGGAAAGTAAAAAAAAAAGATCGTCTAGAAGAACGCGTATTGGAGGTCAAGCATACATTTCGAGGTGGAAAGCGGAGACGACGAGGCTATGGTCAAGCCCCTGGTTTAGGTTAAGCATCTTTCCCCTCCCTCCCTATCTCTTTAGGAGACACTTTTGGATGCGCTATTTGTGTGTGTATGTGTGTGTGTGTGTGTGTGAACAGACCCCCATTTTACTGGGCACTGTCTTGCTATTTTCTCCTAGGACTCAGGGGTCCGGAACTAAAGGGATAAATAGTTTGTCGTGACACAATGCTGCACGCGTCTATCATTTTAATGTGGTGCAGATGAAAGAGGGCGAGTAGATGGGAAATTAATGGACTGGTTGGATAAGCCATTTGACGCCCCATTCAAACGGGAATGCAGTATTTAGAGGGATTATTCCGGCCCGATGCACGCACGCATGTCTATGTGTATGTGCGTCGATTTTTTTTTACAAGTGAAATGTATTACACGGCGAGGGGTACCGGCTGGGTCAAAGGAAAATAGCTTACTGGCTGGCTGGTTGGGTTGGGTTGTGATTTGGTTTGGGGGGTAGGAGGGCATGTGCTACATACATACCTCTGTTATTTTTACGGGGGTCACTTTAGAAAGACAATTGGTGGAAAAAATGCAGTAGGTAAAGGCGAACGAGCAATAAGGATGCGACCAAGTGAAGAAGGTGAGACCAACGGACGGAGGAAAGGCAAGGGAGAAAAGGGCTAACGAACGGATGCACGTTTACCTCCCTGCTGGCAATGCCATGCACGGAAGTACATGGATTTACTCTCCTTCATAAACACACGTTTGTTTTTTCGTCTAACCAAAAACAAAAAAGTGATGAGCAGCGAAAAGGACTCGAGTCTTCTCTCTCTCCCCTGCAATAATAATGGAGCAAGGGTAAGTGTGTTTGTGCATGTGTATCAACAAAAATATGAGAGAGAAGTAGAGCAGAAAAAATAGAAAAGAGGCTGAAAGGCCATATTGCTTTTCTGCAAATCCATTGACCTGTGTAACAATGATGATGATGGTGACGATGATGATGGTGACCCCCATGACGACGACAAGAGAGCGCAAGTAAAGAGGATGTCTGTCCCACTTTAAGGAGTCCTTCCGTGGAGGAGACTCGCATCCATTATTTTTTTTGGCGCATCCTACCTCCGCTCATTTGTAACCAAATTATGCAATTGTGATCATACACTTTCATTCGCGTAGAGCACTTGCATGGCCATTTACGAAAAGAACTCCCTCATCATCAATTGCAGAGACAGGACAGAATAGTCGACATGCAAATACGTACCGCGCATTAGCCCATTAGCTATCAGCTATTAGCTATTAGCTATTAGCTACTACTACTACTCATCCTCGTTGATTGTCCTGGGGCCACACTACGAGGTACTTGAGGGAGATCCCAGACCATCATTCCCCCATTGTCTCCATTCCCCCCACAGTTTTTTATTTTTAAGCAATACGCAACGCACGCACGGTACATACGTACATTATGGTATGCAGGAACACATAGTACTATATCGTTTGCGTTTTATGTTTCAATGAACACGTTTTTTTATTATCTCTCTGCGCCTTGACCATTTTTTTGGTCCTGATATTAGGAATTCGTGAAGGATAGTAAGAGATAAAGTGCGAGAGAGAAGGAAATGAGACTAAGAGCAAGAGAAATGGTAGGTCCAAAAGAACGAGCGATAATAGAGAGGGTGCAATTGAACTGAGGGAACAAAGAAGGATAGAGAGGCCAAAGGGAAGCAGAGAGAGAGTGTGTGTGGGAGAGAGGGCATGTACTCTTTGTCGGATATGCAAGTGGGTAGTTGCGAAAGTACAGTACCGGATCCAGGTCCCTACCTTATGTTTCTTCTTTATCCTGGCTGAACAAGCTCTCTATTAATTTTCTTCGAATCCTGAAACAGTTTTTTGCAATATGAATAAACCTCCTGGATTATGCTCTCGTGCTGCCCTCGCATATCCATATCATCATAGTACATGTCCCATGCCCCATGTTCTCTTCATCCACAATTCTTAATTGCAATTGCAATTGCCTGGACTCTGTTTAGGGACGAGAACTGAGCGAGGCTTAAACTCTTTGGGCTGTTTTTTTTTGTTTTTTTTTTTACTTCTTCGATTGACATAATAAAAAAGCTCTTCCTTTTCTTGCGAGACCAGACCACCTTGAGA